TTTCGCCAATTCTGGGGAACCCTCCCCTCCTTCTATAGATGTGTCTTCTAATAATGAATGTGCTTCATATGCAACACTGTCCCACCTTTTTTTTTGTCTTTTCCCAAGCCAGCCCAAGACGCGCGCCGGGTATGGAGCACGTGACCGCTTCCCGAGTTTCGGGATCCCCGGACTCGGAGAGGAGAAGAACGGTGGTGCGGCGGAGGCGGCGGCGGCGGCCACGGCGGCAAAAGAAGAAAGAGTGCACGACGCCCATCCCTTCTGGTTAGATAGGGAGAGGTTGGGAGTTCCCCTTCGTGGTGCCATGAAAGCCACTTTTTATCGGCGAGTCATCATGACTCGATTCTCTCGCCGATCCCTATTCGACTGGTCCCCGGTTCTCGCCTCTATCTTCACTTTGTAAATGACGAGAAACATACATAGATTGATAGTGTCATGCGAAGCCATAAACTAGTCGAATTGGGGGCGACAGCGAGGAGTTTGCCTCTTCGGAAAAGCAATACAAGAAAGAAGAAAAATCTCCCTCCAAGGACAAAGCAACGTGAGCTTGAGGAATAAGCAAAGAAACAAGTGAGAACTAACAAATCCTTTGGTAGTAATTATAGTTGGCGGCAAATCTCGTGCAAGTCTTTCCTAGATTTCCTTTTTCTTTCTTGTTCAAGTTCCCCTCTTCCTAGGTTATGAGTCGCGTCGAGGAAGGGGGCGTTGTACTCATGGTTTACAGGTCGGCTGCATTTGGATCTTGATATCGTCCATTTTCGTTTTCCCTCTCTTTCCTTCTTTTTCTTACCCCTTTCTTTCAGAGTCTGCCCATGGCCATTTCCAGTGCCACCCCTCCACCAGTCATCGTTCGGCCTCGCCTCTCGCTAATTCCACTTCTGTCACCTTGATGGAAACATGATGAAGCATTTGATCACTTCGTAGCGCATACCTAGTTGGCGTGCTGCGAACAGGGACGAGTCACCCATCCACCGAGAGCCGGATTAGCACATGAGCTAGGCAGCTGAAGGAGACTTACTCAACTCCATAGTCATGTCCAAACGGCGGCTAGCTTTACCCTTGCGAGTTATTCTGGGAATCTGCCTGCTTGACGAGGTCAGAGGGGACAGGTGGAGGGGACAAGCGAGACGCAGCAGGTCGAGGAAGGAAAGATACTAAAGGAGTGTGTAACTACCATCTACTTCCTGTCATCAATCGCCGGGAGTACAATGGTTAGGGGATCGGCTTCAGCTCATCCCGGCCCTTGCAATCACAGGTGGGGAAAAGGGTCGGACAAGGACGGGACGGGATCAGGAGGATTTTCAACCACTCCCTGACCAAAAGAAAACCCACCTGGAATTTGGTAGAGAGGTGGGCGGGTGGGGAGACGATGAGTACCAAGGAGACGGGACGAAGATGGGCATCCTCCAGCATCATTCACCCCCATCGGGAGTCTCATCTCTCCTCGTTCTCTATCGCGGGGTGAGACCGAGACTGCCAGACACTGGGGCGGCAGCAGAAAGCATGGTGATTAGCCCTTTCTCCTTGGTCTGGATCAACGGGGCCGCGAGGACCCCTGCGGTCCACTCAAAGTCCAGCCGCCTTCGTACTGCTTTTCTCTCCCCCTCTCCTCCTTCCCCTCCGTCCTCCTCCTGCCCTCCCTCTATCTACCACTCATCTCTCCCCGTGCGTCAAAGCGAGATGATGGCTTGGTGGCGCCTGCGCCCGGGAAGCACCAGGAGCTAAAGCATGTCCCGGTTTATTAGCCTTTTGTCTCTCGGCCGATATCTCGAGTTTCCATTCTCGCCTCTTCGCTCGCATCCTAGCCCAACAAAACTGAACAAAGAGAAGAAATCAAGTTAGAGGGCTTCTCACATGCTCTCACCTTCCCTCAACAAGGACGGCCTCCCCGGCAACCGTCAACCGAAAAATAAGAAAAGTCTCACCATCCCTTCCTCCGCTAAACTTCCGCAATGGCTTAGCACCTATCGCGGCCCGCCTAGTTTTAAGCTATTTTCCTTAGCATAGATCTCTTTTTCTTTTTGGAAGCCAAGCGAATAGACGAGATGGCTATGTCTGGTGAGGTTTTGATCTCCCGCTCTCAGCTCATGTTGTCTCAAATGGAGTGTTCTGCCGAGATCGAAATCCGGTTCATTGGGTTGAGTTTGTAACCATCGTGTCTCAGAATATCCGCGTTCCTTTCCTTTTCTTTCTTTCTTTCTTTCTATGCTTCCTGCTGAATTAGTAGCGGAATGGTCCGCACTTTGGGCTTCTATCCATCCCCACAAGACGACCTTGCAGCTTCTCCTAAGCACAGAGGTCATGCTCAAAGAACGATCGAATTGTAGGCCCACTACCGCGTATCAAGGTTATCGCTTCTATACATAACCCCTTCAGATTCCCGGCTTACTTGAGGTTATACGGGTGCCGCCAGCCGCCATTGTCCTAGTAAGCAACGCAGCGGAGTAAAAGTGGTTTCATGGTATGACCTCGACGTAGTAAGGCCGTACTGCTTGAAGGGTTGGTGCACCGGGCAACGTGGAACGTGAAATCTGCGAAATCTGAGGGCTCTATATATCTGCTCACCGCTGACCGTTGAAGCTAGATATCTCTAGCCATATCTTTCTGTTATCCTTGAGCCTTGCGAGCGCTTACCATCTTGATGGAGTTGGCGCTTTTGGAATTCGGGTTAATGCATCCTCAAGTCCATGAGATGGACTAATCTCGATAGTCAATGGGTTTGAACAAGATCTATCGGGGTCGTAGGTGCGGCCACGTGTAAGTTGGCATGGCCGAGTCCCAAATCGTCGCAGGATCCCGTGACGTAAAACAATGCTCGTTTCCATCTAAGAGCCATATTGTGCCTCTCGGTCACCCATGCTCTAGTTCTTGAAGAAGGCACGATGTTAACTATCCGTGCACACCAGAATTTTCGTGTGGTACTCACATTAGGCATCCTGATACACCTTGGGGGTCACATACAGCAAAACAAATCCAACAGGCAGAAACGGTAGGGTGGCCCAATATCAGACCAATGGGGCTTTCCGACACTGACAAGATGTCAGATAGGCCCCATGTCCGGTGTCATCCAACCGAACAAGCTTCCGTTCGGATTAGACTAGCCCCGCCTTCTTTCGGAGCGAATATCCTTGGCCATGCCCACCCCGGAAACAAGAGATCTCATGTATTTGTGATCACTGGATGAACCACAGCTAGCAGGTGCGGTGCCTTGAGTATCATCCGTCGAGGTGTTTCTTGTTTCCCGATCCGATATTGAAGGATAATTGACGCGGCCTGACAGGGGCTCAACATGGGCAGGGGCATGCATGAAGCCTATACCTAGCTGGAAACACTCCTGGGCGTTGAAAATGGCAACACCATGTAGCACACAAATCTTTCTGGGTTTCAGACAGGACTATCTCTAGTCCTACCTGAAGGCTCTTTCACATTCGACTGGTGGCCGAGCTACAAAGGAAGGGCATCCCTCTGTAGATGCCGGCGCGGCAAGCATCGTGATGCTACTGAGGTGTGAGACTTGTGCAACGGACTAGTTCCCGGCTACCCAATTCCAAATCGTGGGTACTGAATAGTTTGTCGGCCAACACTCGAGGCATTATCATCTTCGATAGCCCTGGGAGACCAATCCTCCAGGCGAATGCACGTCTCTGATCTCAGAAGCCGAGATACCGATGGGTAGCCTAACTTCACCCAACCCAGCTGTGTCACCAGTCCCCGCAATGAGAATCTCAATAGTGTTAGCGAAAACGTATGATGTCGATTCTCCGAGCTTCTACAAAGGCGAGCCAACTTCATTATCAGTTGCTTATAAATACGTCGGATCCTAGTTCCCGTTTGAGAAAGCGACATGCCTGGTGTAGCTCTGCCCTCTCGAGGAAGCGGCCTCACCATCCACCGGTCGACCAAGATGACTTGGGCGGCCAGCGATCTTGTCATCATCGATTTCCTTGCTGCAAGGAGCCATAATATCGGGTCGATTATTCCCCGCGAACGTGTACGGTTGAGGGGAAATAGGCCGCAGCAGCCTCTTGATTTACCAGAGGGCAGGAGCTCGTGCCTTACTCTTTCACCCTTCAACATACGTCTTCACGGTGGCTTGTGTGGTTGAAGCACACGGGGCTGCCTGGAATGGAAGATGCGGGCCGGTGGGCCGGTGGACGACGTGTAGTCTTGCTGCGCGAGAAACCCGCTGCATAGGACATTGATGGGACGAGCGGAGATATCTCAGGCTATTGATCCAATTGATCGTTGATGGGAGGGGGCAGGCCACCGGTCGGGGGTCGTGCTTGGGCTTATGGAGCCTGCGAGCCGGTCGCGATTTCCGCATGGGTGGGTGTCCGGCCGGGGATTCATGTGCGGGGAAGGAGGGACTGCTTGACAAGATGGGCAGGTGAAGGATTCGCGGATTGATTTTGGAGAGTATATGAAGGGACGAACATCCATAGCAAACTCACGAGTCAGAACCGTTTTCTCCGTCAAGCTCACGATAATCGACCTTTTGATCCAACGATTGATTTTTTTGATTTTGAGAAAAAGGAAAAGCCCCCTTCTCGTTCCTTGCCGTTCTAACCTCATTTTCAGAGGGCACCAGAAACTTACGGCACGAGTTACGACAATGGCATTCATTCGGCCATACCAAGAGAAAGACTTTGAGCAGGTGGCACACATCGTAAGTCCCATCTCTAGCCTACACTTCTCTTGGCCGGCGTTCGACTAACGAAAACCTTCCGCTCCCCACCCCTCACCGCAAAGTGTCGCGTCACGCTCCCAGACTCACTTTCCATCTTCCCCGCCATCGTCAAGCTCGCCCCCTACGTCTGGGCCCACCAATTTACCCACCTCTCCCTCCACCTGCTTCGTCCTCGACGACGGCACCGGAAAAGCGGTAGGCTACGTCGTCGGCACGCCCTCCATCCCCGCCTTTGTCGCCGCCTACCCCTCCTTTACCTCCTCGGTCCTCCGCCGCGACGGCATCGCAGACCTCGGCCAGAGCCCCGGTACGAATGGGCCATCCCCGAAGGGAGGAGGGCGCGGGGCACGCCGACCCGCGATGCCTGACGCAGCTGGCGCACGATGGCCGCCGGCTCCTCTGGGAGGGTAGGGAGGGCTTGGTGGCCGAGTACGGCGCCACGCTGCACATTGACCTCGAGGAGCAGTGGAGGAGCGGCGGGTGGGGCAAGAAACTGATTGAGGCGTACGTGAAAGCTGCGAGGGAGAGCTGGGAGGAGGACGGAGCGACCCCGGGGGCCCGGGGAGGGTGCGGGGAGAGGAGTGCACGTGGTGATCGGCGGGGATAATGGCAAGGTGGTGGGGTTCTATGAGAGGTGTGGGTTTACGCTGCTGGAAGGGGGAGAGAAGGAGGGATCGATTTGGATGGGAAGGAAACTCTGAGCCGGGGATGGAAAAAGAGGGGGTGGGCGGGGTGGGAGGTATGCGCAGAGTGATGCGACCTTTTGGAGACGCCGTGGGCTCCAAGTAAAGAGGGTGTGTGGGTGGGTTGCAGCAGCTCGATGCGAGATGCGAGAGGCTTTGGCGTGCAGATGCGCAGAGTGCCCTCCTTCATCTTGCGGCTCTTTATATATATCAGACCATTCATAGCCCATAACCTTTTCATATCAATCCACGCCTCTTCGTTTTGCTTAGCTCGAGAAGTAAGAGCAGAGGGGGACACGCGTGACTACGCAAGATGGGAGCTATGAATACAAGATCGTCAGGGCTAAACTATAAGCATGTAGGGTGTGTTTGGCTCTAGAGTCTAACGTAGTGTTTAGGTTTGGCAATCATACTACTCTAGCTTGGAGGGCACCATTCCACGATGGACGTCTTTTGTGTACGTTGAGCGTTGAGTTCGTGAGTTCACTGGTGGCTCATCTGCTGTCCTTACGGAACCTTCTCTTGTTTGTTTCATTCTCCTCCAAGTTATTTGTTCATGATTCATCACCGGCTGGGAAACGCAGGCTGGCAAAGACAGCTGCTGAAGGTTTAAAAATCTTTAAGGTATCGCGGGGGTATATTTGCTTCTATCTAGAAAGCCTTTTGAGCTCGTAGCCCAAGGGGGCAAAGAATCGAATCAAGACAAATAAACCGATAACGCCGGGGGTATTCCATCGCTTTTTCGCTTTGCAAGCCGTAAAAGTCTGAACCACTCTTCTTCCTCCCTTCACTCTCATTCGCTACGCTCATCCCTCCCATAACATTCGTTTTCCATCACCTCCGATAGTTTCGAGCTATCTGCCAGATTAAAAACCTGCGATGGAGAATTGAAAACTCTTCCTGTGTTTCCGGCCGATCGTGATAATGAGCTACTCTGGCCGGATAGTCGTGATGGCGGCTGAGTAGGTTGGAGAGCAATCTTTATTCCTTGACAACCGCTTCAGATATGATCATGAAAGCAAGAGGAGCGCGTGAGCCAATTTGCAGAGTCGCCTGGCGGCGGCTCTTGACAAAGGTGGCACAGGTCGCGCATTTCCATTCTTAATTGGCGTTGAAAGCCAATCCCAATGTTGGATTGAATGACATTCTCTGTTTGCTTTTCGGATATCGAGCAAGCCCCGCGGTGATAAGAAGAAAAAGTGAATTCCGGTTTGTTGCATGAGTGCTGGACAATCTCGGGAATCATCGGCTTCCTGGAGATCGGTCAGTTTGGCACATCATATTGGGTGCATGGCTGAATGCTGAGTGGATGGATGGGTGGGTGTGGTGCGGTGCGGGAGATGGAAGGAGAAACTCAAGCCACGCGCTCGTACCGCACACAGTGCAGAACAGTGCATGCAAGGGGAAGGCTCGGAAGGTACAAATGACGTCGTCTGCAGTCATTGCAGCCACTCAGAGGCAAGTAGGAGAATGAAGCGAAGGGAAGGAGCAAAGAAGGGCGATGGAGGGAGACCGCGTTTATTCACCGCGTTCGCCCGTTCATCCTAAGCAAGAGACGTAGCTCAATGCGCCCAGGGGGAGGAGGGTTTTGTGGAGATGTTGTTTCGAGAGGGCAGGTGGAGAGGAATAAACTGGGGATTGTTGTGGAACGAGGAACAAAACTTACCATGTTGTCGCTCAGTCCACATCGCCAACATCACGAGCCGGCTGCACCTTTTGCTCATCCCACGTCAACTTTCCTCACGTCCATTTTCGGGCCTTTGGTCATTGTCGCATCGCTCTCGGCGCTCTTGCGAGCTATCATCGCACTCCCACGCTCCTCTCCGTTGTCCGCCGTCTTCTCTATCACTCCCTACGCATCACACCAGTCCGCGCTGGGCGAACTTATACGCAGGTTTGGCATTCTTCGTGGCCGCACGAGGGGCAAGCGGTGCAGATGACGATCATGCTTCCGCACTTGCAGCAATGGGGGCGTAAGGCATCTTGGAGGTGGAAGAGGTATTGTGATAAGTAAGATATAAGTTTGGATAATGTTTGGTTGGAAAGGTTAACTCGAGGTTGTTAGTTCTTGGAAAGAGGATGATTGAGTTTGGTTGAAGGATATGAAATGGGGAATGGTGGGAGAAGGAAGGGAACAGACGAGAAATGGAGGAGGAAACTCGGAGATTTATAAACCGAGAATGGCAAGGTAACGATGTGGAGGGAAGGGCTGTTGGGATGGTGTGGGAGAAGGCGAAACTAAGGCAGACCCTCGAATTTTCCATACCCCACAGGACGAGCTCATTGATGAGTTTGAGCCGAACAAAGTTGATGTCCAAAGAAAAGGAAAAAGAAGGCCAATACAGGCTAATGATAGGCTGCCCCGATGTTACTCCCCTAGACCATTGATCAATCGCAGCACACGCCAGGAGTGGGGAGACACAGCCGCTGATTTCTGGGTTGGCTCTGGTGCAGCGCATGCGTGCCCACGCAGTAAATGGTGGGGGATGCCAAAGATCGGAAGTGAATCAGGTAGGCGCAACCAAGGGTCGGCGCCAAAAGAAGAAAAATAGGGCGGGATTGCCCTGGGGAATACAGGCAAAGAAGCGGTCTCTAGCCCTGACGCAAAACCAAGAAAGTCGGGTTCCGTTTTATTTTCGTGCTGTGTCGCCACCCGGACCCTGCAGCAGGGTGCGATCTCCTGTGTGCCGGGAGCCAGAGTTGAAGGAACCACAATTTTGTGGTGGTGGGGGCGTGGGAGACTTTGGATCCCCCTCCTCCACAGGGCCTCGAACAAGACTGGAGGTTCGGAGGAAGGCCGCACGAGACGAGGTGAGCCCCAGAAAAGGAAAAGGGCCTTTGTGTGGTTCACCGAGTCCAACTGGCTGCGCTAACGGGGCTCTCGGAAAAGACCATTTTTGAGACTAAAAAAACTTGAGGCGTGTCTGGTTCAAATTCGGGGTTCACTGGGGACTATTCCCCACGCCCAATGTACGAACCTTTCGCCTTTGATCAAGCGAGTCTCTCAATTCCTCTCACAGAGGCGCAGGAAGGAGAGCGGCTTGAGGGCTGTCCAGCCTGGCTATTGTTGTCGATGCTTGCTCCAGTTTCAGCAGCGCTAGACGCAGCACCAGACGCAGCGTCACCGGCTCTTGGCGGAACTCCTTGCTGCAAGTCGCCGGCATCTCTCTTCCAGATGTGCCCTACCCCAAGCTTCGGCGGGGCTCTGGTCCGCTGGTGATGGCTGCCTATTTGGGGTAATTTTTCAAAACCAGACGCTATGATTGGCGGGCGTGGTCCATCGGAGATGCCCACTTTGTGGGGTTTGGTCTTCTTGGCAGTTGGGTAATGAGATTGGTCTCGACCAACTCCTTGCCTCATGTTCAAATTGGGAAAATGCTCGGGAGGAAGAGGAAGGCACAATGGAGGGAGTGATGGATGACCGCATTGATGAACCATCGTGGACTGGCCCCTTGTTTTCATTAATTTACAATGTGCAATTACGGCATTAGAACGGCCCTTCTCACGCGACACCAGCACGCTTGGCTGTACTTTATAAATGATGATGATGATGTTATTCCAGCTACCGGGATCGCCTGCGAACAACCGACCACTTTGCATTAATAAAAGAGAAATTAATAACAGCACAGCAATGTGTCAATATCGGCCGGCGTCTGCAAAAGCAGCGAGGGGAGACTCGGCGGATGCAAAGTCGGCAAGCCCCAACCTCAACATTCCGGAACTCAAACCCCGAAGGGAGCGAGAGGGAAAGAATCCAGCTCCTTGAAAATCCCTTTTTTCGTGAAGCCGGGATTGAAGGGTGGGCGTTGCAGAAGAATGGGGAGAGGGGGTGGGGTAAAAAAAAAATTCCAACAAGGAAAGAACCAAAGAAAAAAACCAAAATCGTCGAGTCAGATCGGTTGCTGGCTTCTTACTCGTCCGCAAGTTTTAGTTATGGGAAAGAAATACCAAATGCAAATGAGGCTGGAGGGCCCTGAAGATAAGGTTTCTGCGCCGGCTTGGCTGAGGCGAGTTCCACTGACACACCGAACAGCCGAGCAAAGCAGCGGTCCCCGTTGGTCTGGTCGATGATTGGCCCATGTCTCCGGGAGGAACTTTGGTGCAGTCGACTACTGACAAGCATGGAAGCCACTGCGCGCGCAGACACGACAGATCCATGACTGTACGTCCCGCACCTCGACCAAACGGATAACAAGGACACGAAAATCATCCCACCAACTCCAATATCAAAGTGGGCTTTTTCCAGCCTGATGCTCATCTGTTGTGGGCGGTTCTCTGCGTTTTCAGCTTGTTGGGACGTCAGACGGGCAGACCAGTGGTACGAACGTCGCCTGGGCCAAAAACAAGACAAGAGAAAAAGAAAAGAAAAGGAAAAAAGAGAGAGGGAAGAATGAAAGGGATAACGACAATCCCCCTCAAGCTGGCCATACTCTCCTCTCATAAGCGCTCCCACCTGGCTTTGTTGCCCACATCTAGTATCCTGGAGTTGATCTTCAAAAATGCTGAGCCACACTGGCATTCTCCTGGAAAAGGGCAACTTCATACTTTACACTGATGGTTGTGACCTATGAGACTAAAGCCATCAAAAGGGATCGCCAAAGTCATGGGATGAATACCCCATACGCCCTAGTTTCTGTTTGCCTCCACCCGTTTCCACTACGACACATGCATCCAAGCTATCTTTCAACTTGACGCCTGCTCAATCGAAACTCCGAACCAAAAGCTTTCCACATTCGGAAAGATTGACGTAGTGCCCACGATGTGTCGTTTTGGCCACCCCTTGACGCGCCAAAAGTCTGCCCTAGGACCGGGAAGACCCGTTCCCAGGTCCGGCAGGCGAACAATCAACAAAAAGAGTCTCTCTCCCTTGTCAAGAGCGCTGCTGCGGCCAGCAATGTGGAGAGGGGAGAGGGGAAAAGGACCCCTATTTCCTCCCCGCTCGCACTCAGGTGATGCGTGACGACGCGAAGGTTTGGGCAATGTCTGATGTTGTTAGCTTCGAGCTGGGCTCCTCTGGGCAAAAAGGTATGCTCGACAGGTTCAAAAGTCAGTATCGAGCACCTGAGTCAGTATCTTCTAGAATCCCGTTCGCCTCACTGGTGGTCCTATTTCTTCAGAACATGAATCTTTAGATTGGCGGTCTAGAATGGAGTCATCCATCGCCGTGTTGAAAGAGCTCTTGAATCTGACTCCTCGCAGAATTTCAGGCGACGAGACCCGAATATGTATACAGTGTTCACCCTTTTATTCACACCTTCTCCGGATCGTGGCCACCTCCAAGACTCAGCCACCCCCGCTAAATGGAGCCCCAAGAGAATGGGTACGGAGCCCTCTCGCGAATCTCCCCCAGAGCGCCGCGACCAACCAGGGTGGAAGCTGGTATTGCATGTGATCACCGGATTGACATCCAAAGGAGAGGCAAAGGATCGCTGACGATTTCGGATCCGAGATTCCCCGAATTGGTGGCAGCGTCGTTGACATCAGCGCTAGACAGAGAGGGCTGCGGTGTGCTTAGCGGGCTTGGTTTTCCATCGACGTATGCCGAGACATGAAACGTCCGTCTTGAAGCGCTAAGCAGTCATCTCCATCAACATCCGTCATAATCCTCGGATCGGGTTCCGATACGAGGGATGACAGAAGGTTTTCGGCCTCTAGACGGGGGTGCGCGTGACGTCGGACTCGGCGATCCAATTATCCCCGGCAAAGAAACCCCTTTTGCGCTGAGGATAGCCCGTTTTAATACGCCGTCGGCTCGATTTGCTCAGAGGTATCTGGTTTAGAAGTCCGCCGTAGCCTTGTGGCGTCTTATCAACGAATCGCTGGTTTCTGGTAAAGACGGTGCTTGATCGCCAGTATTCTTACTTACCCAGCGTTTCTAAACCCGTTCCCGGGTATCCATGGAAGCCTGCCGCCATTCTAGAAGCTATAGATGTTCACTGGGTAGTTTCATATCCCTTAGGACGCTCGTCTGCCAAGGTGCTTTGCTGTGCGTCGCGACTGCCAGGAGAAGCGTCACGCTACAGAGGTCGCCATGACGAAACTGACTGGTGAGGCTCAGGTCGTACACCGAGGCGTGGTATGAAAGCATGTCTCGTACAAGCGGAACCTGGGCCAACCCGTTCCACATGTAATCCTTCGACATACGTTCTTGCGCAACTTCTGATCACTGCTTCATTCATTTTCATGTTGTCATCGACGTACACATCTCTTATAGGCCTGCTAGTGCGTAGCAGCGTCGTAGCTTTCGCTCAGAGCAAGCAACGCTCATGGTTTTTAGACAAATCTCTCCTCCTCCCGGGTTGCGCCGTCCGGGCCAAGTCCCTCACTAAATGCTCATTTCCCAGTGAGGCTCCCGAGCTTTAGAGCGTATCCCAAGCTGAAGGCACTCAAGAGTTTGATGCCATTGCTAAACACAGGTTCGAAACTGGCGACTTCTTATGGACCCACGTTATAAGCCGATGAGACTCAAAGGTCGAGCTTGTGCCATCTCAGAGCCGGTCTCGGCACTTGCACATGAGGCCAGCCCTTGTCGTCGTCCTGCCCGTCCTGCCTTGTGGGCTATAGGGCTTGGGATTGTATGGCTATCCTTGTCACCGCCCTTTCATGTGTAAATTCCAATTTCTGTTTGCAAGTGTAAATTGAATACACGGCATAGCGTAACATGATACGTGGATGTGTAAAATGTTAACAAGTCTGTTTGTTGTTACCACGCAAATCTATCTCAACGCTGCCACCCGGGGCTGATGCCTAGATTGTTGCTCTCAAGTCGCGCCCCGTCCTAGGAGCCATGATGGGCTCTGGTAACAGGTCAAAGACACACGATGATATGGAGTATACGAAGGAGTGAAAGGAGTAGCGCATGCTTATTTCCTCAAGTGGAGCGATTACAATCAGGACATCATCTTGAAATGTTTATTTGCTTGGACATCGTGCAGAAATGGAAATTAGGGAGAATACCCCTGTGGCGCAGTCTCGCTGCGGCGCAGTGGAACCAGAAATCTCTCCGGCCGAGCAAGGAGTGGCGCAGGCGACGGGGAAGCTCAGATGTTGTGCGGGGAATAAACTGACGTGAGAGGGTAATAAGCGCTTTCATTCTTGATCTCGAAAGGAGACAGCAACACCTACAAAAGCGATCTAGTTGGAAGCAAGGGATTATTTGTTTCCGTTCCTTTGATATAATACCTCTCTCGTTTGGGTGAGATCAGAGCTTTTTTCCAGTTCACAGGAGGCGATGATGGCTGGGCACGACGCCAAGTCCATGGGGTGGGGCGAATCCTAGAGAGCCATTGAACTGAAGGCGGAACCTTAAGGAGAAAATAGGGGCTCTAATCAGGAGTTGGAGATCTCAGTTATGAGGGAATGAAGGCATACGAGGTTGAATGTCACTGGAAGGGCTCAAGAAGCTCAGCTAGGCCCTAGATTGAGGAGAAGATGCACATGGTGATGCGACTCACTCAGTCGGGAAGATTAATGGTGCCTAGCACAGCTGACACAGAAATTAGGTTGACCACAAAAACCCGCTTACCCGTTTCTCGCGATTCTCTCCCTTGAGAGCAAACCGCAACCGGCTGTAAAACCATCTTCTCTAGATATATTCTTCAAACTCTCATGTTTTTCCGCATTGTCGCAAGTTGCGAAACCTTGCCTGATCCAGCAGGCAGGACCGCTGCTTGCCTCGAGGGCTGTGCAGCGCAAGACGGGACTAGTGGTAGCTTCCCGGCACTCGAATCACTCTGCTAAGCTGTGTGTGGGCCAAGTGGACTTTCTCCTCGCAGGGACCCAGAATAATAGCATGCACGGAGGTGTGACTGTTCGCCAGGGCTGGGCTCAGCTCTTCCCCACCCCTCGGGTCCCCGCCATCCATGGCACTAGGATAGGGAAGAGTCGCCGGCGGACGGACTAGTTGGCTTCTTGGGAAAATCTAGGATCTAGGCAGGGAACCCCAATCTTGTCTCGTTGAGCCTCCTTCGCTTGGAGTGGATGTGGGTGTCGTGGCTGCGAACGGCTGCCTAGGCCGAAATGGACGATGGAGTGCCGTGCGCGAGGGATGGGAGGGTAAGGAGATAATATATATCAGGAGCTTTGGAAACCTCGCTGGGTATCTCGGGCTCGAGTTGTTTCCACGCCAGGCTAGACTGCTTCTTTCTTGAGTCTGCAAGTATTGGACGTCGCGCATTACGGTAGCTACCAACTTGATTGAGCTTCTCTTCGAGCGAGAAGGGATTCTATGCACAACACAACCTTACTTTCATCGCCGCACGATTCCCTCCACGTTCAACCCTCGCGTTAGAAAAAAAAGCGCGCTGAAGCAGGTGACGCTACCGCTACTACTGCAATTATGGTAAGCCATGTGAATTCACCAGCAAGCATCGTCCACGTGGAGCGACAATAATTGAGAGGGGAAATAATAAAACAGTGGATGTTTTCTAACCCAAGTTCCCAACGCGCAGGTTACCACTAGGGTCCCCATCCGCTTGAAGCCCGATGCGTCTTCGAGTGGATCAGACGGCACTCTCACCGCCTCTCGAGGAGGCTACCGGAGTCACTCTCGGCATCCACTCCGTGCCCGAACACGGCGGTATTCTCGTCAAGGTCCAGCCCCGCGGGCCCGCAGCGCTTCCCTTGACGGACGACGGCAAATCGCTGCCCTTGCCCCGGACCCCGTGCGATATTGTGCTCGTCATCGACATCTCCGGTTCCATGAATTCCAGAGCCCCCATCCCGGGAGACGGCACCGAGCCCGACTACGGCTTCTCCGTGCTCGATCTCACCAAGCACGCCGCCCTCACCATCCTCGAGACCCTGGACGAGGCCGACCGGCTCGGCATCGTCTTCTTCTCCGATAACGCCCAGAGTCGGTGCCAGCTGGAGCCCATGACGGAGGCGAATAAAGCTATTTGCAAGAAGAGAATCCTCGGCGCTCGGCCTCGTAGCTCGACGAATTTGTGGGGGCATTGTTGAAGGGTTGAAGCAGTTTGAGGAGGCGGGTCCGTCGGAGGGGAGGGTCCCGCCATGATGGTAAGTTTTTGGATTTCCCCTCGTTTGTCAGTGTGGGTTTTGGTTGCTGGGTTTGATGGTCGTCCCACGATATGAGGTTGAATACTTTAGGGAACCATTCTTGATACTAATGGCTGTGCGAATGTAGGTTCTCACTGATGGACAGCCGAACATGGGGTAAGTCAAAGAAACAACCATTTCCTTTCATGCACTTCCCGTCTCTTTCTAGGGAAAACTAACACCTTCCTACCTATAGCTGCCCATCCCGCGGTTATGTCCCCAAACTTCTCGAGAGAGGAAGCGACGGCGTCACCCCTGCAATCCATACCTTTGGCTTCGGCAACCACCTTCGCTCCGGTCTCCTCAAGTCCATCTCCGACGTCGGCGGTGGCGGCTACTCCTTTATTCCAGACAGCAGCATGTTGGTACGTATTTTTCTTTCCTGTTAACTCGGGACTTTTTCTTCGTGCCGTAGAGACTCACACCACTCCCCGAAATAGGGCACCGTCTTCGTCCATACCCTCGCCAATCTCCAGTCCACCTACTCCAACCGCACGAGCCTACGCCTGCGCTACCCCTCCAGCCTGACCCTCAAACCCGGCAACGGCCTCGTCGCCGCCGCGCCCAAGCCCGTCAAATGCACGGTCGACGGCCAGCAGCTGACCGAGCTCACCATTCCGCTCGGCAACCTCCAGTACGGCCAGTCCCGCGACCTCTTTTTCCAAGCCGCCCCGGCGGAGCTCGTCGCGTCCGGAACGCAGGTCGAGGCCGTGCTCACCTACTCGTGCATGACGGACGACAAGGTCTCCGTGTCTCACCGCGTCGACTTGGGCGAGCCCGCCACGGGTAGGCTCGGCCCCTCGCCGGCCGAGGTCGCCTACCACGTGTCCCGGTCGCAGATTTGCGAGTTCATCGGCTCGCACTACAAGTTGAACCCGGACCAAGAGCACGCCAAGCGCGTGGCCAAGGCGGCGCCGGACGGCCTGCAAAAGCTCCTGGAAGCCCTCCCCGCGCGGAAATTCAGCACCGGGGCGGACGGCGAGGACGACGCCGACAACGGCGGAAACGGAAACGGCCTCAACGACTCCCTCCTCCACGAGCTCGACGCCGACCGCGGGGGCCAGATCCCCCTCGCCGTGGGACCCGACTACTTTCAAACCTGGGGCGAGCACTATCTCCTCAGCCTCAAGTCCGCTCACGAGAGGCAGGTGTGCAACTCCTTCAAGGACCCCGGTCCGCTGCAGTACTCGTGCGACAGCCCGCTCTTCATCCAGTGCCGCGACATCCTCGACGACGTCTTTGACAATCTCAAGGCCCCGCCCCCGTCGCTCCGGACCAGCTACACGGGCGAGCGCGACATGCGCGTGTACCGCAACGTCGCGGGGCCCTGCTTCGCCGGGTCCACCCCGTGCGTCTCGCCGGCGGCGCGCGCGTCGAGATTCGCTCTCTCCGGCGCGGCATGGCCGTCGCTACCCCGCGGGGCCCCGTAGGGTCCAGCGCGTCCTGGCCACCCCCGTCGGCGCGCAGGTCGTCGTCCGGCTCGGCGCCGACGTCCTCGTCACCCCTTGGCACCCCGTCGTGCTCGGGCGACCCGGAACCGCGGCCTGGCAGTTCCCCGCGGTTGTGGCGGGAGGTCAGCCCGTGTGGTACCGCGGCGCCGTGTACTCGGTGCTGCTGGAGCGGGACGAGGACGTTGACGCGCACGCCATTGCTGTGGGAACGGGAGAAGTCTGGGGCGTCACGCTCGGCCACGGCATGACGACCGGTGCGGATGTGAGGGCGCATGGCTTCCTAGGGAACCGCCAGGCTGTCAGCGCGGCTCTGGATAAGCTGGGAGAAGGTCGGAGGGGCGCCGGCGTCGTCTTTGGCGGCGGGGTCGTCAAGGACGCAGAAGGGCTGGTGTGCGGGTTTGCGCCGTTTAGGGGCGTCCCGGGTGCGTCGAGGAGGGTGAAGATGGTGGGAGCTAGCGCTTGGCGGAGGGTTGTCGTTTGAGGAGCGGGGGCTATCGGCCCCGCTTCGGTGCCGGAGGGCCGTACAAGTCATCCGGGGTACGTCACTAATTTTACCTCCGTAGGAGAATAGTTTCTTCAATCTAGCATGACTTTGAAATCTTCTTTTCTCAGAAATGAATCCTCCATGACACGCGTAATGTCGTACTTGGACCAAGTTTTGCAACCCCCAAGTCAACTCCAACTCTTGTGATCTCACTCTTCGCTTCCCTGCTGTTGAGCCATCGCATCGCGAATATCCAGATCACGGCAAGCCAAGAAGCACGCCCCCCTTCTTAGCCAGCATGACGACACCCAAGCAGCCGGGTCCAAGTTCTTATGAGGTTGGTTTATGCTCATTAGCTCGTTGTCCGGCCCGGATACGTCAACGCACCCTCTCCCGGGATCCTCTGGCCCCACCTCGGTGTCCGAAGCTGTCGGTTCCCAACCTTGCAGCAAGCACCCGGGCCTGAACGACGTCGGAGATAGGCCATCTTCGCATCATCCACTCTTTTGTTTCTTTTTTTTTCTTTCCCCCTCTCTCTCTCAGACCCCTTTTAAAAATGCTTGTCTTCGTTAAGGCCCTGCGCCGAGTGGAGTTTGTCTCCAACCGTTTCCCGAATCCCTTCAACCTCCATCCTCCCGCCCCGAGTTCCCTTGGCTCACCCCTCCCCACCCCCTTCCCTCCTCCCCGTCGATCTGCCCACTTCGGTTTATTGAGATTCGGCTTTTACATCTGCTTCTTCGGCGCTCGATTTCGGAGTTCCACTTGGGTGTCGTCTCCGATGAGGGATCGTCAAGGCCGAAGGAGGAATCGCGATCTCGAAGCACCGGCTACGGGGTTAGGCGTTGATGTGGACCGTCCCTTCGCAAGGCTTAGCCCTGGTCTGCCAAGTGCGTGTGCGCGTTTTTGACGTAGATGATGGATGAACTGGATCTTGGAGGATATGAGCACCCGTGTTCAAGCCTGTTTTATAGAAATAATGGAGCAACGTAGATATCCAAGTTGGCTTGTACCATGGATGTGGGCTTGCTAGGAACCGAGATAGGTAGAGTTGACAATAATCATTACTAGGAGTAGGCACACTGAGCCCGGGTGGCTTCTTTTTATCAAGTTGCACACACACTCTACTCCCTCGTGGTAGGCATATGGGACATGCAGCAAATTGAAGACTAATAGGGTGTGAATATCAGCCGAGACCTTTTCACAAGCTGCAAAAAGCAAGTTGTGCGCCTGCCTCGTGGGCCGAGGTCTTGGGGAAACGTCAAGGAACGATTGTTCGAAAAAGAAAATATTCAACATCCGGACACGAGCACGTCATCACCGATCTATGTGAAAAAAAAAAGAACAAAGAAGAAAATTCAACACGGCATCGGTGTTCCACGAGCATGAACGAGGTCGCGCGCATCACTGCGAGCGAGCCTTCGGCAGCGTAATCGGGTTCACTGCTAATGACTAAGCGTACACGGCGAGAGGAGAGGTCATTTATGGATCCATCCACTATCAATTGTTCTCGAGGTCACTCTGAATGCAAGGGATGTGCCCCAATATCGTGAAAACAAGAAAAAGAAAACTCCTTGGAGGCACGCCCGCTGAAAGGAGGCAGTAGATTGTTCAACCCGAGATGACATCAATGCATTCTTGCGGTTGTCAAGGCTGTCACAGATTACGCTGCGTCTGGGCGGCTGCCTTGACGAATGTCTTGTTTTGGAACTCTTCGAATTGTTTTCCGAGCCCGAGATGATGAAATTGGTCTTGCGAAAAAGACTCAGTGCATTGATGGCACTGCAGCTCTTCCGGGGTGTCGGGGGACGGAGCACCCATGGACCCGGGTTTAAGGTTACTAAAGATGGATAAGATTGGCGTCGGGTTCTTAGCGGACCCCGAGTAGGCACCTGCGAAGCCGACGCTCCACAGGGCCGCTCACTCCCGTGGCAAGGTTTTTTCTTTTTCTTTTTCTTTCTGTTCGATGGCAACAGTTGAGACGAAATCCTTCGGGTGGGTGGGAAAAGGGGGCCCCCATATTCTCCCGGGGCTTTTCCACATTGGCGTCGGAAGAAACCCATCAGTTCTGCAAGGACGACGGTGGAGAATACCGGTTTGGTGCCACACGCTCTAAGCCCCCAAAGGTCAAGCGAAGGGGGAATAATGATCAAATTGATCACTGCAGGCGTTGGAAATCGGCTTGCTGTGGTGGGGGAGGGGGTGGGGTTTCTGGAAGCTGGGTTCAGAGACAGTTCCTCTCGTACAAGGTACTTTGAACATTCGCGAGGGGAGGATTGCGAAGACACAGTCTGGCCAGGATCGAGCCTCCCCCTCTACAGGACTGTACCCACCCACTGTTCAGTGGATCAATGAGATGCCTTGCTTTCGTTTTCGGGTTCGGAGTGGTGATGAGCCCGGCAAAGGCCTCTCCTCTCCGCCGAGTCTTCTTCCCGCCAGCGCTCAGCGGGTGTTGCCAAGGAGAGAGGATGAGAGGACCTTACCACGCTCACCAACCAACCGGAGCTACACCTGTTTTTCAGGCAACCAAATTAATACTTCCGTCCTTGTTTCGTCTCTGTCTTTGGAGCGCGAGTTTCCCGAGCGCGCGAGGAGCCCTCCCGACGGCGCGGGACCGTTTCCAACTATTATGGCCAGCCAACCTGTATCATCACCTACCCTGAAAGGCAGGAGACAAATCGGGGCAGTTACAGGTGCGCGGGCTCTTCCACGACCCCAAACGCCTCGATCGAAGATCTAGAAAAACCCCCAAGTGGCGGTTTTGGTGGGGTATTATCAAGTGCATATATTCCTATATTCCTTCTACGATTAGTATTAGTAGTCATCGCCCCCTCCTCTCCATTCTAGAGCAACCACTGGTCAGATCCAATGCTCGTCAATCTCCGCTTGCTCTTGACAACGACTCTTTCACTCCTCCAGTTGCGTGGCGCTGGGATCGTGAGCTGAGTCGGGTCCGGCGGTGGGCAATTGGATCGAGGCCGGTGTCGTGTGTCTTGTGGGTGTGATTGGGTGGATGGGGGCTCTCGGGTCCATGCGACGGGAACTCGGGAAAATCAAGACCCCGAGGGCCTGCAAGAATGTTCCCGGCCGGGAGCAATTTCTTTCACCTCGCTCCAAAGATTAGTTTCCGTTTTGGGAGGAAGGGTCTAAGTACCTCGGTACCGGTACCTGGTCTCCTCCACAGCGAACCGCTGCACTGGCTCGAGCACTTGGGAACAGTGTCACACAAACAAGGGCGGAAGATGACGAACTTGCATGTCACCCTGGCCTAACACAACAGGTACCGGTACCAGAAGAGAATTCCAACAGGGTGTTTGGGTTTGGGGTGTATTATTGTTCCTTCACTGCTTGGAGGATGGAGATTGATGTGAAGAAGAGGTTTGACCAATGCTCTGCATCATCCCATGTCTGCATTTTCGAGAATTGGCGGCAGAGTCTCGGGGAAGACGTAGATAAGAGACCTTCAAAGGACTCAGAGGTGTCAGCGGTATGCAGGGAGATAATAGCTCACTCTGCAGGAATAGTACTGGGCAGAAGACCAAGACTGCAAGAGTGGCCGCCGTTGTGACATGTCGGCATTGAGCAGATTGAGTAATATCACCATCGCGACCATCAGCACGACTCTTTGGGAATGCACCCTCGCAGCGGACTCCGATTGCCAATGCCTGTAATTTGACCCCTTGTGGGAAAGCCTTTGTTTGGAACCGCCCAAGATATAGAACACAAGGGACGAACAATGCTGGCGGGAGTCCGCCATTGCCCCACGGCGGCGTTCAAAGGGGAGGAGGCCTGGCGGGGCACTACGGAGGATGTATACCCCTCCAAGGACGCGCTATCTGGAACTTTTTTTCACAAAGGGGAAGAGATCAGTTATGATGCTCCTTCAACCTAGAATGGCTCATCCCAAACTGCGGCGTCGGGGTTTTGCAACAACCCTCAGGCGCTGTTCCGCAAGGCTAGCTTGCGGATTGAGGGCGATGTGCGGACTAGCTCCATTGACCAATGTGGTGGAGTAGATTCGTAGAGGCGCAGTCAGAAATGAAGAGGACAAGCGATTGAGAATGGCAGCTTGTGGATTTGATATTATGGGGGTTCCCGAATTAGGGTGTGGAGTTTGGCGGAGTATTGGCAACCTGTCCCGGCTTCTCCCCATTGAGCGTCGTGCGCAGACTTTTGGGGCATCCCAAAGGTATATAGCACGTCGTTAATATTGCCTGTCAACCGGGAAGTGACATGTCCACGCCGAATCTCTCTTGTTCCAGCAACCTGGGATAGTAAGAAGTACGAAGGATGAGGGTTTGCGGGTTTAATAACTTTGAAGCCTTCACGTGGTCAACGCGGCGAGGAAGGCTCGCTCGCTGGTCCGCATCTGGCTTGTCTCAATCGACGAGTCTCTCTTTTTCCATATAGCCTTGGTTTCAAGGGTCCATTCTTTCTAGCCCCAACTCGTCGAGTGTCTGGCCCAACAACGTGCCGTTGTGTTGCCCCGAGTTGGGTGAATGCGCTGCACTAGGCGATAGGCCTTCTCGGTGGGGCAGACGCCAATGATGGAAATGGAAGCGATGCGCTTGGCTAGTTCAAAGCTACACGACACTGATACCTCGTCTTTTGGCTCGGAAACGTCAAGGGGTAAAGTCCAAGGTACCTCGAGCCTGGATCCGACCCCCTCCTAAAGAAGGCCTAAAAACAAAAGGAGAGCGAAGAAAATAAAGAAAAAAAGAAAGAAAAAACCTGGATTGGGGCGGCACGACAGCGTGTGCGAGAAGAGAGACGGAAACATAACAATGGCACGGACGGGGTTTCTCAAAACCCGACACGTCCTGTCCTGAAGAACGAGGCGTCCTTCAACTTCAGGACTGGCACTCCTCTTGCGGTGCCTTTTGGTCTTGGTGGGTTCAAGGTGTCTCTCGAGCGTCGTGAACAGAGCGAATGGACGACGCAGCTTGTGGTGCACACGCGATGCAGTCATCAAGTTCTGCTAACGGTATCAATGGGATACAAAAGCCGCGTGCGGGACTCCGCCCTACCGAGCCGACATGTTGCCCAGTTCGGGGTTTCGACATTCACGTTGGTTTCGGTCGCGATGGCATCAGCCCAAGCAAAGTATGTTTCTGACGTGAAATGCCATTACACGCCCCCACCCATAGCTGTCTTCCGGGCCACCTGCCACCCATCCACAACGCCTCCCGGGTCGGGTACATTCGTAAATTCTGGGTTTTTGAGCCACCCACGTTTGAACAATCGAGATAGTCTGTCATGACTCGCAGAAGCCAAGCTGACTTCCACCCCTCCTGCCATAGACAGAAGTAGTGAGCGTCCGGGAAAGGACGCTGGGGGCGGACTGTGATAGGAATTAACGAGCTCAATTGATTATAGTTGCGGGAAACGAGTACGAAGACATCGAGACCCTCAACACTGTTTGTATGTCAACCATCTCCCCTCCTCCCCTGGTGCGTCATTCCTGGTGCTATCGCAGTGCTGCCGTTGGAACACCATGTGGCAAGGCCGATGTGGGCAAGAAGTGCAATCGGAGAAAGACAAAATGATATCGAAAGTACCAGGTACAAAGCCCTGCCCATGGATCTCGCGAAAGGAAAAGTGGAGAGCCCGAGGGGTGTGTGGGGTGTAAATAGGGGCGGCGTTAAGAATGGAGGAAGACATGCCCCAGCTAACACCGCAAACGAACTGGCGGAAGGGCCTGAAGAAAAAGAAAGAAAAAGAAAAAGAAAAAAGAAGGAGCGGAGGGGAGGGCGTGTGAAAAGTGTGTAGTGGATATCCCGGGGCGCGGAACGTTAGCTAGGCCCGTCGCGACTTCCCCCTGGGCTTTGTGTCTTTTTCAGTCCCTTTTCGTTTGCCCATCGTTGTGACCCTTATTATAAGGCTCTCCCTCTGTCCTCCTCCCACTCGGTTCTTGCTCCGGAGGGTTTGGAGATCTAAGAACCTTCTTCCCCAAGCTTCGTTGGGCTAGTGTTTGACCGATTCTCTCAGATCTGGTCTCCCCTTTATCCCCTTACTTATTACTCTACTAATTGATTCCTACTCTCCTTCATCCTCTGGACTCCTTTTCTTTCTTCTTCTTCCCTAGATCTCCATCTCCTCGGTATAATCAAACAGCAGTTCATACATCACCTATAGAAGCCGAAGTTGTGACGCGCCTAAACAAACGAATCCCCCATACGACGCTCCCGCATAGACGTCTAGCGTCGCTTGCGCACCACTTCGACGAAGATGGCCAGCGTCGACGAAAGGCGGCCGTTCGCTCGGCCGCCAGCGTCGAGTCTGGCAACGCGGGCAACCGAACCCGCGCCATCTCTGACACGGAAACCGAAATCATGCCCGGTGGCGTGTCTCGCGACCAGTCCCCCACTCCCGTCGACAAGGGCGCGGACTACGATGGCGGCGAGGTCGAGAGGAGGAACTCCCTGGTCCAGTCCCTGGCTAGGCAGTATACCCGCCAGTCTCACTACGACGTCTCGGGCAACCCCTTCACTGCCGATGAAAAGTCGGCCCTCAACCCGGCCTCGGAACACTTCAAAGCCAGTGCCTGGGCCAAGTCCGTTGTCAACATGGTGACCACGGCCGGCCACGAGTTCCGCTCCGCCGGTGTCGCCTTCCAGAACCTCAACGTGTACGGATACGGCGAGGCTACTGATTACCAAAGGACGTGGCCAACGTCTGGCTCACGCTCGGCAACTACGCCCGCTTCTTCAGCGGCGGTAGCCGTCGGCGTATCGACATTCTCCGCTCCTTCGACGGTGTCGTGAGGAAGGGAGAGATGCTCGTCGTCCTCGGCCCCCCGGTTCCGGTTGCTCGACTCTGCTCAAGACCATTTCTGGCGAGACCAATGGTCTCTTCCTGGATGACGGCTCGTACTTCAACTACCAGGGTATGAGCGCAAAGGAGATGCACTCCCACCACCGCGGTGAGGCCATTTACACTGCTGAAATCGATGCTGTAAGCTTTCAAACCCCTACGCCGTCTTCCTTGGAAGATGCTTGAGAAGATTTCTTGACAATCATTCTAACAATCCTTTTCTAGCATTTCCCCCAACTGTCCGTCGGCGACACTCTCACCTTCGCCGCCCACGCGCGCCAGCCCCGCCAGCTTCCCGAGGGCGTCACCAAGACCATGTTCGCCAACCATCTTCGCGATGTTGTCATGGCCATGTTCGGTATCTCCCACACCATCAACACCAGGGTCGGTAACGAGTACATCCGAGGTGTCTCTGGTGGTGAGAGGAAGCGTGTCACCATCGCCGAGGCTGCCCTCTCCGGTGCCCCCTGCAGTGCTGGGATAACAGTACTCGAGGTCTCGACAGCGCCAACGCCATTGAGTTCTGCAAGACCCTTCGCCTGCAAACCGAGCTTTTCAACAACACTGCCTGCGTCTCCATCTACCAGGCTCCTCAGTCTGCCTATGACCTCTTTGACAAGGCCACCGTCCTCTACGAGGGTCGCCAGATCTTCTTCGGCAAGGCCACCGAGGCCAGGCAGTACTTTGTCAACCTCGGCTTCGAGTGCCCTGCCCGCGCCACCACTCCCGATTTCCTCACCAGCATGACCTCGCCTCAGGAGCGTATTGTCCGCCCCGGCTTCGAGGGCAAGGCCCCCGCACCCCCGACGAGTTTGCGGCTGCGTGGAAGGCCAGCGCCGAGTACAAGGCCCTCCAGGCCGATATCGAGTCCTTCAAGACCGAGCACGAGATTGACGGTGCCGATGCCCAGGCTTTCCGTGCCAACAAGAAGGCTCAGCAGGCCAAGGGCCAGCGCTCCAAGTCTCCCTTCACCCTGTCGTACATCCAGCAGGTGAACCTCTGCTTGTGGCGTGGCTACAGGCGCCTGATCGGCGATCCCAGCTTGACTGTTGGCGCCTTGATCGGTAACTTCATCATGTCTCTCATTATCGGCTCTGTCTTCTATAACCTGGATATGACGACCGCCAGCTTCTTCAAGCGTGGCGCCCTCATCTTCTTCGCCTGTCTCATGAACGCTTTCGCTAGCGCCCTGGAAATTCTCACCCTGTATGCCCAACGTCCCATTGTCGAAAAACACTCCCGTTACGCCTTGTACCATCCATCGGCGGAAGCTGTCGCTTCCATGTTGGTGGATATGCCCTACAAGGTTGCCAACTGTATCGCTTTCAACGTCGTCCTCTACTTCATGACCAATCTGCGCCGCGAGCCGGGGCGTTCTTCTTCTTCCTGCTTATGTCGTTCTGCACTGTCCTCACCATGTCTATGATCTTCCGAACCATCGCCTCGGCCTCGCGAACACTCTCCCAAGCCATGGTGCCCGCCGCGATTCTCATCCTTGGTCTCATCATCTTCACCGGCTTCGTCATCCCCATCGACTACATGCTTGGCTGGTGCCGCTGGATCAACTACATCGACCCGCTCGCCTACGCTTTCGAGTCACTCATGGTCAATGAGTTCCACAACCGCGAATTCACCTGCAACGAGTACGTGCCTCCCATGATTGGCGGCTATGCCGATGTCGGTTCCGCCAACCGTGTCTGCACTGCCATTGGCTCCATCGCCGGATCCCCTTTGTCTCTGGCGACGATTACCTCGACTCCGGTTTCCAGTACCGCTGGGTCCACAGGTGGCGAAACTTGGGCATCCTCATCGGTTTCACCGCTTTCTTCTTGATGACGTATATGATCTCTGCCGAGCTTGTCTCCGAGAAGAAGTCCAAGGGTGAAGTTCTCGTGTTCCGCCGTGGTTACAAGCCCGCCACCTTCTCCGACAAGAAGTCGGACGATGTAGAGGCCAACATGGCCGCTGTCGGTCCCACCACCACCCGCGACGCCGATCCCACTCTCGCTGGCCACTTGCAGCAGCAGACTTCGGTCTTCCACTGGGAAGATGTGTGCTACGACGTCAAGATCAAGAAGGAAACGCGCCGCATCCTGGACAACGTTGATGGATGGGTCAAGCCTGGTACTTTGACTGCGCTCATGGGTGTCTCCGGCGCCGGTAAGACCACTTTGCTCGACTGCTTGGCCGATCGTGTTTCCATGGGTGTCATCACTGGGTCCATGCTCGTCGACGGTCATCCCCGTGACAACTCGTTCCAGCGCAAGACCGGTTACGTCCAGCAGCAGGATCTCCATCTCCAGACCACCACTGTTCGTGAGGCGCTCAACTTCAGCGCTCTCCTTCGCCAACCTGCTCATGTCTCCCGTGAGGAGAAGCTCGCCTATGTCGACCAGGTTATTAAGCTGCTTGATATGGAGGAATATGCTGATGCTGTTGTCGGTGTGCCCGGTGAAGGTCTCAACGTTGAGCAGCGCAAGCGTCTTACTATCGGTGTCGAACTCGCTGCCAAGCCCCCTTGTTGCTCTTTGTTGATGAGCCCACCTCTGGTCTTGATTCTCAGACTTCTTGGGCTATTCTTGACCTTTTGGAGAAGCTCACCAAGAGTGGCCAGGCCGTTCTCTGCACCATCCACCAACCTTCTGCCATGCTCTTCCAGCGCTTCGACAGGCTCCTCTTCCTCCAAAAGGGTGGCAAGACGGTGTACTTTGGTGAGATCGGCGAGTATGCCAAGACCATGATTCAATACTTTGAGCGACACAGCGGTCTCAAGTGCCCCGACTCGGCCAACCCTGCCGAGTGGATGCTCGAGGTCATCGGCGCGGCCCCGGCTCGGAGACGGATATCGACTGGTTCCAGGCCTGGCGCGAGAGCCCCGAGTACAAGGATGTCAAGGGTGAGCTCAACAGGCTTGTCGAGGAGCGAGGACCTATCCCTACCAAGGAGGAGGATGCCGGCAGCTATCGCGAGTTTGCTGCTTCCTTCCCCAACCAGTTCCGCGAGGTCTCTCAACGTGTCTTCCAGCAGTATTGGCGCACTCCCAGCTACATCTACTCCAAGATTTCGCTCTGCGTGCTCGTGGTATGTATTCACCCTCCCTATCTATACCTTTATATTCTTCACCTATGGGAGGAGCGCATTTGCTAACTGAAGTCACACTTGTAGGCTCTCTTCATCGGTCTTGTCTTCCTGAACGCCCGAAACACGATCCAGGGTCTCCAAAACCAGATGTTTGCCATTTTCAATATCCTTACCGTCTTTGGTCAGCTCGTGCAGCAAACCATGCCTCATTTCGTCATCCAGCGAGACCTCTACGAAGTGCGTGAACGTCCTTCCAAGGTGTATAGCTGGAAGGTCTTCATGTTGTCGCAAGTCCTCGTCGAACTCCCGTACTGCGTCCTTCTCGCGGCCCTCATGTTTGTCTGCTGGTACTACCCCGTTGGACTCCAGCGCAATGCCGTGCAAGCGGACCAGGTGACGGAGCGAGGTGCTCTCATGTTCCTGTATCTCTTGCTGTTCCTGCTCTTCACGTCGACGTTTACGGATTTCATCATTGCCGGATTCGAAACCGCAGAGGCGGGTGGAAACATTGCCAACCTGCTCTTCTCTCTCTGCCTCATCTTCTGCGGTGTCCTCGCCAACCCCGATAGCATGCCTCGGTTCTGGATCTTCATGTACTACCTCTCGCCCTTCACCTACCTTGTGTCGGGCATGCTGTCGACGGCGGTCGCCAACACCGACGTTGTGTGCGCCGACAACGAGATTCTGCACTTTGCCCCCTTCAACAACATGTCGTGTATCGAGTATCTCGGTCCCTTCATGAAGGAAGCGGGCGGCTACCTCATTGACGAGAACAGCACGACCGAGTGCCAGTTCTGCGCCATTTCGGACACCAACGTTTTCCTCAAGGCCACCAAGGTGGACTATGCCGACCGATGGAGGAACTTTGGCATCGTGTGGGCGTACATTATCTTCAACGTGGTGGGTGCGTTGGTCATGTACTGGCTCGTGCGTGTGCCGAAGAAGGGCGGCTTGTTCGGCAAGAAGAAGCAGGAGTAATGATTTTCTTTTGGAGATGACGAGAGGGAGAAGTGTAGAGAGTGAGGAGGATGGATGCCTCTTTGTCTCTCTCTCTCTGCTCCCATTTTCTCCCTTCCGTGCTGTATATGTATATTCTCACGGTCACGACCCTCTCCTTTCTCTCTCTTTTTCTCCTCTCCTGTCTTGCTTGGGCTTTGCATCCGCAGCCGAGATCCCCAAAAGATCTCGAGGTCACCTCACTCACGTCCATCCCCTACTTTTATTCCCGCAGCATCTCGCTGCTTCTATTCCCCATCTTTTGACGGCCATCGCCTGTTCACTGGCAGTTTTCATTGAGTTTCTTCAAATCCCTCGCGGGCTTCGCGCTCTCCGCCTTTCCTCTGTTTCTTTCTTTTTTTTTTATCTGTCCTCGTCTTCGAGACTACACCAAAACAACGTTTACCTTTCTTGCTGGCTATAGAGAATCCCTCGGTCGATTTCCTCTTGTTAAAACTTTTTTGTCTTTTGCTATTGGCAGAATTACCAATACGTCTTTTTTTACACGGCCGTTTATGTTGTAGAAAAAGAGGTGACTGTGTTGCGGATGAGAATGAATGGGTGTCGAGAGAGACACCCGTATGGAAGAATGGTGAGGAGCATATTCTGGGTTATACACTTTTTGTATTGGGTTGCGTGCTGCTTTTTTCTGTAAATACTGGTTTTAAAGAAGGTATAGACATCTACCATAATATGACGGTATAAAGTTCAAATCGCTATTCCCTTGTATGAAACCGACGCGTGCGAAACTGAGGAGGCTGATGATTCCCCATGTCTTGAAGTGCTGTCGCTGGCCACAGCACGATGTCAAATACTGCTTTTAGAGCAGGGATATAATAGTAGCTGATGAAACGAAAATCCTGGGGGTCCCGAACTGTGAAGCTCGAGCATCTACTGGCTACATCTTCCGTTTTAACATTCGCAGACCTTGCTCCTTTCTTGAGCCTACGCATGTGGTGTGGTGGTGGTAGGGAAGGTGCTTTACGGAGGTCTTCATTTTGGCCTAGCACTGAGGCGTCTACGAAGTGTTTATAGTGTTCTGCTGCGAAGTTGTGACAGAGAATGGCTGGATCATGGGTGCCTCAAAGTCTTTTCAACATACTGAAGACGGGGGAAAAGGTGTCGAAACTCGTCCATGGCGCTGTTTGTTTGAGCCCCTCGAATCCTGGCGTGGACTTCTCCAAACGCTCACCCCAGATGTCGTTGGCTTGGGCCATAACTTTCGATGCCATGAGGAATCGAAACCCGGGCCTTGGTTTACTTTTTCTCTGGTGGCCTGCGGCATCAATCCTGGTCCGACTTTGGAACATGGATTCCTGTGACCCTTTGTCTGCAGAATTGTTCTTTTTTTTTTTTTTTTTTCAATTTCGATTTCCATGTGCACCGTATATCTTTTTTTCTTTTCCCCTTGAAGCGCAAGTGTTGCCAAAGCGTTGGCGTCGTCGCACGACCCCGGATGGAATCTCACAAGATGGTCCGATGATCCCCGCCCTTCCGTTTCACAACACGGGAACGAACCCACCACCGCAACACCTTTCTCTCCTTCCTTTCTCTCCCTTTTCCCGAGGCCCTGGAAGAAGGGTAGGGGTAAGCGAACGCAACGCAAAGCACATTTTGTCTTATAGGGGTGGGGGAGTAGGTAAGTTGCTATGGAAGCTTGGTGGAAGAGGTTGTCGGGGAGGCGCGAAGATCATCGGCTGATTATGGTGTGAGGGATCGCGGGTCGGGGGCCGATCTGGGATCTGGGATCTAGGATCTTGCTCTCGAACGGGTGCATGCGTGTGCGGTTTGCGTGGATAAGGGATGTCCTGTTTCTTTTTCTTTATGCTTGTCCAGACTTATATGAACTTTAGCTAAGCCGCAAGTTGTATCTGGTCGAGTCCTCGCTTCTTTTCTTTTCCCCTTAAGTTGAATCGACAATCAGATTTTTGTTGTAAAAGGAGACAAAGAAAGTCAAAGTTAGGAAGAAAAAAAGACCAGCTTCGACAGTAACAAAAGTCGTTGTCAAGACAAAGTATCGCCTCCCAAGATGAACAACGGAGGCAACGGCAACGGCCTCCGGAGGCAAAACTCAACCAACCCTCGCCCCGGCCAACCTCCCTTCCCTCCACCCCGGAGCTCCCCCGCGCCAACGTCGGCACCAGCAGCGGCAACGCGCGTGCTGACAACACCTACGACGCCCGCGAACGGTCCCGGTCCAACGGCTCCTCCGACTCCCGATACAGCGACGCGCCGCAGGAGCCGCAACAGCCGCGGCAGCAAGCCCGCCCCCGTGCGCAGCAGCAGCAGAGGCAACAGAGGCAAGATCCGCCCAGACAGGAGACGAGACGAGAGGAGCCTAGGCAACAGCAGCAGCAGCAGCAGGAGCGGAGGCCGCGCCAGGAGAGGACCCAGTTCGACAACACGTACAACTACAACTACCAGGAGCGGCCGTACGCGCAGGGCGAGTACTACACGAGCCCACCTACCACGTTTACTTTTGCGAGGTCGCGCGAGTCCTTTTTCAAGCGGGACGGGCCGGGTATCTTTGGGGAAGGGTTCTTTAGCCGCCCGACGACGGGCTTCTTCGATCGTGGTGACGCGCGGGTGGGCGGCGTTGATGTGGGCGGCATTGGTGTCGGTGGGTTGAACGTTGGCGGACCGAGCGTGGGAGGGATTGGCCTCGGCGGGATCGGGCTTGGCGGGATCGGACTAGGTGGGATCGGGTTGGGTGGGATTGGTTTGGGAGGGCTTAATATTGGCGGCCTGGGGACCGGAGGCGTCACGGGGATGGCGACGGGCCAGGCATATGCCGCCGGCGATGACGGGATTAGAGTCGCAGGGATCTCGATCGGGGGCTTTAACCGAGGCCAACCCCAAGAGGCAAACGGGGAGCCAAATCCGCGGGGGCGGCAGAGGGAATCTGGAAGGGTCGTCGAGGAGGAAGATGACGACAATAGCGACTTCTTCGATAACTATAGAGCATCGAAGAGGCAATGAGCTCTTTGCGAGACGGGGGCCGGGACCTCTGAGAGCTGGTCTTCTCTATACGTCGTCTCTCATCCTTTTGGCGGACAACGCCTTGTATCTATTATGCCCTACGAACGAGTATCTAGCATCGGCAAGCGAGTTGGCTTTTCTTCTTTGCCCTCCCTGGCGCGTAGATCCCTATTCTGACGTATGGAAGAGACACATACCGTCGAGTTCCTTCTCACCCACCCCGAACTGGACCCGGGGTCCCGTCTATCATGTAGGTTTCGTCCAACTCGGCCAAGACTCTAGAAGTTTGCCGGCAGGGCCATAAAAACCACGCCAATAGGTTAACCGTATGTCTTAGGGTGTCCACAGTAGCGACATCATGTCCTATGAAGTTCATCCTCTTCACCTTATAAAAGAGTGTAACCACACGGACTAATGCTAAGCTCCCCTTATGCACTGCATTTCTCGGAGTGCAGAGCTGAGCGCGGAGGTTTTCCCCACGAAAAGCTAACAAGACAACGTTCACTAGACATAGAAATTAAGAGACTAAAACAACCTAATCAACACATCCATTATAATCACGGTGTCGCGACAATCCTACACGGCGAGTCTAGCACAATATGAGAGCTTCCCAAGACTTTCAGATGCCCGCATAACTGGGGAGTCGATACCATAATGGCCTTTGCAGACTTGAGAAATGCAAAGAGAGACAGGAAACGACCACATGGCCCGATTTGGTAGCCACCATCAGCCACGAATGTCGGTCGTTGGAGTGGAGAGCTGTTCAATGGGGAGGCGTGCGTCTTGGCACTATTGACAGCGAAGCAGTGTCCACAGGGTTTGTGGGGACCAGACAAGATTCTGTTACGTTGCAAATTGGGTGGACCGATGATATCGTCGTCAACCTCAGTTGTGGCTATTTTCTTGGGAGCTGGCTAGTAGCCAAGGGTCACAAGAAAAACACGGCGACGACAGGATTTCACGGGATTTCCGAGGCTGTATTCGTTTCCCGAGTGAGCTCTGATGTCTTAGATATTATGCAGTCTAGCGATGCCATGTTCACGCAACATGTCGTGATGTTACGGACCAATAGGTGGTGGGTGTTGTGGTGGTGACCAGATTTCGTTTGGCAAGGCCCGCATGTAAAAATGCCGCTCCTTTCCAACGGGCTTTGCCTTGCCCAACCAAGCCAACCTCTCTTCCCGCCACGCGCCTTCCGCTTTTTATCATTCATGGGCGTCGCTTCCGATTATAGGGTGCGCTATAGCATTTGGCGGGTCTTCATCTTGGCCCGGTGAAGAGGGGAATATCGCTGCCGCGCATGCCGCCGGTTGCCTCCTTCTTGGCATTCGTTCTTGCCGTTCACCCTGATACTGTGGCCCTTTTGGAAAGGATTCGAGTTGCACCTGCACCTCACGTATCCACCACTTCAAATAGTGTCAGGCACCACCTTGCTCAGGGAAAGGACCAGTACTTACGCAATTCTGGTGCTTCACGACTGCTATGTGATGCCATCCCCACTTCTTCATGTGGTTGATCGAGACATTGCTTTTCCACCTTGCATCATCGTGCACACAGAATCTGGCCGGTTTGATCCCAGACTTGACTTTGGTCATTGGCGTAAACCTCGCCAATGATATTGCACTGTTAGTATCTCAATCACTTCCACTTGGATTGGCTAGCCCTCTGCTCTTGACCGTCAGTGTCTTTGCCTTCGTCGGGTCTGCTCAAGTATAATCAGGATTAAGCTCATCATTCCTATGCCGGCTGGCATACCAGATATCTAATCTTGGGGGTCATCTGTGATTATGGCCAGCCTCGGCCTTGGCTGTAACCATAACTCGCGTCGTGAGCTGCCCCAAGTCAACTTTCTTCTGTAGGTTTCGGGCATCAGGATTCCATCTCATGGTCTCTAGCTCACACCGGACCCGTTGTCCTCGGTTCCCCATTGATGTCTTTCTGGGTATCCGGGAACCAATCTTGGGCAGGGATTGGTGCCGCCGATGGATGTGCACGAGGTAGCAGGCCTCCTTGAACCATGGGCGGTTGCAAAATCCCGCCACACGATTTCTCACTTCCATTGCTGTCGACGCGCTTCTTCGTCTTTGAGGTGCCATCCCAATGACACAAGGCAAGGCCCGCCCCTAAGGCTATTTTTGATGACTGGTCACATCATCTCGAATCGATTGCGTGTCCCGCATGCCAAGAGCGACTGTTTTGGCAATAAGAAATAATAGAACCATAGGTTGTGCGCAATGAAACATGAGGCACTTATACGCTTTTACCCCCTCCTTTCCCCACATGTCCTGTGGCCACCCTGCCACGGCCTTGGCCCCGCGATCCCGACTACATCATCAATCCCAAGCCTTACTCGTCAGGCTGGCTACTGTAGGGGCGCTACGCTCGAGAATTTATAGGGTAGGGAGAACACCTCTACGGATGCGAAGCAAGGACCCGTCTCCTACTTCTTGAGGCTCAACGCCCCGAGCCGGTTGCACAACCAATGGTATCGATGGTAATCTTTTACGCGAAGCACCTCCTTGTCCACACCTAAAAGAGATCGCCTAACGGACATCTCCCTGTGGAGCGTTGGAAAAGACATGCGTCTTATTGAGCGCATCGTGACTTGTATCTCGGGCGGGGCAGGATGTGTTACGTCTTCGCTACCTTGCATCGTGCATACGCACGCAGCGGTTGCCCACCTCTTGGATGCTGTGGGCCGTAGACTTGAACGGATGCTTTGTAAATGCAAACGAGTGCCAGTTCCCAGGAGGCCTCCTCGGTTCGCGTGATGTGTGACTACAAGATTCTTCTCGATGCTGGGAGCTCATGGTCCCCCGTTCATGATCTATATAAAGACCCCGCCACCTTACCAGCGTCGAGGAAGTGAATACAAACTCGTCTTTCTAGAGCCGCTAATCTACCCCAAATATACCTCGAAGATCTTTAATCCCTTCCCTTCCACCTAGTCGCCATGTCTTTCCACCAGTCTGCCCAGGACGTCACGCTCGACGGCGCCATCCTTCGGGCCCGCCTTGCCAACGTTGAGGGTGAATGGATTGACGCAGAGTTCGACCTTGACAGCATCCTTGGAAACGACAACGGTAATACCTCAGGCCTTTGGTGCCCGTCTTTCTAAGATGTAAAAACGTTGTTGCTGATACGCGGTGGATTCCATAGGCGCCTTCCAGTGGGGTGGCGGCGGTTTCTCCGGCTCCAGCGAAGACATCAGCTTCGAGCTCGAGGGCGACGACCAGGTCCCCATTCTCCGTGCGGCTCTCTTCAACGTCGACGGCGAGGCGATTCCGGCCGATCTCAACCTCGCCGAGAGGATCCATAACAACAACGGAGAATTCTACTTTGGTAAGGCCCAACCACTAGTTCCTATCTTATCTTTCCTTCATGAGTCTCTCCAGTTAGGATAGCCATGAGTTCTCTGTGGGGAAAAAGGATAGAGTGCTGACGGTTGAATAGAGTAAGGTGGTCATTCTCGGTCTTAGCCTGGGGTAGATTTGCCCCAAGTGGTTCTTTGAGCTTTCGTTGTTAGCGCCTGTTCTCCATGTTCTCTGTTTGATAGTAGTCTAGGAATTTGAGGCATCTATCTCTCCATGTTGGGCGTTCTCCCCGAACCCAGTTGACGTGAACTTGGAAGAGCCACAAAGAAGAGAATACCAAGAGTTAAGAGTAACCAAGTGCTTGCTGCGCATGAGTGATGGAAACGTGATTTTCTAAATTATCTGTGTGGATTTGTTTGTACATTGCATGTGGAATACCTTCTATACGCCCAAGTAAATAGTACACGGAGAGCACCATCTAGTCCATACATCCAAGACGTACACTTTCAGCATGGCCGCCCCTAACCCCTCCCGCGAGCGGGCGGCTATCCATCCCCCCTCCACCCCCAAGGAAGAGCCTCCTTACGGCTTGCCCATGAGCCAAGCCCTCTCCTTGGCCTTTCCGTACTTGCCCGTCCCCGTGATGGGGAGATCCCTCTTGCGAAGCTCCGCCTCGATGACCTTCCATCGGCCGACCCAGACCTCCTTGTCGATGGGCGTCACGCGCCGGCTGTACACCTTGACGTTGGGGAGGTTGAGCAGGTCGTTGCCCGCCTTGGAGGCATCGGCCTGGGCGCGCTGGTGCTGCTGCTGGATGACGTCGATGAGCTTGCGGGCCTTGGGGGCTGCGCGACGAGCGAGAGAATGTGCTGGGCCGTGCGGGCGGGACCGAGCTTGGCGTCGGGGATGTACTGGCCCGAGAGCTGATAGAGACGTTTGTGAACCTGGAGATGCGGTATGATTAGCGAGCTGCTTCGTCGATTTGGCATGGTCGGGACTGGCAGGTAGCTAAATCATGGGAATAATGGAAAAGAGACAAAACTTACGGCGAACTTGAGGGCAGGGTTGGCAAGCGCGATCTGCTGCCAAGAACGGTCCCACGACTTGGTAAGTTCGCGGGCCTCTTCGGCCGTCAAGACCTCATCCGGGATGGCCTCTCCGACCTCCTGCTCACCCTCGGCAGCGGCCTCGGCAGACGCCTCCTCCGCGGCAGCCGCTTCAACCTCCTGGACGGGGGTCTCCAGCCCAGCGAGAACGGCGCCGAGGTCACCCGTCAACGTGATGTCGCCGCCCTCGGAGACTTGAAGCTCCACGGCCGCCGCGTTGAGCGTGCTCTGCTTCTCCAAGCCCGCCCACCGGCCCATGAGCATCTCCTCGCCCTTTTACCCTGCACGACGAGAGCCTCGACGACGGCCTGCCGCAGGAGCACCTCGAGAACGCTAGGGTCCGTGACCTTGGCGCCCGCATCGTTCCTCGGCGCCGAGAAGAGCCTGAGTCCGTCCACGGCGCCCCAGTGGCCGTCCTGCTCCCACCAGTTCTCGAGGCCGCCGACCTCTTCGAGGTCCTCGGCCGTCGTGGAGGGGACGTAGAGATCCGCCTGCTTCGGGCTCGGCGCGTAGGAAAAGTCGGGGGCACCGCGATACGGGCGGCGGCGGCGAGGGCTCCGTCGGCGTCGAGGTCGGCGTGATGGTGGCCTGCCGCGGACGAGGAAGAGGAGGACGAGGCTCCCTCGTATTGGGATTGCAGCTCGAGGGCGGCCTGGCGGTCGCGCTCGAGGGCTTCGAGCATCTCCTGTCGCTTCTTCTCATCGGCTGCCGAGTCGAGGCATCGTCGCGCCGAGGTGAAGCGCGCGGGTCGGGTTGTGGAGAGGGACCGGCGGAAGGGAGAGGAGCGCGCGGGTGTGGTTGGAGAGGCGGTGATGGTGGGACAGCGGAGATGCTGTATTCTCGGTAGGCGACGCATCTTTGCTGCTTTTGTGGCTTTTGGTGGTAGAATAGGGGAGGGAGGAAGAGAGGCGTATATGCGTTTGTTTGTGCGTGTGTATACGTCGAGCCGGGTCTACGGCAATGGTATATTTCCAATGCGAGGAACGAAAAAAACGTCTGGGAAAATCAAAAGGGAGTGGATGCGGCCTCTCACACGCTGGCAATAATCGGATGCTCGACCTCGTCTCGAGCTTTTGGGGAAATGGTAATCGAACTTTTTTCCCTTTGAGGTGCGTTTCGCGTGAGCCAATCAATCGTGGGGAATTCAACGTGGCTCGTGAGCGCCACATCTGTGGCTTGCTTCGTTATGACCGCATATCCATCCTTGTCAATTAAGCCAGCTACATTTACGGGACTCCGACCACCCTCGACTGCGATCAAGGCGCTTCGAAGGCAACCATCTCAACAACCCGGCCGACGATTTGGATTTTTCCCTCCTCTGCTCATCCGCCCGCGCCAGAGCACTTCCTCGAACCACCACGATGACTCGTATAAAATATCTACTCCTCCTCTTAGGAGCCCTCTGCACGTTTGTCGCAGCAGAGAGTATGTTTCTCCTTGCCCCCCCAACCTCCCTTCCCCGATCTGTCCCGGCCCTTTTTCCCCAACTCCCTTTTTCGCAAAGGGAGGCCACGAAGAAGGAAAAAAGCAAAAGCGAAGAAAAACAAGAACTAACTCCAGGTCTCTCTCCCCCTTTTTTTTCTTTTTCGAACAGGTCTTCAAACATACTGCAAGTGCACTTGCTTCAAAAACAGCACCATCATCCCCTAAGTCCTCAACACCCCGACAACCAGTTACGCTCTCTCCCGCTCGACGACCGCTCCGCCAACTTCTTCTCCCCTGGTCCCGAGAAACGCGGCTCCAAGCTCTCGAAGCGCAATCCGTCGGCATGCTCCGGCTGCACCAAGGTCTTTTGTCGCGACCAGAACTTGCCCTTTTGCAAAGATGCCAAGGACGAGGACATGCAGACCATGTGCTTCCAGCGCGACTCTGTCAAGGATCGCTTCATCGTCTGGGGATTCATCCTCGGCGTCTTTGGCTTGCTCGGCTGGGCTGGGGCTCGAAAGATTATGGAGATTAGAGGGATCAGGGCCGCGGGGACCGGCACAAGGGGCGGGCGGTTCCTATCGACGGGTGGGCTGAGGAATTGGATGGAAGCCCTGACGTTTTTGGTAGAGGCGGAATCCCGTCTGGTGGCTACTTGCCCGATATTTGATTCAACATTTACCGGCGTTGCATGACTGGTTAGGCTGGGGCGTTTTACGGTTCTTTTGGGGGGCAGCGGAAAGCTCTTCTCGCAACATCTTTTGAGAATATCACCCTTTTTGATGGGATATAAGTATTTGCTGGCGCATGTTGCCCCGAGCATTGACAAGATAATGTCAAGAAAGATTACATATTCTCGTTTTCCTGGCTTGTTCAAGGCCCAGTGGTGACTTTGATAGAAGCGACTTCGATCTCTTTTGAAATGTGGATGCAAGTAGCTTCTTGATGAACATTCCTAACGCCTATAATCTTCTCATTCTACAAAGCAGCTTCAAATCCCAACTTTTCCTTCCCATTATTTGTTCCCGTCATCCCATGGAAGGCTTCGCCATAGCGACTCATCCACGTTTTTATGTAAAAGATAAAACGACTTTTTCGTCATCCGATGCCGGTTTGGCAAGGATCATTCGTTGCTCAACCCTCTTCCCTGCTGTTCATATGGATATTTATGATCAAAAAGAAGACAAAAGGAAATGTAAAAACGCAAACGTGTAAGAAAAACAACGCTGAAATGCTCGAAATCTAGTTGCCGTTGGCGGCATTCACGGTGCGGCGGGTGCGAATGGCCTCGGCGAGCTCCTCAAGGGTAGTGACGGTGCTCTCCCAGTTGATGCAAGCATCAGTGATGGAGACACCCTTTTGAAGGGCGGCAGGGCCTTCAGCGGGGACCTTCTGGTTGCCTTCGTTGATGTTGGACTCGATCATGACACCAATGATGCACGTCTCTCCCTCACGAAGCTGCTCGGCGACGACGGAAGCGACCTTGGGCTGGTTGCGGTGGTCCTTGTTGGAGTTGCCTGATAGAGTCTCAAGTTAGTACGGTAAACGTTTTTAAGGCGAGCAAAAGGAAAAGAGAAAAAAAAGGCTCTTCGAACTTACCATGAGAGCAGTCAACCATAATGGCAGTCTTCTCGTTCTTCTTGATGAGGGCAGCCTTGGCAGCCTGGACGTTTTCCTTGTCAAAGTTGGGACCCTTGGTTCCTCCACGGAGAATGACGAAACCGTGCTCGTTACCCTTGGTGCGGGTAATGGCAGCGAGGCCCTGCTTGGTCACACCCATGAAGTGGTGGCAAGCAGCGGCGGCACCAATGGCGTCAATAGCAACGCCGAGGTTTCCGTCAGTTCCGTTCTTGAAGCCGACGGGGAAGGAGAGACCAGAGGCCAGCTCACGGTGAAGCTGGGACTCGGTGGTGCGGGCACCAATGGCGCCGACGGAAATGAAGTCGGCAAGGAACTGGGGGAGATGGTGTCGAGCATCTCGCTCGCAATGGGCATGCCGGCGGCAGTCAAGTCGCTGAAGAGCTGCCTAGACACGCGGAGGCCCTTGTTAATCTTGAAGGTCTGGTCGATATCAGGGTCGTTGATCAACCCCTTCCAGCCGACGGTGGTGCGGGGCTTCTCGAGGTAGGCGCGCATGACGATGCACAGGTCATCGGAAAGCTTGGAGGCCAGCGCCTTGAGGCGTTCGCAGTACTCGAGGGCAGTAGCAGGGTCGTGAACGGAGCAGGGCCCAACAATGACGAGGAGACGGTCATCCTCGCCCTGGATAATGGCGGCAGCGTCCCGACGACCGTTGACGACGGTCTCAAGGGCAGGCTGGGTCATGGGGATCTCGGAAGCGAGGAGGGCAGGAGGGATCAAGGGATCCTGGCCGAGGACTAAGAGGCCGAATGTTAGCACATATTTCGTTGGGCACACATGCCGGGGAAGCGGGGAGAATCCCGTCCTGGCCCAGGCAGGGCGCGTAGACACGGATACTCCCTACTGCAACTATGCTTCGTGTAGGAAGAAAGAAAAAGACTTACCTCTGGTGTCATCGGCCTGCATGGGGGTGATTTCGAGGCCGGGCATGGCTGCGGTATTGTGTGTGATGGTTGGGTATTTGGTATAAGAGACGCAAAGGAAGACTCGGGCGCTTGCAACGTTGCTCAAAGAGGAGGAGTGTGGACTTTTGGGGAGAAAGGAAGGGCAGATGAGGGATGAAGCAAGGAATGATATAGAATAGACAATGTGGGGAAATGGAGAAGCTTTGGAGGGCGAGACCAGGGTAGAAATAGTAGCTCGTGAATGAGTCAATAGACGGGGAACGCGAACAAAAGTCGGGTTCGGGGAAGTGGTTTAAAATTTTGGGAGAAAAAAAAGTCAAGCAAGGCGATAATAGGGAAAAGTGTGCTTAAGCTAGCATCGGAGGGTCCTCGGAGGTCGCCCTCCGTTGTACCTCCACGGCGAATTTTGGCAGGGAAGGTACGAAGGAGGAGGAAAGCCAACGCCTGGAGGCAAAGGTATTGCTGTACTTTTCGGGGCACATGGCAAAGAACGGATGGGAGCCAATCTTTTGCCCACACACACATATTTTCGTTTGCTATTCCTGCGATGGGAAACCTGCCGTTCCGTTCCACAGACCTCGTCCTTGAGAGCGAGCCTCGAGAGCGTGAGATTATGCGAAGCAGCTGTTGGACGTAAGAGTCGAGAGGACGACGGAGCACTATCGTGGATATGAAGCGGACCACGTACGTCTTTGGTCGGCGGTTTTTGACCACTCCTCCGCCACAAGTTTATGTGATAAAACCTTGATTTACATTCAAAGTACCTCTCCCGATCGCCCTCATTGTCTCTTTTCTACTTCACACCAAGCCAAGCATCGTGGCTTGCTTCACAGCTCTCCTCTATCTGGGAAGAAAAAAAAAGGTGATGGGCGATGGCGGGGTAGTCAATTGGGGGTACAACTAGATATTCGCCTGGAAGGCACGGGTTGGTATTAGCGCAGATGGCGGGGTAGGCACAGCCTTTTGATCCCTGCACAGAAAGGACAGTCGTGTTCTTTGCTATTTTCGTGCCTGACACACCCACCTTGGATTTTTCTCACCGCCTCCGCGATCCATGACATGTGGTGCCAACTTTGAACACTATCACAGGATAAGCCATGGAGCATCTATTGATCACATCGCCGCTCGTCCACCATGCAGATTTAGTGGTGATTCCAGCATGTCTACTTGCGGTCCAATTCGCTCTCAAATAAGCAGAGGGGCCTGAATCGGCAGAGTTGTCCAGCCGAATTTGACCAGAATGGATACTCAACTTGCTCTCGTCTCGGGAAAGTTTGGTGATTGTGGATTATCCTGCCCTTTTACCTGTGTCCTGATTCGTGGGAGCTGATGGCCGCGTCCGCTCAAGGCCGGGAACCAATCCATCCCACCACCCTCCACCAGCAGGACCCTCATCTTGTGCCCACGACCGGCGGAGCCCGAGGCCAGGGGCGAGTTAGGGTGCTGACTAGTCTCTACGTCGTGGGGTACAGCTAAAATCGAAGCCCACGACCCCCAAGGAGAATTTCCTAATCTGGGGGCTAGCACCCATCCAGAGATCCGGGGTATATCGCTTCGCCTGCGCGCCGAGTTTGACCAAGTTGTCAAGGCTTGTGTGCCTCGATATTTTTCTTTCTTTTTTTCGTTTCCCTTTCGCTCGTCATCCACGTGAAGGATTAATCTTGCTTGAAAAAAATACCAGACAGGGTTCCAGTTTAGAAATGAACCGGTAATGGCCCTGGTTGGTTGCGGGGCTATATACGAGATGTTTATTTGAACGGAGGGGCAAAGGCAAAGAAAGGAAAAAGGAAACGAGAAGGCGAAGCATGCCCCATCGTGGCGAGAGGGATCGTCCGTCTCTTCGAGCTCTTTGACACCACTATGGTAGATGGTATTGGACGCCCCTGGCTGACGCTGGCGCTAGGGGTTGCTGCTACGCCGTGAAAAGCATCCGACCCGACCGACCGCCGCATCCGAGGCAGAAGATGAGGAATTTTCGCCGGATTAGTGGAGAGTCGAGAAGAGATTGATGGCTGGCCTTGGCCGAAAAGGCTTTTGGGGTGCTACGTCGTGGGTCTCAATTGATCAATCACAGGGTGGCTATTGTCACTGGAGAGCCACTAGCCGAGGGTGTTTCCCCAGAGTCCAGGGGACTAGCTAGCTCTCTTCAACGTTGTGAGTCACCAGCTGCTGCTTCATGGGCTGGTCACCTCCAAGGCGACGAGATGCTGGCTGGGAAAAGGAAGCCTTCAGTTATCTAGCGTCCCATTCCCCACCGGCCGGGGTCCTTAGAGCGAGGATGATGCGGCCTTCTCGCCGACAGCTCGGCATCGTGAGCTTTTCCCAGCCATCTAAACTCCTAGATCCCTCGAGGTCAAGGATCTCGAGCGGGCCATTCCGGAGACGTCTCCCGGGCTTTCTTCGTCCAAGTTCAGCTTAAGGGGCTGTCTCGGAGATTTGCTCCTCAACTCGATCGTCCGCACAAATGCATGTTCCTGCAGACTGATGATGTTCTGACTGATGGGAGAAAGAAGCAAAGGGATGGACACAGGGACTTCTGTTGCCCCTTTCCCCCTCGAAGGATCTTTGTTATTCTCAGCGACGGAACCGCATTGTGGCAACGCTCTTTGAAAATATAAACATTCCTGGGTGAAGCGCGGGCACAAGCCGTCAGGAGAGGCCACGGCGAAGCGCATCCACCCAGACGGCCTCACAAACATTCATCATGAAGCAATTCTGAAACCAATGGCCTTCGATCCCCAAGGAAACGGACCGTCGAGAGCTGAGATGCAACGTAGATCATAGCGCCCGCTGTATGACACATGCGAGGCTTCTCTTTGCCTCCCTTCATACAGCTGGCCCTGGTGCACACTTTCACAGAAAACCAATAAATTTTATCGTTCGTAAAGAAAGGCAAAAGGTGAGGGCTGCGGAATGGACTCACGACTCCCGTTATCTCCTGTTTGTCCGGCTTACCTCGAAACTCGGAGCATCATTTGACAGTGGGATCGGTATCTATCCTTCCAAGTATTTTGGTTCCTCGTTGCAGATGACTGGGCCTAGAGAGGGGATCCGTTTATGATCTACCCCTCGGAGCGCAGGAGGCGTGAATCGCCAGTCATTGCGAGCCTCCCCTGCGCAACTCCTCATCCTCACTTGACATTGATTCCATGCCCTCGGTCTCATTTTATCGACTGGTCGAGAATCTGCTCTCGACCGGGTTTTGTTTTGGTCACAAACGACGTGCCTGGGGGTGCTTCGGAAAAAAGGTGTTGATGATTTGATGCGTCCGTCTACCAGAGTGCATTAACCTTGAGATGGGTCCTGCCTAAACCAGCTTGGATTTCCCTACCATTCTTGTCTTGTCGGATTTCTGTGAGCGTGCTGCGTGGCGGCACTTCCTTCCATCACGTCTTTCCAGCTGGAAAGAAGCGCGATCGGGCGCTCACTTGAGGCGATGGCTGGAGCCTCTAGTTTGTCCAGTCCCAACAGTGACGACACTGTTCAGCCCAAGACAGCAGGCGGACACTAAAAGTGCGGGCATCGAATCAGGCGGTTTACTGGCTCTGTCACATCCCTGCAGGTGGTTCTGAATCTGGGCAGCTTGTTGCACCACCATCGTGCGCTCAGTTCCTCCTTCTCCAGGCTGCTCCTGCCCCTCAACGGTTTCGCTGGTCGGCCGCACGGCTTCCCCTTCCTTCTTTTTTCCCCCGCCGCTTGCCCTGATCGTGAGACCTTTTCCTGTTTTCTCCTTTGTTCTGATTTCCTCCTTCTTTTCGTATTTTGTATTTGGATTGTAAACATAATTCTCCCTCCTTTTTCCCTATCCAATTATGCTCATTTGATTTTCGAGAAGAATAGAAGGCGCGCCCCCTTTCTAATTCTCGGTGGCTGAAATCGACTCCAACCACGCTATTATTCCCGCCGGCTGCCTGCTGATTCGGCTTCTCGACTGGGCTGGGCAGGATCCGATTTGGTACACTTGTCGCTCCACTTCTCCCATCAGCTCGACGACTGTGCGAGGCACAAGGTTGGCCTCGTGGGCCGAACGACGCTCCTTCTTGTTCACCTCAACCATTATCTCCCAACCCTTTCGAACATTACTTTGAATACTCTCGAGGATCCTCTCTCCTTTTTGCCTCGACCTTTATCGTGTGCTGTGACTTGTCTCATTTTTCTTTTTCTTCCCCTCTGTCGTGGCACCTTGGATTTGCGATTGGCCGTGACTTTCCCCGCCTTTCGCTTCAATCACGCCGAACAACCCGGATATCTACCACTCTCTTTACGCGCTCAATCTACCGCCACAATGCACCATTCGCCTACTGACGATATGGCGGGACTGCTGAACCCCTCGAAAAAGCATGCGAGGGAAGAGCTGGAGGACCCGGCAGCGTACGGCTCCTCTAGCTTCGGTGAACATCGGAATGTAAGGCCAGCACAGGTTCTGGGTTGTTTAGACTGGCACATTTCCTAGATATCTAACAGACGATTGTAGAAACGCATCATGTCCGGCACGATAGAATCTGCGAAGCGATGGTCTGGGCCGCCAGCATTTCCGACAACCACCAGTCTCTTCCTCGACACGTCCGGTGTCGGAAATGCAGTCAGCCAGGACGACATGTACATGGACATGGACCTGCAATGTCCCGAACCCAACGAACAATTCCAGAGTATTCTCGAGCCTGGCCCCTTCCACCCCGAACCCCTGGCGGCTAACCTGGCCGGTCGCATACCCACACCCATTCAGCCCAGCTTTAGGAATCAGGGAGGGGATCGCAGTGGGAGGAAGGAGCTCGCGCCGACCTGCATCGTCCGAAGGGCATCAACAGCATGCCGAATCACGGCTTCGGCCACCCTGTCGCTCCTGACCAGGCCGTGCCACGTACTATGGGCTCCGACGACTGGAGTAGTGTGCGAAACCGACGCCTCCCGTCGCCCATCAGCGAAGGCGAAGACAGCCCCTTCATCCATCCCGTTGGCGCGGACTCGCCGGACATGGTTCTTGACAGTGGTTTCACGACGAACCTTGCCCATAGACTTGCCTCCCAAGTGTCCATCTCGACCCCCTGCGACGTTGGCCAAGACCCCATGGCAAATGTTCACCCCGAGCATATGCAATCGGGCGCTGGCGCGGATTTGCCTGGTACGATTGACTTGGCTGATATCCCGACAACACCTCCTCAAGGTCGCAAGGGTCATATTCGATCGCGCCATACTATCAACTCGTGGACGTGGCAGCCTGGCATGAAGAAAAGCTTTAGTATGGGCTACAGGACGGATTGCGAAAAGTGTCGCCTAAAGGTTCCGGGCCACTTCAACCATATCATCATCTCTTAGGAGAGGGGATGGGGGTCGGCCGAAGATGCTCTGGTTTCTAATAATGGACGACCCGCACAGGAGTCGCGTCCACGAACGAGATCAGCGAACTGGACAAATTGTTGGTGATCTTCTGTTCCCTCTTTACATCCTTGCCTTTTTTGTTCTTCTTTCTCTTACTTCAATTTGTGTTATTGGTCTCTTCTTCTCCTTTTGGGACCTGGCGTTGGTAGCGGCGTTTGTATGGCCATGGGTGGGAACGGTGCCTTTCTGCTTTGATTCACTCCTTAGATTGGATACCAGCTCCATGTAGCTGCATTGAAAGGGTAACAGGTAACAGGTTGGGGAGATTCATTGCGGATGGTTAGGAAAACCATCCGAGCGTTCCTTTTTCTTTTTGTTTCTTTTTCTTTCCGGTTCCGCTCCTTTATCTTTCGGTGGCGATACTAGATTGTCTATCCCCCATGCGTTTCCCTCCTCAATCTGGATCGTACGCTGGCGCCTTGAACAGGCAGTTTTCTTTTCTCCCCTTTCAGCTCTCGTCTGCTATTCTCATTCCTGAACATAGCCTTTAAGCAATCCGTAGCAGATGCAATACAGAAAATCATCAAGCTCATTTTCCGTACTCAAGGGGTGGGGTTTGGTCAGACAACGGCGGGCACAGCACATGCTTTTGATCAAGTTATTATTTTACTGGAAGCTGGGTTGGTTTTCCTTCAAAGGGTAATGCACCTTCCATACGCCGTCTAAATGTAGCCAGTCTACATGTACAGAAATGGATCTATAATACAGCAGCATCATACTCGTTCCACTACTCTCGTCGGTTTTCTGCGACTTGCCGCTTAGAGAACCCTCATCGGCCGGCTATCCGGGATCTTGTATTGTGTTCCCCGGTGCCCTTTGCTCCCTTATCTTTACTCAGCAGTCTGTCTGCTTAACAACACTTGATTGCTTCCCCAACGCTCACCAAGGCTTCCACCAGCTCTTGCCGGAGCCCTGCTTTGCCGCGCCAGTCTCCAGACCTAGTTGATCCAGGGGCCCACCATTCCGCTGATTCGCCTTTTCCTGTTCGAACGCGCCCCTGACCTTGTTTCGGAGCTCCTCGGCCTTGGCGGGGAGACGCCGGTCTGCTGAGCCTTGACTTGGGCGTCGACCTGATCCCATATGGATTGGGACTGGTCCTTTTGCGCCTGGGAGGCACCGGGTCCGGAGAGGAGCGGGGGCAGCCTCTGGCCCGTCCGGTCGGCCTCGCGGATGGCTTCTTCGACGAGGCGGGCCTGCTCCTCGGTGGCGCTGCCGTTGAGGAAGGCGAGGCGCGCGGAGTCGAGGGCGTCGTGCTCGATTCGCCTCTGGGCTTCCATGAAGTCTTCGCGGCGCTTGCGGTTGTATTTGAGCATGTCCATGACGGCGTAGACGCTGAACACGCCGGCGATCACTGGGAGGAAGAGGGAAAGCGTTAGCCTGGTTTGCAATGGACAAGTGGAAGAAAAAGGGAGAGAAGAAGAACAAAAGGAGGCAAAAGGAGAGAGGATAAACGTACCAGTGAATCCGATAAGGCCGGCCAGCGTCGCCTTGTGCATCACATCAAACACCTTCCTACCGCCCTCCGTGATACGATCATACCTCGAGATCGGCGCGTTCCTTGCCGCCAAATGCGCTGCTCTTAACCGAGCAACTCGCTGCTCGAGGGTCTCGCCAACGGGGCCAGCATTGGCCGCCGCCGAAGTTTTAGACTTGGGTTGTGGAGTCGTGGAGGTGAAGCGCGTGGCGTCACTGACGCTCCGCGGACCCGATCGGGAGCTCATCGTATGTCGGCCTGGAGACGAATGAGCAGAAGGTCCCCTTATTTTGTGCGTGGCGGAGACACAGAGAAGGCGAGACTATTCGAAAGGTCGGAGGGGGAGAGTGGGGGAATTTTCTCTTCGCGAAAAAGAAGGGTCCTTTTGGCAGGCGGGTGGGATATCACGACACGGAAAATGTCATGAGATTTTACCAAGCTCTGCTCGCGAGAAGTTCCGCTGAGGTCGCGTCCGATTGGTTCGGAAATTTGTCGGATGGTGCAGTGGCTGATGAGGCTGGAAGCCACAGTGTTCTGTGGCTGAGAAGGCTTTTGAGAGGTCTCTGGAGACTCTTCAGTTTTGGTGTAGAGGGGTTCGGTGAGGGCCTATTTCACGTGACTTTGTACTGCCTGGTGTGTTGCGGCGATGCGTTTGAAGTGCCCTGCCAGCATTGTGAGCAGCCCACCCCACTTTGCAGGGCGGGCAAGAGTTGACCGGCAGAAAAAAAGGTACGTACCCGCATAGGGTTTCGTGCCCACCAAAGAATTTGCTTCGGGTGGACTGAACATCAAATCTAATCTTCGAATCTTTTCCCAATTGCCCTCTCGACATCACCAACCACACTTCCACGCCCAAAGTGATTGATCGTGAACCGGCACAATGGTACGACAAATTTGCCCTCTCTCGTATGCCAAAAGACATCAAGAAGAGAAATCTAACGGAATAATTCAATTATAGGCGATCAAGCACAACCAGAAGCTCATCAGCACCCGTAAGCATGCATCGGCCCTCAACCCTCAACGGGAGAAAAGTCTTGGGGACACTTTTGGTGGGCTGACTTGAAAAAACCATAGATCTCCGAAAGGACTGGCAGCGCCGGGTTCGAACCCACTTCGATCAGGTACGATTGATCCAGCCCATCGAGAAAGCCACGATTTGTTGTCGAAGTCGATCAGTCTTTTTTTTCCAAGACCTTTTTCGCGCGAAGACCGAGCCGTGTTTAGAAGCTTTCCTCAGTGCATCGCAATGTGTTCTAACGTATGATGGAAATCTAGCCCGGTGGCAAGGTCAGGCGTCGGGACGCTCGCAGGGCTAAGGCCGCCGCTGTTGCCCCCGTCCTACCGACCTTCTCCGACCCGTCGTCCGATGCCCTACCATCAAGCACAACCGCCGTGTCAGGGCCGGCCGTGGCTTCACCCTTGAGGAGCTCAAGGTATGCACTCTCTCCGCGATGGGCGGCTGAAGACTTCGGGATTTGTTTTCGTTGGCTCCAAAGCCGCCCACGTGCGCCTCTAAAACGCCTAATGCCCATCCATCAGGAAGGGCACCTCGGTATATCAGTTCTAACCTTTTTGCTCTGTTAGGCTGCTGGCGTCTCTCGCCTCTATGCCCCCACTGTCGGTATTGCCGTCGACCACCGCCGCCAGAACACCTCTGAGGAGTCCCTGGCCGCCAACGTCGCCCGCTTGAAGGAGTACCTCAACCGCGTTATCGTCCTCCCCGCAGGGTCAAGAAGGGCGACTCCAAGACCGACCTCAGCAAGGTCGAGACCGTCACCTCCATCTCCGCCGCCCTCCCCATCGCCGTCGCCGACAAGACCATCAAGGAGATCAAGAGGAGCGACCTCCCCGCCGCTATCGAGGGTGGTGCCTACAGGAAGCTCAGGCTCGCCCGCAGCGACGCCAGGCTGGCCGGTGTCAGGGAGAAGCGCATCAGGGACAAGGCCGAGGCCGAGGCTGCCAAGAAATAAAAGGTTGGACGGCACTAGCGGTAGCGGAGTTGTGTTCTTATTTCAACAGGCGTGGTACCTCCTTTCAAACAAAACAAAAGAAACTGCATGGACACTGGGGTTCTCTCGGAGCGTTGCTGTGTCTTGTGTCTGCTGGTTTTTCTCTCGCTGCTTGTTGCTACTCCTTTTGAAAAAGGTTACGGACACGGAAGGGCGGGACTGGAACCAAAGCCGCTTTGGTATTGGCCGGGCGTGGCCGTTACGTTAGTTTGATGACGATACCGGGCAAGGGCAACCACGAAATACAAATGCATTAGACGCCAAACTCGTTAATTTTTTCTTTCCTCCCGCCCCTTCTTGTGCACCTGCCTCGTTAAAAACGTGATAAATATGTGATTGCACCTAGGTTTCTTGGCTGCCTTATAGCACACGCTTTGTTCGTACTTGGATTATATTGTAGTCGATGTGACATTGTTAGGAAGCCTCTACATTATTCTCCTTGGCCTCGCTACTCAAGAGCGAGCCAGCCTTGTTTACCAAATCCTCAAACTCACTGATTTGTCTTACTGGTTGCGTCTCCGCTACCTCTACAGCCGCCTCGTTTAAAACCTCTGATTTGGCTCCCTGAATTAGGTTCCAGGCAATGATGAGAGAGTTTTCCTGATCAGCCCTCTTCGACCCGTTTGGCGCCTTGGCTGCCGGCGGCGGCTGGGCCACCCCGGCATCAACAGCAGCCTGCTCAGCACCAGCCTGCATGACCTCGGCCGCCAACGCCTCGGAGTCGTTGCTGTCGGCCGCCGCTTCGGGAGAGTACCTTTGATAGCGTCCCTCAGTACGGCAAAGGCGTCGTCCTTGGAAAAGAGACGGCGGAGCATCGGCAGCGCCGCCTCGGTACGGGATGCCTGAGCAAGGGCAGTGATGGTCTCGGAGCGCAGTGGAGGCCAGCGGGTCTGGACGAGGAGGTGGGAAACGGCATCAGGGATGTCGAGATGCGCGTCGTACAGAGAGCGGCTGGAAGCGGCGAGGGGGAGCGCACGACGCGGAGGACGGCCCGGGCGGCCTCCATCTTGGCGGGATCGTCGGTGCGGCGGAAGAGGGCGAGAAGGTTGTGGAGGTTGGTGAGGGCTGGAGTCGGGACCGCCGCTGCTACGGTGACGGCATCTGCGGCGCTGGGATCGGCGGAGGTGGGTGAAGGGTCGGTGGTGGGTTCCTTGTGAACTGTAGAGAGGGGACCGCAGAGGATCTCGACGTTTTCGGGGGCGTTGACGAGGAGCATGCGGGCGAGGGAGGCGGCGGCGAGATGGACCTGGGGCAGGGTTTCCATGGCCCAGATGCGAGGGAGGACGCTCGGAGCGAAGAGGGAGGGGCCGAGGACGCGCTTGTTCTGTGGGGGATGGCGAGATTCTTGAGGAAGCCGAGGGCGGAGTGGATGAGGAGGGTGTTTGTGTTGGACGGGTCGGCGAGGAGCTTGACGACGGGCATGTGGACGGTGTAGGATGAGACGAGGGAGAGGGCGGAGTCGTCGTCGCGGGCCAGGTTACCGAGGGCGAGGCAGGCGGCGGACTGCAGGGCGGGGTTGGCGGCGTTGAGCCAGTCGCCGAGCTGGCGGAAGATGGGGCTGGAGATGGGGTGGGTTTGCGCAAAGGCCGGGTTGTCGGTGATGTCGGAGAGGGCGTTGATGAGGATCTTGCGCACGATGGCGGCCTGGTTGGAGAGCTTGGTGTCGTCGAGGGTTGAGGAATCGAAGCGGGACGAGTGGGCGATTTCGAAGGCGGAGAGGAAGAGGGGCATGCTGCCGGCGGAGACGAAGGCGGTTTGGAGGGATGCGTGGGTGAGGTATTCTTGGGCGACGGAGACGAGGGAGAGGAAGTCTTCGGCCTCGTCTTCGATCTCGGGGCTGGTGGCGAGGGAGAGGAGGACGGCCGGGGTCTTGGGGTCGGCGTTGGTCGCTTCGGATTCTGCTCGGTCGTTGTGTTAGCTCGTGGAAAAAGCGCAGCGAGAAAAAGAGTAAAGAAATGGGGGCGGGGGGGAGGGGGTGTTAGCGAACCTTGGGTGGCGATTAGGTTGAGGGTCTTGGAGATGAGGTCTACTAGTGGTAGGACGTCGTCGAGGTTGGGTCCGGAGAGGAGGTCGATGAGCTTGGAGCTGAGCTTGGAGTTGGAGGCTTGGTTCTGTGCTGGAGCTGTGATGGGCACGGGATGTTAGTTCTCGATGGCTTCTATGGTAAGGAGGATGGCACATGGAGTCGAGGAGGAAACGGGGGCCGGTTTACCATAGTCGACCATGATATTGTAGAGAACTGTAATGGCAAAGGGGCGGAGTGTGCGGTCCGCAGAGAAATGGATGATGTTTGGTATGGCGTTTGCCTTGACGACCCGGTCGCGGTTCTCGTCTGCGGTCGGATATGTTAGTCCCGAGGGTTGCGAAGATGCCAAAGTTCAGTTGGCTTCTCGTCAGCTTGTCACTGACCTGTATCGGCGCAGGAGTTCCCTATGAGACGGAGGCATTGCAATGCCAGGTCTCCAGAGGTATCCGGTTCGGCCAGGACCCCGATGAAAAATCTAGTATGCCCGACTCTCCGAGAGGAAGTCGCCAAGGTTCTGTTATAGATCATCAACAAATGTTCCTACCTCGCCCACATTTGTGCTGGGGCCACACGTACCCTGGCGGCTACCAATGGCGAGCTTCTCAGCATACGCCTTGACGACACCGGAATCCCTCGCAGCCCACGCTTTCTCCACGTCAACGAACACGTCCTGTAGGAACTTGACCTTGCCCTGCTCGTCGGCGGTGGAAGGTAGTTGCCCCGCTACCCCGCCATCCCGTCCTTGGAGAACGGCTTCGACGTCTTCGGGAGTCATGGTGTTAGTGGGGGAATGAGCGCAGATACTCTGGTTTCCTGGGGGCTATCAACTGCGTGCTGGCCTTTTTCAGTCTTGATTCATGGGATAGGTGGTCCCTATCCTCTATCTAGGCTCTGGGAGCTCCAGGTCGCTGGCAAGGAAGCTCAGCTGAACCCCTCCAACATTGCACCATGAGCTGTGCTTACTCATCGCAAAAATGCCACAAGCTTGAAGGCCAGCTCCAACCTTGCAGCTCGCATGCAGCTAAGATATGAAAATTGAACTTTCTACAGCTCTACTGAAAGAAATGTATAAACAATGATATATCCTTATTCACCGGGAATTCTTTTTCATTTTTCTTAACGCTACATGTATCAGAAGATAGTCTATATGTGAACACTCAAAGTATCAAAATATCATTTAGAGAACTAATCAGGAAAACCAACTAGTAAGGCCTGCAACTTGTTTTTCTCCGACGTATGGCTTACCAGCTTCAAATTCCTATTCTATTTCGTATACATATTCTTGATAGAGCAGGTTGAGCTATAAGAAAAACCAACATGATACAGAAATGTTGAAATCAAATCCTTTCGTCTACTGTCCATGAAATGTAATATATGTTGCTTCCATCATCCCATGTACCCAAAAATAGTGCTACACGAAAGTTGAAGAAAAAGAAATATGTATCGTACATCAAACTTAATCAACATCAGGGGACGGTGGGAGCTCATCCTCTGAAGGGTACCGAGACGAAGCCGTGGAATCCTGGCCCCTCGACAACCGGCTTAGACCAGCAGCCTGGTTCGGTCCCAGCAACGACGGGGTTCCCAGCGTGACTGTCGCCGTCAGGCTTTCCATCCCAAACGGGCTCCGCGCGGTAGACGGCCGCGGGCTGATCGCGCCCATGGGGCTATAGGCTGACCTAGGGCTTAGTACGCCCGCGGGGCTCTTCACCGTAAACGGGCTCCGGAGAGGGGCAGATGAATTGGCAGCCCTAGGGCTATTGGTTCCCGCATTCCGAGGACTGTTGAGTGCGGTGCGCGTGGCCGGCGTCCTGGGTCCGTTCCTCCGGCTGGCGGATCCCCTGCGGCCGTTGGAGCTCGTGTTGACAGTGGTCATGGCGTCGGGGCTCCTTCTTCCATTGTTGGCGCCGCGGCCACCATTTCGGCCGTTGGAGCTCGTTGTAATAGCCGACATGGCATCTGGGCTCCTCCGGCTGTTGTTGGAACGGCCACCATTTTTGCCGTTGGAGCTGGTCGTGATGGTTGACATGGCGTCTGGACTCTTCCTGCCGTTGTTGGAACGACCGCCATTCCTACCGTTGGAGCTGCTTGTGATGGTCGACATGGCATCAGGGCTCTTCCTCCTGTTATTATTTCTACCCCCTTCCGCCCATCGGAGCTAGTCGTGACGGTCGTCATGGCATCCGGGCTCCTTCTTCCGCCGTTGCCATTGTTTCTTCGGCCCCCGTTATTCGCACCGGGGCTCCTTCCGCGACCGTTCTGATCTGTGCCTCGGCCGTTGGTCCGGTTCGGGCTTCCAGCGCCCCGTCGGTTAGGGGCCGATTCCCGTTATTCCCATTACGGCCGTTAGGGCTATTGCTCGCGTTTCTTCCACTGGATGCCGCAGCACCCCGCTCGGGCGACTTCCTGCCGTTATTCCGGCCGGAGCCGGCCCCTGCGCCACCACGGGGTTTCTGAAGGTCGGCATCGCTGCCGCTGCCGCTGCTGTTGCCGTTGCTGGCGGTGGCCGTGCTCGTATTCGATGGAATGCTGATTGTGGGTCGGGGTTTGCGCCTCCAGCGATTGCGCTGGGGAGCGGCTTGCGTCGGGCTTGACTGTTCGTCTGAGGTGGAATTCGGCGACGCTTGCCCGGAGCTATCGGCGGGCACCTTGGAATCTGTAGCGGGGATTGCTGAGCGGGCTCTTCTGGTTGCTGTTGAGGCGCGGCTGCGGGCTCCGGTTCCTTGTCGATGGGCGGCTGAACAACAGTGGCATCTACGTCAGGGGCGGAGGTTGACTTGGGGGATTGAGGCTGGCTTGGCACCACTGGATGAGCCTGGGCCTGACTCTCGGTCTGAATTTGGGGCTGTTCCTCGACCAGAGGCTGGGTCTGTGCCTGAGGTTGGGCCTGAGCATCCGCCGCGGCCTCTCCTCGCGCCGCATCCTGCCTATCCCTCTCCTCAGCCTCAGCGTGGGCCTTCATAAAAGCTTGCTTGAGCACTTCGGCTTGCGCATCCCTCTGCGCCTGCTCAGCCGCCTGCTGCTCGGCCTGGATTCTCGCCTGCTCCTGGAGGGCTGCCCGCTGCTCTTCGGTCAATTGGACCTCCTCGGGCTTAGCAAACTTGAGCTCTGCCCTCAGAAGCTCAATCTCGATGACGGAGTGCCCGGCTGCACCTTGCCCTGCAGCCTGTCGCCGTCGCGGTCAAAGTACAAAGCCCAAAAGTCACCTTCCTTGACGGCGCAGAAGCCCTCCCAGCCGGCAAAGGTGAGCCGCTTGTCCTGGCGGGTGCAGTCCCAGGGCCCCGTGAGGTTCCCCTCGGACAGGGCGCGGGTGCCGAACTTGACCTCGTAGGTGTCCTTGTGGACGAAGACCCAGTTCATGATGGGGGCCTCGTGGGTGATTGTGGAGACGAGCCCGGAGTAGCGTTGGCCTGGGTAGGGGAGGTAGTAGCCCTCAAAGGGGTGACCAAACGGGACATTGTATTCCGTGCCGGTGTCGATGTAAAGCTAGAGAAGGCAGAAGACGGGAGGGAGGTCATGACGTTAGCATAGGGGATTCTCGGGGTGGGCAGGATCGGTGATGTGGGAAGTTGCTTCATGAGCGGGGAGTCCTACTTTTTCGCCGGCAAGAACAACGGCCCTTCCCTCAAGGAAGGCGCTTGATTTGGAACTTTTAGGGCAATGGACGACGAGATTATTCTTTCTCGACCGATGTTCCTCCCTTCTTGACTTTGACTGGGCGGCCCGGACGCCTTCGGCGGTGCCAAAGACGGCCGCAAAGCCAGCGATGAAGGTGAGCATCCTGGCTCAACCTGACAAAGGGGAGAGAAAGAAAGAAGGAAAGAGAGGCAGGCTAATGGCAGGCGAGAAGGAGAGTGTATGGACAATGGTAATGGTCTTGCTCGTCCTTAGCTTTCTCGCTCTTCCACTCCTTGAAGATGCGGGGCTTTAGCAGGTGAATCTAGATAGCTTCCAGAGCTCCAGAGCTCCTGTCGACGAAGCTATTCTCGAAACCAAGCGGAAAGCGGGGTGAAGAGAAGAAGATCCTGGATTTGAGATGATGAGGGGCATCAATGTAACTCGATGTCAGAGTCCAGGGCAAGAAAATGAATGGGGAGGTATAGTTGAGCTTGCTATTGTTTTGCCGGGTAAGAGGGCGACAATGCGGAATTGAAACAAAGGAAGAAGGAGATCCTGCTCCAAGAAGGTGCTCGGTTTGGCAAATGACGGAGGAAGGGGGTGAAGAGCTCACTCGGAGGAGCCGAGAGCAAGAGAGGAGAGCTTAGGAAGATCCTTGCTACCAGCGCCAAGGGTGATGTTCTTGCACGTTTCTTCCTTTCTAAGGAGGAAAGAGATGGATGAGGGTAAACTTTCCCTGATGAGCTGGGAAAGCAGCGAGAGAAAGTCAAGTGGATGAAACCCTAGGAGGTCACTATTCCCTCCCTCTCTCTCTTTACCACACGTTTTCAGGGTCTTCATGGAAAAAAGGAAGGGAAAAGGCCAGTTTACCAATAGACCCTGATCCTTGCTTACATCGTTTCTAGATCTAAGTTACACGGGGAAAGCTTGAGAGAGGTGCTGAGACAAGTGGAAGTGCCATGTGTGAGTCCCCTTGTCCCATCCTCCAGGGAGCTTCTGGGTCGCATTAGATCGTGAGTGTCAGAAATTCGGGGCACTTGATTCTCTCCCTATTTGGTCATGGCTTACAGAGCTCTTGGTCTACGAGTACCTTGGACACGAGGGACCAGGGATGAGCTGCAGCGCTTACATTGAGTTTCTTGAAGGACGAGGCTCCGAGCACAAGGCTTTGGGCAATATTCAAGGCTAAGCTTGACGGTGAGTATGTGGGGGATTGAATTTGTTTGATGGACGGAGGTCTAGAGCGTCCGGGAGCTGTACATATGGTGCGAGTAGGGCGATCATCAGCTCATCGGGGACGGGATGTGGTTGGAGGATTGGAGGATCTGAGGCCGGGGTTGTGTGTAAACGGGCACCGCCAAAAAAAAAAAAAAAAAAAAAAAAAAGAAAAAAACTAAGCATCGCCAATGGCAGTGTAAGGACGAGGGATCATCATCTATCAACCGTCATTCGCTTGACTCTCTCGAACGTGCTACAGATGCAAAGCAAAAGGGGATTTAGCCATTAATTGCCGCCTTGACCAAAAGACTTCTTGATGGGTCTTGAGATGAAAGATTTCAGGGTTTCTTACCCATGGAAGTGGAGAAATGGAAGGGGATGGAGATGGAAATCGTATTAGGATGGATCAGATGGTTGGAAGGGGAGCGGGCAAGTTCGCGATGAACGGGTTCACGGGCGACGAGGTTGCGGTCGGCTACGCAGCAGATGCAAGGCAAGGACCCCTAATATCGTACGTAGGCTGCCTTTCTGGCCATATGGCGGGCCCGCAGTCCGGGGGCGAAAGCCCGTGTGGTGAACGGGGGAGCGGGCGGTAGAATGGATGAGAAATGGGCTGAGGTGCCCTCCTCGCCTTCTCCGTCGCCCGTTCGATTACACGGAGGCCACGCACACGCTGAGGATCCTCGAGAGCTTTATCGATATGGATAGCGAGGAGTTGAGTAGACGCGATGAAACCGTGAAACCTTGAAACACGACAAGAAGCCAACAAGAGAGAGAGAGAGAGCTCCTGAGAGAATATTCGCCGATTCGACCAAGCAGTGGGGATGGCTGGCGCAGCATTGTCGGGGAACGGTCGGAAAATGATTCGATTTCTAGAATCTGAACCCCGGCTCTGAGGCAGAGGCTGCCGCACCCACAGACCCCTGGACATGGGGATCTACCCGAGCACGGCACACACCACACCACACATACACGTAGGCACACGCACATTGATCTATGTCGGAAGCTGCTGCTCGCCTCAACGGGTCAGGTTTGTCTAGACCGATTACACAGCGGGCCATTATGGGAAAGAGGAAGCAGGCGCTGTCGGCTGTAGCCTCGCATCGAATGAGGCAGGAGAGCTGGCCTCATGATCGGGATTTTCGAGGCAAGAGGCGAATGAATCGTGCTTGCCCTGATATTTTGCGGCTCTTCACTTGATTTCTTCCGGGCCATTTACCCCCAACGTTCCTTCTGCAAGATGCTCGTTCTGCTACTCCAAACAAATACTAAACCGGGCAGAGGATGGGAAGGTGGGAGTTGCGATCTCGTTGTCGGCAGATGCCAGTGCTGAGGGCCCGCTCCCCCTTCCCAATAGACAGCGGAATTAACCTTCTTGTGCTGCCAAGCCAAGCTCCGACACCACCGCACAACCCACTCCACACACACACCAAGCCAAAATCCCCGGCCCGATCTGCACGGCGAGTTGTGGGGCCCCTCCTTCCTAAAAGAAAAACATACGATTTTTGTGCCTTGACACTGTTGAAACTCGGGTTCGAGCTCATAGCACGATTCTCGATTGCTGTGATTTCCGACCCCCTTCCATTGGAAGGTCCAGGTGCCATTCTCAATTCATTTCAACTTCTTCTAAATTCTCATTCCTCTGTAGCCACTGTCTCCATCAACGTAATACTCGCTCATTCAATTTAATGAATGGTACAACATAGATATGCCCTTTTGCCTTGCGCACTGGATCATTCACTTTCCCGCACATGTGTGTACCTTGGGGGCCGATATGAGTTTATGCGTTCTTTTCATACCCGGGAATTCCCTGTTTCTCGCTTTGAAAGTGGAATTGTAAGAGCATTGTGACAGCTAGGTCTCGACATAGCTACCTGGGGTAGGAACGGAGACACGACGGCTGAGGGAGGGTGTGTTCTTGGTGCCACCATCGCTGCTGACATTTCTTTGAAGTGTCGCAGGGACCGGAAAAGGGGCGCGGGGCGTATAAGCCCGCTCTCACTGAGCTTGCAGACTGCAATGGATAGATAGCCCCAGCTTGTTCAACATCGTTCGGCTGTGGAGACATCAGGGATCTGAGGTACCTAGCTCTTGTCACGCTCCCCTCTCCCAGCGCAGGAAGAAAATAACAAAAAAAAAAAAAAGAGAACCTGGAGGGATCATGGTCTCAGCCGATGGGAGCAAGGGGCGTGGGGAACAAAACAAGGGAAGAAGAAAGAGCAAGTAGCTGTGCCTCCCTTGTCTCCACCTTCTGGTCGAAAGGGGTCGGGTTGTTTGAGGCAAGGGAAGCGGCTATTGCGAATGGGTAGATGATCGCAGAGCGATGAACTGAACCGACCCATAGGAATGCATGAAACGAACTTTGATGGATCCCAAGGGTCGGAACCAAGCGAAGAATGGATGGGGCCGGGGGACCGGGGCCGGGTGGGTTACTCGTGAGCAAGACGAGCATGCGTCCAACGCCCTCCAACACGCGCCATATGCCGCATGCGCACACCTTTACACTATAGGAATTGCCCTCTTTGCTTTCTTCCCTGCGGAGACTGGGGGAAGGGACCGGACAGGCAAGAGAGAAGGGGAAGCGGTTGTATCTCGTTTGTTGGGCTCCCCGCCCATGAGCATGGACTGTACGGCGCATTGTGTCGAGGGAGAACACGGAGACAGACTTCAAATCGGATGAACGTCAAAGATATAAACTCTGTCCATCATCCCTTCTTCCCGACTTTCTTTTTACCTCTCTCTCATCAGCATCTTCAATCCCACATCTCCAAGTCCCATTCCCTTTTCTTGCTTCTCATCCTCTGGTTTAGGATCTCTCCCTCTCCCTTTCCAATTCCCTTCTCCCTTCTTCTTTCCCCAAGTGCTCTACTTGCACGGTGGCAGCCATCGCTTCCCAAGGCACCCCAACGGCTAATAAGCGCTTCTCAACCGGCGGCTTCCCCTCCCCCACGAGCTCGCCCCAGGACTCTCCAGACCTCTCCCCGCGTCTCAGACGAGCCTCTACACTCAAGCTCCCTATCAAGATCTCCACCGATCCATCCTTCTCCTCTAGGTTTTCCGCCGCCCGCTCCCGGACCCGTTCCCTCACCGCCATCTCTCCCGAAGACAACCCTGCTCGCCAGCAGTCCGTTCAGCTTCCACCTTCTGTTCTAGAATCTCCCCCTCTCACCGGCTCCACCCCCACCGACCCCATCTCCGCCTTTCTCTCCGGTATCCTTCCGGAGACTTTAGCAGCAGACAACACGTCCGAACGACCCGCTCCTCTCCGGCCCAACCGCCGCCCCTCGAGCCCCTCCTCGCCGCTCCTCCGCCTCGCGAAGAAGCAGCCACAGCAGCCTCGACAGCTAGCAATCGAGCTCCGTCAAGGCAAGCCACCACCACTACCATTCCCTCTTCCACGCCCGAGAAGAAGCCCGCCCGGCAGCCGTCTTCTCGTCCAGTCTCTCCTGAGCTCCCTCGCGCGCCGAGACAGCAGCCCCGTGCCCAAGAGATCCCGCCAGCTAGTGCTAGGCCGGTCCAAAAGGAGTACAGAGACGAAGAGCCTCAGACGCAGCGCTTAGCTCCGCCTCCCGCAATGTCCTCTCCGTAAGCTCACTCCGAGAGATCATGAAATAATACAAAAGAAAGAAAAACTTGAAAAATGAAGAGAGAAATAACAGGAAGAGGCTCTTTTGCCCCCTCCCACTCTCCCCTTAGATGGGGCCTCTTTACCTTCTCTTGTGGCCATCAACACACTGCACCATCTCTTTTTATACTCTTTTCTTTTTACCATTGGAGAACAATTTTGGCTAACCATTTTCTTTTCTCCCCTTCACAGCGCCAAGAACCCTCAACTCGCCATGGATACTGCTCAGGCTTACACTCAAGGCAACAGCCAGGCCGCCAACCGAGGCCCCATTGCCAACCTTCCCCTCCCCAACCTCTCTGGCCAGGCCAACGGTGTTATCGGTAAGTCACAAACTCAAGATGGACCCTCCTCCTTTGAAGAAGAAGAAGACGACGACGAAGAGGCGCTCCTTCTCGAGAGGATAGCGGCCCAGTCTCCGCCCAGTGGGGCCATCTTCGACTGGGGCCTCCGCACCGGACGGGCGAAGAGGGCTAACGTCGCTGCTCAGGTAATCTCCTCAAGGGACCGGTCGGTGCCGACGGCAAGCTAAAGGATGCGGCGCTGATGGTTGGTATCAAGCTGGACCTGGAGGCCGAAGTGCATCTCACTGCTAGAATCAGGGTGACATCCTCGTGGGATTGTATTAAAGAAGTGGAGGAAAGAACGCGAGGCCGCGGAATAGCACAATATGGTTTTGGATCGATGCCATTTTGAAGCGTATATAAAATCACCACATTGGGAACTCTTTTCAAGAACCCCGTTGCATGGAGGAAGAGAGTAGAGGGATAGGGACCTGCAGGGACTGGCTTTCCTGATGGCTTCCGAGAGGTAGAATCGAGAGTTGAGAGTTGTATGAGAAGCATTTCTTTTCTCTTCTTCGTTTGGGCTTGGAGATCAATACACAAATTTGGGATAGTCTCTACTTTTTTAAGTGATATTTGCTCCTCCATGTCCTCTCCTCATTCTCATTTCACTATTTCCAAAATTTTGATCTGGCAAAGTGTTTATTCTCGGTAGCTCAGCCAGAGATGGAGGGCTATTGGGAGTCTCGCACCCACACCTGGGCTTAGGCCCCTGTTGTCCGCGACTGTCTGTGGAACGGAACGATGCCTTACCGGGTGAGCGAGAGGGTGTGAGAAGCCGGGAGGGAGGGAGGGAGGGCGGGCCTGTCTAAGGAATGGTGGGGAGGCCGGAAACGACAGTTTGTCCATGTCAATCTTGTGTCCAATCCACCATTTACAGTCTCGTCCTTCGTTGTCTTGAGCCGTCACGTTTGACTATGCAGTCCTTTGTGATTTACAAAGTCAAATTTACCAGTTCGGACTGAAGTACAGCAGCATGTGTAACATTTCAGACAGGGCAAGGCAAAATCTCAGCAAAAATCAAGAGGTACCAACACACGCACGTAAAAGAAAGTATGATTGTTCACGTAGGGAATGGAATTCCACGACAGGTGCCTCGACCGGCGAAACCCGAGCCTGAGGTCAAGCCAACACCGGGTTCCTGGCTTAGATGTCGGCCAAAGGTCGATAAACCCCCGTCTTATCTTTGTTGGACCCGGGCACCGGAGGGTTTATCAGGATTGATGACGGGGCTTTCGTGTATTCCCCCTCGGAGGTGTACACGTACCATGTGCGAGGCGGAGCACTCGACGACCCTGAGGGAGGGCTCTCGGTGGGATTTTCACAGCATGCTGGGACAAATGGAAGAATCGGGACCGGGGGTGATAGGAACAATGGCAGTTTACTGGGAAACAAACAAGCAAAAAAAAGGAAGCAAAGGTCATGAATAGCCTCCATAAAAAAGGAACGAAGAAAAAGGATGGTGATGAGGCGAACCCTTCGACGCCAATCCGCATCCAAACTCGTCGTGCCACGCCCCCTCCCTTCATGGCTTTTCAGTGTGCGATATCGCGTCAAGACGTATTATGACAAGCGAAAAGAAGGGTCTCCTGCGTGCGGCTCAAGAGGTGCAACGTACGCTACGCGGGTAGACTTTTTTCTCTTTTTCACCTTTTCGCCCTCCTTCCCCGCGTTCTCATTCGATGGCTCGTCGCATCAACATACCTGGAAAGCAGCCGAGAAGACCAAGAGACGACAAAGTCGGGGCTCTGAGCCTTGCTATTGGTTGTGAGTGTCGCAAGAGATCGGCTACGGGTTCATTACGCCTGTTCCCCCTCAACAAGGTGCGAAAGACCTTTGGGCCAAGAAATTTTCTTTTGGTTATTTCGCTCCAAGTCTTCTTTGAATGGTGGGAGCGGGGTGTGTGATGTGCGTGGTGTGTGCGGCGTGGTGTGTCCGCGCGGTGTGAAAAGGTGTGTCCTGGTGACCTACGTCATCGGACATGGGCCACCCTCCATCCTGCTTTCTCGCTTGCCCGCCCTTTTGCACGCTCGCTTTTTTTTGATCCTGCCGCCTGCGTAGAGGGAAGGGCGCACGAACAGCCACCTTTACATGGAGAAAAAAGAAAACATTACTGAAGTCATCGGGTACACTTGATCTCAAGAGGGGTCCTCGCAATCCTTTCACCGAGACATTTGGGCACCAAGGGGACCCGGGCCACGCACAAGGCATAGCGCAGGTGGAGGTGGTCCCCTTGCGCCAAGGGAGCGAGGCTAGGATCCAAGAGGGGTCCCACCAAGGGCCTCGTTTCCCGTTGCATCGTGTGCGGAGGATTTTGGAGGCGCACCCAGGTGATGCCGAAAGGAAAAAGGGCCTAGTGGTCTACGATGGGGTGGGAGTTATTTCGTTGGGCTTGCTGCTCCCTTTTGTCGTGTGGCCTCGTCAGGAATAAGACAGGCGGACACGCTGTGAACGCCACGTTTTGTTCAACGGAAGGCGAAAATACCGACGGCCTTTATCGTCGAATATGGCTATGAGGCTTGCCTTTGTATCTACATTCCTATCACTCTTTTGGAATTTTCATGGAGATAAAGAGAGAGGCCACCTGAGGCGTTGGAAGGTGGCCTTGGCTTGGCGCGCAGCAGCCTGGGCTGCACCTATGAAGCCTTCGCGGCGAGGGTTCATGCTATCAGTGAAGAGAATTCCCCGAGGCCGTGCCGGAGTCATGCTCCGCATCGAAAGATTGAAGGGTCCAGACGCTATTTTCTTTTTAACCCCTTTTTATTTCTTTTTATTGCTTATTTAGAATGGGGGTTTTTGCTGATGCGAGAGTATAGTATTTTTGCTTTAGTATTTCGGCATCAGAGCCAGGTTTGAGGTGACATTGGTGTGTAAGAATAGAAGTGGAGGCCATCAATCAATGATCAATGATGCTAGCCCGGCAATGCCAGCCACTAGGCTAGGAACATGGGCTCTGAAAGGTCCAAGGTTTTTGTCATTTGGCGTGTCAGGTCAACACCGCCCAACGCCACTGTGAAGTGGTGTCGTCATCGTTCAAGTTGGGTTCGGAACCTGGCTGGCCCTGGCCAACGAGAAGGAGCTAACGACGAGCGAGCCTCTATTCCCCTGGGCGTTCCTGCCGTTGCCATTCATCTAAACTTCAGTGTAAAGAAGAGATCTAGCACATGTAAAAGGAAGGGACAGCTTGTAGTTAAAGTGAAGCCTACGTAGGAGATGGAAAGCAAAGTAAGTTGATGTCCAAAGTTCAAATTAATTCGTGTCGAGAGCATTTTAGATTGATTGACATCTCGCAACTCCATTCCCTCCCTCTTTTTCGGGGCAGTCCTCGTTCCAGTAGAGATTTTCCTTTGTTGGTAAGAGAAATGTCCATCCCAGCCGGATAGAATCCGGCAGATAGATTCCAAAAGTCGCCACACACCTCCAGCTCGTCTCCATCTCTCTCATCTTGGCTGGGCCTGCTCCTACGCTACCCTGGGTGGTGGTCCACACCGCACCCTCTACCCCCCTCCCCGCCCCTCTCCATCCTTGCAAACGAGTCCGTCATTGCGCATGAGGGCTACATGCGTCGCTCTTTCTTCAGTCCTCCCCCACCTCGCACCTCACGCAATGGAATTTTACTGGTCCCGCCTCAGGTCTCAAAGCTTCCATGTCCCGTTTCTCCTTGTAAAAAATAAATGCCTGGAAGGGTTGGAAGGGTGGAAGGGGTGGAAGGGGGGACGAATAGATCATGCATGGATCCGGTTCCCGTGAGGGTAGATAACTACGTCCACGCACTCACTCTCATCTCTCCATCTTGTCTATGGCGTGACCTCTTGTTTCTTCTTTTTCCTCAACTTCATCCTCACAACACCCAAGACAACATCCATTCCCCTTGTACGCGCCACGCAGCGAGGACTCGTGTGGAATATAGATCACCTTCCACCTCCTTGTCTCTGCCTCTCTCTGTACTCGTGAGACGATACCCGTCAGGATACGAGTACTTTACAAGCTGCCCTCCACCTTTCTTCTTTGTTCCTTGTCCTAGACTTTCTTCCACGTCCTTGCCTCGCCTGATCTAGACAAACTGTCACGTAGACATCTCCATCTGGTTCCTCCATCCAACTTGACCAACGGTGGAACATCCCGTTCGAAACAAGACAAGACAGAAGAAAAACAAAGAAGACCAACGAATAGATAAACTTTGTCATACCCAACCCACATCACAATGGCCGACTACCGAGGTCGAGATCGCATCATATACGACCCCGACGCAGTAGACCACGTCTACCCCCAATCTGGCGCACGTTTCCGCTCACCCTCTCCATCCCCAGACCGCATGTCACGCTACGAGAGGCGCCCTCAGCGCTTCCACGATGATTTCACTGATGACGGCCGGTCCGACATCGACTTTCGAGGCCGCCCCGGCCCCGCCGGCGGCTACTACCATGACGAGCCCCAACCTCGTTATATTCCCAGAGAGATGTCCCCGGATTACCGCGCCCAGCGCGCTCCAGAGCGTCGGGCGAAACATTCCAGTTCCGGGAACCGTCGCCCGAGCGCCGCCCGGCCCCGCGTCGACCCGGCGTGCTGAGGAGGCAATCATCCCTGGACACCTTTGACCGGCCACGCTTCTACGAGAGGGAGGAGTACCCCCGCCGGCGCGTCGGGAAGACATTCGCAGAGGGGACGACTTCATGCACGCGTACGGCAACTCCCCTGACGTCACGCATGCGGGCCATGCGGATCGACGACGGCCGCACGGGCAGGGCGGCTACCGCGACGAGTTTAGCGATTCGCACAGCCTCACCAGCGGCGCTGGTCTGGGTCTGGGATACCCTGCCGCCGCCATGCCCCCGGCGCCGTCGGCTGCCTCGGCCGAACGCGTGCGGGAGCGGGAGGTGGTCAAGGTGCACAAGCGGAGGAGCAGGAGCCGCAGCAGGGAATCGTTGACGAGCCGGAGCTACTCGAGGAGGAGCTCTTCGCGTTCTAGATCCAGCTCGAGCCGCTCGAGCAGCCCCAGCCGAGCCACGAGTGTCAGGAGCGGCGGCGATTCGTATCCCAAGAAGGGCAAGACCAAGATTCCTTCCAAGTTGCTGTCCAAGAGGGCGCTGCTCGATCTGGGTTACCCGTTTCTCGATGAGGTAAGTTTGCGGTTGGTGGCTTCTATCTATCTGGATGTGGGGAGTCGGGCTAACACTGGTGAACTAGGGCAATACCATTATCATTCTCAAGGCGTTGAATCAAGAGCAAATCGACCAAGTCCTCCGTGTCAGCGAGGAATACAAAAAGGTAGAGTCTTTGGCATAGTTCTTTTTCCCCTTTCGTCATCTAGTCAGACGACCATTTGGGGACTTCACATGCCATTAGTCGCAATTACTAACGCACGCATAGCTGAGCTCGAAATTTCTGCCGCCCGTTCTTCCGCAGGAAACATTGCCGAAGAGCGCCTCCTCGAGGATCTCCGCATGGCTCAAGCCCCGTCCATCGCTCCGGCTCCCATCATCATGGAGGCGGCTCCCCGGCAGCGCCAGTCCTTGTCCATCAACCCGCTCAAGAGGTGGAAGTCGTCAAGGAGACGGTGGTGCGAGATATTTCGCCTTCCCGCTGCAGCACTTATACCTCGACTACGTTCCCCTCGACCATTACCGACTCGACCATCACCGCGCCAGTGGTGTACGAACGTAGACGCCGGCACTCGGGTCCTCTCGTCGTACGCCGAAAGTCGCGCTCCCGGTCCCGCCACGGCAAGGACATCCGCGCCGAGATCCGGGCGCTGGAGGCGGAGCTGTACGAGCGCAAGAGCCACAAGCACAGGCCCCGTGGCGATGTCTCAGTGGGCGGCGACCTCGTGCGGGTGGACAGGCTCGGGGATGGGCAGGTGGTCATGTTTGAGGAGAGGGTGGAGAAGGTGGAGGAGGGCTACCGGGGTCCTAGGATCGAGAGAGACAAAAGAGGTAGGCTGTCCTTGAGCGTGCCGAAGAGGAGGTGAAGGACGCACGTCCACGTTTTTTGAAGAAACAAAGGTGTGCCCTTTTGCGGTATCTGTCTGTTGTTGAAAACTGAAATTGGCTAACATGTGATTTTGCGTGTAGGACCGCCTCCCGCGTTGGTGAGGGCCATGCTCAAGACGGTGACTTGATGCAAGCTAGAAAGCTCCAGGTTCCACCATTCCAACAATTTTTTTATTCCTTCTCTTTTATTCCCACTTCTTTTCTCATGAAACTTTCTCGTTGATCTTTTCTCCCATATATAAGTTGACACACGGCTTTGCCTTTCTTTACCTTGACGACATTTTCTCCACCAAATTTTCGTTATAGTCTTTTGCTCTTTTCGCTCCATACCGGCGCCATTCGCATCCTTCTTGTATTGGATTATCTTGAATAGAACGGAAAGAGAGGGTGGGACGAACGGCAAACAAAGAATGTGAAGGACATGATGATTGATACGCAGGCTACGGCAAATCCGAGCGCAGCGTGCTCCAGCTCTTTGGCAAGGCGTCCTATGCATTCGGTTTCTTTTTCTTTTCTCTTCTTATCTCCTATCAATCTCATTCTTTCTCCCTTGTTTCGTTTAGGGATTATACGGCAGGCTCATAATCTTTTCTTTTTCCCCTTTCCTCTTCTTCTTTCATTCTCTCTAGGGGGCATATATGTGTACAAATTTTAGGATGAGTCTGATGAAACTAAAATGACGAAAAACAAGATGAATTCTCCAACATTGAAGTCTCTGAATGGTCTCTGGTGCTCTGCTGATGTGATGTCTGCGGACGTGCAATGTGTGTGTCTCTTGGTGGGGATGTCAAGCCTAAGACGATCGATCCATGGCTCTGGACTAACTTGTCCCGGGCTCCCGTAGGAAATTATTCCGGGGTAGGGAGGGGCGGCGATGGGCAGGTTGATGGGATTGACGGGGAAATTCGCGCCGGGACTGGAACGAGGCCAGGATGCCACTGTTACACTGTGGGCGTTACTATTGCTGTTATCCACATCTATACTCATGATCTCATCAGAGGCCGCTCCGACACTGCTCCCTTTCTTTTCCTTTTTTCTGTTCAATTGTTTTTAATTGGGACAAAGGTAGGGTTAGGTGGATTGGGGGCAATAAAAAGAATATAACCTGAGAAGCAGGGGGCAAAGAGGTAGCAAGGCATTATACACGCAATACGATTTCAATCTAACGAGCCGCCTCTCTCTTTGATCGGACGAGGACTCGCCCGTACCCCGCCGTACCGTGGAGGACACCAGAGCAGGGATCCGGTGCCGGGAGTGGATCGTGGAGGAGAACTGGGGATCACGTGGGCGGAGCATCGGTCTCGAAACTTGGGGTGAGGAGAGCAGGCCTCGTTGGACGGTGGTTGAATTAATTACATGGAGGTTTGTGGATGTCGCTCATTGTCGCCAGGAACCCCGATGGAAGGGTGGTATGTGGGTGCATAGATCCATCTATATGGATGCTTGTCCTTTCACCCGGCCCGCTTTTTGCTGTATTTCTTGGTTTCTGGACTGGAAAGTGGCCTTTGGGACTCTTTTTCAGAGAGTTGCGAAGAGTGGAATTGCGGTAGGAGTTCCGCTCGACTAACGGTTCAAAAGAGGGTCAAGAGGAGAAAAACAGTACATAGCACAAGGCTGATTCAATTACATGCGGCGTCCGTAAGAAGATCAATGATGGTTCCAAAGAGAGACCTCGAGTATGTCCTTCAGCGTCTCCTAGCCCTCTCGCGGGACGCTGCCGCTGCTACCCGGCAAGGCACATGGGGGAGGGAAAGCAGGGGAGCAACGAAGACGTGAGGGAGGGTTCCCGAAGCATGCGTCGCCGAGGCGAGGCGGCGGACCAGGCAGTACGGATTGGCGGCTTTTTCTGTTGCGTGTGCTCGGTGCAGAGTCGATTACAAGGTGGGGGAGGAGAGCAGGTATAGGTGTCAGCGGCTAGTCTCGAAGGAACTGGGGGAGCTACTCTGGTGTCTCTTTTTTTTCTTCCAACTTTGAAATCTACATGCGCTGCACGAACTCAAGTGAGCCGCCGGGCCTGGTGTCCGTTTTTGGAAGGGCGGGGAAGGCAAAGCGCTGGACCGGTTGGGACGGGTGGACGGGAGATGCATGGAGAAGAATTGAAGAGAGAATGGATCAATTGATGATGGGACGTGGAGAGGACCCGGGAAATTGGGCGGGCCAAGGGTGCTTTGCTCCAAAAGGGTGGGAATATAAGGGAATCCCCGTTTCCGCTCCTCGTGGCTACGCGTGTGGTTTCCTGTTGTATTCTCTGTTGAACACCTGCTCTCTTTCTCTTTTGGAGTTTTTCCCATAAAAGTGAGTGAGCATCGCGTTTTTCGTGGTTTTTGTATAAGCCACAGAATTCTCGTGCTCTACGGAGCTGCTTGGATGACTGGCAGAACGCTAATTCTCTGTAGTAGAAAAGACGGAATCCGAAGCCGACGACGATTACCACCCGGGGTCATTTATTGAAGAAAACAACGTCCAACATGAGGGTCTCGTCTATTGTCGGTGCGCTGACGCTTGCCGCGGGCGCGAGGGCGGCGTGCTCGTCGCGCAACTGGAAGGGTTGGGAGAAGGCCAAGCACGCTTTCATCTTGTAAGTGTATGGGTGGACGAGACGAGAGCCTTTTTTTTTTTTAGCTCGGTGGATGCGGTACGCCACGAGAGGGAAGGGCATGTGGTGGCATAGACCGCCGAAACTAGGTTGAGCTTCATCTTTGCCAGAGAAGTGTGATGAAGACGCAACACTCAGAAAAGGTATACTAACGATTCTGGTTCAACAGCGGTGACAGCTACACACAAACCGGTACGTATCAGCATCTCCCTTCTCAAACACAAAAACCCAAGCACGCACCCACTAACCCTCGACTCACACAGGCTTCGACGTCGCCGGCGCGGCCCCTCCGCCTCCAACCCCCTCGGCAACCCCTACCCGGGCTGGACCTCCTCCAACGGGCCCAACTGGGTCGGCTTCCTCACCAACAAGTACAACGCCTCCGCCGACCTGCGCACCTACAACCTCGCCTACGGCGGCGCCACCGTCGACTCCGCCCTCGTCGAGCCCTGGCAGCCCACCGTCCTCTCCCTGCGCGACCAGGTCGCCGACCTCTTCCTCCCCAACTACGCCCCCGGCGCTACCGAAGCCGCGCCCTTCTGGGACCCCACCACCACCGTCTTCGGCGTCTGGATCGGCATCAACGACGTCGGCAACTCGTTTTGGAGCGGCGACGAGGCCACCACGGAGCTGTACGCCCAAATCTTTGATGTCTATGCCGGTCTCGTCGCGGATCTGTACGCGGCGGGCGGGCGCAACTTTGTCTTTATCAACGTGCCGCCCGTGCAGCGCTCGCCGCTCATCCTCGGCCAGGGCGAGGAGGCGATTGCGCTCGAGGAGGGGGCGCTGGCCAAGTTCAACGCGCTCGTGGACGGTCTCGCCAAGGACTTGAAGACGGCGCATAAGAACGACGCGAATGTCTGGGTGTACGATTCGTACAAGTCGTTTGGCGATGTCCTTGACGATGTGGCGGCTTATCCTCAGACTGCTGGGTACAAGGACACCACGACCTTTTGCGAGGCCTACCAGAAGTGAGTCTCTTTTTTTTTTTTTTCCCTTTCTTTTCTTGTTCTCGTGTATCCATTTTTAGGAGAAGAAAGCAGAGAAAGGAGAATGAGTCGCAAGCTAACCGTCACTGCCAGCGGCACGCCTGAATGGGACACCCTCGACGAGTCCTGCACATACCCCGTCGACCAGTACTTCTGGCTCAACAGCCTCCACCCCACGTATCCCATCCACGACGTTGTCGCCGAGGGAGTTGCCGAGCTCCTCAGCGGTCCCCCAACGTCAGTGCTTAAATGAAGTCTGGTGGCGCGAGAACGGCCTGATGGAGGCGAGGATGGAGGGAGACCTTCTTTTTCTTTTTTCTTCTCATTCATAATTGTTTCTCTAGTATATATTACTTTCTTCTCTAAGATCAACATTCTTTGGTTACTTTCAAGTTGTGGAGTGTGTATAAATCAGTGGTTCAGTAAATACAATCTCAAATGGAAGACGACGGGACGAGAGCCTTGTTACCCTTTCTCTGATTTATATGCCCCCTCACTCGAACGGGTTTCGTTGTTCAAGCTTACAGTCCAAGTCACGCTTCTAGGAAAGCCTAGAGAAGAAAAAGGGGGTGAAAAAAAGAGGTGTATCTAACGAGTATCTAGCCTCGTCCTAGTTCGTGTGAAGATGTGGGTAATAAAAAAAAAGAAACAAAGTAGAAAAAGTTCTTTGTTTTACAAGTAGACTCCGTGAATGCCAATTCTTTCCCTGATGCTGTCTCTTCTACCTCCTCTCTCCGCCCATTTTCCCTTTCCCGCTACCCGCGCTCCCATCTTAGACGCACTGCTGGTAGTACTGGTTGGTGGTATCGCAGCTAGAGCCGGACTGGGAAGAAAGACGAGCAATGTTAGCGGAACCTGTTATCAATGTGCGAAGAAATAGATGTTGGCACTTCAACTTACAGCGCAGTTCGTGCAGCCGGTGTAACCCTGGCCACCGCACTGCTGGTACTTGGCAACCTCACAAGAGCCAGCAGCACCACCCGCAGCAGGAGCACCACCGGCAGGGGAAGCAGGAGGCGCAGCAACCTCGAGGTGCACGCTCGGCTTATCGCCAGCCACGCACGTCTTTTGGCAACCGGCAGAGCATCCGGAACCAGCCGTGACCTCGAGACCGCTAGGAATGACAGCGGGGCCGGGCACGACGTAGGCGCTGATGGCACCGTGGATGTTGGCGGTGAGACCGGGGTCCGCGGCGCTGTACGCGCCGGGGAACTTGACGCCCGCGGGGACGGCGGTGCCGGAGCCGCCCGAGACGGTGATTTGGTAGCACGTCATGTAGAGCTGGGCGGGCATGGCGTGGAGCGCGACGACCTCGGCGCGGAGGAGGTAGTCGCCGTCGGGGATGTCGGCGGGGATGGGCACGTCGACCTTGCCGCAGCACGCGTTCATGTCCTTGACGCCCCAGTTGTCGTTGTCGCCGACGGCGCCGGCCGACGTCCACCCGTTTTGGAAAATCTTGAAGAAGTCGGCCGAGCCGTCCGCCGTCTGCGCGTCGGCCACCTTGGAGAGGTAGACGATGACGGGGCCGTAGTGGGCGCCGCCAATGGCCTCGGATCCGCAGGATCGGTCACCGGCTGCTGGTGCATCTCGACAGTCACGGTGCCGCCGGCCTTGACGGGGCACTTGGCGCCCACGCCCTTGGAGCCGCCGGCGTTGCAGCGAATGTCGGGGCTGCCGGTGTTGGTCACGGGGGTGTTGGACATGGGGACACGAGCGCACTGGGACGCGTGGACGCTAAAAAGTTAGCATGGTGCCATTCCTTTTGAGGGGGATTCTTTTTGTGCCATCTGTTTTTGGATGCTACCATCACGGAAGAGAGATAGATGGAATGGGGTTCAACACGGGTGCAAGCAAACAAAGCGAAAGAAAAAAACAAGGGGAGACTTATATAATCCTCTCCATCAACCCAAAGCTGCTGGAAAAGAGCATGGCCGGAGACCTGCTGGGCCGCAAAGGCGGCGACGAGAGTGAGGAATGCCGACTTCATCTTGAACTCAAACTGGCTCTCTTTGTGGAGGTGCAAGAGGTTGGTTGTGTGGTGTAAGAGGAAGATGAACGTCTGAGAGGACACAACGAAGAGACGGGCGGGTAGACGAGGGGGCAAAGAGGAAGTGAGGAAAAGGGGAGAGAGGATCGAGGTGGGTTAAAGTAGACAAGGAAGAAGCACAAAAAGGAAGGGGAGTAGAAGATCGAAGATTAACAAGAAGCGGCACAAGCAAACCCCGGGGAACTACCGCGCTATTATCGCGGAACGCCCTCACAAGTATACATCCATCTATTGACTATCGAATGAAAGGGAGAAAAAGAGGGCCTTTCATCTACCTGCCAGCACAGGAACGAACCCCAAGGCGCGGGCCAAACGTTCCTTCTGTCAGTCCTCGCCCTTCACATTGATGATGTCAATATACTGGCTGTGGGGAACAATGGCCGGATGGCTACTCGGCCATATTGACCCCACGGAACGGGCTTCCCTCCTCTACCCACACACTCGAATCCCTGCAAAGGGGGCCCACGAGATATTGAATTGGCATGGGAAGCCTGTTTGCGGGGGCAAGGCCCGGGTTACAATGGGGACGCGAAGTTTTTGACTTGGCACGTTGGAGCCAGACGCCCAAGATGCGGAAAAGTAATATGCGCGCTCCACCTCTCGCTCTCGCTCTTTTCTCTCTCTTTCTCCCTCTATTTTCTTATCAACCGGCCCGTTTCCGTGCAAGACATGCATAACAAGCAGGAGAGCGTATAGCTAAGTGAAGTGCGTGCGCTTGGGTGGCAATGGGGAGAGGCATGGAGATGGCTGTCGGCAATGCGTGCTGCGACTTTCTCGAGGTTGCATCAGAAGCTTGAATCAATAAATCAGTTTCTCTCTCAAAAGTAGTTATTTTTTCAATGCAAGCTTTCTCCTGCCAGAATCCCGTCCGTCTAGTATGCCATGCCACCTCCTGGGTGCCGGCACGGATGGGGGTGGGCACCGGCCTCTGTCGGTTCATGCAAGCTTTGTGGAAACCGAGCCAACACCAGAAGCATTGAACTCTTCATCATGCTCATGATAGCATTTTTCTTCTTCTTTATTTTCCGCTCGACGACGTTCAATTGTCTCCTGTGTCTGGCCTTCGTCACCAGTCTCCTTCCTCTTCTTGTGAGAGAGGCATGATTGCTACCACACCCACACACTCCCCAGGATCGTCACCCCAGCTTACCCCAGATTTCCCGGCTGCAGTGGCGCGCAGGGTGGGATGGGGAGACCGCAACCAAGGCAACGTTGAAGATTCGCTCGCAGCATCGGGGGAGAACACGCACAAAAAAAAAAGAGCGCAAAAGAGAAAGTAAAGGAAGCATTTCGTCCCGCCGTAAGCCACGAGACCTTGCCGTGCGGCCGAAGTTAATAAACAAGCAGAGCAAAAGGGCGCTGAATCTCGCGAGGTGACTGGTTGTGGCTGTCTCGTGCCTAATATAAGTGCAATATATCCCGGCAGAATACGGGGAAAAGATCGATTGCCCTTTTTCTGGGGGTGAGAAGGGGGGCAACGAAATTCGACGGGACATCAATTGATCGAGGGCTTGGTTTGGTCAAAGAAACGCGGGGTGAGGACTGGAGGGCTTCAAACAGGTCAACTGGAAGGCGCGAGCCAAAACCCAGATAAAAAGATGAAAATAAAGAATAGATGAAAAAAATTATAGGGAGGAAAGAGCATAAAAGAAGAGTTACAGGAGGAAGGCGTGTTCAAGCTATCGAAATCCGAGATAGACTTACAAGGGAAACAGTGAAGATGGAAACAACGACTAACAAAAAGAGTATGGGGTAGGAGCGTCTCACGTTAAGCCAGACCCTATGAAATCATCCCCAGTGACAGCCCAACATTTCAAGCAATCTTTCTCTGACAGTGACTAGGGCATACTTGAAGACCAACCACTTTCCAAGTCTTGGCCCGCCTAGCCGCTCATATTACTCTCATCTTAGACCAATCCAACCCTAGAGAATAAGTGAAGAGTGAAGGCGTAGGTACGGCAAAGAGCAAGACAACTGCCCCTGTACTACATGTCCCCATGCCCTGGCTTACGCGCTGGTTTATCGAGTTCTGCGGGGATGGTCACTCGCTAGTTCTCGTAGTCTCACGCGTCCAGCATGCTCATGTCGGTCTTTTCGCTATCCGGGCCGTGTGAGTATAGGGATTACACCTCAAGATGCGGGGAGGTCGAAATCGGAGCTGAGCAGAGAAAAGATCGTCGCTGATCACAGGGGCGAGTCTGGGCTCTCGCCCTTGATCTCGAAACCTTGTTTATACATCCATGATCAGGTTTTGGCGAGTTTTGTCCGGCACCGGGCTGTGGTAATGTTTGTCTGATGCTCGAGATTTCCTTAGGGCAAGTTGATGGCAGACCTCATCCTCCCCTTTGTTCGAGAAATGCGCAACATCTACGCCCCTTTCTTCATCTCCCATATACGCCTGGAATACACGCCGAGATCGACGTGATGAAAAAATCGCAAGGAGGGAGTCATTCGTTTGAAGTAGTAGTAGCCTGCCCAGCAGTAATTTCCCTCCCCAGTCTTTCGTACATCCGAACTGCTCGAATCCGGCCCTACACCCCCGTCCGTCAGATGATGCGTGATGTCCATGTCACGGCTCCTCTTGGCCTTGACGTATGGCGATGCTCACCTCTTTGGCCCCAGAGGAAAGAGGGTTGTATATCTCATATTAAAGTGAGCAAGAAAATGGGAAACCTTGATTAAACACTCGCAAGGCCATCCCACCCCCATGCCCGACACACACACACACGCACACACGCCCAAGTGACAAAACACTCCCTCCCCTCCTTTCCACCCGCCCTCCTTGGCTTGGCATCGCGCCCTCTATCCATCCAGCGAGGCCCCGTCACATTCTGTTCTCTCAATCCTCGTCCTCAGCTTTCCTCCAGCCAGAAGAGAGAGGACCTGGAAGAAACCATGAAACCCAAACCCCCAGCAACCACACTACCGAACGCTGACACACACACACACACCCCGTTCTCTCTTCCTCCCTCCCGTTCCACACACCCACACGCGTCAACTGCCGACCCATAATAACACTCCTAAGCCTCACTTTCACTTGCGCGGGTAGTAAGGGGAAAAACGCGAGGGGGCGCTAGGAAAGGGAACGCAAGGGAAAGGGTTACCTGCCCATTATTCGAGCAATGAGAAAGAAAGCAAATACCTCTCATGGTTTCCACACACCCAAACGTCGTAACGAGTGCCTCATGTCCCGTTGTTCTCCATACTTTGTCCGAGTCGCATCACGAGCTCTGTCCCGATATCCACAAAGAAAAAGTAGCGCCGTGCCGACCATCCACGCTTAATCTCGGCCGGGGATAGCGGAAGAGCGGCGCCAATCTTTTGCCCTTTTGTTCTTCTTCTACTTCTTTTCGAGTCAATGGCACCTGATGGGTTGCACTTCACGCCCCCTCCTCCCCTACTGAGCGTAGTCAGGCGGTGCATGTGAATGGCCCCAGCGTAGCAGAAAAGAAAATAGACTCTATAGGCCCCCGGTTCCGGTGTCCGAGTGTAGCTTGCAAAGGGCCGGCTTGGTCGGGACCTGACCGTTTGTAGGCGGGTTTACTCGTGTTCTGGGACTACACACCCCCGTTGGCGGGATGGAGTTCCATCTCCCCTTGGCCAACGGCCCTGACGCCCAAGCCGATTAAGTGGTGCGGATGACGTACAGAGAACACCTACCCTCAGGTGGCTCCGGCGCATCGGACGCAAACAAACTCTGCTCCTACATTCCATCTCCTCTCCGTACCCGCACATCAAGCGCGGATCACGGTGAGAAAAAGGAGGAGTGTCGAAAATGGCGAGAAGAGAGTGAAAAAGGCCCATCAATGTTGGAAGAATCTCGTCTCTGTTTCGCAACGGAGAATGAGCATCTTACTCAGGGTGGAACCTTTCTACTCAGATCTAAAAGCAAACAAGCAAGCGAAAAGGTCGTCGAGAAAACAAGCAAGTCGAGTCAAGGTCGGCGAGCCTAGAGAAGAACGAGGTTAGGATAATAGGAGTACGGTTGCTCTATGTGATCTGTCTCAATTAGGTCAATATTCGTCATAACGAGCCAAAGAGCAGCGCCAATTCCTCTTGAGATAAGAGAAACGAGGAAAAAGAGTCGGGCATGGAGCGCTAGACATAGATAAGTCACTCATCATCATCACAGAGTTTCGAGAAAACAGAAAAAGGGGAAATAAGGGGGAGGGGAGGAAAAACAAGCAGAGGAAGCTGCACGCTTCCATTACCTCTGCCCTCTCAAGCATCGACCCAATCCCTCCACTCGGCGCAATTTTTCCTTTGTCCCCTTCATTTTCATCTCTTTCAACACTGGGATGGAGCTAAATCCACATCCCAAAGCAAGGTAACAATACCCTTGTACAGGCCCAGAATCGTAGCCCCATACAGTCGCTCTTTGCTTCGCCTTTGTGCCTCCTTCCAGTTCACCCTTGAGGGTGGATTGTCTGCCTTGAGAGGGCAGAGATGCCGTTGCGCGGCTGCCGTTGTCGAACATTGACTCTTTCTAAAGTTAAACCACGTTTAAAAGAAAACAAAAGGACGCCGACCCACGTAGTCGGTCGTACCTTGCTGCGCCGTGCTGAAGGTGAGAAATCTGGCGATTAGGTGTGGGTATCTCGATGTTTCGTGAAGCAAAAGTCCCCTCCAACGCCTGAAATGCATACCCTCTATGCTTTCGGAATTCCACCTCCTGTGCGCCCTAACGACCCTTATAATTCCACATCGCGGCATATCAGACAGACAGTTGCTAAAATAATCAAGCCGCCTCGGATCAGGCGGCAAAAGAGAACACTGGATGAGAAGGGTCTTTCCATGCTGGGATAGACCCTATCTCGGACTAGCTCAAAGCTGATTCTCTCAGGTCGATCACCAGATGCGACCAACAATCTCTCGTTGACTTTCATTTACCCTGAGCATGTGCCCTGGTCTCTTTACTTGAACTGGTACGCATCTTCAGAGCAGGCGCCGTACGTCTTCTCGTAAAGCTGCCGCATAAACTCCCGCTGCGTTTCGAAAGGGCTGTAGTTGCCCCTAGGATAGGCTGGAGAATGCTTGCCGTCTTGCGTTGTGAGGCGGACATCCTGGCCACTTCATCCAACCTATCCCGGAGCAAGTCGAAAGCTCGGGAAAATTCCCGAGATATCGTGGCCCAGTTGGATGACCCTCCCGAGATATCGTTGCTCGAGTTGTTGGGGTCGATAATGGATAGCCGGTCTAGATTTCGGTAGGGAAAATTCTGCACCTTGTGCTGTTGCGCAAGCCTTGTCAGCCCATTCATTCTCAAACAGACCCGAATATCAGAAGGCGCGGGATGGGGTGGAAGTGCCAAAGAACCTACCTTAGGAACATAGCCGGGAGGTGTCATCCGAATAGCCACCTCCTCGTAGTTAAACCTGTTACCGTAGAGGTCAAAGAACTCCAGGAGGATCTCGCCCAGATGATGCTCAGGTATCATGTTTCTGCTCTGCACCTGCGGCATTAGTTGGAGGAGGCTGACCACCAGGCAAATAACCGTGAATCCTCCAATGCCCCCATTGACCGGCTCATTGAGACCTCTCATCACCAGAAACTGCTTGACCACGGTCACCAAGATGGGCATGGACGGAAACTGCTTCCTCCAGACTAGAAAGGTGTCGATGGCGTTGATGCCGCTAGTATTCTCGAACGAGACGTCAACCTTTAATCCTGTAAGCCTGTCCACATACTTCACCAACGGTACGCGGGCTTTAGCAATCACTTCCGTTGAGTCCGCGAATGGGATGTTGTCCGTCTCCAGGAATCTACGGAATCGGTACAGGAAACTCTTCGCCATGCATCGTTGGGTTTCGCGGCCGGTTCGTAACAGGGAATAGGAGCAGACGACGAGGTCCATGTCTGAAAGCGGTAGGTACAGCCCTGACATGAACGAGCCAAACGCCTTGATCTCGCAGCCGGAGAAATTGCCTCCACGCTTCATCGAATTGTCAAGGTGCGAGACAAGTTTCTGTCGCAAGTCCTGTTCGAACTGCCGTGGTCGGAAGTGCTCGTAAAAGTCCATTACTTCTTTGTGTAGCCTAAGGAGAGTGTATTGTTAGAATATAAAGGCAGGGTGTGGATTGGATGGGGGCAAGACGCGAAGGGCAAAAGCTTACCAGGCACCCATTTGGCGGGTGGCAGAGTGGTCAACAACGGCCCATGGACACGGGTCCTGTCCCCTCGGCGCCACCCATTCGGGTGTAAGACCTCCGCCTACACGCATCTTTAATGGTCCCTTCCTTTTACCAGCCGCGTGAAATGGCGGCTTGATTTCGTCGTCAAACGTCCGCTTTCTCGAACCAAGAGGATCAGAGTTCCGAGGGTGTCGCCGAAGTCTCGATCCGTGATACTCGATGCTTTGGATGCTCTAGAGGGTATCCTACCCCTGTCGTCCGTCTCTGACTCGTCGCTTCGGTCACTATCGCCTCCAAAGGATATGAATTCGTCAAGCTCGGCCAGGGGCTTGGGCGTATCCTCGTCAGCCTCGACACGAGCTTTCCTTATGAGTTGTACTACGTCCACCTTCTTTCTCTGAGACGGGTCCGGGGGTGGTAACGCCGTGTAAGGGTCCGGATTTGACCACTTGGGGACGTTGGCGTCCGTGTCCGTTACCTGCAATTGGCGGCGGGCGCGTTTCGATGATGGTTGCGCAGGTTGGCTGGCGTCGCTATCCGATATTTCCATATCATGCTCCTCGTCATCCGTCAGCTGGTCAACGTCCTTGTACTGGGCACCAGTATCATCGCCACCCAACACGACCTGTGGGAGGTTGTCGTTGGCGCCTTGCAGAATAGGACGTTCTGATGCGGTATACCGGGGAGGGAATCGGGGTTGCGGCCACGATATCCGTCCCTATGACCGCGGGGCCGCCCTCGATAGCCCGAAGGACCAGACGGAGGCGGTAGGGGAGGATCCCAGCAGGGTTAGCAACACGAAAGGTGAAGTCGCCCCGGGGCGGTCGAAAGTCTGGTCGGTAGCTATCGCTGGCGCCGTAGCTCTGGGAAGACTTGGAGTAGCGGTCGTCGGATTGCCGATAATTATCGTTATCGCCTCGATAAGAAGGGCGTCCTGGGGGTAGGAGGGTGGGGGTGGTGGTGGAATACTTGGCGGGGGTGGTGGAGGGGGACGTCTGTCGGATCTGCGAGGTGAGGCGGATCGTTGTCTCCCAGGACGCGACCGACCTTGGCCGTGGTTTCCACCACCACCGCCACCATTGCGGCGGCCATTTCTAGACCTATACGAATCCATGGTGCGTGTAGCCCAGGTAGCTGTATCCTGAGAATAGAAGGAGGGAGGGAAAGCGCGGGAGTGGGCTAGAGTACAGCAATGCGACTAAATCAATGCGAGTTGCGACTAGCAGGCGCGACAACAGGTAGAGAGGGTAGGGGAGGCGTCTGCCTAACTTCAGCACAAAATAGAGCAAAACGCGTCAACATGAGGCAAACAGTGCTAAGAAGGCGCGTCTGTGAAAAGTGGAAAGTGCAAGGTGGAAAAGCAGTTGGACTCGGAAGGTGCGACAGAGACGTCGAATGGAAATCTTGTCCGAACTTGCTGGTGCTCAAAGAAAAAAATGCGACAGGCCACACACACGCACAGAGCTTGGGTTTCGACGGACCGCGTTAATGGGGCTCATCTATTCGCAACCCTGCACATGTTAGGCTTAATTCCTGCGCTCAATGGTTCTCAAATAGCGCGGTAATTCTTCGTTTAATCCAGAGAAAGTCAAAAAGGGCACGACGTCAGAGGGCTTCGTTATGTAAGCATGGAAGCTCCAACCCAACTGCTTCCTCAATCCAGCTGACTAGACCAATCTTGGCCAAGTTCATGTCCGATCCAAGCGATGACAGGCGTGGAAGAGGAGGAAACCGAGGGACATGAAATTCGCATCTAGAGCTTTTGAGGCTTGGTGGAGACTCCAGGAAAATGGTAAAGAGTACAGAATTCGAGGTTTATTACAAAAGTGCTTGGGGCCTTGAATGAGGCCCATGCTAACAACCCGAGACTTCATCAACCCACGACCTCTCTAATCATTCAAGATCGTTCATTGTGGGAGGATATGGAAATTCTTACCCAGTAGCATCAGTGTGAATCTTCAGCCAAGCACTATTGTGGGCCTCCATCTCAAAAGATTTGTGATGAAATGCAATGAATTCATTTTCATCAGAGGGCTTTCGCCGTACATGTAAATTCTAGACAGCTCAGTCCAAGATGCCTTCGGGCTGAAACGACACATAATCCAGCGGAGCTCCCTCCCTCCGTTCGGCGACCCGGCAATCTTCACAGTCTGTCCCTTCTCAACCGTCACCCCCTAAACGTGACCCTCGCCGCTGAGTGGCCATCCAACCCGTTTGACGTGGCCTTGGATATCCGGCTCTCGACGTCGCCCTGCCACTCGCCAATGACAGTGTCATCAATCGACAAAGTCCACGATGCCTTGCCGTTGCTGACGTCGAAGTAGCCGACGGCGATATCGTAGACGCCCGAATCGAAGGCGATCTGGGCAGACGCCGTGCCACCACCCCCGCCCGCCGTGACGACGGAGCCCGAGGCCGCCTCGCCGGGGTTGGCGTTGGCGCGGGAGTAGCCGCTGAGGGTCATGCTTTCGGCCTCGATCCTCCACACGTGGTTGTTGACGCGGTCGAGGGCGTCGGCTACGCCGGACATCTTGTTGTAAAAGCGGCAGATGAAGTCACGCCATACCACGGAATGACCCGCTTGGTACTCGAGGCGGTAGAGCTGAGCCTCGTACCGCTCGTCGTCAATCTTGCCCTCGAGCGTGCGCCACAGAAGCGGGAAGGTCTGGGCGGTCTCCGCGCCAGCATAATGCGCGTCGTAGAAGTGCTGGATCACGGTCTTGCCCGTCGAGAGCTCGTGCGTCCATGGCAGGTGGTGGAACCATAGAATCAAGTTCTCGGGAGTAGTTTCGACTTTTTCGAATTGGGAGGCGATCTACGCATTGTCAACCTGGTTAATGGAGCTATGGTTGAGTGGTAAAAAGCATGGCTTCAACATACCTCGGGGGTATTGCCCCGCGTTACCGGTACCCGTCGCCACGGTTCGATCCATCCCGATTCCGTTGCGGTCGGCACGAGTCCACTGGCCCCATCCATTGTTGTCCTGAGAGGAGGGGTTCGGGCCATAGTGATTGCCGGTGATGTCGGTCAAGGTCTGGACACCAAGATTTCCCGTGTAGTTCTAATACGCGGGCCACGATTCCATGGACATCTGTGTAATGACGTCCCTGACCTGGTCGTCCAAACCAAAGGTAAGGCGGGTCCAGTCCTCAAGCATGACTAGGTTCCAGCGTTAGTTCCACTGCGATCGAGGGCATCTAATTCCCATCCCTCGTTGACTTACCAACAGGGTCATCCCAGGGGTTCCAGGCAAGGCGGCCGTAGGAATAGAGATTCGACATGGCGAGATGGCTACCAAGCCAAGACTTTTCCTGGCCAACGTTGGAAACAGCCGCGAATCCGCCGATTGCCTGGGTCTTGCCGCCAGGACGCTTGCCAGTCAAGATGTCTCGCACGGGCAGCTCTTCGCCCTCCCACCTCGTATCGAAGTCGAGGATTTCCCTCCAAAGCGGCGCCAAGTAGAAAAGATGGGCTTGCTGGCCTAAATACTCTTGCGTAATCTGCAGCTCAATGGCCATGTTCGTCGTAGGCAGATTGGCAAACAGCGGGCTGGCAGGCTCGCGGACCTGGAAGTCGATGGGGCCGTACTTGATCTGCACGACGACATTGTCCTCAAACTTGCCGTTGAGACTCTTGAAGAATTCCACGGCGGCGTTGGCGCGGTCCGCCTTTTTGTTGTTATAGTCGAGCTGGTTGTAGACAAAGGCGCGGAACATGATGACGCCGCCAAACGGCTTCAGGGCGCGAGCAAACATGTTGGCTCCGTCCGCAAGCGTGCGCTGGTACGTGAGCGGACCAGGCTGGCCCTCCGAGTTGGCCTTGACGAGGTATCCAGCAAAGTCTGGGATGCGCTTATAAATATCCTCGGTCTTGCGCGTCCACCAGCTGATGACGGAGTCGTTGAGAGGATCAAACGTGCTGAGGCCGCCCGCGGACTGGGGAGAAGCAAAGTTGAGAGACAGTCCCAGACGCACGCCGTAGGTGCGGAACGTGTCGGCAATCTTGGCGATGGCGTCGAGGTTCCTATCGGAGATGACGCCAGCGTCGGCGTTGACGTTGTTGATTACAATGGCGTTGATGCGAATAGACGCCAAGAGGCGGGCGTACTCCTTGATGCGCGCCTGGTCCGAGACGACGCCGTTGTTGGCGAAGAAGAGAGACGGACCCGCGTACCCACGCTCCACGCTCCCGTGGTTGCCCCCGGCATTGAGGTTATCCCAGTGATTAATCCACCGGATGTTGGTAGCTGGGTTCGTGGCATACGAGAGCTTGGTAAAGTTCCCCTGGGCAATCATGGAAAGATACTCGAACGCTCCGTAAAGGGCACCCCGCTCGTTTTGGCCGATGATCTGGACACCCGCGCCCTCGCCCGCCTCCGTGCTCAGCCAGAACCCGTCCTCGACGAGGTCAGCGGCACCCTCGGGTAGATCACCACATGCGGCGCCAAAAGCCTCGGCGGTGCCCACAATGACGGAGGAGGCAGCGTCGCACGCCGCTTCTTCGGAGATCTTGGCGGCCGCGCCAAGCACACCGCTTAATCCAGCTTCGAGCTCGGCGCCGGCAGAGGCAATGGGGCTGCCGTCCGTGGCGTTGAGCAGGACGATATTGGTCGGAGCGGCGTAGTCTCCAATCACGGATTCGTCAATAGGTGCATAGCGGAGCCATCCCGCAAGGCCATCCTCGGCCGCGACGAGGCCGAGGAGGCTGCTACGAATAGTGCGCTTCTTATCTCGCAGAAAGAGTGTTAGCGAGGCAGAGAAGTATGGCCGCGCAAAAAGATGCAGCAAGGTGGCAAACGAGCGATACTCCAAGTCATGCGAACAGAGCTCGGCTTTCTAGAAAGAATCTCACTTCTATATACTATCTATATACCAACTGCCTTTTTACGGCCAGGTTGAGAGATTCCACTGCCGTCATTTTCCTTCTCGAGCTCACCTCCTCTCGATATAGCAGCAGCATCGATCACGGTCGCGAGGTGGGAATAGTATAATTTCTACACAAGAGAAAGATGCATTCAACGAGTTACTCCTAATATGGGTAGGCACGGTTAAAGCGGTGTCGTTGGGAAGGCCGTCGAGAATTGGTGGAATATTTATTCAGCCTGTTCCACGAAAGGGCCGCCACTTTCTCGCCCATATTAGCATCGGGCTCTGGTAACGTGGGCTCCGTATGGTTTGTCCCGTCCCGCAGTCCGTCCGAAAATCGTGTCGATTCGCTTCCAGTCCCTGGGTTATCAGCTAGGGCTTTCCTCAACTCTCTACTTGATCCTTGCCATGTCTAGTAGCTCGGCGAACTCTGTGTGCGCGTGGAGAAGGTAGAAAGAGGGGTGAAGAGGGGCTGATTTACCTCTCGCGTGAGCCAAAAGGACTTGCACTTTATTCGTGCGTTTCATTGAATGAGGGTTATCTGCATAGAGGTGGAGGATGATAGATGAAAGAGGATCAACACTCATTGGAGTCCGTCTCGTGGTCCTGGCGCAAGTCGCTCGCAATGGCGGGTGCCCGTTGCCTTCCAAGGCTATCCAGCTCTATCAAGCATGTCTGGGGTAATTCGCCAAATCTAGCGAAGCGAAGGAACGTCCTGTTTGTTCCTGGACATGGTACGGCTTCGAGGCAATATCCTCAAACACGCCAATGTGCTCGATAACCGCCCAAGCCAAACCAACTCATTTAAATGGCAGTTGAAAAAGGTGCGAGAGGAGGAGGAAAGAAGGTGAAAGGAAATCCAGGTCATGGTGTCAAGCCCTAGATCCATGATAATCAGATACGAGGCGATCTCCAAAAGATTCTTGTTACCCAAGAAACTTTGGGATAGCCCGAGGTGGCATCTTTAGCCCCGGGGCGTCAAGTCGAGACGAAGAACAGACCTTTTTGGGGTCCAGGAGTTTGGCAGACAGGTCTTGGCACAGCATGATCGTTTTTTGAACCAGTGGAAGACTGGGCGGGCGCAACGACGAGTGTAACGCTGCATGATCTTTTGACATTTCAACACTAGGACCTCTCCAAGTCTTTAACTTGCGTCATATTTCCCAAAGCGGAGGTAAAGGAAGGGATTCGTGATCTCAACAGCGATTGCGTCGAAGCAGGAGGTGGACCTAGGAGCGAGAGCGTATATCATCACTTCAAGGCTCTTTGAAGATCATAAAGGGCCTCGCAGATGGCTATTGTTCCTCCACCAAACACCCTCACCATAAGTTTTCGAAGCCAGCCGTAAAGGTGAGGCCACGCATAACTCCAGAAGGATTTTATCAAAGAAGACGAAAGAGCCTAGGATGCTGCGGGAAAAGCCCCGCCTGCCGACCATGCCGCCATGGACTACCCCTGTTTCGTCCCAATCTTGAGCCTGGGGCCTCGTCTTTGTCCGCCGTCGCGAGAGCATCGTCGACCTCACCCGTCTCGATTAGGTCTAGTTATTATCATGGCTGAATACTTCTTGGTCGAGGGCCTGCTCTTTATTTTGGGTTTCCATGTGGCCCCTTGCGGAAGTGACAGCACAGATTACTAGCCTTTTGCAGTTCTCTGTTGGGGCTCGCCGTGCCTGGGTCCGGTTTCACTCCCGGCCGCCTGACCCGCTCTCGTCGTCGCGACTTGAGAGAAATGCCCCCGTCCAGGGAGGGTTGAAGCCACACTCTTAACCACGGGCACGCTCGCGCCGACCCTTTGTTTGACATCGGCAAGGCGAGCCGAATGTGGGAATGGCTTCGTGGCGCGGCGGTAACAGGCCTAGACCTAGCACTTGGATCAATTGAATGGATCCATTCCATTACGTTGATGCACTCTCCAGTCTTGTCACCCATGCGCGACTGGAGAGTCTGGAGAGAGAGAAACAAGAAAACAAATCAACGACGTCACTCAGCGACAAGACGATCAGGCGCCATCATTGCTACCCACACAATTTGTATTCCAAGGACCTTTTTGTATCCAAAAGCAAAGACGGAAGGTTTTCTCGCAGCAGAACCTCACTACCCGCATCGTCGGCGCCGAAATCTATGTGGGGAATTTGTGAGGGTTGATCGACAGCCCCTTGCGACGTCGCTTCAGGCAAAGGTGCTCTTGCATACAAATCAGAGCAGAGGGAACCCGTTTGGATCCAGGTGCTGAAATTTCTCCGCCTGTCATTCTTCGCCGGATTGGGCTCGGACGGTTCATCTCATTGGGTGCCACCGGCTGCTGAAACTGATCGAGTATCACGTCTTGGCATTGATCTGACTCTTGAACTTGCCGCGCCCGGCTCTTTTACTCCAGGCAGGGTGAGAATGCGCCGTTCATGCTGCGCCCTCCCATTTCTCCATGTTTCTTTTACGTGGGCGAAAAAAGTCCAAGAACATAACCAAGAAGAAGAGAGAAAAAAAGGTACAGCCAAGATGTCAAAGTTGCAGCGACCGCCGCACCTCTTGAACCGTTCCTCGGATCCGATTGCGCGCGCGCGCACACCCTTTGTTGAAACCCGGGCATGTCAAGTAAGAGGCCCTTGATTTGTCTTTTCTTTTTTATGGTTTTCGAGGACCCTCTAGCTTGCTTTTCCTGTGCTACCTCTCATTGACCAGGGTGAGCTACCTTCTCTGCGCATTTGGGGTATTAGCAGGGCGACTTGGAACGAATGGGCCGGCATGGGAGTGTCCTGCGACGAGCGCAGCGCATAGGGCGTTGTCCTGGAACGAACGTGTGCGTGCACTCCCTCACCCATCCTCCCTCCCCGTGAAGGAAGCCTTGCCGAATAACCCGAGATCGTGGCCAAAGGAAGAATAGACCCGCTTTATCTTGCTTTTTGTCGCTTCCATCTCTTGAGCCCCCTTCCATTCCAACCCTGTGTTCTAGGCTTGCACCGATTTGGACCCCCTTGTTCCCCGTTCCTCTCTATCAGCGCCAGCACGGTGCGTCCCCCACCTCCCCTTCTCGTTTCGACCCGGAGCCTGTCGGCAAGCCGGTCGCGAAACTAGAGACTTGTTTTCGCCTAGAGAGTGATCTGCTTGTAGACGAGCGGAGTGTTACTTGACGCTCCGGGTGCGCACGGCAGCGAAAGGGGAGGCAAGTGCTCATGTGCGACACACATCCAACCTTCGTCCGAAGAAAATCCAAACGTTCCCCCTCGGATCTTCTCATTTTGTTTTCCTCTCTCCTTCTTCCTCTCATTCGTTTTCTTCCTCGCCATCTTCGTGTGTTTAGTGCGTCCTCTTTTCTCTTCGCTCGTGCCGGTCACCAAGTTGTATTAGCTACACGTTCATTACTCTCCGCCTGTCGTTTCTTTCGCTACATTCGTTTTTGACAAACGATTTCGCCTCGCTTCCTTCTTCGCCGTTTGCATAGAGTTATCAAACATCACCTGGTCCGGATACCACGAAACAAGAATCATATATCACCAACAAGATGAAGTACACCGTCGCCGCCCTCGCCTCTCTGGCCACCATGGTCTCTGCCCACGGCAACATCACCTCGCCTCTCGGTCGCATCGCTGGTGCTGCCATGGCTGCTGCCTGTGGGCAGGCCGCGGTTGATGCCGTCAACATTGATGGCACCATCCCTCTCGAGAACATCCAGCCTGCGACTGCCGACTGTATGTAATCCCCTAATGTATCTGCGGTGAAGGAAAGGAAGAAGAGAGCCTCGAATGAGAGCAGGCTTCTCGCTGAGCGACGCTGAGGACCAGAGGGTGCTATGAACTGGAAGCAAATACTAACATTCGGGACGTTTCTAGGCAATCTCTTCCTCTGCCGTGGTGCCACGTTCGATGACAACGTCGACCGTGTGCAAACCTTTACCGCTGGCCAAGTCGTCGATTTCACCGCCATCTTGCCCATTCCCCACGAAGGTCCCTGCAACGTGTCCGTCGTCGACACCACCACCAACTCTGTTATCGGTGACCCTCTGATCGAGTTCGAGAGCTACGCCGACGAGGCCCTAGCCCAGCTCCCCGCCAACAACACCGCCTTCAGCGTCACCATTCCCCAGCTCGCCGCCGGACAGTGCGCCGTTGCTGGCCAGTGCGTCCTCCAATGGTTCTGGTTCGGTACTGGTGCCCAGCAGACTTATGAGAGCTGCATCGACTTCGTCGTTGCTTAAAATGGCCTTGTGGCTGTTCACGGTACCCAGGCTCTGGCTATCTGGAAGTCATCATTGAGTGTAATTGGGGGTAGCGAGAGGGAAGAGATGTAGATCTTATGAATCCCTCATTAGTTGTCTATATCTCTGTAACCAGCGTACATTTGGGCGATTCTTCTTCTTCTTTTGTTCCCTTAGCTTCTTGGATGTTTTTTTCTCTCTTCTTTTTCGCTGCTTCAAATGGGATAGATTGTTGGGACTTGGTGGGGCATGCTGGTAACGAAACTGTGATGACCTGTTCGCCGGACATGCAGGCACGGGGAGAACATACCCAGCGCTGGCGAACCTGTGGCAAAACTGGTCCGAAGGGCGCATCGGCGATAGCATATTGGAGAAGACTGGTTAGGAATAAGTAATACCGCAAAAGGGGAGTGATGTATGTTCCTCTATGCCATTCATGAACAACATTGCCACTCCCACTTCTTAGTCAGTCTCGCCGTCTCAATTCCTGCCATCGATAAACCCGTGCAGCGTGGACCTTGCATGTTCGATGGCCAGTTGTGTAAGAACAAGGCCGCGCAGTATCAAAGAGAGGGGCGAAGCTACTGGTGTCCGTCGATAGTCGGCGGGTCTCGTTAAGCCAATGGAAAACTCTCGAAATAAGCTCCGTATCCTGGGTTGAGAGGTTGAGCCTGGATCCGGCGGATTCCTGGGAGGCAAAAGTGGCCCAAACCTTATGGACTGATCATCTGCTAACCCACAGTCCCCAGCTTTGTTACCTTATCGGCACCTTCCTGCCTTGCCTGCGCTGCAACTGGGGTTTTCCCAACTGTCGAAGAGTGATGGTTGCAAATGCAACACTGCTGATTGGCTCTGCCAAAATTAGCGTCCTGCCCCGTCCCTGAAAGTGCCCCATAATAGTATCGCCCACCTGCGTGTCTCTTGCGATCTCTAAGACCCACGAGACCTCAAGGGAACAGAGGAATTAACATGGTTGTCCGTGGGGTACTTGGTATTCCAAAAGTACTGTCTACTCTCCGTTTTAGCCACCCGGGCCTGGAAGAGGATTCGGAGCGAGTGTCCATGACCAGCCCATTTGCAAGATCGGTGTTAGTCAAAGCTTCCATTAACTTCGTCGCGGTTTCCGGACTGACGTTGCTCTTTCCCCAAGTACAAAAGGACTCCTCGTCCCTTCCTTCTTCTCAATTTCTCCTCGATATTAAGCAACTATCAATTCTCCAATATTCTTTGCGCCTCAATCGTCTGGCTTAACCTCACTCTCTGCCTTTAACTGTCCTGCAACGTACGACACCTCATTAATCCAATAGCACATTCTGCTCGTCAACGTCATTACCCCGCCAAAACAGCAGCTTTACCACGTCTCCCTTCGCCATGTCTCCCGCTGATACCTGCTGCCGAAAGGGTGAGGGCTCTTGCGTCTGTGGTATGCTTCCTCTTCGTCACCTCCAATTCGTACTTTCTAGGAGATCCCCGCTAACTGATGTGATTCTGCAGCGGAGCAAGCCACCTGCTCGTGCGGAAAGCAATCCGCCCTTCACTGCACCTGCGACAAGGCCCCTGCTGAGAACAGCATCACCGGACCTAGCTGTTCCTGCGGCGCTCGCCCTGTAGGCAAATGTACCTGCGCCAATGCCGCCTCGGAGAACCAGAAGCCCGCTGGCTCAACCTGCAGCTGCGGTGCTAGGCCTGCTGGTAAGAAATCTCTACCTCCCGGCTTTTAAAGCTTTTTTCATTGTTTTTGGTTCTCCATGTTGTAGGTTTCAGAGTACTAATCTGCCTCTTTCTTATCAGGCTCTTGCACTTGCCACAACACCGCCAACGAAATCGACTTCACGACCAAGAAATAAGCAAGTTGCATTAAAGACCCTCGGGATAAGAGGGCCCTTTTCTTCGTCAGGACAACTTATGGGTATGCATCGGGATTAGGCGTTAGGTGGGCTTAGGAATGATCATAGTGCAGGAATACGCACTAGAATAGGTGTTATTGTGTGCTCATGGCTTTATTTGAACCCAGTGAGCTTCGTATGAGTGTTGTAGATACCAATACAAACCAACTTTAATAACCCAGAAACCAAACAAAGCATGTAACGCGCAAGTCAGAGACATCGGGAGTATTGTGGTGAGGAATAGTACATGTGTGACAACCTCAAACTGCTTGCCACATACATTGGCAGCGGCAAGCTCTAGTTGGGTAGAACGAACCAGATGTAGGCCCAAAAATCTCATCACAATCTTAAACACTGAGCAAGCGTGAACACGAACAAGGTCTATAAACGCTCCCGGACATGATGAACCTATTAGTACAGGAAACCCAAACTCTCATAAACGTCTGTAAATGAATTTTTAAGACTCGGCACCGTATCTCACTCTTCGGACGCAGCAAAACGTCCCAATTTGTACTGTTTCCATTGTAAATACCCGTCACACCCACTCCTGATGATGTGAACTCGAGAAGAAGGACTTCTCGTGACTCCTTTTGAATGTCCCAAATACCGCAAGCGTCGCAAGCCGACACTACCAATCTCTCCGTGTTGCTTGTTCAGCTACCCTATAGCGCTGGAAACGAGCTGCTGCCTCTGCTGCTGAACACTCCCATAATGCCGAATCCAGCGTAGAAGAGGGCGAGAGGGTAGGCGACAAGGGCGCGCATACCGCGCATCCTACCGACGGCGCAGAACATGCCACTCGAGCTAGCGGTGCACCAGAGGATGGCCAAGCTGGTGATTATGATGCCAAAGGGGGTATCCATGGGCATGACGATGCCAACGAGGGAGGTGGCGACGAGGGGAAGAAGACAGTAGCCGAGAACACTGGCGCTGCGGGCAAAGGTGAGCGAGGAGGCGTTCTTGGGCCCGCCAGGACCTGGCTGTTGACCGCCATGGTAGCCCGGTCCTCCACCGTACTGGGGTTCGGCGTTAGAGTCGGGAGGGGTCATGAGGGAGAGAATGGCGTGGAGGGATGTGGAGCCGAGGAGGGCAAGGCCGTAGATGTAGCCAAAGTGCACCTTGCCGGAGAAGAGGAGGAAAGTCCCAAAGAGGAGGAAGAAGAGGACGGGGCCGGCAAGGTCGGAGTCATCCATGAGATTCTGGTCGATGCGACCGAGGGGATTGAGTACGGCTAGCGTCTGTGAGGTAAGTAGAAGAACGAGTTAGCCCTCATCCCATTCCCACAATGTAGATACCGCCACACAACAGGTCACTATTCTTGGTCAAGCATACCTTGGCTTGGATATGACCAAAGTTCACACCGAGTTCTTCCATTAGGGGTTCTCCGTCGTATCCCTCCGTCGAAAAGGCCGCGAGCCATCCTGTCCTCAGACCTCCTTGCTCGCCCATACGGCCCGATACACCGCCACCGTACGCGGGTGCTGGGGGTGCACCGTATCCGCCATAGCCTTGAGGCGGAGGAGGGGCAGCATCGGGGCCTGCCGAGGAGTAGGAGGAGGGGAAGAACTGGAGGTTGTTGGCCGAGGGTTGGCCGTAGTTTTGCTGGGATTGATAGTAGTTCGACATCGTCGCTGTCGTATGGAGAGGGAGGAGGGGGGACTTTGAGGCAGAGCTCTCGATGGTTTGGCGGGGAGGCCAGGCGCGAAGGAAACAAGAAAACGAGGGTATCAAGGAGAACGCGGCAGAAGATATAGACCAATAATTAAAAGTGTGTCTGCGGCGGCGCGCAGCATAAAAGTGCCTGGCGGGAATCCGAAACCAGATGCCTGATGATAATACGCTGTTCGAGAAAGATTGACGTCGCCAGTCTCAAGGCAAGCTGTCTGAAAGGAGGCAGAAGCGAATGTGATGGTCGATTAGGTAATCTATTCTCAGCTGTGTGAGAAGGTGCCTGTGCCACGTTGCAACCAGCACGAGCTCGTGGCGCTACCATGAAAGGGCCAAATGTGGCTTGATTTTCGGAAAATATTCGGCGTTGTCCCCTGCCGTCTTTTTCTTTCTTTTTCTTTTCCCCTTGGCTTGGGCAGACGAAAACGGAAAGGGTAAAAAAATTCGCGTTCGGAGGTTTTCGCAGCGTTCATCCGACAAAATCGGACTTCTCTCTCTTTCCATTGATGGATCCCTTCCAAGCGTGTCCTTGACGCTCAAATCCACACTCACCCTCTACGCCCCCTCGCTCGCCTACTTCTCACGAGGGAATCGCTTGAAATCTCACCGAGTCCAGCTCCCTCGCCTCCTTTCATTTTTCCCCCAGCCAACCTGTGACAATGGTAAGTTGCCGAATATGGCGCCACGCTGTGCCACCACGCCCATCCCAAGATTTTCGATCGCATTTCGCAGCCAAGGAGGGAATCATCGCCAACTAACAGGCATCCGCCCCCGCTTTATAGGCCCACCGACTCGTAACCCAGGTCGTCATTATCGGCAGCCGTATCATCGGCCGGTCGTTCGCGGCGGCCTACAAGCAGGCGCAGGCCTCGTCGCAGTACGCGCGCGCGCAAGCCAAACTCAACCCCGACGGTGCCGGCGCGGGCCGAGGGGCCTCCTCGGCGCGGGCATGACGCTCGAAGAGGCGTGCAAGATTCTCAACGTGAAGCCGCCCAAGGGCGGCCAGGCCAACGCTGAGGAGGTCATCGAGCGGTACAAGAGGCTGTTCGATGCCAATGACCCGCAAAGGGTGGCTCCTTCTACTTGCAGAGCAAGGTTGTCAGGGCGAAGGAGAGGCTAGATAGGGAGCTCGGCCCGATACGCGAGAAGCTAGAACAGGACGCTGAGGTCAAGGAAGGCTTCAAGCCCAAGATTTACAAGGACTAAGCATTCGAAGAGTAACTCGCTCGAACGACAACGGTATGGCGGGGATGATATGCCACGAACAGTTTCGAATCATCTCTCGGAACATCTCGCCTCAACGACTGCTATAGCAACTCAGCTATGCGCGACGCCATCACCACGATGTCCCACAACAAAATCTATTGATACGATACAGACGAAGACGATGGGGATGAAAGGGCTGGTTGTATCTTCTTAAGAATCGACAAGGAGATGCAGTCAGGGACGGACTTGGGAGAGCCGACAGCCCTACACTTGGTTGCTCATACGAGCGGGAGTGGTGGGCTTGGGTTCGACCCATGTGTAGTATAAATCTTCACTGACATGTCGCATTGCGAAGGCGTTATTTTTGGTGGAAAACACAGGCACCATGGCGAGAAGCCTGCTTTGGAACTAGACTATAAAGAAGGGGTCGCTAATACAGTGTATATTTATCTTTCCACAAACACATTTTAGGCCAATCTTTTGGGGCCATTGCTCTGTGAAACAAGTCGGCCTCGGTGACTTGAAGAAGCCGGCCACTGCCTCGGTGCCACCGGGTAGCGTGGATATCATCCCGTATTCTGGGAACGCCGTCTCTTCCTTCGCCTGTCTACTTAAGATGTTATAGAATAGAGACCTGAAGCCATGCCATTCCCGGTATGCTCATCGACGAGACGATAGTTTATGCTTCATTGAATCTCTGTTAACCCGGTCGTGTGAGAGCCATTCTTCACTCGTGCCTCATACTTCGGAGCCACCGAGATGGCGGTTCCGCATAGTTAGAGAACCTCTGGATATGGGGTGTGCCTCACTCGTGTTATTATCGCTCCTTGAGGACATTGGTGGACGTCCTGCTCTTCCTTCCTTGAAGCCTACCTGCACAGCGATCTTAGAATAAGTATACTTCAGGTGACAGCACTCGAGGAACGCCGGGGATCCAAGTCTTATTTCCCTCCCATTCCGGTTCTCCGTTCTCTATAGCATGGGAAAACGTGCATCGGAGATGGGAGGTCGCCGAGGCCCGGTCCGTTGTTTTCGTGACAACGAGCAGGCTCCGATGTATGCTCCCTCCACAATACCACCGTCAACTATGTTCTCGTTATAATACTAATCACGGCCTATGGCTTCTCCATCTCCGCATGAGAAAAACAAAACAAGGACCATTCCTCACTCGCCGACCCACCATGATCACCGTCGATCAATCCGCGCCACCCAAAGTCAGCCACCGCGTGCCCTGCCCACGAGATGGGAACGCATGAGACCGGGTTGTTCTGAACTTGCAGTCCCGATGGCGCAGCGAGCTGGGACTTTTTGTTTCGTCCTATGAATGCAGCCCACTCTGGCTTTTCCCTTGTGCGCTGGTTGCCAAGGTGGAAAGCTCGGCCCTGCGTGTTTCCGGTTGAGTTATCATTGACCTTCTCGAAGACTGTTCCCTATCCGTGAGCGCGCTTGGCGCAGGTCACCCATGAGCTATAGTCGCCTTGATCAAACGTTGGATTTCTGTTGTCCCTCCGTACATGTATTTTCAGAGATATGCCTGTATCACGCGTCGAGGAGTGCATCACAAACACTTCGTAGGTTGCAAAATGGAACAAGAGTGGTAGAATCGAAAAAGAATGTTCGAACATATTAAGATGGGTATCTATTAATTACACACATTGGTGAACCGTCTTCGCGGTTTCCGACATTAACGTCTAGCATCTAGCTAGGATCCTCACTGAGGATCATGATGGTTGAATCAAGCCCAGGGTGTTTCCCTCAAGAAACACCAAGCCGCCAGTGCCGCTAGTAAAACGTAGGGTTGCGGGCGGCCAGAAATGATATTCTAGACACGCGCGCAAACCCTTTGAGAACCCATAAACGTTTCCCTTGTCTAAAGTTGACTCCCAGTAACCCTCGTATAACGTTGGTCCTCCAAGAAAAAGAATTGGAGGACACTCTCTATGTATGTTAAGTGCTGTATGCCGAACAGAAGAAATGTGTAAAAAGAAGGAGGAAGAAGAAGAAGAAGAAGAAGAAGAAAAGAAGCTTGAGCTCAGCAACGAGTGTGATGAAGTGAAGTGATAGAAATAGAACAAGGTTGCTTCCAGATAGATCGCTGACCTCTGCCCATTAGGTATGGTAGGCAGAAAGAGGATGGAGGTAGAGAGATAAATTGGAGATCAGCCCTATGATTGGAATTTTAGATCGGCTTCCAAGGTGACAGGGCTCTTCCAACGCTAAGGAAGTCGCTGCCACCAACGCCAGAACCACCAGCGCCACGGTCTCTGCCGTTATCCCTGCGCGTAGGATCGTATGGCTTCGGGAATGTCGGAGTCCAGTTATCTGCAGGAGAACCGGGACCGGCTCTGCTACCGTCATCGCTCGCTAGGCTCCAAGCTTTGGGGTCCTGCGGCGACGTCGACCCGCTCTCCTCGACGAAGAAGCTATACGTCTGTCCATTATAACCAGGAGGCCTGGGGAACTGCGCCCTTCGCGAGCCTTGCGCCAAGGCAGCAGCCGCAGAAGAAGCGCCCGACGTGGCGCGCGAGCCCTTGCCAGACCCAGAAGGAGCAAAGAGTCCAGAGCTTTGAGTGCGGCGCTTGGGGGCCGGGCGAATGACGATGCGCACGTCGCCCTCTCCAGGGCCCGTGCTCGACGTGCCATCGCTGCCGAGAGCCCCCGCGGCCATGACGGCGGGAGCAGGCTTAATCAGCCTGTTCTCGGTGGCGTTGGAGAGGATGCTGGCCGCGCCGACGGGGATGGAGCGGGATCCCGAAGAAATCATTTCCTGCTGCTGGCGAGACATGTCGAGGGCTTCCTTCTTCTTGATGAGGCGGTAGATGAGGAACCCGGCGAGGATGAGGAAGAAGAGGCCAAAGATGATGCCGAGCGCGATGCCCGCGATATCGTCCGAGGTGAGATTGGAGCCTGGAACGGGGCGGACGGGCCCCGTAGGTGAAGGGTTCATGTTGGTGGGCATCATGGATTGAGGGTTTCCGGGGGCAAGATGCCGGTGACGCCGGGAGGCAGCTGCGTGCCCGTGGGAACGTTGGTGGGGTTCTGTCCCGCTCCGGGGGTAGGAGGGAGCTGCCGTCCGGCAGGCCCGAGGAAAGGTTGGGCGGGTTCGCGGGGATGAGGCCCTCGTTGCCCGTCGGGGGATGAAGCCGCCGGGGAGGAGCCCACCGGTGAATTCGGGCCGCGGCGCCACGGTCGTGGTGGTGAAGACCGTGGCGGTGGCGCTGGGAGCCAAGGTTTGCGTCACGAAGACGGTGTTGAAGAGGGCCGAGGTGACGGTTACGACACCGGTGATGGTCGCGACCAGCTCCACGGTCGTGGTCAGGGTGACGGCCGCCACGGCATCCGCGTTGAAGCCCACTTCGCTCAGGGGCTGGGACGCGGCCGGGAGCGTTGTGGCGAGGTTGAGCGCGCCCGCGTCGTCGGTGACGGTGGGTTGCGGGGCGGCTGCCGTCGCGGGGGTGCCGTTTGGGGCGGCGCGGCGGCGGCGGCGTCTTGTCGTCGGACCTGGCTTCTCGCGACGGCTCCGGAGGTGATTGTCACGGTGAGCGTCTGGGTGCGTAGCGCGGGGTCCTGGAAAGTGAGGGTCTGGAAGACGGTGACGGGGACGACTGTCGTTGATGTGACGGAGCCGACTGTCACCGTCCTTCGAAGTGTTGTGGTGACGATCACCGTGGGAGCGGCTCCGACTTCAGCGGCAACGCTACATATGAATGTCAGCAAATTTGGCGGAACAAGAAAAGGATATTTTCAAGAAAACGAGAAAAAGACCGCGAGCACTGTCGCTCATATGGCCCAAAGGTAGGAGATAGTGAAGAAACTTACCCGACTTCCGTGCAGTCCGCACCAACACAACTCGCCGCCATCTCTGCCGCTCTTTGCTCGGTGGGACAACACGCTCCGGTGCCATCCTCCGCCATACAGCAGGCAAACCCCTCCCCGCAGCACTGAAAAGACCCGGCTCCATCCGGGCACACCAGAGAATCCGTGCACGCTGAGGCAGTTCCGTTTTGCCGAGCCGCGAGCCTGGTTGCCATCCTGCCGGGTTCCGCCCTCGTCCTCCTGCGCCTCCAGGTCGGTAGCATCTTGGATCGGATTCCGTCCTCGGCGTCCCGCGGGCCGGTGGGGTAGCGGCCATCTCGAAGGCCTGAGGTGAGCTGAGACTGTGATGAAGACGGAGCGCGAGGTTGCGCTGGTAGTTGGTGTGACGGTGTGCCGGCTAGCGCGAGAGTGCACCATAACAGGGCATATAGACCCTGTGATATCAACATTATAACACTGTTCTCATTCTGGCTGGTTGGAAGCCCCGGGTTGTTCCTCGTTTAGATGAAGGAAGAAAGCGAAAGAAACTTGTTCTTGGTGGTGGTCGAAACCCTGAACAGAAGAGCGAGAGAGTTGGAGAAGAAAAGAAAGAGAGGAGAACCCGATGATAGAACGAAGGTTTCGGGTAAAGGATGGTAGGTTGATTACAAAAGAATGTAGTAGAAAGAAAAAGTAGGAAGAAGCGAATGCAGCAACGCTTTAGGAAAAAGAGAAGATGGAAGCTGTTGGCTGCTTAGAAGGAGCGGATGCAACAATATGGCGATTGCCTGGCCATGTGGGGAAGAAGGGAAGAAAAGAGAGGGGAGGGACGAGATGATAAGACGAGGCGGGGGGATACAAGGGATGTAAAAGAGATCTTGGATCATGAGATGGTCCGAGCCTAGGGTGGGAGGGCAGTGGGCAAACAAGCTTCTCTTGGTCGTTCGGGGAATTTGACCTGAGGGAGTGGTGACAATCTGCCCGGATGTCGAATGTTGCCCATAGCCGAACCACTTTAGAGAAGAATGGAGGCCAGGCGAGTGTAAGTGGAATAAGACATCCGGGACTCACCGAAAGTGATCTCTATGAAGGGGGAGGGGTGTAAAGCGACGGGGGAGGGATAAGGGTAGCACGGGTGCCCGGAGCGAATGATGCAAAGGGGAGTGAGGTGAGCAAGGCAGAGAGAGAGTGTGAGTGCGAGAGATCTTCACAAAGCGAGCAAGGCTCGGTACAAGGTGGCGTCACTTCCCCGGCGGCGGAGAGAAACATACGAGGGCCCGACACCAGGGCAAGGCGGGCGAGGTGAAAAGTTGGTACGCATCATCAGCGTCCCCTCCTCATCGTCATCAGCAGACGATGGGGAAGGATGAAAATAGGGTGGCAATGGGCCAAAAAGAAAAGAAAAGGTGGAGTGGCAGGGGGGATGATGGCCTATCATCCATGCTCCGGTAGCGTGGAAGGCCGGGCCAGGTACGCCCGTCAGGCAAAGACCATCATCCCTGCTGGCAACGACGAGGATCTCACGAGGGCTTGGCCAAAAAGAAGAAATGGGTAGTGTCGATTTCTGATTTCTATGGAACCAGTTTATTCCAGAACAGACGGGAACGTTCTGGAGGGGGTGCAAGTTTATGCATGCGTCTGGGGGTGGGGTGCGTGCGTGGTGTGAAGTCGGCTTGTACACATCCTCATTGAGAATAAGACAGCACCGCATGGCCTGCCGGGGAAGGGGGAGGAGTGGCGGGAGTGAAAGGGTGTGGAGAGAGGATGGGATGATGGCGACAAGCGCGCGTGGCTCGCCGGTTTCTCAGACATGAACTTTGTAGGGCACTATTGGATGAACAGGGCCGGGGATAGGAGGCAAGAGGCGAACTAGGGGATGGACGAGACGAGACGAAGACATGGGTCTTTAAGGCACACAAGTTGTGAACGACAAGAGAAGAAAAGAGTATGAGTTGAACAGACAAAGATTGCTTGCGTATAGTTCACCACACGCGCCGCACCAAATTGATTCTCCTCTAGCAGATGGACATGTCAGTGATTTGGAGAGGGGCCGCGGGTGGGAAATGTTTAAGCTAAGCGCTGTCAGAGACAGAGTGACCGCCCGGTCGCGGCTTGATTACGGAAACAGGTGGCCTTGGACCTGGATATTGGGAGTCTTGGATGGTCATAATGATGATACTAGGCGAACGGGTCGGAAATGCGGGTGGGAGTGAGGTAGGTAGAGAAGAGAAAAGACAAAGGGGGTGTGAAGAGGGAAAGGAAGGAAAACCCCCAACGCCTCGTAAGCCAGCGTGGACATGTCAAGGTCACCGGGGCAGCCACAAGGCGAAACAATGGACCTGCCTTGGGGATGCTCGCTGGTTTCCCTTTGGGCTTGGCGGCGTCGGTATCGCAGAGTGAATCGGCATATGACTGATCGGAGGGGTGGGTTCCATTCGTCTGTGCTTGCGTTGCAGCATGCCTAGCTTTCCCTCTCCAACGAGACCTCGGAAGATAAAGTTAGCTGCAGCAGATGAGACCCGATGCAACCAGCTTGTCTAGGGGAGTGCACAAGGCCAAAAGAGCCTCAGTCCATCAAAGTCGTCATGGCCGGGGAGAGCAGGGTGGACAGGACCTCGGAGCGAAAGCAAGGGGAGGTGAGAGGCTCGTCCATGGTGAGACGGCAATGCCGCACGTGCATGCATTTCAAATCCTCGTCCTGATCCTCTTTGCCTCTTTTTAAGAAACAGCAGCAGATGTATCGAGAACCAAAGAGCCCTGCGGCTGCCTTGCCTTGCCTTGTCCTGCCCTGCCTTGCCTCGCTGCTATTTCTAGGATGGATGCTGGGGCTAGCGATGACGAGTGTCAATACATCGGCGTGAGTAAATTTAGCAGCCATCTTGTTTTTGCGGTGGCTGTTCGTGAGCATCCGGCTGATTCTTTCTCGTGTTTTTCCCTCTCGTGACGTTTTTTCCTCTTTTTTGCCCTGCTTTTTTCCCCTTCCATTCTTTTCATTTGATTTTCCCACGCTTAGCCGGCTGAGAACAATCATGCCTGGGCGGATTTTTCATGCGCCGATAAAAGGTGAGACCGGATCGAGGGTGGCGAGCAGGTGCAATGATGCGCAGGGGTAATGTGTGAGGTTGACGATCTCTTTTTCTGGGTGCTCGGCGTTCGGGGCACGGAGGCTCGCGGCTGCCGTGCGGATTCGTCCGGGTGGGCCCTGGCCAAGCAAAGTCAGCAAACATGAGCACTAACAATTATCAGTCAGCTTCCCTTGGTGGCTCTTTCCCTTACCCCGATGGGACGTACTATTCGGAAAATAGTAATTGCGCCCCCTCCACCCCAGAAACCCCATCCGAACGCTCAGCGCTCGGCCTCGCTCCCCTCTCCACACTTTCTTTCTAGCGAGCCTACACGACACCACCGGATGTGCCCCCTTGCGCTGTCCGTGGTGTAGGTTCGGCGCCAACGTCTGAGCGCGCGGGACATGGGTCAGCTTCGTTCCACCCCTTGTCCTCCGGCTTCACCCCAGACATGCCCTGGTGCGGTGCAGGCACCTTCACCCTGACTTCCATTACAACCTTTGCCTGTTGTTTGCCTTTTGTTGTTCTTCCTCTCCAACATTTGGCCTCTATTATACTTTGCTTTCGTCTTAGTTTGTTCTGTCCATTGCTCGATGCTACCTGGAATTTCCTTCGGAGAAGGTCGATCGAGAACGAGATCGGCGTTCTACAACGCGCCATCGCCATCGCTAATACCACATTCTTGTGCGTCCGAGACGCCTCCATCACAAAATGCCGCCGCTGCTTCTTTGGTTCACCTTGTCTTTTGGGTCCCTTTGTCTCTTGGCTCTTTGTTTCAACGCAATGGTGACATTGCATCCGCTTTCTCCCTCGCCCTTCGTTTTATTATGTTTTCCTTTTCTGTGTTCTCTTCGACCTTTCCGGGTTGCCCCGTGAAGCCGTTTTCCCTGCCCATCCACGACAGTACCAGTCAATGGTCCCTCTAAGCTCGCTCACCTCTCCTAACCAAACCCTGGCCTCCTCCCCCACCCTTCCTCTCTCCCGCTTTTCTGCACGTCTCGGTGGTCTCGTCTTGCTTCAGAAATGGAAATCAGCGTGGATTCTCGTAAATGCCGGGTTAGCCCTTCCACCGTACCCGGGAAAGTGAGCTTCGTCTTTTTTCATCTTTCGTTCGTCTTTGCCCAAGATAAAGGACTTTGACGGGACGGGTGAGCAGTGATGTAAATCAAGACCAAAAAAGTCAAGGCCACTTTGGTCGGGCGCAAGATATGCGAGAAAGGCTCGCCGTTAGCGTCGTGTCGTGGTAGACAAAATAATACCCGGGAACCAAATCTCTCGAGGGAGTGGTGCCCGTTGCTCTCGTTTGCTGCGTGGATCACCAGTGGCTGCAAAACGAAAGAAACACTGATGGCTTGCGAGAATACATGGAGTAGGAATCTTTAGTCTGCAGTCTGCACTGCGACTCAAAATCTCTTGGAATCACACCGATTGATGTAGGCTTGAGCCTCACTCACATCTAGTCTTTATTGACACGACTAGTCCTTATTGGGCGCTTCTCGACACACAGGCACACACACACACACACACACACACATTTACTTACGTGTACTAGGGACGCTTGCACATGCACAACTCCGCTCCGAAGGACACTTAAAATCACCTTTTTCTCAAGGAACAGAGGCAAGAGGAACAATAGAAAACAAATGCATATTTTTGGTATCTCGAGCGCTGTCACGGCAGCCATCATAACTCCCTTTGCCCAATCCTTGGTATCTGCGCATGCCGGCGCTGGCTTATGCACAATTGTCGTCACAACATGTATAACGCAGCCCTGTTATGGAATTGGCCCATCATATCATCCCATAATTCCCATCATCATAATCATTTCGTCCGGTGTATGAGACCAGTGCCTTCAGGACACAAAAGGAAAGAGAATGGAAGGAAAAAAGAAGTACACAAAGATTCGTCGTCGGTGGATGATGGACATTCCGAACCATTATGCTCGTCCACTGCCCGCACCCGGGGATTCTCTATCCGCGAGGAGGTATATGACAGGCAACGTAAGAAAGAAAAAGAAAAACAAAGAAGAAGGCGAAGAAGAATCGATAAAGGCCATAGGAAGGGTTCCCAAAAAAATGTAGAGGGGTCGGGGGAGGAGACCCGGAAAATGCACGCATGATTCCAGCAGCGGTGGCCTCGGATCTGCCGTCGGTCACGGAATCCTCAGACATCGAACCCAGGAATTCATGCTCCCAAGCACGAGATTGCATTTCCTCCCCCTTTTTCGGGCTTCTTGGATTCTTCCATCGACCATTCTACGCAACTTTGTGGAACGTAGGGGTCTGATCGTTGTTTTACTTACAACGCGGTATTATGGTATTTTGCTGTCGAGGATTCTTTTGCTGCTCTTCCTCTTCCTCGGCTCTTCACGCCCAGTCTTCCGCGACTTCCCGACACCGCTTTAGGCCGGCTCCTGCGTTATTTTTGGCTCATGGGCGTGCGTGCTGTCCGGCCTCTTGATCGCCACCTGGCTCTCTATGGGGCCCGTCCGCCGTGTTGCGGGGACTGGTCTTGGGGTTCGGAGCTCTCGTCACCCTTCTCACGATCGTCGACGACTATTCTGGACGCCGGTCGAGTCTTGGTCTCATCGATAGCCTCCCCACCCTGTCCTCGTCGTCGTCGTCGAGAGACACGGCATAGGTTTCCCCACTGAGCCCCGAGACGGGGACATCCTGCTCGAGTTCCTGGGGTCGTTGATCCCCAGGACGAAGCTCTCCTGGCTCCTGGCCCAGCGCGCCTCCGACATCTCGCTCTCGCGCTTCTTCCTCCGCCCCGTCTTGTCTCCCTTTTGATGTGTCGGCAGGGGCGGAGGCGGCGTTTGCTGGTACGAGAGCCAGTACTCTTCGAAGCCGAGGGACACTGGCCTGCTCTCCCGGCAATGTCGCTCCTCGACATGGTTTGAATCTCGTTGTCCCTGTATTGCTGCAGACCGGGCGCTTGCTGGGCAAGGCGTCTCGTGCTCCCGAACAGGGAGCGGAGGCTGAGCTGTGTCATCCCACGCTCCGAGTTCGCTGCCTCCATTTTCGTGCTACTGCTATTATTGTTGTTGGTATTATTATTCTCGAGGTCCACCTCCGTCATCTCGGGTGCCGTGTTGGCCGCGTCGCCCGTCCTCCAGAGACCGTAAACGCGCCCTTGGCCAGCAGCTTCTTTTGTTGATTTCGACGCATCGTGGCCATGGCCATGGCCATGGTCGTCGTTGAGTACCCGCGACCGCCTCCAAGGATAGCCTCGATAGCTAACCATGGTCGTCAGGTCCACGCTCTCGTCATCGCTCACGTCTCGCAGCGGCCTCGCGCTCCTCCTCTTCCCGGCGCGAGCCCCTTTCCGGCGGCCGCCAACCACCCTTCCCGTCGCCTGGGCATCGCCCATCATCCTCGGCCACACCCTCGCGAGGACGGGCCTGAGCATGGGAGCGCTCGCGCAAATGAGGGCGACGTCGCACTCGAGAATCGTCATGACGAAGAAGGCGAGCGTGTTGGTGACGCCCACGCTGCCCGGCTGGAAGTGCCGGTGCAAGCTGAGCTGCAGGCGGAGTAACGAGGCGGCGATGACGAAGATGGACAGGCTGAGGACGGTGGCGAGGGCGACTTTTGGCGCGGGGGATATCGAGGCGCGAGATGCACGGGATCACCATGATGATGATCCAGGCGTCGGTGGCGGTGTGCAGGCTCGCGCTGGAGATGAGGAGGGGCGCGAAGCCGACGCAGCGCATGGGGCGGCCGAAGAACTCGCCCTCCTGGGGGTGGCACTGGAACACGCTGACGAAGAGCAGGGGCACGCCGTAGAGCAGGACAAAGGCGATGGTGGCGCGGGCGAGCCAGCGCTCGCGACGTTTGCCGCTAAACATGCGCAGGTAAAAGGTGAGGACGGACAGCTTGGTCAGGCACAGGCACAGCTGGTAAAAGATGAGGCCGAGGTAGGTGCGCATGATGTAAGGGTGGACGGAGCCGGGCCCGCCGTCGGCGGTGGCGAGGTCGAGGTCGTGCTGCAGGTCGCGCTCGTCCGGGGCGAGCAGGATGTCGGGGTGTAGGCGGCGATGCTGTAGATGATGCAGGTCGCGGTGGAAAAGGCCCAGGCGGCGAGGATGAGGGTGTCGTCGAGGTACCATTTGCGCAGGAGGACGAGGCGCGAGATGACGCGGCCGATGATGACGATGGTGCAGATGATGTGGGGGACGAGGATGCCGGCGAGGATGGCGGGCATGCCGGTATCGTGAGGCTGTTTTTCGTGGAAGAGGGAGGAGATATTGTCTTAGTTTGCAGGTTTTTGAAGGGGGACTTGGACTTTCTGAGGTCCTTGTATAGCTTCTCTGATAGACAAAAGCTAACCAAGTGAAAAGGGGAGGAGCCGTGATAACTTACCGTATCATAATCGTCAAATGTTGATGCACCTGTATCGTTGTGCATTGGCAGCATCTGTGCCGCCATGATGGGCAGCTATCACCTCCTTGAGGAGGTAGTCGAGATGTGAAGCTGACGATTGGTGGCGGTGATGAGTCTGTACCTAGCTTCCAACTTGACCCTCGGGGATCCTCACGAGTAAAATCTCGCGCGTCCTTTTGCTCACTTGCTCGGCTTTCGAAATGTGGAACCCGCGAGAACAGACCATATAACACAAGCTAGAGCAGGAAGGAGCGAGGCGGGGAGCTTCCCTGTTAAGCTGTTTTCTTCTTCCGAGACTCGTCGGTTCTTGATCCTTCTGCGAAAGGGTTAGGATAGTCCTAGCTCTAGCTCCTACTACTTTCACGGAAAGTAGATGGCGACGAGAGCTGATCGACGCGAGGTGGAGATTACATGCAAGGTCACACGCGAGGAAGAAGGCGCTTCTTACACGCAGGACAAGGTGACAAGGTGACAAGAATAGAAGCCTGCTCCCAAGGAACCGCAATCGGTGGATGGAGTAAGAGGGTAGAAGAAGTAAGACAATAGAAAAGAAGAGAAATCAACAGTAAAATCACAGAGGAAAAAAAAAAGAAAACAACAAAAAGCAGGATCACCAGACACCGTTTAATGTGTGCACCAACGAAAGAAAGTGGAGATGTAGAATGGGAGGAAAGGGACGGCCAAACGACAGAAATAAGGTAGCGAGACAAGTCCGAACCAAAGACGAGTTTGCGCGCACGCGCTTGTCCTCGAGCTTTATCTATTGTGATTGAGTCCTCCTGCCCGGATATCCCGTCACCCTCGCGGGGGAGGAAGGCTGAGTCTATTTGAGGGAACAATATATATCAAGCCGGGTAGACAACGAGGCCGAGGTGCGTATCGAATGTATGTGTGCCTGCGAGTATCTCTGCTGAGGGAGATAGTGTATTGTTTTGAGGGCGGGGGGAGGCGTCAATTGCAATGGCGGACGCATCCCACAGTTTCTGATTCCATGGGACTGAGATAGATTGAGGTGAGGGGGTCGCCAGGTGAGTCGTCAAGAGGGAATGTGTAGGAGATATGGAGGGTGAGGAGAGAGGTCTTCTACAGTGTAGGGTGTGTGAGACCGAACCAAACCAACATAAACATACTAACAAGGTGTCATGAGGGGACCGATCTTTGCTTCATGCAAGGTCATCTGGGTTCTTCTTCATTTTTTTCTTCCTATTCCCCCACCTCTTTCTCCTACAGCAGCAGGAGCGGCGGCAGCGGGGGTGGAAGCCATGGCCGAACAAAGGGGCAATTTAATATAGGCATGGAGAGGAAACACGGAAAACGCCCAGCATTGTTCAAATGTCAATGTGCAGGCCAAGAGGCTTCGTCAGGTGGGAATCCGGGGGCGAGTAGGCCGAATTATCCATTGCGCCAAGAGCCTCTCTGATAGATCCATAGTGGAATTGAATAGATCAATTGCGATTCCTTTGTGGTTTTGGTGGTGTGTCTTATGTGTATGTATACCAAGGCCCGTTCTTCTTTTCTTTTTCTTTTTGTGTCAACCCGTTACTTTACTTCTGTCCTCTTGTGCCTCACTCAGTGCTACATATACAATAGGCCAATTGATGATGGGAGGGTTCCTTTGCTCTCCGCGTGTCTATCGAAAACTTTGGTTCCGGGGGCGGGAGTCTGAGCAGCGGATCCCTTTCTTCGGCTATTTTGCATTCCCCATACGACTTGTACATGTGTCTCTATCTATAGATGGGACGAGAACGTACACCACTCTCCACTCAATTGATGTATCGATGAATATGTGGCGAAAGAGACGGACGGAAAAGACTAGACGGGTGGGGGAAGGAAGCCTTGAGCAAAAGGTTCCTTGCATCGCATACCTGTCTCTCTTTGTCTCGCTGCTTCTGCCTTTTTTCTAGTTCTTTTTATATAGGAAACAAAAAACGCCTTTCCGAATCACCAGTCGCATTCTTCTTCTACTTTTGTAAACCGCGTTAGGATTGAAGAAGAAGAAAACACATTGAATATGCTGAAGACGGACTTGATAAAGTGTTAGTGGATTTGAGGGTATTGCCGAGGGCGGGCGGGGGAATCAGGACATCAAGGCTCCTTCACACTACTTAGAAACGGAGGGAGTTGAATGCTGATGTCTGATGGTTCAATCTAAAACCCCGTCAAAGGTGAATCCATGGGTTTAACCTTAATAGTAGTCTATTTTGTCGCACCTTTCTGATCTGCAGCCTGCGCGAGGACTGGGAAATTTTAACATGCGTCGTCCCAAGCACCAGCTAAATTACCAGACTACAGCAGCTTGTAAGGTTTTGCCAATCCTCGTCCCATCCCATTACAACTCCATTCAATGCCATGGACCCCAGCTTTAAAACCTACATCACCACGCATCTTGTTCCCCCGCCTTGATCTTCCAGGAAAGTAAAAGGTGGCAGTGAGGGGCATGATCCAGAGCGGAGGGGCATTTCTGGTAACGGTGTTCTCTCCCACCTTCGATTTTGGCGTGGATGGATGCAACCCTCTGGGAGAGAGTTGCGGGGTGCGTATGGTTCAGTTCCACCCTTTCATCACCCTGCAATTGATTGCGCGTCGGCGCCACATACAAGGCATGGGCTTCGTGAAAGCTGCAACGGAGGGGGCTTGGGCTTTTGTGAAGCAATGGTCAACACCCCCTTCTCGCGTTCCTGGAGACTCGATGCAGGCCAGCCAGACGGGGCAACATGGGCAAGGGAAGTGGGTGAACGTTGGACGGGATGTATGGAGGGAGCTAGAGGCTCGAGGCACGGGATTCAGTCGCGGCTCGGGTTCCTGAGCTCACGCATGTGGCTCGACGCAGCTCGCCCCAATGGCCAACTACTTCCAGCCCATTCTCGGCTCCACGTCACGATCAATCGTCCATATTCCGTGGCAGGTGCACTGAGCGAGTGGACGGCCACTAGGTCCTCAGTGCCCCTAATACACGCTCACGCGTTGCACTAAGAGTGCTTCCAGGGCTCATAAGGTATCGACTTGTATCAGTCCATGGACATCGTTGTCCTACTTGGCGGCGTCTAGGCGAATGAAGTGGGATTGTTTTCCCAATACCCATCAGTTGTCAGACCATCCATCAGTCAAGATGAAATTCGGAACAGACCTCAATCTCACACTGGTCGATCCAAGGGCGGCGTCCGACTACTTCTTGTGCTTATGTGGGGGTGCTTTGTTAATCTCTGAAAAATGCGATGTTCGGGTCTGGTCGAGAATAGAGCACCCAACTCACCCGTGCCAACACGAAAAAGAACCAAAGTCCTGCGCCTCATCGGGGCTCAACGTTGATACATGAATTGAATGCTGAAGCAAATAGCCGCAGGATTCAAGAATATAGATAAATTAAAATGACCCCCATTCCCCAAGCCCAAAGCCCCGTTTCCCTCTCATTTGAACTGTTTACTATTAGAAGATGCCCTTTTCCCCACATTCACCCAAGCTTACCAGGAATTGATACAATAGATGGGACCACTGCATGTGCAGCACGATGCAGTGGAGTGTCTCGAGGAAGTCGACGTGAGAGGAACTCTCGGCCAGCAACACGACAAGGGACCGAGGCGGTACCTACTTGCAATGCCGACGCCCACGTCTAAAGTGTTAATGTGAGCTCTTGGATTCGCTTGAGCCGCCAAGCTCAGCATGAACCTCTCTTTTGGCGACGGCGTATGCCAAGCCCTAACTCACCCTCCAACGAAGACTCTGTCTTCCCCGCCCCAAGACTGAAAGAATGTAAATGAGATCCCGATGGATTTCGGCCGGGATGCCTGGTGTGACGAACAGCTTGGAGAGGGGACGAGGTGGCTCGCCGGAATCGAAAACCGTCAGTAACGTTCTCGAATGAGATGCTCCCTGAGGAACAATTTGTGATGATTTGCTGGCGGCGAAACAATAGTAACGAGATACGGTGATGCTTACATTCCTTTAGAAAAATGCAGCCATTCGCAAGATCAAGGCGTGGAAATGCAATGTGAAATACATGGAAAGTACGCAGATGATCGTTCTCACGAGCAGGACATGGGACATACTGTCGCCACTATGGCCGGAGTGTACTTCCTTGGATATCCAAACAAGCAGGGCGTGATTTCTACGGAGTTCAGGTGAGGCACTCGCTATTGCGTAGATAGGTATCCATTCTGATAAACATCCACTGGATGGATAGACATCCTCGTGGCCCAGCCGCAGAGCTGTGAAGACGGCTCGGCCCCGAGGAAGCCCAATCTCCGTACAATCGACCCAACTGCCACCTTCACTCAATCTTTATCGATGAGCATATCACCAATTGATGTCTCGCTACAGGATACTAGAAAATGGCGACGGAAGGCCAAGTAGATTATGTACAGAGTGGTCTACATTTATATGGTCGCCCCACAAGACGAGCCGAGGCAGTCACGATGCTGTTAAGCCATGAGAGGCCCAATCAACGGTTCCGACAGCGCGTGACCACATGCAATCCAAGCTTGTATCGAACGAGCCTCTCACAATCTAGAAGCGGCAATTGTCGGATGGTGCCTGGGCCTTGACCTCTTCAATGTTATTTTAGAAAATGTAAACCTCACGTCTAATCTGCTATGCCCGCATACCTTCTCGCATGTCACCAAGTCTTTGTTTTGGTCCACTCCCGTTATTTCATGAGCTGGGTGGCTGCAAAAATCGCACTAAAGTGATGGATCTATATGCCCAAGAGTCAAGACGCCGCAAAGCTAAAGAAGACCAACCTTGCTGCAGACATGCGAGTCGGCACTGGGGGTTGCGTTCTTGATGTCTATCGGCCGAGCTGCTCGCCGAGATTTCGTTTCTTTTTCAGGGCTTGATTGGTCCTTCCTCGCCTTATCAGGCGCAACACTGCGTCTATCTAGGTCTTCCTTTTGAGGAGCCCCTTCCAATAATCGAAACTGTTCTCGTCACTCTGGAGCGTCCACACTTTGCCCGTGGTCCGGCCTTCCCCATCCAATTCCTCCGCCTTGAGCATGCCCCAATCTCTAGTCACCCCGAGCACCCGAGCCCTCACTCCGCCCTCCGCCTCTAGTGTCACCTTTTGGCCCGTGTGTAGCCAGTGCCCGTAGTACCGCGCTTCTAGCGCCGCGCTGAACCCGTCCCGTCGGAACTCGGCGTACAGAGACTCTAGCAGCGTGAGCATCCGCGCAATCAGCCTCTCTATCCGGAACGGCTGGAGTGAGGGCCTCCCGCAGCGGCTACTGCGGGGAGCAGGGAGTCGAGATCAATGGTGGGACGACCATTGCTGACGTTGACGCCGATGCCTAGGACGATCTGGTACGAGCCCGCCATATAGGCGCAGTTGGCCAGGATGCCGCCAATCTTCACGTAGGAGGGGGTATCGCTGTTATCACGGGGTCTCGAGCGTCTGTGGCCAGAATATACAAGTTAGCTTGCTCTCAGCGGGGCTTTCTTCATAATTATGGCGTGAAAAAAATGCAGTGATGTTGAAAAGGGTATTTTCGAGATAAAGGGCCATTGACACTTACAAACGTCATTAGGCCACTTGATCTTGAGGTCGAGGTTGTTGTACCCTGGGCCGTAGCTGCGCACGGCTTCCACGGTGGCGATGGCCGCGAGGTACTGGAGAAAGACGATGGGACGGGAGGCGGCGAGGTGGGCTGGGTGGTTGATGACGGTCGACATGATGAGGCAGCCGGGGGCGCGAGCCAAACGTTGGAGCCGCGGCCGCGTCCTGCTACCTGCGTCGTTGCGATGAGAGTGAAGCCTGTCGCGAGCTTCCCTAGCAGTGTGGGGTTCCTGTGCTCACGGTTAGTCTTTGAAACCTTCACGCCAGGAAGGATCCATATATCCAAGGCTAAAGGAAAAAGGATAGAACTCTCAAGCCGACGAAGACGAGAGATGGAAAGGGGGAATGGACCATACTTTTCGAGGACGGTGTTGGTACTCGTCACTACCTCGCCGTACATGATTTGATTTCCCCACTCCTCCGCCGCGGGTTCCATATCTCTGTACGACTGCAGGCTCGTGTAAAAGACATTGTGGTGGAAACTCGGCGTCTCCTTGACGTCGGGCCACGCTTCTCCGTGCGGCACCACCCGCTTGACAATAGTCGTGTAGTCCACGATTCCGCCAGCCACGGCACTCTCCGACGCCGTTGGCTCCCAGCGCGAGTCCTTCTTCTCGACGTGAAAGGTGTCGTTCTCGCACTTGATGAACTCTTCGCCTCGGTCGTCGCGGGCGATGATGTCCTCCCAGTCGTGGAGCATCTCGTCTACCTCGGAGGGGTTCAGCGCCGAAAGGTGCAGGCTAGACAACGAAGGCATCATGGCTTCGGTCTCGTCGACTTCGAGGCCAAGTTTCGAGAGACAGGCCTGGAGGAACTTGACGCGGCCACTGTCGTGGGTGGTGATTTCTTCCAGTAGCTTGTCGTACCCGGGCACCGAGGGCTGCGGCGATATATTGATTGGCGCGAATCTTGACAAGAAGGTCAGTGGGAATGAGTAGAGACGCAGCCATAGAAACGGGGTGCGCGAGGTGATTTTCAGCTCGATATTTGGAGAGAAAACTTACTCGGGATGAGGTCCGGTGAGAACGGCAGCTCCTGCCCAACCTTGCAGTACACCACGGCAGCCTTGCCGTCGCCGCCATCAACATCGATATCCCCCACGTAATTCGCAAGCACCTCCACCGAATCCGCATGAGCCGCGGCATCGACAAAGACGCCGCCTCCATTGTAGTAAAGAGAAATCTCTCCGAGAGCGGTGCCCTCGCCCTCCAATCCCAACGCACCGTCGCGGACAGAGATCTTCGCCGCCCGTGCGCCGGACTCGCTGTGATACCGGAACCCCTTGTGCGCGCCACCCTGCACGTGCCGGGGAAGAAACCGAGCTCGCGACGGCCGACGACCTCGAGGTGGGGTCGCCGACCTCGAACTCGCACCGGCCGCTCCCGTAGTAGCCGCCGGCGCAGAAGCCGAGGAACCGGCCGCCGCGGCGCACGTATTCCGTGATGCGGCGGTTCCCGGGCCCGTTGAGCACGCTGCAGAAGCCGAGGTCCGCGCCGCCGGGGAAGACGAGCAGGGCGCAGGTGGGCAGCCAGGGTTCCTTGAGCAGGGCGTTCTCGCTCACGGGCGTGACGGCGTAGTTGGGGGAGAGGAGGCGGCGGAGGGTGTAGAGGCAGTGCCGGACCGAGTCGACGGTCGTGCCGGGTCCTGGAGATGGATTAGAAGGTGTGGGGTGGGATGAGGCGCGGAAAGAGAGGGGCAAGCGGATGAAATGAGGCTGTATTGTTGGGGAGAGAGAGACGCACCTGTGTAGACGAGGACATTTAATCGTGAGACCGACATTCTTTTTGAGTATGAGCACGAAACTTGGAAGAGTAGCTATCTGTTCTCTCGTGCGTGAAGACTACTTTTTTTTCTTGTTTTATATATTCCTTTTTACTCATTCACCTACTCGCTCACTCTCACTCTTACTCGATCGAGGGTCGTTGAGCCTGCGCAGTGGCTCAACGTGCGAACAGGGGTTTTCAATGAGAGAATAATTGCTCCTAGATTTGCCGGCGCAGATCCGCTCACACCTTTTTTGCGCCTCCAAGAATCCGCATGCGCCAAATCTCAGCTTGCCCGTCTGACTGATCACCCATCAAGATCTTTTTTACTACACACTCACGCCAACAAACAGCACCCCTACGCATACTCAAAGTAAAAGACCAAGCTCATATTACAAATAAGAATTCTAAGCGCCTAGGCCGAGACAGTGACACACTAGGCGTCCCGAAGAGGAGCGGCGCAGATCCGCGGGAAGGAAAAAAATGACGGAAAAGCAAGAACAAGTGGTTGCGCAGATTGATAGCCGGCCTATCGCGGATGACAACGACGAGCCGGATGAGTGGTGAGTTTCAAGAACCAGAAAGCCAATACCCCAACAGGAAGAGACTGGGAGGGAGAAAAAGAAAGAATGGAAGAGGACCCAAGGTCGAGCGAGGGGAAGAGATAGAACCCTCTAGCGACGGCGACATCGGAGGATGTTCGGCGCGATTTTGAAGCCAGGAATTTCAGATATTGGTGGCTCACACTATTTCTTGCTGGTAGGGACCAGAGGATAGACCGCACTGGCTGTGCAGGTAAGAAACGAACCCAATGGCTTGATAGGCCTCCTTTCCTTTTGCGGGAATATGCTCAATCTTGTCTAGAGCAGTTTGAATTGTGTAGCAAGATTTGAAGTTCCCCGAGGCAATGGTGATGGCTGCTCGCCATGCGCATTGCCATCAATTAGTGATGGATATTGCTTAGGCGGTTGGATCCAGTATATTCAAAGCTAACCATATCGGTTGTGTCTATTAGACCAGAATGCGAAACTGACAGACTGCTATTTCGAGCACAAGGACTGGCGGTCCTGCACCGCTGAGGTGAGTGACTCTCTTGCTGCCAGCACCGCTCTTGATGCATCACCACATTTGTTGATGCGCCAGGCCGCATAGCGACCTTGCCCCGTGGAGATGAACGACGTTCAGCGCTGACAGGGTCGCCCGTCGCTAATTGTCCACAGATGATTGCTTTCCAACAATGTTGGAGGCAAAACAACAACGACGAGCGCACGGCAACCAAGGATTCCGACAAGCAGAACAAATGATCCTGGAGACTACCAACTTCAGCTTGGAACTATTACAACCATCATTGACGATCGAGGCAGCTTGGAAGAACACTGGGAAGGGGCGGGCGGTGTGTGCAAGCGCGAACGATGGGTCATGATTTTGCTTGCGAGGTGTTTACCCGCGAATCATCCGAGAGAGCTCTTTCCCTGCCAACAACGAGGCAAGCAGGGAAAATCAACGTCCAGGGTCGCGCTTGCTGGTGTGTGCTCGCGAAAATTGTACCATATATTTCTTTCCACCTCAACATCTCTCAACTATAGACAAAGAATAGATCTCTCCTCCTGTTTCCGTCTCCGCCTCAATCCCTGGATTTTCCCCGATTACTAACCACGATCACTCTCCCTATCGACGAGCGGGTATACATTTCCTCGACCCATTCTCCAAGCCAAGCTCACGCAGCTCCTCCTCCCGTCCCGGAACCATCTCATCGCCGCACCCTCCACCATCTTCCTTTTTTTTGCCCAACGGTCGCCCTCTTTTTCCCGCTCGATGGCCGCCCCCTCCAGGCCTCGCGCCTCCTGGCCGCCGGCTCGCCCTCCCCCTCATGCACCGCCTCGCCCGCCCCGTACGGCCCACCCACCTCCCCGTCGGCGGTTCCTCTCCCGCCCTCTTCTCCTCCACCTCCCGCGCCGCCGCCCTCGCCTCGTCGACCTCGTTCGCCAGCGCCTACCCCAAGTCCTGCCTCCGCAGCGGCACGAAACGCATCTCCAAGTTTCAGCAGCACCAGCTCGCGCCCCGCCTCTCGGTGAGCTTTGCCCGAACCGCGACGACCTACAGCTCCAAGCAGCAGCAGCAGCAGCAAAGCCTCGAGGAGGCCGCCGCCGAGGCCGAGGCCGACTACGTCTCCTCCGCTAGCTCGCCGACGCTCGTGAGCGACCTTTCCGATGCCTCGACGTACGTTGACTCGCCGCTCGGTTCCCCCTACGCCACCGAGTGGGGTGTGGATTGGTCCACCTCGTTCCAGGGCATCGGCGCCGCGCCCTTTTCCGCTGAAATTTCCGAAGTCCTTAGGCGGCCGATAAAGACGGAGGACGTCGAGATCAAGCCCGACGGCATCCTGTACCTCCCCGAGATCAAGTACAGAAACATACTCTTCGATGCTTTTGGTCCTGGTGGCTGGGGCATGGTTCCTAGGGGCCCTGTGCAGGTCGGTGCCAAGATCGTCACCCGCGAGTGGGCCCTAATCGCTCAGGGACGGTAAGCTCTTCCATTTCCATGGCTCCCCTAGTCTACCTAGTACGCGTTCCTAGCTAATTCTTCTTCCCATCAATGCAGATTCGTCAGCCAAGCCCAAGGCGAAAACACCTACTTCAGCAAGGAGCAGATCCCCGCGCCGTCGAGGCCTGCAAATCCAACGCCCTCATGCGCTGCTGCAAAGATCTCGGCGTCGCCTCCGAGCTTTGGGACCGCACCTTTATCCGCTCCTACAAGGCCGCCCACGCACAGGAGCTCTGGGTCGAGCATGTCGTCAACAAACGCCGCATCAAGATTTGGATCAAGAAGGGCGACAAGGTCGAGTACCCCTTCAAGGCTGCCGGACCCCCTTCTGCCTCTGCCAGGTCGGCTTAATGGATAGGTACGACTTGTTGCAAAAATAAAAACAAAAATAAACAAGATCTTGGGAGATGACTCTCCTCAATGGGGTTTATACACGGCATACAACCATCGCTCGGAGAGGACGCCTCCTGTCCCCTACTTTTCTTAATACCACGACGCACGGTCTATACTTCGCTCATGTATTTTTTTCTTTGTTTTACCCACTCAATCACCAAGCTCGGAAGCGAGATACCTGTACTATTTTACACTCACACACAGCATGGAGAGGCTATGGAGCAGGCAAGAAGATGAGGCGTTACTGGGGGAAAAGAAGAAGCAAGGCAGAGAAGGAAATACGCCAGAGGCAGCGGGGCCTCGTGTATCTATTGTAAAAATACAACAACAACCAGCTCAGTCACCAAAGAGATAAGACTCTCTCAAACTCGAGATCCCTCCTTAGGCTAGTAAGGTGTGAAAACATGAGTTTGTCCCGGACAATGCGTACATTAAAAGTACGCGTCTATAGTTACCGATCGGTAACCAGCTTCTCTGTAGCATCGCCCTCCCCGACACCGCTGGGAGGGAACGACAGGAGAAACCATGTGGACAAAAACCATAAACCAGAGACCATAAAGAACGCCATCCATTAATAGAAGCTAGGTGAACCACTTGCACATAGGGCATGTTTTGGGCAAGGTTTCCCTTTCCCGAAACATTACTGTGGGCTCTTGTTCACGCTAGAGCTATGGCCAGTGCTTTCCTCTACCGGTGTCGTTCCCGATCCCCAACCCCACGGCATCCAGGAACCGCCACCACCTGGCGTGGTCGCGCTAGTTCGGTGCCGGAGGTTTGGATCTTCTTCCGCAGCACTGTCGACATCGATCTTTTCGAAATCGACCTCGCTGCGGCTTTTGCTGAGGCCACTCCAGGAGCTGAGGCCGCTTGGGGGACGCTCATCAGGTGGTGAGATATCTGTAGGAGACCTCGGTGCGTCGCCGGTCGCGCGGATAGTATCCTCCCGCTCAATCGTACGAGCCTCGCGGTCGAGCGCATTGAGAACCGCGGTTAGCCGGTCCCTCTGTGCGGCAATAAAGTTGATCTTGTCTGCGCCTTGCAGGTTGGCAGGGATGAGGCTTCCAGAAGCACTTAGTCCGCGATCCGCGGATGAAGTGGCAGAGGAGCCAGTGCCAGCCGTCATAGCTGTGGAGACAGCGGAGGCCAAGAAACCGTAAAAATCGGCACTTGTCGAAGCGGCCGCACCTGCGACGCCAGGGCGGCTGATACCGGCTCCGGCCCAGCGCGCCGCGGGGACGCTGAAGCGGGATAGTAGGTTTTGCGTGTAGCTTTGGGCGTTTCCGGTTTGGGAGGCGGCTGCCGGCGCAGGCTCCTCGGGAGGCATGCCCAGAACCTTAGTCTTGAGCAGTGCAATCGCCTGCTTCAGGTATGAGAGGCCTGCAGCCTTGAGGCGCTCGTGAGTGCTGGCAATGAAGTCCTCGATCTTAGTCTCGTTCTGCTCGAGGTAGGGGTGGACGTAGGTCTGGTAAAGGATGCGAGCGCCTTGCGTCTGGGGAAGCACGAGGTAAAGTAGGAAGACAAGGCGGATGTAGGCGTAGAAAGGAACCCTATGGCGAGCGAACAAGAGAGTAAAGAAGTCAGCAAAAACGAAACTGTCGTCGAACTGAGGGGTCGGCGCAGCACTCCAGGGCATGCACCATCTCCCCACTGTGAACAACGTCACGGGCAGCACGCGCGGGTGGCATGAAGGGACAAATCCTCACCAGAAAAGGAACCATTCAGTCCATGATTCCACCAGGAGAGCGCAGGCCAAAACGACCCAATACATGAGCCATGGCGTTAGTTCGGCAGGGTCGGAGGTCTTGAGGGCTTTGTATGACGCGAAGAGGGGAAAGAGAAACGATGCGATAGAACTACGGTGTCGCGCGCGGGTTAGTTTAGATTCCTCGCGGCCTCAGTCAGACCATCGGCCACGATAATAGAGCATTTCGATCTGTCTCCTAGGGTTTTGGGTCTTGCGACCCGTCGCTCACAAGGCAGGAGGGTGGGGAAATTGGTGTGCGGGGCTCCAGGCACTCACGATAGGAGCTTCGCAAAGATGTCAAACATGGCTGCTTGGGTCGCCGCCTAATCACGGCAGAAGAAGCGCAGGTTGTGGCAGAAGGGGGTGAAAATGTGGATATATCCTCGTGAAAAGAAATTATATTTCTTGGGGCAGGTTCTAACTGAAGGAGCTCGAGGAAAATAGAAGATTGGGATCATGGAATAGGAATCGTTGGAAAGGAAGGAGCCCAAAGTACAAACGGTCAGAAGGAAAGGCGCGGGTCGCTCGGTGCACGAGGACAGGCGCAACGCCAGGCTTAAAGGGCCAGACCAGGCTCACCATTACGCCACGGGTACCTCACGCACAAGTCCACCCCCATCCACCAGGCCGGACCAGGCCAGGCCAGACCTCCGGCCGTTCAGTAGCGGGGTCCTAGCAACAAGGTAGCCGGCCAGCTACGATCCTCATAAAATTAATCGAGGTTTATGCTGATGCTGAGACATGGCAGGCTCGCACCCGCACCCGACCTCGCAGGGCTTATCGCTTGGTGCCATGTGATGTGAGATAACAGACCAGGACTCCACCTCCCATACCCCCTCAAACCAAGCTTGGACTGGCGTACCCCGCAGGTACCACATTTGGTGTCTCAGAACCAGTTGACGTCAGCGCCCGTCGCGCGAGGGAAGCAAAGGAAGGAAGGAGCCAGAGCGAAGCTGAGTGGCGAGGCGGCAGGATCGACAACAGCGAACCCAGAACGAAAGGCGAAAAGCGTGAAGCGTGAAGCTAGAGGCTTTTCGGGCCCGCATTCAGTAATGAGTCGCCAATCGACAAACTCTAAAGGCGTGAAAATGGTATTAAAATGGTAGAAGGAAATGTCCGATGCCGTCGTTTCTTACCGTCGCTCTAGACTTCGAGTTCCAGCACAGGTTCTCTACCCTTCGCTGGGGAGTCCCGTCGCCCCTATACCGCCGACGAGGACGACTCGGCGCTGGCCATTGCGGCATCATCACCTGTTTCGATCCCACGGCGGCCTTTTCGGCCATGATTGTTACCCCCACACACCTCCTAATTTTGCTCTTTGTCTAACCAGATCCGACGGGTGATGAGCTCTTTTTAGCTTCTATGCAGGTTCAGATGTCCGCGTGTGCCACACTGCTGCACACCGCCCGTGACTTTGCCGGTCTTGTCAGCAAAGGTTTGCCGATTGTTTGTTGAGTTCTTCCCGCCTGTCTCTTTTCTGATGCGAGCTCATCGTCGGCCAACGTCGGGAAAGGCACGGGGTTTATAGATCGCCGGATTTAAATGCTAGCAGAAATCAGAGAGATGCTAAACATATGTTACACTCGACTCTACTTTCTTCATATGAGAATTTTCCTCTTCCCCGGCTCCTTTGGCACTCATATAGCAATATAGAGCTCTAGTCTCTTGAGCTTGGTCGCTCATTGATGTCCATTACTTTCTCCCCAGGGCCCCCGCGCCCGAGGCTATCACCTCCTTGCAATCATATCTCCCCGATGACTAGGGCTATGGTAAGGGCGGCAAATCGAATGAATCACCAAAGGTTTGCTGCAAAAACAACCGCCAAAATGAAGTCAGGGTGGAGGAAGGTCCATGGCTTTGTGCCCTGGAACGACAGGGTACTCGAGCAGGCTCCTCCATGTCTCTAACAGTAGCAGCCCGACATATTCAAACCTACATGTAGCAACATACAGGTGGCTGGCCACAAGAGAAGAAGGGCGTGGGAGATTTGCGTTTGCCTGCCAAAGGCACACAAATCAAGACACGAGGCAAGATTCAAACGCGAATTGAGGGCCTGAGGACGTGGTGACCGCTTAGGCTCTCCCCAGGAGTGTACGGCGGGCTCGCAGGAGGTAAGTGGCGAGACTTTTAATATCTGACTCAACTCCAGACACCCTGTGATCTCAAATCGGCTCCCTCGATTGCCCCCAGTTGTACCGATCTTGTAATTAAGTTTCACGAGAAAAAAAGACTGTAACGACCAATGCGAACCAACCAGCCATCCATCTATCCTTGGGTATGCGCCCATCCAAAGATATACAATTCAGTGCTTGCATTGACTCCCCAGGCTGCGTCGAAGATGAAGTCAACATTGTGGTGGGAACTTTATCTCGTTCATCAGCAGTGCCTGCAAAACACCCACCACACATACAACCCATTCTAGGTACAAGATGCGAATGGTGCAAGGGGCCCAAAGAGACATGAAAAAAGAAACATTGGATTCAGAATGATCGATCAAGGCGTGTTTCGATGAAAGAAAGAGTAAAAAACGACAAAAAATGAGGACCGAGCGTGGATCGAACACGCGACCTAAGGATATTTAGCAGAGGAACTGCAATCCTTCGCTCTACCACTGAGCTATCTGTCCTTTGAGGCTATTCGGAAATCATCGTCTTGATTCCGAGCTAAGAATGTTACCCCACATGATCAGCCCCGCGCGCAAGGGCGGGGACTCGGTTCACGGAACACAGCGTACAGTACACACACGCAGAGAGAGAGGTGCTTTCCTTTCCTTTCTTTTCCCTCTCTTACAAGAAATTTGAAAATTTTCTCTCCACACTCAAGTGTCTTTGAAAACATTGGCCAATGCTCCATGGACCCGGGCAGTTTTGTTGACGGTGATTGATGAATGTGTGCACAGGAAAACCTATCATTGACACAGTCCCCGTGGAGCATTCAATGATTCTATTTTTGTCTCGTGGCTTCGGAATGGCCATTTCGGCTCCAGAAAGCCAGTACACATCCTCGAGTACAAGATAAATTGAGAATCCCACACCACAGCTTTCCCCATACGGACCCTGCTTTAATACCATTCCTTCGTCTTGCAGAGTGGCGGTCTTCATTCCGTGAGTAATATGTGCCCCTGGCCCGGTTAAATAACGTCGGATCACCATCACCTGGGAGCATAACACGGCTCGTATATTGCGAATTTGGAGAACTGGCCAGCAAAGCAGCTTTCTGGCTACTCGGATTTTGGAGCTCTACAGTGAAAGAATACCACGTGTACGTGAAAGCTCTCTTTCACCTTTTGGTCCATGAAGGGAAAAGGGAGGGGCGAAAATCCATTAAAGCAAGACGCTTCGCCGCCCTCTTCTTCCAGAAGGAAGTTTCCTCCGGAACCTAAGTTGTAATTCTGTGCTGCGATCATTGGAATTGTGCTCTTCGTGTCTTGATTGTTCTCGCGTTTGTCTCTCGGTTTCTCTTACTAGAGTAGCACCCTCATTCTTTCTTTGGTGAATCTCCAGTGCAAGAGCAACAATGGCCAAATCCCAGCTACTCGTTTCCCTTCTTGCCGCGCTGGCTGCGGCGCCGCCGTCAAGCCAATGTGGTCATCTCAACCGTCGTCGACACTTTTAACTGGCAGGACCCTTTTGGTTCATACGAGACGCCGCCCGGCTTCGAGGCGAAGTGCGAGTCCAAGAAGTCCTTCCGCGCGATGCAGCACCTCATCTCGGACCTCTCTCACGAGCCTCCCATGGGCTTGGCTCCTGGTCCGACGCAATCTTCTACTTTTTCGGTGGCCGCCCATACCCGGGAACATGGGACGGTGTGGACGACAAGGGCGAGAGCCGCGAGATCATGAGGATGGAGTACACCGATGTGCCGGCTACCGTCAAGAAGTGGATCGAGGAGCAGAAGAAAATCGAGGATCCCGAGGCCCCTAGCAAGCACCTGTTTGCCGTTTATGAGAAACCCCAGAAGGAGGGAGACAAGATCACGGGAACGGCTAAGCCTAGGCCAGATGGAACTGAGGCCGCCGACGAGGAGAAGGTTCTCATGTTCGCTGCCGGTGCGCTCTACGAGATTTTGCCTCTCTGGGTTGCCGATGGCAGTGACTGTCAAGGTAAGCCTTGATTCACCCGACTTTGCATACAAAACGGTACTTTTGCCATGGACGCATTGCTAACTAATCATCCCCTGTAGACGAGCTCCTCAACTTGGAGAACTACCAGGCGTGGCCTGAGGACAAGAAGATTGTGGCATGGCCGGTCGAGCATACTTGGCCCGACGACGAGAGCGGCAACCGCGAAATCGAGTTCACCGTCAAGGCCCAAATCCTCCACGAGACTGAGGAGGGCCGCGTCGCGCGTCTACAACGAGAGAAGGAGGCGGAGGAGGAGAGAATACGCCAGGAGGAAGAGGCGAAGAGGCTAGCAGAAGAAGAGGCCCAAAAGGCTGCTGAGGAGGCAGCTAAGGAGGCGGAGGAGGAGGGCACCAACGAGGAGGCTGTCACAAGCGAGAGCGAGGCTCCAGCCGTTGAAGAGGTGGTAGTGGAAAAGGTTGAGGAGCCAAGTGCCCCCGAGGCGGAGGCTGATTCCGCAAGCAAGACTGAGAGCTCGGAGAAGGACGAGTTGTAAAGGTGACGCAGTTGGCCGGTTGAGAACGGGCATTCCCTTTTTTGTCAAATCATCCTGGCGGAGTTTGGGTTCACTTGTACATCACTACAGACAGTAATTCGATCGAATTGGGTTTACATGCGAGAAGCGTACGGTACATGTGATTTCTTTTCTTTCATATAGTGGGACGTGATAAGGCTGGGCTGATCTTGACAGGCACGGGCAGGAGCCAAATATTCGCCGAGGGAAAAACTTGATATTGCCCCAGCATTGATCTCTATTGACATCTACTTCTACTCACATGCTAAGAAATATTGATCGTCTCTTATTCAAATACGAGAAAGGGCCTGCAATAGACCACTTATTGAGCATACCACCTCGCGGGGGCGAAAGAAGAAGAAAAAAATAGGAAGGGAAGGCCCCGTTCTGGTTTTGACTGGTCCCCGCTGGTCCCCGTGTCCTGGCGCATCTCGAAGCAAAGTGACTTGTCATCCAAAGATCCATTGATAGATGTTTGCGACTCGCTCAGCCGCCTACTAATCAGAAAATACTAGAAAAAGGAGGGGTTCGAACGAACGGTCGTGCACGTGGATAACATGTTGTACTGATTCATTGATCGTTGATGAAGCTTTGGCGCAAGGGGCAGGCGCGAGGACATGCGTAGCCGTTACTTGATCAAGCAGCGTCGAGATGCGACAATGACGCAGAGGCGGGAAGTGGTGGGCTTGAAAGGGAAGGCGGGGGCGGGGAGGGGTTCCCCGGTCAGCACAGAAAGCAGAAAGAGCCAGCCAGGCCAGTGGGCCAGACCCGAGTCAGGCCAGGCAACCCGCCCCCAACGGACCATAGCAAGATAACGTTGGAAGGTGCGCTTCCGCCTCCCTAGTCTTCACTTCCGCGCACCAACTCGTGCTTTCATAGGCTTTTTGGTGAATGGATAGATAGATCCATCTACCGAGCTTTTAGAAGGAATGCGCTCTCTTGATCCTACTTCTGCTACGACAGACTAGGCGCCAAGACTTTGGCTGTGCTGATGAGAGCATCAATCATAATCTGGCCGCAGTTCTTTACCGCTGATCAGATCATTGATCGGTCAGCCTATAGCAATACGACATCGCTGTGTGTGCCGTTCCCTTTTGCGTGGGAGAGTGGGTTGAGAGGGGATAGCTACCGCATCTGGCGATTAACAATGGGGCCGTTAGGGAAAAAAGCCGAGGTCGAGAGCGGGTTTGACCGTGGTGGCAAGATTGCAGGGAAAGCAAGAACCGTCCGCGGTCGGCTTGACGGAGAACTACCAGAATAGAAAAAGAAACGACCAAGAAGAGCTGGGTTCCACAGCCAGGGGACTCGACTAAACGGCTCGATTTTACTTTGCCGGCGTCGAAGTCCCATCCCCTACTGAATCTTTCGATATAGTGCCAAGCCCATGCCCGTCTGTCTTGCTCGACGCCAGCCTCCGTTCTCAACACCGACGTCGCTCAACGTACAAAAGCCAGGGGTCGAACAATCTCGTGTCCTGTCGGATCCCGCCGTCCTGCCTGCAACTATTAAACCCACGACATCCCACATGTGGACTTTTCTGTCTGGAGAGATACACGCATAGCCACACGCCCACCTATCATCTTCCCTCGAACCTGTCCTACGCCGTTTCTCTCAGCCCAGGCCCAGGTCCGGTAGACAAAACCCTCTGCATAGCCCAATTTCTTCTGCCGGTGCATACCCAACGAATCGTCGCTTTCCCAGGGTGTCGTTGTACACGCCACACCCACGCCAGCCTACGAACCAGGATTAAGTTGACCTTCAACGGCGCCGAATCGGCATCGTCAGTCGGACCTGACAGCTCAAATCTTGTGCGCGCCACTGCGATCTCGCCCCTTGGGATTTTTGCAGATCAAATCCAACCTTGACGAAGCCCTCCTTGGGAAGCATTTCCTCCGGCCGGCGGTCTCCCCGTCCATCCCCCTCACCTACTTTTGCGTCCCCCTCCGCCCCCTGGACCTGTCGCTTGAATCGTGTAACGACTTGCTGGATTTCTTTTCCTCGTGATCCCACTAGTCCGTGCATCGTCGTCGCTCTTGCAGCAAACCCCACGGACTCAAAGATTCGGACCCGCTCCCATCCGACACCCAGCTACAAACTGGATCGGGAACTCAACAATCGCTGCCGAATAGGAAACCCGGCCACCTCCATTGGGCAGCCAGCCACCTTGGGAAATCTCCAAGCCCTATTTACAGGCGATCTCTCCTCACCTTTTCTCGGTATTCACCGTGTTCTTCCCACCTTCCTTCCTTGATTTCTGGAACAAACCCCCCTTTTTTTTTTTTTCCTTTTCTCCAGATTTGTTTCTCTTTTAGGATGTGCATCGTTTTCCTCACAACGGCGCATCCCGACTACGCCCTCATTGTCGTGGATAACAGGGACGAGTTTATCCTCCGCCCAACCAGCCGGCCAGAGTGGTGGCGGCACCCCAATGGACCCGAGGTTCTATCAGCCCGGGACCTCCAGCGCTCGGAAAAGGGCACCTGGATGGGCATCACCAAAGATGGCGTCTTCGCTGTCTTGACCAACTACCGCGAAACTGATGTCGATGATGCCGACCACCCTATCCATGCGATTCGCAGCCGTGGGGTATGGTCACCTACTGGTTAGGAACCGGTGCCAAGGAGCCTGCCGCCGAGTCAATTCACCGCTTGGTCAAGGACGGCGGCGTAAAGGGTGTCGGTGGTTTCTCCATGGTCTGCGGCAAACTGAGGAAAAGTCTTAAGACGGAAGGCGGGAGGAACATCGACCCCATCGCCATTGTATCGAACCGCGCGAGTCACGTTGACCACGTTCCTTGGATAGGCCAAACCCGTGGCGAAGTATGCGCTCTGAGCAACATCGGCTATGGTGATGTGGATAGCTGGCCCAAGCTCGAGGATGGCAAGCGGATGTTGGGAGAGGTCATCACCCAGGCGATCAAGGAGAATCTTAGCGAGGATCAGCTTGTGGACAAGTTGTTTGGCATTCTAGACGATGACAAGCTCCCTCGCTACGAGGGCATGAGCCTGATGGACTATGTTAGCGAATTGAAACAGTCCATTTTTATTCCCGCCGTCGGTGATGAACCCCACCGCATAGAGATGGAAGAATCCATGGCACGTGGAAAGACGGGCTGGCCGAGCGGAGACTCGCCCGCCGCCGAAGAGGCAGTCACCATTCCTTCGAATGGAACAAGCGACAGTGCTCCCAAGGTTGCGGATAACAACCTCGGCTTCGCTACCGGCATGTACGGCACGCAACGACAGACCATGATTCTGGTCGACTGGGACGGCCAGGTCACCTTCCGCGAGAGGGCTCTATATGACAGCCACGGCAACCCGATCCCTCGTGGCCAGGCCGACGAAGTATTCCGGTTCAAGATCGAGGACTGGGACAACGACGACAGGTGACTATTGGGCTCGCCAATCTTGCCCCCGAAAGGGGAAATAAAACACTTTGACTGACGACTAGGGCAATAATTACCCCATCTTCTCTTGCAGGACCCAAGAGCCAGCCAAGTCGTCTATCCAGGCTCGTCTTTGAACGAATAACAACAAAAAAAGAAAGGACCACCTATTCCGTCCCCCAGCATCTCTGGGTCGACGTCGCATGCATGTATGAATGATGTTAGAAATGTGTCGGTATCTGCCCGGTGGGGCTGATAGACGGGTAATGGAGAAGGAATAGGGGCGGCGTCAAGGGGTATACTGGCGAAGTGAACCATTTGCATTTTTACCTGCATTCGGTACATAGTTGGCACTAGACTCGGCGGTTTTCACGAGCATGAGAGATGTCCAAAATTACATGAGCAACCTCAACGTTGTTTTTCTTCCTACAACTTTCCTACGCAAAAGACTTGATCCTCTCCGTGATATATGGCCTCCGGGTCGCTGTGGAGAGGTGCGGATGCACTAGATCTATTAATGTTGACATCAGTCGAGCCATTGATGGCACCCTCTTGGTAAAACCGTGCTAGCGACTTTTCCTTCTACGAGATTCATGCCATTCACTTGGCCGGTCACCAATATATGGCTAGTTTGGAGATACCCGCCAGGTCATCCATTCCGATCACAGTCGTCAGCATGGTGCTGTCCGGATCTACTAAACAAGTCATCTCAAATCCTAAAGGCCGTGCTCGCGCCTTCTCCTTCGCAAGCCGGGCCTTGCCAGCCCCTTCCCCATCTCATGACATGGTAAATGTCGAGATGTTCCTTCTCCAATTGTTTGTTTCCACCACGTCATGTAGTAATATGTTCATTGGGCAACGATCATATTATTCACTATGGCTTTCCCTCTGTTGTTTCTTTCGACCTTTCCCCCATCTTTCCCCCTCTCGTGGTCACTCACCTCTATGAACTTTTCTCTTTGTGGCCACTCTCGGTCTAGTTTACTATCTCAACTGTCCCGTTTGTGCGAACTTGAAAACTACACTCTTTCTTCTTTATACAAAGTAAGTGTCTCTTCAACAACTATGAGGCCTGCTAAGGCTAGATCATGTTGTCAAGTCACTAACTCTGCAACTTGATAGTGGTTCTGAGGCCTTCACACACTCTACGGATTGATTAAATCACTCTTTGTTTGACTGCCCAAGTTAACACCGCTTTAAACAAGTGTGGTATGTCTTACTCTTTTCTTTGTGCGTTGGACCTCTATCTAACACCCATCAGTACTTGGTTCATAGACCAGTCCCGACTCTAGTCCCGTCCGTCTTTCGGAGAACAAGAGCCCAGAACCGGGATCCCGATAGTGTAGTCGTACTGGAGAAGCGCCAATTCGCAGTCGACTCATTTTGTCTACCAGCTATTATGGATACTGGTTCAAGTTCCCGCCTTTCATTACTCGAAAATCGGCTCGACGGGCTGCACTCACTTTTCGATATACTGGCTGAGCTTCTCGTCGGCACGGCCACTGTGCTCTTGGAGACATTTATAGCATCTGTTCTGATTGTATTCACTGCAACTAGAGGGCTTGTTGTGCTTCACGTAAAGGTCTTCTTCTCTCTGCTCGATCTCTGGGCTACTCCTTTGAGGCCGCTTCCCAGCATAGCGAAGGCCCTCACTTTAGACGTTTTCACGCTCCTTAGAAGTCGTGTTAGCGGGGCACTGTTCTCTAACAACCTTTTCCGTAAGGAGGGACCCGAAGTTATTGAGCCCTTGCCAGGCCCCGTCACTCAAGGGGAGCAAGACTCCAACAGTAACTGATATTTACGGTTGGGTAGGGCGTCGCTATATGCTTGGTTGGGTGAGTCAACTAGCCGTCTGCCTGGTATTGAAGAGCTTCTAACATGGCAACAGCGAGAGATGCTAGGTGCTTCTGGGTGACCACAATAGTAAAAATGGATCGCCCTTTCCCAACGAAAAGGGATAGCGACGAGCTCTCATCCGGCAACTCACCTAAGGTTGAATTCCCTCATGATGATACCCGCGGGTACACCCGGGCGGCTGCCATGAACAGTCGATTTAGACGTCGGCCCCATAACCTCAGTTTCATCACCATCCCCCTGCTTGCATTTCAGCTACGGCGTTTAGACCTGCTCTCGGAGAAGATAATGATGGCAGCCCAACACCAGGCATGGCTGATGGTTTGGATGACGATGTTGTGGGGGTCACGAAGGACCCTTGCCTCGGCAAACACAACATTCCTAGCGGTGGTTTGGTTCCCAAAGAATGTCAAACCGAAGAAGAGAGAATGCTTCGTGGGGTTTCAAATGCCATGGACTCTTCTAGTTCCATGATTCCTCGTCTGCTGGGAAAAACTAACGGGAGAACGCAAACCCAGAATGGTATGAATAAGGGTCGTACCTGCCTCGCCACGGGTCCACGGCCATTCATGGTTTTCGACAATCTCTCAAAAAGACGTTCTTCTCTAACTCGCGTGATGGGTCGAGGAAAACTTCGCATGACGGATTTGGATCGTATCTCCAACTTGCTAAAACCACCCTTAACACTCTTGTACTCGCCCAACCTAACAACCAGGTTTCGCCCCCTCCTGAGATGGATCTCATCGATAGCGAGATGGAGTCAGCATATTGGACTGGTCGCTTTATGGCGGCATCGGATCGGATTCAGAGCCACACGATTTTGGGACGCCAATCCATTCCCCGAAACGCAGCTGCCAGCACTTTTGACGAGATGGAATGTCTGGTGCCCGCAGACCTTGAATTGAGCCGGCCCTGTACTGATGGTAGTGGCCTGACGGGAGGCAACGCCAAAGGTTCCATGGCTACCTTCACAGTTGGCAGCGACAAGACGATCTGGTCGGACGGGAAGCAATATGTTGTCCTCACCGACGAAGAGCGTATCAAGAGGGCATTTAGGTATCTCGAGAAATGCTGCGTCACACCCGAAGCTCTCAACAGCTTTTACACATGGCAAGAGCAGTTCGCCAGGTCAGAGGGACAAGAGTGTCTGCTTCCAGTCGGGGAAGCATGAAGGATTCTAAGCTCCGTAAGCTCTTCAAGCCTGGTCCGAAGCAATTTGTTTGATGGCCGGCCCGTATGTTGGCGGAAATGAATGGAAGGAACTTGGGGGCATCTTGTGTTTTCTTTCTTTTTCTTTTTTTCAGTTGCATCCAAAAGGGAGGTACGGAAGGATAGGCGCAGGGAAATGGTCATTAAAAACAAATGTAGAGAGAGATAAGAAAAAAAGAAGGACTGTTTAACTTTTTACTTGATTTATTGTACACCTTTTCTATGTCATTGCATTTGCCTCGCTTGTCGGACCTATATATATATAGAGGTCGAGCATGAAAAAAGGAAAAGAAAGAGGTCATGATCCGTCGAGGCGATAAACAACTCTTGGACAGCTTGGACTTTACACAAACGCCGTGAAAATCAATGCTCTCATTATCGAAAATGCGAGGAAAAATAAGACACCTAGCCGGGCCTAACTCTGTGGAACGAAAGAGTGATGCGTCAAAGGGGGAAAAAGTGGCTGAGCTGGAGCGTGGACACGCAGCCTCTCCTCCTGCGAGATAGGAAGCAAGGAAAAGGAGAAGACGGTGACGAGGGTGCGGCCTAGTCTGCTCTCTTCCTCAGCCTAAGGAAATCGCGAATCTGTTCGTGCTTACTCGCGAAGAACATGGCGCGCTTGTCGTTGCGCCAGACGCAGACACCGACCTCGGTAGCGTACGAGGCACAGGCTTCATACTCTTTGAGGTCGTCAAAGTCTTTGAAGAGGAAGCCGCTGGTGGTCTTCATGCGCTCGTTTTCGAGCTGCCAGAGGCGGACCTGGTCGACGACGGTGGGTGGCAAGACGGGCTTGTTGGCGGCGAGGGCTTTGCGGCGCATCTGGTCGTGAGCGTGGGCGGCGAGGTAGTTGATGATTTGGTCGGCGGTGATGCCGTAGGAGATGGCACGGCGAATGGACTCGCGGGAGAGGCGGCCAGAAACCATTTCGTGGAAACGCATCTTGAGGTTGGCGAAGAGGGCGAGAACGGCGATTTGCAGGGGTTAGAGGTGTAGGCGTAGATGCGGTAGTTTGTCTCGACGATGATGCTGCCCTTTGCGCGGTGGCGGAGGGTGTTGGCGTCGGCGGCGGCAGCGGCGGTGGAGGAGGAGGAGGAAGAGGAGGAGGAGCCGTTGGTGGGGTTGGCGGGGGCAGGGAGGTGACGGCGGCGAAGCCCTCGGAGACGGTGCGGAGGGAGGAGGAGGACGAGGTCAAGGTGGTGGCGAGGCGGGTGGGGAAGTACTGCTGGGGTTTGTGGGAGGGGATGAAGATGAGACCAATGTCGACGAGGAAGGGCAGCATGTTGCGGCGCTCCTCGGTGAGGGCGTTGGTGTCGTAGGCGCGGCCGAGCTCGAGGCTGGCGAGGAGGAAGAGGAAGGAGAGCATGTCGACGCTCTGGCCGGCGCCGGAGCGTTCGGCGGCCTCGAGCCACAGGAGGAGAAGGGTCCAGACTTGGGCGTTGGCTTCTTGGAGGAGGAAGGTGAAGCCGGCCTGGGTGATGCCGACGCCCGAGGGCCCTCCGTGGCTGCCGGCCCTGCGCTCGACGAGGCGGCCGGCGAGGAGGAGCTCCTTGACGGACTGCTTAGGCCCGCTGCTCCCGCCGCCGCCGCTGCCGCCGCCGCCGCCTGCGTTGGGGTCGAAGCCGGAGCGGCTCCCGACGCTGTTGACGACGAAGTGGAGGATGTCGTCCCACTTCTTGCGGGCGTAGCGTTCGAGGAAAGGGGAGTCGACTTCGGGAGGGACGGGGAGGGAGGAGGAGACGCCAAAGGAGTTGTGGTCGCCGCCGCCGTCGAGGGCGAGGCGGAAGGAGTTTTTGAAGTTGGTGGTGAGTTGGATTTCTTGCTTCTTGCCTTTGCCGGGGGCGGATATGGTGATGATGTGGAGGCTGCGGAGGACGGAGAGGGAGGAGCGTTGTAACCTGTTGCGGGGAAGAGTTAGCAGGGGGCGTGGTTGGGGATTTGTGGAAAGGAGATAGAAAGAGAGAGAGAGAGAGGGGGGAGACATGCCGCTCGGATTCGGGCTTGACCCATATGTCGAGATCTGTGAGGAGCATGGGCTTGGGCATGTAGAGAAGGGCCATGACGATGGTTTTGGCTGGTGGAGGGGGCGGTAAGAGTTAGCTTGTTTAAGTTTTGCACGGGAAGGAGAAGAAGAGTGCATGAAGGGGGGATATTCGTCGAGAGCGCAAGACCAAAGCAATGGGGAGACTGGTCGCATACCAAGGTTGGGGAGCATCCGGCGAAAGATGGCAAAGGCTGTCGAGGGCTGCTGATAGAGCTTGCGGAATGTGGTGCCGGGGAGCTTCTCGAGATACTCCCCGAGCTGAAGAGAGTTTGTCGACATGTTGCCGCCTACTCTCTTTTATCTTGTCGATGGGGACGGGAAGGGGAACACGAGTCGACAAGGGCAGAGCGCAAGACGGGCTTTCAGGTTCGCGATAGAAGAACCTTGCGTCTCGACCGGGTGTGTTTTGTGAGATTTTGTGGACTGGGCCAGGGAAGGCTCAATGCTGCACAGCTACCTCATACTAGAGCTGTAGTTGATGGCGTGAAGGGCGACATGCTCCGGATAGGTCCTGAGGGGCGGATCCGGGTTCAAAAGCACGAGATTCGTCGAGGGGGATTTCGTGGTGGTCGTGGTGGTCGTGGTGGTCGTGGTTCGTGATCGTGCGTGGGCGCGTGCGTGTGGAGATTTTTCTGTTCCTTGTGGTCGCTTCTCGGAATCGTTGGTCGTTCAAGGCAGCATTGGCTTGGCTTGAGAGGACGTGCAGTAGTACATACAGGCACAAGCACCACTTCAGTGGTTCGGTTTTTTCTCTCCTTCTTCCGGGCCAGCCAAGTCTCCAGCATGATTATGTAAGATGACGCCGCTGGTTCGCTTTAGAGCTTAAATTGGTGGAAAGAGCGGCACAGCGCCTGTGGCATCAATTAACCCTGATGGAGAAAACCCGGGAATTGGCCCCAGTCGCGATGCCCCTCAACTTAGCTGCTGACAGCGTTTGTACCTTGTCCCCCACTGTTCGTGATGCCTAGTGCCGCCAACTATTATTATGACTGCCCTGCTACCCACTCTTGATCTCAATGACTGCATCTAAATTATTCCGTGACTCGTTGAGTACTGAATTGGCTGTGGAGCGCACGCAGCAGCTCTTCTGTGGGAAAACAAAGCAAGAGTGGCCGGGTCCTCACTCCAATTGGGCCAACCCAAGGTGAAGCCGAGCTACCGACCCGCCGTCCCGAGGCGACGCCTCAATTGAACCAACTTTTGGCACCGAATCTCCAAGTTCGGCTGTGCCTTTAATTCCCGACATTGTAAAACTTGCCGAACCTCCAGAATCTTTGGAAGGCTTCTTCATTCGTATATGTTCCAAGCTCGCTAAGAAACGAGTTTCTCTCACTTCCTTTTTCTTGCTGTTTCTTTTCTGGGTCTTTTTCTCTCCATTCGTTTTTGGTTCGCCATCGTCGCGAACCGTATTTCCTTTGCACGATGTTGAAGATGACCTCCAAGCTTGCGCCGGAGCCCTTTGTGCGCGCTGTAAGTCCGCCTTCCGAGAGAAAGGCGGTCGCGATGTCGCGTATCTGGAGGAAAGCTAACTAGGTTGCCTACAAGGTTTGGCGCTCTTTCCTGGTGGATTCCGGCCTCGAAGGAAGGTAGGTAGACAACGTCGTCGACTTTTTAACCTTCTCGTCACTGGAGGCACTTTGTTTGGCTGATATACGTCCCCGCGCAGGTTGTTGGGCGAGCATGTAAGTTAGCGAGGGCTGCGGATACCCACCGCATGGTTCTTTACCCGCGTGCGCGACGGTGGAATATTCGAAAGCTCACTCCTATGGCTCGGCGCACAGTTCAGGATCAAGGAAGCCGCTGCGGGCAAGGTAACCTTCGAGCTTGACATTAAGAAGCAGCACACGGTAAGAGGCCCGGTCTATTAGGTCCTACATCTCTCTGGAGTCTCCTGAAGCTTACAAAGCTCCTTCTCTCTCTCTCTCCGTAGAACCGCCTGGGCACCCTCCATGGTGGCTGCATCGCGAGCATGGTCGACCTTGGCGGCTCCCTCGCCGTCGCATCCATGGGAAGGTTCTCTACTGGCGTTTCTACGGATATCAACGGTATATTCTTCCTTATTTGTCCTTCTTTCCTTCTCCTTCTCCTCCACTCATTTGTGGCCTTTGTCCAGTGCTTTTGCTAACGTCCTCTTGTGTTTTCTAGTTTCCTACCTCAGTGTTTCCGGGCGCGTAGGCGACACCGTCACTGGCACGGCCACTTGCGAGAAGAGTAAGCCCGATTCATTCCGCCTTCCTTTTCCTCTTCCTGTCCAAGGTACGAGACTAACGTGCAGCGTACCACAGTCGGGAAGACCCTGGCCTACACGATGGTACAGTTCTGGAATTCCAAGGGTGAGCTGGCCGCGAGGGGCAGCCATACCAAGTAAGAACTCCCTTCCCCGATCCCGCCACACTAGTCCATCTATCCGCCCTTTATAGCCCATTCTTCTTAATGCATGCGACTGATGGCTCTTCCCAGATATGTCAACGGCACTGTCACGCCAGAGAAGCCTGAATACGTTGCGCCAAATGAGTTCGTCGAGGACGGAGAGAAGAACGGCTCGGCATAGGAGGCGCATGTTTGCGGTTACGTACGGGACGGCAACAGTGCCCATTGATACCTGAAATCGCAATTTGATAATTGTGAAGCTTAGACGATTTAGATTAGAACTGTGAAATGGGTATTTATTATATAAACTTCAATGTACTTGGCAAAAAAGAAATTCAAGACAAAAGGAAAACAAGCCAGAAAAATCCACCTCCCCTCTTTCCCAGTGAAGAGACGATCCTAGCGTTTCAGGAAGCCAGGCTCCATTTCTGTCCTTCCCCTACTCCGCGTTCTTCTTCGAGGGTGTAGGTAATTCAATCCCTCACTGTCTCTTTTGATTATCGCTGAGCTCAGACGCGGGGGCTGGCGTCGACGAGGCGCTAATGGTGCCGGTGGGCGCGGGGGCCGACCTCGTGGGATCGTTTACGAGCGCGGCGGGGGCGACGCGTTGGGGGTAGCCGGGCTGCTGGCCTGCCTGAGGGGAGCGTAGGCCTGCTGCGGCTGCTGAGGGAACTGCTGCTGGGGGTAGTAGTACATGCCGGGCTGCCAGGCAGCCTGGCCCTGGGGTTGGGGCTGACCCTGGGGATAGGCGTAGGCCTGTCCGGGTTGCTGGGGCTGGGCGTAGTACTGTTGAGGGTAGCCCTGCGCGGGGCGCTGGGGGCACCGGGCTGGACGGGGTACTGGACGGGCACCGCCTGCATGCCGGGGGCCGGGTAGCCGCCGGTGTTGGGGGTGGAAATGAACTTCTCACGGCCGCGGGCGAGGTGGAAGAGGGTGACGAGGGTAGCGAATAGAGTGATGACGCCGAAGATGAGGTTGATGATGATGGAGTAGGACGGAGCACGTCGGGTGCGGCTGCTTCGGTTAAGGCCGCCGTAGAGGCCGATCCAGACTACCGCGTAAAGGCATTGGACGAAGAAGAAACCGGATGCGACGAGGAAGCACCTGGCGGCCTAGGAGAGGGATAAAAGGTTAGGGGTTGATCCTCTTGAGACTTAGAGAGCGAAGGAGGGGGAAGGGCATGTGAAGGCAAGAGGGGGTTAGAGAAACTTACAAGCTGAAGATGCGCGAGGGTCTTCACCTTGGTGAAGATGAGGCCGCCAAGACCCAACAGCCCGAGAGAGAGGAGGAAGAAGATGATGTGCAAGGCGGCCCAGATGTTGTTAGCGTGGAGCGAGGTGATGGAGCGCGCGCCGACGTAGTAGCTGATGCCGAGGCCGAGAAAGGCGATGGAGAGGACGGTGACGAGGACGACGAAGGCAATGCTGGAGATGCGCGCGGGGGTCGCGAGCTTGGCCGGGGTGCTGGTGCGAGCGTACAGGATGCCGCGGGCGAGGGAGCCGAGGGTGGCGATGATGAGGCCCTTGACGACGAGTTCGAAGGCGGTCTCGATAACATCCAGAGTGCTGGCGAGGCTGAGGCCGTAGATGACATCATACCAGTAGAGGGTGTACAGGATACTCGCTGCGGATCGGAACACGAGTTGTCTAGAAAGAAAGGAAAATTATCGTGTTAGCAAAAAACGAGGGGCGCATATCCTGAGAGATGAGGAGATGGGGGCCGGGAAAGAGAGTGATTCTAAATCGCTTCTCCTTTTGTGTTTTCAACATACCCGCCAAAGAACACAAAGGCAACCTTCATCCACGTTATGAAGCCTCGGGCCTGGTCGCCATAGCGGCGGCAAACGAAGAGACTGGCGAGGAGGAGACCCGTGTTCACGAGGAGGAGCAATAGGGTGACACCCGCATTGCCGGCCCAGTTTGACCCTGTACTCATGATGAAATGTTGACTTGAGATTGGAACTTTGCGCAAAGGCGTTTGCTTTGTTGGAGCGCACGCCGCTTGTGGCAGGTTCCTGCTCACGGCCGTGGATAAGGGGATCTCGATTGGGCCTCGATTCGAAAATGGAGGTTGTGGTGAGAAACGAAGAAGCTGGCCGTTAGGAAGAGCACCGCTGTTTTCGACCGATGGGGATGGTGAAGAACTAATCGAGTTCGCAACGTTGATGAAAGATTAAACTTCTCACCAAACGCACCAAAGAATCAAAGAAGGGAATCAAAAATAGAAAAAAAGCCACGGGGAGAAGGGAAGGGGGAGGCTGAAAGTTATCAACGAAGAGGCAACGCAGGGGGCCGTTCATCTCTGCTTTTGTTCCTTCATTTCGTGGGGCGCGCTCGTGGCGTCTTCAAAGGTAGGATCAACCTCCCCCTTCCCAAGCCATCTGCCATGGCCCTACAGCAAGGACTCAAGAGAGATCGACGAACATTAATGGACGAGATAGGCAAGGTCTCTGGTTGACTTATTTTTGGTACACACGTTAATGGAAAGGAAACCGCTCCACCAGTCCAATCAGAAGGGTAGGCTGACTCTTGGATCGGGCAATGCCTGCCCGGCTTGCTCTGTGGCCAAGGGCAGGGGGACCGGGGGCGGTGTCTGCATGCCAAGAGCGAGAAGGATGAGCCCTTGACACAACCCAACCCGTTGTTTCTTTGACTCTTCGCAGCTCCCGGCTCCGAAACGGGCTGGCTCGGTAAACCTGCGCAAGCGAGCACAGCAACTTAATTTCCTCCCGTCGAGCTTTCGCTTCTTGGGGACAGGAATAGGGAATAGAAGAAATTGTTGATAGTAGAGGTCTCATGGCCATGCTGCGCCTTGGTCCGTCGTGTGTTTTCGAAGGCTCAATTAACGTTGGCGAACATCGTATTAATCTTGGTTGCTTGTACCTTGGTATTAAGATTGAGCGCCAATGCGGAGACGAGTTGCTAGGGTTGCGTGCAAATCCACCATCAAAGCAATCTTACAATGACCTCTTGACCTCTCATGAAGCGGCGTTCAGGCACGGCCAAGAGGAGGGGGACCCCTGTCAAAATCAATGTCCTTGTCGCCCAGATGTCGAACCACACCAGCTTTCCCGCGGTTTCGAGACCCTCTAGGGCTGTTTCAACCGTAACGCCATCGGCACTGGTGGGGAACCCGTCCAAGCCTCCTTTTCCCAAGTCTCTTGTCACGTCGCACGTCGCACATATTGAGCACAGTCGCATGAGGGACCCGCCCGTCCATCGCGTGCGTCCCATCGAGTGTCTATTATTTCTTTCTGTTCCTCCTCACGTCCGTCCTATTCCGCCCTGGCGTCGCATCGGCGTACGGCGTTAAGGTCTTGCGCTCCACCTTGCGTGTCGATGGCGATACTGAATAGATAACACCCACGCGCGTGCTGTTCGGGTGGGAACAGCCCACCTGCACGAGTGGGTTTTGTTTTTTCTTCGATCCACATGCCTCGTTGCATGAGCAAGGGTGTGTATGTGTTACTTGTAGACACCTCGATTATTACTTTGGGTGTTCGGTTGCGTGAGAACTTAAAAACGAGTGCGTTTGCATTGTGAGGGGACTGATTCGTGTACAGCCCTGCACAAAAATGTACTTGTACCTTATTGAGGCGCAGGCTGCGCGATCCCAAGAGTTGGGTGGGTGGAGAATGGAGAACCAACAGACGACTGACTGACGGCATCACTCTCTTGCCAAGTCGTCCAGATCTTTCCTCTCTCAGTCAAGTCGTCGCCACTCTAGAACTAGGTGGTCGCTATTCCCAGAGGTGGCTCTTATTTTTAACCAAGCCAAGAACGACACCAATCGCTACGTTTGGCTCAATACGAGGCTGGATGTTTGGTGGCGCGAGTCCTTGGCCCTGCTTGGCTTGTCTTCGGTGTTGTCGTTGCTTCCTAAACCAGACGAGTCTTTTCTATTCCATTCAAGAGCGGCCATGGCCCGAAAAGACAGTTTGATGCTGTACTGCTCTCTGTTGAGCGCGGACAGATTGGGGGTGGAATGGATCGACTGCGGGGAAGGTCCCTCCCTGCCTACCTGATAGCTGTGTCGTTGGTGGGGGTGGATGACTGGGCATTGCCCCACCACTGCCAAATCCAAAGATCAATTGGGAGCTGCAAACAGCTAAAGTGAAGCTGGGTCCTATTTGCACCAACCCAGTCAGTGCCCACAATCAGTGACCCCATCTCAAGATTGATATCAAGCCCATCATGAGAGGCACGAAGGGAGTCAATCGCCAGGATTCTGTGCCCTAGGATATTCCCAACTCACGATATGGACATTCCTGCTCCAGTGGACCCTCTTTCTTTGAGAAAAGAACTGAAGCCCTGGAAATATGGTGTCGTGCCTTGATCACACTTCCTCTTCCTCTCCCTTTAAACCTCCTTCACCTCACCCACATCGTCAGATATATTATTCACAGTCAGCAGCTTTTATTTTATATTAGCTAGTATTCATGAATTTCTATAACGATGGCTTCCACCCCTGAGCAGCCTGCGTACACAATCAAGTCCATAGAGGGAAAGGGCAAGAGCTTGGTTGCCCTCCGCAAGATCCCTCAGTTCACCCCGATCTTCAAGGATACGCCCATCATCCGGGGTGGTCGCCAAGAACTAGCAAAAGAGCCCAGCGTTCTTCATGGTGAAATAGCGGAGGTTCTCGACCAGCTAGGTGAGGCCAAGAAGAAGGCATTCACAAGCCTCCACAGCACTGAGCCGCTCGACTCTCCCACCCGAAACGTCAACATCGTCAAGCTCAACTCGCTGCCGCTGGGGTTCGCCCCCGACTGCTCCGAGTATGGCGTCTTCCCCTCGCTGCGCGCATGAACCATGCATGCGTCCCCAATGCCCACAACTCCTGGCACCCGAAACGCCAGGAGCTCAGAGTCTACTCCGTGAACGATATCGAGGCGGGGCAGGAGATTACAATTAGCTACCTGCGAAGCTACCTCCCCTGCAAGAAGCGAAGAAAGAAGCTGCGCCAGGCCTTTGCTTTTGAGTGCAGCTGCGCCACGTGCTCCGCGCCCGATGATCAAAAGGCGGCCACGGACAGGGGCTTCAAGTTCATCGAGTCTTGCCTAGAGGCCAACCGGAGACGCGAGATTCCAACGACCGACGCTGCCCGAGAATTGCTCATAAGAGTGCTCAACGCGTACGAAGTCTGCGTCGAGCTGGGACTCCAGGGACGTCTAATGTACACCCTCCGCTTGGACGTCGCGGATGCCTTCCTGTCCCACTCGGACCTCGCCAGGGCTCGCGTGGCCGCCAAGCGCGCGCACCAATACGCTACGTGGTGCGAGGGCCCTGACAGTCCCGACGCCCAGGTGGCCTTGCGGATCGCCCAAGATCCCCTCAGCTACAAGACGCCCCTCGCGGATCACTGGAAGACGGGCAAGCACCACATCCCCCAGGGCTCACCCGCGCGGCTCTCCGCCACTGGATTTGGCGATGGATCCAATACGAGCTTCCATGCCAGGAATGGAGCCGCGCCTTGATTGCAGACTTTTCGGACACCGCGTATTTCCCCACCCGTGAAGGGCTGCCTCGCGTCGGCCAGAGCCCCAGCGGCTTCTACGCCAAGAATGGCCTGCTAGCCACCCCGCGCAAGCATTGGTGCCTCCTCGCCGAGATCACCGCCATCGAGCCTCTAGACAAGCATATAAGCCTCCGCGTTGTCGACCGCCTCGGTAACCCCTTGATCATCGATATGCCCCCGAGCACCCTTTCGGAGGGGCTTTCGACTGTGGCGCGCGGACAGGCGGTCATCGTCATGTACCCAGAGATCTCTGACGACAACGTTGTGATGTTGATCCAACCCTATCCTATAAAGGTAAGGGCTTTCTTACTCGTCTACAATAAACCTACGCTAATCTTTCCTCGGCGATCTGTGATAGCGCACCCAGATGAGCCTTGCCGACCTCCTAAAGCTCAACGAAACCGTTCGGAAATACTACACCCCCGCGAGGCGACCATGGTCTGCCAGGGGTGCGACAAGGTATTGATTCGTGGATTGGCAAAGAAGTGTGACCGTTGCGGGGTGATGCGCTACTGTAACAGAGTCAGTGTTCTTCCTTTCTTTTCGTTTCGTTTCTTTTTATTTATTTTTCTAGAACAGTCTACTCTCCCTCTCCTCCCTTTGGTTTCACCCGCAGCGATGCGAACCCGCAGGCTAATCCCATCTTTGTACAAACACAGGAGTGCCAGGTTGTTGGCTGGAACAAGGGTCACGATAAAGACTGCGGGTTCCTGCTCGACGATGATATAAAGAGGCTGCATCTTCTCGAATGGCCCGTTTTCGAGTCCAAGGTCGGATTCCCGCTCGAGCATTTCCTTGGAGATCCTCAGATTGGATCTTGAACGTCAGCGGCGCCCGAGAAGCCTCCCTCATGGTCCATTCTAAGAGCGAGCTCCGCGTCACGACCCTGTGATCCTTCGAGCATTGAGGCAGCCCCTATACTTTGCCTAGAGCGGCTACATTTCATGTAAATGATGGTTACTCTTCCGTCACGGCGAGATCCTCCCTTCCCGGTCCACATCAGACCCCTGCATTAGTGACAAGATAGCCAAGCGAAAGAAAGTATTTAATGAGGTGCTTGTCTCATGCCAGTGCCCCGTCCGAGTTTCTCTGCTGCTACCGGCGGGCTCATTAAGGCTCGCCGCATCCGTCTGGATATACTACGAAAGTTTTCCAAGTCTATGCGTGCCATGCTTCGTTGTAGGGAAATTCGGATAGACAACCGTAGACTTTTGAGGAACAAGATGCTGTAAAACTCATGGTTGATTTAAAGCTTAATCTTACGACCCCCAAACGCCGTATTTTGTACGTGTGTGCAGCCGTACGCCTCCTGGAGCTCATCGCCGTTTTAACATTGGCCTCCAAAAACGGCTCTCCAAGCCAAAAGAAAAAAACAAGTGCCCATTAATCAAGATGTTAGAGAAAAGAAATAAGGACAGGAAAAACCAAAGAAATAACTTGGAAGGTAGGTGGGAGAGGATGATGTGGTTCCTGATCTCTTGTCCACCACTCACACATCCATATCTCATCGCGACCCTGGGAGACCCATCACTGAGGAGCAACCTACGTGCCCGGCAAGACAAAATCGGCTTTTGGGCTTCTAGGGGTCCGTGAACGGAGTGCCGTGCTGAATGCAAGTTCAGTGCGTTCAAACGATAGATATATAGATGCCTCCGTAAAAGGCACCCAAACACTGCTTCCCGAATCGGCGAGCCTGCCATCGCGCAATGCGAGGTCATAACCTCGCGGTTACCAGCCCTTACTCTTGTCGGCCCCGGAATGAGGCGCCGCAGGCGAGGGATCGGATGCCGCCGCCGCTGTCGACGACGACGGCGTCGACGATGAAGAAGCCCCATTATTAGACGAACCACTCTGTTTCCCGACGGCCTGGGCGTGCCCAAGGAAACTGTCGAAGCGCTCAAGCAGGGCACGGTCGTCGCCGAGCATCTTCTTGGCGGCGGCCTTGAGCTTGGAGCCCGTGCCGCAGGAGCCGACGTTGCCCATGCTGCTCAGGATGGAGAAGAATTTGAGTCTGTCTTCTTTACGGAAGCGGTTCTGTGCGCCCGGCCGGGGAAAGCTAGTTAGAAGACGAGCCCTCTCGTAGCTAAAGGGGGCATCATGGGATGCGTGGAGGATGGGATTTAGCTGCAAACCTCGATCTCCGTGAGGAACTGGGCCATTGCGAGGTAAGACTCGGTCTTGGACGCCGTGGTGGCGACGGCGTCGAAGTCGCGGGCTCTCGTGTTGGGGGTAGCCATTTTGCGATGATTCACGGTAGACACGGGGAGACAATGTGAGGGGGGATGATGATTGATCTCTTGGGACCGCTCGCTGAAGCGCAGGGCAGCGTTCCTCAGCGAAGTCCTTTGAAGTAAACAAGGAAACTGCGTGTCTATGTTGCGTTGGAAATTGTTTCAACGGTTCCTCTGCTCCCTTTTTCGTGCCCTTGTCCCGAGATGACGTTCCAAGCAAAGCTCTAGGTAGGTAGGTGCTAGCGAGGTGGAGTTTATTTAATGAAAACCAGCTGGTTGGGCTCGCCTTGCTTAACTGCCGCTGAAGGATTACACTAGAAAAGGTTCCGTGATGTGCCCATGTCGCCGCTGCTTCTAGGCTGGCTGCCTTGCTTGGTACCACCCAAGTAACATTGAACCCAAGTATTACGCGACGACGTATTCGCCATCAGCCACCCAGGGAGAAAGGGAAAAACGGGGGACACAGCCACGTATTAGTCGATGCATTTTGAGGCCCCGGAGTGGGTGATTTTCCCAATCAAGACGTTTCTCGCAAAATGCTCAATAGAATTGAGAATTAACATACATGTCAACAGTGCGGGGCAGAGCGGGCGGTTCATTTGACGTCGGTCAACGTCTGCCTCGCTGAATGCCTTGACTGGGAAGGGAAGAAAGGGCATGGGCCGGGGAATGAACAGCCAGCCATCTGCTTCACGGAGATACGCACAAAATACCTCGGTAAGTAGAGCTCCTTTTCGGGACGAGCAACTCTTGTTTTATGTTCAGTGATCAAAATCCATTCAAATTATATCGGGTGGAACACATGGGCAAGGATAGAATGAGAATACCAAAAGCTAAAATTTGACGGATAATATATTATAATATATAAGAAGAAAAAAAGACGCGTTCTATCATTGCTCCCACCCGGATTCGAACCAGGGATCTTCGCATAACCTTGTAGAGCCTGACTCAGAAACTACAAGTGCGACGCCTTACCACTTGGCCATAGAAGCCGGACGTCTTAGTCAACCGCTTTCTTAAACGAGTATATACGTCAGATACCCCGCTACGGCGCCCTTGTGACAACCCCGCCATGCATCTCGGAGGTGACCCAGCTCGAGATCGAAGCGATTGAAGACTCGAGGCGCACCGCAATTGCGGCTTAGCCGTGGAATTCCATCACTTTTCAGGCGAGAGGTATGTGCCTTGAAGAGTCAAGGCCTCCCCGGCATGAAGAAAAACTTTTAAATTGATACACAGGAAAGCCAACCACCGCCATGCGAGTACGTATGCACAAGACCTTCAGGGAAAAAATCGCCAACACAATAAAGAAAGCCGAATTGTTACACGGGCCAACCGCCCAATTACGCGAGGAGCAAGGCAAAGGCAAGGCACGCCCCAAGCCCGAGAATCTGCCCTCCTGCAGCCACGGCCACACCACCGCTCTGCAGCGACGGGCCCTCGGCCTCCGCCTCCTCCACAACCGTGACAGCATCCCCGACCCGCGCCAGCTGCACCGATCCGCTCTCTTGGGACGGCGTCTCGATGGCAACCATCATCGGGTCCAGCATCGCGCAGTTGTCCTGCTGCGTCTGCGGCATCTCCTCCATCCTGGTATTGCCCGTCTCGAAGACGAGCCTCTGCCTGGTGTCTACCGTCCAGGGCATCCACTCGGGGGTGTCGGCGGCGTTCACCTGCGCCACCTTGGCTCCCGCCGCCGTCGCCGCCGCGTTGGGGTCGAGCGACCGTACGAACCGGACCCAGTACGCCATCGTCACGGGCACGATGGCGGCGTTATCCGTCCTGTAGCTCTTGGGCGGCGCGCCGTCCGTGTTGTTGGGGCCAAACACGCCGTTGAGCTCCACCGTGTGGTACGCGCCGAACCCGAGCCTCTCTTGTTCCTCGTCCAACACGCCGTACCGGTAGTTCCACGTCATGACTCCGTCGCGCGCCTGCGCGTCCTGCAACCGCGCCGTCACGCAGTGCGCCCGGTAGTCTCCTGCGCGTTGGAGAGGTGGCGCCAGAATTTGCCCGCCTCTTCGAACGTGGGCTCGTCCGCGTCAAAGTACCTCTCCTGAATCAGGGCGAGAGATTCCTCGCTCAGCGCCCCGGATGCTTGGTTGTTGACGTGCTGGAGGGCCGCCTCCAGCGTGTCCGTGTCCTTGGGCACTCCCTTGGTTCCCTCGTCCGTGCATGACCCGGCCAGCGTCGGGATCCTGAGGTATTTGCCTTCCTCGAAGCGCGTCAGCATCGGCGCCCTGACGAGGTTGTCGTCCAGATGGGGGTTGAATTGGCAGTCCTTGGTCTGGAGCGCCGAGGCATTAGCCGCGATGAGGCAGGAGAAAGTGTCGGTCGTTGCGCTGTCGCACCCGGCCGCCTTCACGAGGCAGTCGTATTGCTCTTGACCCTGTGACATGTCGCGGACGGTGGCGAGCGAGACCGATTCCATGATGGCACCCTTGAAGAGGCCAGGGTCACGCTTGTCGTCGCCGTCGAATGCGGCAAGGAGAAGGGCTATCGATGTGGCGCCCGCGGAATCGCCTGCGATGACAACTTGCCCGGGATCTCCGCCAAACTAACGAGGAAGCGAAACAAAGAAGAGTCAGCACGCTTTTCTTTCCATTCGTGTGAAGATCGGCCTTCCTCTTCTGTCTCCTTTTTTGTGTCTTGTGCCCCTTGTCGAAAACTTACCTTGGAAATGTGTTGCTTGATCCACTGTAGACCCTGAAGGAGGTCCTTCAACCCGTTATTCAAACTACCAAACTCCTCTACCTCCCGCGACTGGAGGAACCCAAAGGGCCCCACGCGATAGTTGACCTGCACCACCATGATATCTCCAAAGAGGGCCAGCTCGGTTCCGTTGAAGTTTGCGTTCGAGTTGGACTCGAACCCGCCGCCCTGGATAAAGTACATGACCGGCACAGGCGCCTCCGCCGTCGCTGCGGTTGGCGCAAAGATGTTGAGGTATAAGCAGTCCTCGGACACGTTGAACCTCCGGTTCGGCTGCATCGTAAAGTCATCGGGGCTCCGGGGAGGCAGATTGGTTTAAACTAGATGCCAATTGGGTAAGTTGCCGGGACATATCTTGCGAGCCTTTGGGGAGAGGCGTCATGAGAGCCCTCCTCGTATGCGAATGCAGACACTTACCTGTGACGCGTCGACAACCGCCTGAGTTGGCGGGGGTCCACCGGCGCACCAAACCTCATTACACCCAGCGGCGCAGCGGCGTACCTGACGCCCAGCCATTGCGTGGCGCCGTTTGCCAAGCTCACGCCCTGGAGTTGTGTATAGCTAAGGTCGACGAGCGGTGCGACTGCGGCGGCGGGGGCTACCAGGCCCCCGAGAGCAAGCAATACGGAAAGCATGTCTCAACCTGTGGTTTGCTTCTCTTGATCCGTAGACAAAATCGAATCTTCAGTCGGTGAATAATTCGCAAGCTCACGATGGGAAGAAATATAAAAGGAAGAAAAAAGTGTTAATGCCCGTTCTAGCTCGTCTACATATCAACTCTTATCCTAGCCAAGTTTCGTCGATTGAAGACCTCCCTTGTGTCGCCAGGTGCATTTAAACGGCTGCATAGGCTCGCGAAAGGGCATCCGGAATTCATCGAGAGCCGAGCATCGCCATCGTGACGAAGTCTCGTGTTTTCCCTTTTGGCGGGGTTTCAAGTCGGTTTGGGTTCTCATGTTCGCTTGGCGATCCTCTCCCCTCTCCATCATGGCAGCTCGGGACGAGTTCTTTTATTGATTTTATTTCCCACTCTCTAACAATTAAGGCTTGCGGAAGGAGGTGGTGGCCGGACTGTCAAAAATGCGGAAACGAAACGGAGCTTTTATCCGGAGGTCGATCTGTGGGCCCTCTGAGCTCCTACCCTCCCAGTTACGTTTGCCGAAGGACTTTCTCTACTGGGGATGGCCTTGCCTCGTGGAATGAGAGTCGAAGGCTGTTGAAATTTGGCGTGTAATTCATTCTGAAAAGGAAGAAGACCATGCATCATGTCTCATTGAGGGATAAAGTAAGAGAAGAAAAAAACGATCAAAAAAAAACCTATGTGCCGTCCCTACATGTAGCATGCTATCACCAATCTGAACAGTCTAAAAGAAAACGAAAAGGTTCCCCCAGGAAGTAAATCCACCTTCGCGTGCGAACAGTCTGCGAAAGTTCAAACCCCCATCAGCCATCCATTCAAAAGAGATGGAGGCAACCATGGGAGGTGCCTTTGGCGATCCGCCTTGACCAGCCCCCTTTTCTTTGTATCCTCGACCAGGAGCGTTAGCCGCTTCGATATTGACCACCTCGAACAGCCCTTAATCATCCCAAGAGACATCGCTCCCGGGCGTCCTGCGCGTTGATTTGGATCTCGAGCGGAAGTCCCCGAGCTGGGCCAAGTCATGCACTGGTGTGTCCATGTCAGTAGGCCTACGTAAGGAGTGGCCCGCCAAAGCCGTGGCAACCAAGCTGCGAGGGGCGCGATTTCGCTTAATAGTAAAGCACCCGAAACGCCTTAGGCCAAGAAGCAAAGGTCTTTGCTTTCTCTTGCTCGTAAATATCCCGTCCCCCAAGTCTATCACGTTTTTCTTGTTTTCATCGATTGAAATCTCTCCCAATCCGCTGACCTGGCAGGCTGTCGTCTTCTAGTTCGCAAAGATTCTCAATTTGCAGTCGACCCCACCCGATGCCAGCACGCACCGGATCTGGACCTCGGGCGCGGCAACCTTCTTCTTGGGCGTACCATTGCTCTCGCCGTTGGGCGCGCCGTTCCCTTGCGCCGCGGGCGCCTCCTTGACCACGCCCGGCGCCCACCGTAGACACGTGATGAAGGCCTCGGAGGCGTCGCTCAGCACTTTGACGCACTTGCCGTCCTGGCTGAGATCCCAGCAGCGGATGCTCTTGTCGTCGGAGGCGGAGAGGAGGTACTTGCCGCCCGGGTGGAAGACGAGGGCGCGCACCCAGTTGTCGTGGCCGGCGAGCGTGAGGAGGCAGGTGCCCCGCGCGTCCCAGATCTTGATGGTCTTGTCACGCGACCCCGTGGCCATATACTCGGCGGCGCTGGTGGTGGGCGGGGTCTCTTGAGGCCGGCAAGGGGGCCCAGGTACTGGTAGGTGGCCGGGGGCGCGAGGGCGCAGCACTCGATAAAGTGCTCGTGGCCGATGGCGGTGGCCTTGTGCTCCGGATTGGCGACCGAGATGTCCCACAGCCGCGCCGTCTGGTCGTCGCCGGTGGACAGCAGGTAGCGTCCGTCAAAGGAAGGCGCGACATCGCGCACCCACTCGGCGTGGCCCGATATCGTCTTGAGGCAGAAGCCCGTCGTCACGTCCCAGATCCTTAGCGTCTTGTCGCGGCTCGCGCTCACGAGCAGGTTGCCCGACGAGGAGCCGCCGACGCCGCCGACGCCGCCCGTGGGTATGAAGCGCACGGCGCTGACGCTGTGGTCGTGGCCCAGCAGCGTCCGTATGTTCTTGTACTCGTTGGCGGGGTCCCACAGCTTGATGGTCAGGTCGGAGCTGCACGAGGCGAGGAGGATGCTGCCGCGCGGGCCGCCAAAGTCCACGTCGATGACGGCGCGGGTGTGGCCCTTGATGGTGCGCTCCAGCTCGCCCAGCTCCCAGTCCCAGATCTTGATCGTGTAGTCGTCGGACCCGGTGGCGGCGGAGGAGAAGATGGGGTGGAAGGCGACGCAGTTGATCGGGTCGCGGTGGGATTCGAGGGTGTGCCGGGCGGGTGTTCGCGGGAGCCACGCGGCGGGGTCTTGGTTGCGGCGGAGGAGGGAGGTCGGGGTCGCGTTGTCGAGCTCGGTTTGAAGGACGGAATTCCGGGATTCCAGGTCCATGATCTAGGGAGAGGGGACAAGGGAGAAGGGTTAGGTTGCATGTTTCTTTTTCCTCTCATGGCGGACAGGAACCGCTCCGCTAGTAGGCTTGGAAAGAGCCTCTGCTGGCTGAATTCCCGGGGGTAGTGGCAACGAAGTTAAACCCTTACCTTCTTCTGTAACCTAACAATACTGGTCCACTTCTTCTCTAGAAGGGTCTCGTACTTTTGGCCGTCCCCGGATCAAACGTGTCTTCGCCTAGATTGAGTTCCGCACGCATCGCTGCGGCGGTACTAGAGAGATTGTTCGCCGAAAGGTAGGCGATGATGGATTTGTGCCTAGGACAGGAAGATCCGTAGCGTTAGCCCCTTATCAACGAGTGCGGCGGGGCTCCTCCCAGAGCGTTTCCTCTTTCCCATTCCAGCGCAATGAATGCGGGAACCAGCAGGCCGTTTGAGGAGGAATTGGTCTCGCCATCTTTGTACGTACAGCTCCTCAGCTTGCCGACTCGTGAGGCTGGAGGCCATGGTAGGCAATTATCTGGATCGGAGTCCCGATCGAAAGGGGAGAGAGGAACGGTGAGGTGAGTGGCTTATCGAGGGGATCGACCGCTTTGGTCGTGGGAATGTGGGGTGTGCCCAACGGGGCCCCAACTTGGCGTGGGCGGGTTGTCGTGCGTACGGGTTAATGTAAGGCTTCAGAACGAATTCGAAAAAAAAAATGCAAAGTCGGCGCAATGGTTCGAGGCAGGAAGATCCGCGAAAGCCTATCGTGAGGCGAGAGCCGTTGGGAGCTGGCTGTCGTCGTTGCTGGAAGGTTTTGGTCCTCGATGCTGACCCACAGTGGATTTTTCGGAAGGGGGTGGGTGGTGAGGGGCGGTGGACGAAACGGCGGGGGAGGCTAAGGGGGAAATTGAGGAGCGAAACCAAGGGCGCAAAAATAGTAGGCTAAGGGGACTCAGGTACCCGAGGGCTTTCTTTGTATAAGTAACCTTGAAAGGGGTGATTGAACAGGACGACCAAAAAACGAGTGCGAAAAAAGTCAACCGAATCTAGGTGGGCTTGAGGGCATCGAGACTGGATTGTTCGGGTCTCCTGTGGCCTGGCCTTCTGGTGGCATGGAAATTCGACCCTCCCCAGACTCAGTAACATTTGGTACTTGGGTACCTGCCGTCGCATGGGAGTGGCAGTCGGCACAACGGTTCAAATATTTTTCCGAGCCAAGGTCCATGCTGGCGGTGACGATGCTGTTTCGTTCCTCAAGCATAGACGATTCAGAGCATGAATGGAGCGGTACCATGACTAAGCAACGATGTTCAAGTTGTTTCCGCTGCAACAAACGGCCAGGGATGCGTTTTATACAGTTGATAGGCAAGACGGGGTGCAGGGATGTGTAGGAAGTTTATGATTTAAAAGGGTTAATTCTGTCAAAGGTGTGCCGCGATCTGAGTAGTCTATTTGGGCCCATTTTAATTGCTTTTGGATAGATGTGCATGCGGATTTGGAGCTTGAATCAACACAATATCCAAAACGGCGTCGTGTAAGCAGACAGGCAGGTCACCGATCAAAGAGCACGGGAGGGAGCATCTCATCACGCTCCTGTTCAAGAGCATGAAAACTTTGAAAAAAAAATTGCAACATAAATTCGACTAAATAAGAGAAATATACAGCTATTGAAACACTTAAATCCATTAAAGCGACTACGAAACCAAGGTGCTCATCCGTGACGTGCTCAACCTCATCGTTGGTAACAGCTACAAGAACAAGCCTCAGAATTAGTTGACGCAGCCCTCACCTTGACTTCGTAGTGATAGTGGAATACCTCAAACACAACATTGAAGAAATAAAACTGTTGAGCTAACTAGTCTTAATTGCCATAAAACTTTGTGACCGTGCTTGTTCTTGGAAGACAATATTGAATTCCCCACGCCACTAGTTTTGACAGATAAACGTCCACGTCAGGCAGGCTCTCGATATCTGTGGAGGGCACTAGCGCCAGGCACCAGTTCCGGGTTTAAGCACGCCCGGGATGGAACTGGGGTGCGGCAAATGGCGGGGGTGGGCACGAGGGTCGGAGTTGGTTGTGTGTCCGGTGTGATGGTCCATGTGCGGGGAGGTCGGGACCACCATCCATCGGCTTCGTCGGGTAACAAACTAGCCATCCTGTTTCCCGCTTTCCCCTCGTTTCCCTTCTTATAGAATAGAGAAGGGTTCAACTAGGGAATTTGCGGATTGGCAATCTCTCTTGTTAACTCCCCGTGGGCAAATTTAAGACCCGAAGATTCATTAGGAGACGGGAGTAGGGCAGCAATAAAGGCCCGTATATGTACGAAGAAAAGAATATTGAGATGACCGTAGATCTTGGAGGGTTCATCACGAAATAATCTTCATAGTCTCATTCTAGCCGGTCAAAGTGGAAACAAAAATGGCTCCTCCAACCCTGAGATGGGGCGTCGTCGGGACCGGCTGGATCGCCGACATGTTCGTCACGGACATATTGGCCCCCGCTCCGATGGACCAGCCAAACACGTTCTCGCCGCCGTAGGCTCTACGAGCAGCATCGAAAAAGCCAAAAGTTCATCGACAACCACTGGGGCGGCGCTGGGCCCGCACCCCGCGCTTTGGTACGTACCAGGAAGTGTATGACTGCCCCGACGCGGACATCATCTACGTAGCAACACCGCACGCTCAGCACAAGTGGAACTGCTTGGATGCCATCCGCACGGGGAAGCACGTCTTGTGCGAGAAACCGATGGCTTTGGATTCCGAAGAGGTGGAATCAATAGTAGCTGCGGCGAGGGCTAAGGGTGTGTTTTTGATGGAAGGTATGAATCGTCATAAAATCTTGCTGTGCCCTGGTGTTTGCAAACTTATTGACGTGATGTCTCTACTACCGTAGCTGTTTGGACTCGCTTCTTTCCTCTGTGCATTGAGCTGGAGAAAAGGGTGAACTCTGGCGACATCGGCCGCGTATGGCGCTCCGTCATCGAAATTGGCCTCGGCCAAGATTGGGACAGCCTGCCAGCAACCCACCGCCTGAAGACCCCGCGCTCGGCGGCGGCGCCCTGCTCGATCTCGGCATCTATACTCTCACATACTCATCCGTCATCATGGGTCGGGGTCTGTACGGAGATGCGCATCCGAGCCCGGAGATGATCTCGAGCATGGATATTGTAAACGGCGTAGATGAGACAACGACCGTCATTTTGCAATACAAAACCACAGATGGTGAGCCTCAGACAGCCGTCGCCCTGGCCACCACCTTGGCAGATAGTCAGCGTGACTTTGGACGAATTCAGGGCAAGAAGGGTGTGATCACCCTGTACACGGAGTTCGGCCCCAGCTGCCCGTCTGGATTTCGAATTCGATGGGCGGATGGGAGCGAGCAGGATTTCCCGTTCAAGCACCCGGAGGGCACGATTGGATTCATACACGAAGCAGATGCTGTCGCCAAGGACATATTCGCAGGGCGTACCGAGAATGAGAGGATGCCCCTGGCGGAGACGTTGCGGATGATGCGGCTGATGGATCGGGTCCGGGCCCAAAATGGCCTTGTCTATCCTAAAAATAACAGATGAAGACAATATAAAAGCACATTCGCCGTTAGCAGTATCCACTCTCAGTGACATGACTATCTGTTTGCTTCATCCTTTCTCGAGCCACCCGGACCCTGCTTGACGATGAAGGATTGGTCTGAAAAGACAAGAGAGCAGGCAGATTCTACCGCAGAACACAATACCAGGAGGGAGAAACGATGTCTGTCTGCTGATTGCAGCTGGGATTTTGTTTGAGTGTTGGCGAACGAAGAATGGGCCTCCTTGTCAACCTTATCTTGAGAGAGTTACTGTTGAAATCCAAGGTAAACCATACGGAGTAGATGTAAATTTAATATCGGTGCTAAGTAAAATCTCCTGCGTTGCCCGGCCGGAGGCCTGGTCGCTTGATGACTTCAAAGTACTTTGAGAGTCAAGCAGTATTTACAGATTCGACCTAGAATTCCCAGTCCACTTCGTGATGAACTCCGCAACCTCCCGTCGGATCCTGTCTCCGTGGGTCCGACTCAGAAAGTGTACCCCACCCTCACAGGCCACCAGCCTCGCCTCGACAGAGTTCTTAAACAGGGTAATATCAGCCTGGGCTTGCTTGAAGCTGAAGACGACATCATCCGTGCCCTGGAATCAAGTTAGAAAAGTCAAGGAGTGTTCTTCGGCTACTATGTGTCCTCTCAGAGGTCTTACCTGGAACCATACCACTGGAGCTTTGACATAGGGTAGGCGCTCGTGCAATCCGTCCCTGCCCGCAAGAGTTACCGCGGCCATGCAGATTCGTCGCTTACCCTCATCGCCACTGTAGTTGGACTTGATAGTTCGTGCCCAGAAATCCCTCGTTTCTTGGTCAATGTGCTTCCCGAACCCAATTTCCATCAGAAAATCGTAGTAGTTATCGCCGGGCTCGAATTCGGGGACCGGGTTAAAATCACCAGCAAGAGTTACGAGCCCGGAGCAGGCTCCCGGACCATCCCAACAGCCGAGCTCGCGGCTCCTGGGAGACTCCGAGTCCATGGATGAGCCGATTGGAATGACTCCTTTCACCTAGTGGAATAGTTAACACCCATGTGCTCAAGAACTAATGTCACCATACTCTCTCAGGCGCTATAAGAGCTAGCCGGACTGCGATGAATCCGCCCTGCGATGTTCCAAGGGCAAAGAACTGGTCGACACCCAACGCATCGAGTAGCTGAAGAGTCGCAATCGCCGTGTCCCAGTAAGTGAAGGACTCCGTCTTGCGGGCACGGGTGCGTCCATGGCCGAGGGGCTCGACAGCCACCAAGTTGGCAGCACGGCAGAAAGTCTCGTCGTTGAATTCTGGTAGGTAGTAGTCTACCGTGGCCGTGAAAGGGTTGAATAAAACGAGAGTTGGCTTGTTCTTGTCGAGAGAAGAAGACGACAGGCGGTATCCGACGTTGATTCCGCCAAGGTGGGGTACTTGAAGTGTGTTGGTCAGGTCTGGCATCTTTGAGATTCTTGATACTACGTGCCCTTGTCTCTGTCTTGCTGTTGCTGGGATGGCCCTTGAGTGTTTGATATGGGTCGAGCCGGAGGACGGCGAGGCATATGGGCTTACACTGGAGAGGTGGAATGGCGCTAATTCGATTGGTTCAAGATGGCGGAACCGAAAGCCGGGAACCTACTGCATTGGGTTGCAGCTAGTTGCAGACTACTCTTTCCGTCCTCCGATGTTGCGATACCCGTCCGCCGGACAGCTGTACCTAACTCCCCGACCATACTAAACGGCGCATTACGCCAAGGGGACTTCGGAAACAGCATTCGACGAGTATACTGAGATATAAACGCAAGTTCATCAAGAAACACCGTCGATGTAATTGGTGATTACTCATTGGCAGGAAAGCTTACTCGAGACTCATTATCGCGCTCTCTAGCACCCCGAATTATTCACGCGATCCAAGACACTTACACGCGTTTCAACCTCCAACCCAGCCCTTAACTACGATGGTAAGCTATCCATTCCTCGAAGAGAAGCTTGGACTATGATTCTGACGGTTTTATAAGAGTTTACATGTCGGGATAGTGGGTGCGGGTATCGGCGGCCTTGCTGCGGCCATCGGCCTACGACTTGCTGGCGCGCAAGTAACGGTGTTAGAAGCTGCGCAAGAGCTTGGAGAGGTATATCACCTTACCCTAAGTGCTCGTAATTCCGGAAACATGGGAATTTCTCCTAGGCTAACGTCAGCTCTTGTCATCTAGATCGGTGCCGGAATCCAAATGACGCCCAATGTTTCCGTCCTCCTTCAGCGCTGGGGGTCGACAAGGTCATTGGGAAGAACCTCGTCCAGTTTGAAGAGCTGAACATGCGGCGCAAGGACGGAACTCGCGTCGGACACACAAAGATCGCTACGTTGGAGGAGAGCCTCGGTCGACCATGGTGGGTAGTGCACCGCGCGCATCTGCACGACGGACTCGTGGTGGTGGCTCGACAGCTCGGTGCAGAGATTCTCGTCGACGCCGCCGTTACGCGGATTCACTACCGAGATTCTCGACAGGCTACGGCCGAGACGTACAAGGGTAAGAAATACACGTTTGACCTCATCATTGGGGCGGATGGGATCAACAGCATTGCTCGAAAGACGCTATTCCCCGACGTCGCACCCGAACCGCCGACGACAAACTGCGCGTACCGCGCCCTGGTTCCGTATGACCAGATCCGCAAGGACCCGGTCGCGAGGGAACTGATTGAGAAACTGACGATGGAGGTGTGGATGGGAGAGAACGCGTACATCATCACTTACCCCATCAGCGGCGGAGACATGTTCAACCTGGTACTCTCGCACCATCGCCCCGAGAAACTACGATCTACGGAGAACGATGTGCCTATTGAGGAACTGTGGAATGAGTACAAGGACTTTGATCCCCGGATCAAGAGAATCGTCGACATGATTGACAAGACGGTTAGTATTTCCCCATCTTCTGGTGCAGGGTATATGTCAAGGGCTTTGAAAGCTGACACTCCTTGCCAAATTTCTAGTCTCGATGGCCGCTCATGGTGACCGGTCCCATGAAATCGTGGTCTTCTCCCAAGAAGAATGTCGTGCTCATGGGCGATGCCGCCCACTCCATGGTCAACCACATGGCACAAGGAGCCGCCACATCAATGGAAGATGGCGCGTTCCTGGCCAGGTGCATTGCCAGGGTCGTGAAGGGCCAGATTAGACTGGACGAGGCCATCCGTATCTATGAAGAAGAACGCCAGCCCAAGGCGTACGCCAAGCAACAAGTATCATTCCTCAACGGCGCCATCTGGCACCTCCCCGACGGCCCCGAGCAGATTGCCCGTGACAAAGCCATGGCCCCTGAGCTGGAGGGCAAGTACTACGTCCGTAGCAGCAACTTGTACGGTGACCCTCAAACAGTGTTGGAGGTCTACGGTTACGACGTGGAGCAGCATGCCGAGGCTGCCCTGGACAAATACGTCAACGGCGGAAGGGAACCTTTCCACCCTGACACCGGCGTCACCGAAACGGTTGCGGAGAAGTATATTAATTGGTTTTTGCCAGAGTCGGCCAAGATCAAATCGCGCGAGGCAAAGTCCAAGCTCTAGACCGAGATTTCATTGGGGGTAGACCTGGACGTTGAATAGGGAGCGAGTCTATGTGGGTTCAAGATCTTCAGAAGATTTGCAAGATGTTTTAGAAAGCTTCGTTTTGTAGATAGAAATTATATACAACAATTTACATACTGAATGCATGCAATGGATGGATGTGCTGTTGAATTACGGTGGCTCTGTTTATGGAAGTGTTGAACAGTCTTTAAAAAAATAGACTTCCCCACCAAGGGTCGAACTTGGAATCTTCCGATTAACAGTCGGACGCCTTAACCATTTGGCCATGGAGAATGCCGTATTTAAAACTGCCACTATTCGCACTTTTCCGCGTCTTTGCAAAGGGACTACGTGCATCATTATCTATACCTGGCCGGACTGCATGACGGGAAAGTCACACGTATGTGGAGCTTCCCTTTGTTTAATTTTAGCCTCCTAAGCTTCAAGGCAAGGAGGAAAGAATATCCGGACACGTTTTAACAAGGAACTATGAGACTGTGTTTTCGACTTGCTCTATTCTGGGTCTATGTGCTACATGATGCTTAGAGTCGGCTCTGCATCGGAGCTAGAGTATTTATCCCACCCACGGTAATCGTCTTGACCGTCAAGTACTCATCAATTCCATACTTGCTGCCCTCTCGCCCGAATCCGCTGGACTTGATGCCTCCGAACCTGTGTATCATTCGAGTGTTAGTGGATTCTCCTCAGAGTCCTTCCAACATACCCGAGATAGATAGTTTGATAAACTTACGGCGCAGCTGCGTCGCTTATGAGCCCTGTATTCAGACCAACCATGCCGACCTCAAGGGTCTTGGACACACGCCAAGCTCGCGAGGCATCCTGCGTAAAAATGTACGCCGCGAGCCCCATCTGCGTATCGTTTGCGAGCCTGATCACCTCTGGTTCAGTCTTGAAGCGGAAAAGGCCCGCAACCGGACCAAAGGTCTCGTCGGATGCCAGCTTCATATCTAGCGTCATATCGACCATCACCGTGGGTTCAAAGAAGTTGGGACCCAAGTCAGGTCGTGGCCGGCCACCAGCAAGAACCCTGGCACCCTTGGAAACGGCATCTGTAACATGGTCCTTCACCTTTTGGAGTGCCCTACCGTGTATCAAGGGCCCGTGAGTGGTACTTTCGCGAACAAGGCCGTCTCCGAGAACGAAACTCTGCTGGACGTGCGTTGCGAGTCTGGCAGCGAACCGGTCGTACACCGAGTCGTGGACGAAAATGCGGTTCGCGCACACGCACGTCTGGCCCGAACCCCGAAACTTGCTAATCAGCGCACCCTGCACCGCCGCGTCGAGATCGGCGTCGTCGAACACGATGAAGGGCGCGTTGCCGCCCAGCTCGAGGGAAATCTTCTTCAACGTCGTTTCGGCGCATTGGCGCATCAACAGCTTTCCGATCTCGGTGGAGCCGGTGAAGGACAGCTTCTTGACGAGAGGGGACTGCGTCAGCGTGCGGCCGACCTCGACGATGTTCTTATCTGTCGTGATGGCGTTGATGACGCCGTTCGGGATCCCTGCGCGGCGGGCGAGCTCGATGAGGGCGTTGGCGGTGTAAGGGGTCTCTGGTGGCGTTTTGATCACGACGGTGCACCCAGCTGCGAGCGCCGCACCAGCTTTCCTGGAGAATGGAGATGGAAAGTTAGCCCCTCTTGGTGTGCCTTATGTGTGATTCGGTTCTGGAGTTACCTTGTTATCATAGCGGCAGGGAAATTCCACCTATCACTTCGGAGTTAGCCCTTCTTTACCACGATGCTTTTCCGCCGCATGGCAGATTCTAGATGCTTACGGCGTAATTAGTGCACACACACCAACGGGTTCCTTGAATGTTACAATCTGGTTATCAGAGTTTCCTGCTGGGATCATATCCCCGTAAGTCCTTGGCGCCTCTTCGCTAAACCACTCTAAAAGCTTGCTGCATAGGCTACCTCAGCTTTGGCCTCGGCCAAGGGTTTCCCGTTCTCCAAAGTGACAAGGAGGCTCAAGTCTTCAGCATGCTGCAGCATCAAGTCGTGCCATTTTCGCAGCAGCCTTGCTCGCGCGCGGCCAGGAACCGCTCGGAATTGGTGAAATGCTCGATCCGCTGCGGCGATGGCTGCCTCGACATCCTGCTTTGAAAACTCGGGGCACGTGCCGATGGTCTGCCCGGTAGCTGGATCTACGCGAGGGAGGGGAGTTAGCAGCCCAGAGACGTATCATCATGCAAGAGCCCAAGCGGACTCGGCTCACGCGCGGGAAGCATTTGGCTGCCTTTTCTTACTCTCTACCGGGAAGGTGGCGCGGGAGTGAGCGTCTACCCAGCGCCCATCTACGAAGCCCTTCTGGATGAGGAGGGATGAGTCTCGTAGCTCTTTGACCTGATGTGCCTGTGTAAGTGTGGGCCTCAACTGGGTTAATAGGGTAGGCGAACAAACCTGAAATGAAGATTTTGGGGTTGCCATCTCGTTAAACTTCTAGACATACGGTAGATTATACACAAGACCCCGCTTTGAACTACTAAAGCTATCCAATTGCTCTCACATCATTAACATGATTATATAGCATAACCTATAAGACGATACGAAATGCATCTTTACGGAATGTCTCTTGAGCTACGCGAAGCCAGCAGGTGTGATCGGGGCGTTAGGATACTCTGTCGTTCCCCTGCGTTTGTGGGCTTGTAAGATACGTGCGCCACGACCGGGCCGTATCCCGACAGGGGTAAGAAGACAGCCTTTGCTGAAGCGAAGGCTTTCTACTTCTTCTGGGCCCCTGATTTTGATATGGACTAGACGAATTCGAAGGACGAAGGGGAAGTATTCAAGGCCCGAGGCTCTGTGTATGTGGGTCGTAGAATGGATCGAGGAAGCTATCGTACGCGGCATTCAAGCTGGAATCAATGTTCATTCAAAGAGGTGAGCAAAATCATTGTATAAGCTTCAAAGTATACTTGAAATCTACAGTATCTATTCGCAACGCAAAGCTGTGGGGTTGGCGGTCGCATTTGCCATTGCCAACATCAAGGTGACTTATTCTGCCTTACCACCCGGTAAAGAGCTTCTTCCAACTCTAGAGAAGCCTGCCTTACTGAGAGGTCATCAGTCGGCAGAACCTGCGTGAACAGAGTGGCCGCAACTCCGCTCTCTCGATCAACGAACCACAACAAGTTCGGAAGCCCATCCCAACTCACCGTGTTTTTCTTCCTCCGCCCCTCAACATCCATGCTATTGATAAGCCCACATAAACAGTAGCCAATCTCCCCACATCTCTCCAATCGCGAGCCGGTGGCCTAAATAACCAGGTCTTGGAGTCCGTAGGGTTCGGGCCAACCACAAACTCTCGTAGGGCCTCCATAGGCCCCGGCCCAAGCTGCGGACGGAACAGCTCATCCACGGACGCTTGGCTCAAAAGCGGTCCGCCGCCCGCAAGAAGCGCGGCCAGGAGCTTGCCATAATCGTTGGCGGTGGAGAACAGGCCGGCCCCTCCCAGAGCATCGCGACACTCGAATTTCCAGGGCGACGCCTCGACTTTGAGGTCCTGCGGCCCTTCGCCCTCGGCGCGGCGGGCCAGCTCGTGGATATCTCCTTCGCCGAAACCGCGCTTGGCAGGGAAGAAGGTTGTGTTCTGCGCGCCGAGGGGCTGCCAGATGTGCTTTTGCTGGTACTCATCATATTCCAAACCCGTGAGCGTCTCGACGACGTGGGCGGCCCATTCGAGGCCGGGACCGTAATCCCAGGATGTGCCGGGCTGGAACACAAGCGGGTGATATTGGCCCTCCATGGTGCCGGAAAACATATTTTCTTGGCGGCCGGCCCATGCAGAGTACTTTGTCAAGAGTGGATGACGGAGATCATAGCAGAAACCGGATGAGTGCGTAAGTAGCTGTCTGTTCTTAGATATTAGCACTAGGAAGGACCAGTATGGTAAAAGGTCAACATGATGCTGTCGCAACGAGAACACAGCCAAGATTCACGACCTGAAAGGATCTTCAGTCTCTTACCGCAGAGTGATTGGTCCATCTACCTCCTGGAGTATCGGCCGCTCTTCCTCGCCGTGACTCTCAAAACCGGTAATGACTTTCAAATCCCTAAGTCGTGGAATCACGTCCCGCACGTCGTCGTCTAGCCCTATCAGCCCCTTTTCTACAATTTGCAAGGTGGCTACCGATGTTGTGAGTTTGGTTTGGCTGGCTATCCATGTCACTGTATCTGGCGTGAGTGCTGGAGCATTGGTTATGTCGACCTTTCGATGGCCAAACGATTTACGGTAGATTTCATTGCCTTTACACATGAAAACACTGTAAGCCGGAGGAGGATCTGTACTGATATGAATGCTACGGACATACCTTGACTATTAACGGCAACAAAGGTGGCGCCATGGATACTCCCAGTTCTAGGATCTGTGTATTTCTTCAATATAGCGTCGACTTCTTCCATTTTGAGGCTACCACGGCGGTGACTGGGCTCAATTGATGCTTGTGGGAGGTTCTAACTGGACCGCTTCCTAACCACTTACATGCTCAGCTGGGATCCCCATCTCAGCAGTTACACAATTACTACTAGTTATAAACGATCCCTACAATTTCGGATTCACGTCCCTCTCCTGGCTGTAGAAAGCTACCCAGTTCTATTTCTCTCTCCCAACGATACTTTAACGACTATTTGCGGACCGAAATGCCCGGTCTGGATTCAAAAAATTGTTCGTCGGTCGACGGGAGCGTCGCGAGCGCGCTAGCTTAAAGGCTAACCTCCAGGATGGTGTCTACCCCTCACGACAGGGTTGGTACATTTGATAGCTTGCCGAGTGGAGTTCTCGTCCCTATACCCCCGATGCCCGTGCTCCGATAGCTTTTCCCCGTAAAGAGGATAGCGCTAAGCAGTCTCCAACCCGGCAAGGGCGCCGGCCGTCCACTGTGGGCGATGATTCTCTCCGTTCGACTTTTTGACAGCAAATACTTGTCCCCATTTTCTCTCTCCCTCTCTCATCTCCTTATCCCTCCTCTGTATTTAAAGCATTTATGCTCCTCGCAGGGGCATATTGTAAGGGAAGGGAAGTCGGACACGAAATTAAAGTGAACTGACCTTAGCTTAAGATACTCGAAACACAACACGATGACTGCAAACGGAACTGGTATCAATGGCGTCAATGGGGCTGCGCCTGCCCAGGCCCATCAAGCTTACCAGTACTCTAAGGAGCCCCTGGGAAACCCTCGACCGATCCGGATCGTGGTTATCGGCTGCGGCGTGTCTGGCATCGCGGCTGTAAAGATGTTCAAGGATAGGTTTCACAATCTACCAGTGGAACTTGCGCTCTACGAGAGGAACAAGTCTGTCGGGGAACCTGGTTCGAGAACCGTTACCCAGGGTAATGCTAGAACCTAACCGCACCACAAGAAACTTCTTGGACTCTTGCAAGGTAGCTAATACGTACTTGCTGCAGTTGTTCGTGCGACGTACCATCCCACACCTATACCTTTTCATGGGAAGGAAACCCGTACTTTTCGCGGGTATACGTCGGCGCCCCCGAGCTTTACGAGTACTTCAAAGGACGGGCGGATGCTTACGGTGTTCCGGATTACGTCCGTCTCGAGCACAAGGTTACCGATGTTTCGTGGAACGAGAAAATGGGGCAGTATGGGCTCAAAATCGAGGATCTGGCTACCGGAAAAACCATCACGGACCATGCTGAAGTTGTCATCAACTCGACCGGAATCCTAAAGTAAGTGCGGCTTGGTAGTGCAATCCATCCACTTCTTCTCTTACTTGACCTTGGTTCAGCGATGATGGAGGAGAAACTGGGCTAATATCTTGCGTAGCGCGTGGAAATGGCCTGATATTCCTGGAATCCACACCTTCAAGGGCACCCTTCTCCATTCCGCCAACTACGACACTTCTGCGGATCTCGACGGCAAGGTCATAGGTGTATTGGGAACTGGGTCCTCTGGCATTCAAATAGTTCCCCAGATGCAAAAGAGTAAGGATGCAAACCGATACCCTCCTTAGTGTTCTCTTTGAACCAGATCTGGATCAGACACCCGCTAACAAGAATTGTCCAAAGTTGCCAAACACCTCCATACTTTCCATCGCTCAGCGACATTCATCACCCCGGAACTCGCGCTCGACCTTGCACCCAAGGGAAGAGACACTGTGTACAGCAGAGAGGAGCAGGACAAGTGGGCGGAGGATCCCGAAGAGTTCCTAAAGTTCCGAAAGCGGGCGACACACATCTTGAACACGGGATTTGAGGTCATCGTGAAGGATTCCAAGGAACAGAAGGAGACCTTGGCCATGATTAAGAAGCAGATGGAGAAGCGGCTGAGCAAGAAGAAGGAGCTTATCCCAAAGCTCATACCCGATTTTGCTTTAGGGTGCCGCCGGTAAGTTCACAAGCCTTCTTTTAACCTCTCGCTGGCGAACGAGGAATCAAGGGACTGACGCTAGATATTTCACAGATTTACCCCTGGAGATGGATACCTCGAGGCTCTCTGCGAGGACAACGTGACTGTGCGGATAACTGATATCAAAGAGATCGTGCCGGACGGCGTCATCACTAGTGACGGAGAGAAGGTCGAACTTGATGCCCTCATCTGCGCCACGGGCTTCAATACGTCGTTCATCCCCCTTTCAAGTTAACTGGTCAGGACGGTGCCCTGATGGAGGAAGTTTGGAAGGATGGCCCGAGAGGATATCTCGGAGTTTCCGTCGCCAAATTCCCCAACTACTTCAGTACGCATCCCTGCTCTCTTTGTCTCATCCCTTACCATTCGTCATTGGCCACTATCCTTTCCCTTTCTACATGAGTATGGTACTAATCGATGCATATTTCTATAGTGACCACTGGCCCCGCCGCGCCTGCTGCCCACGGGACCTTTATTCCCTGCATAGAAGCCTACATCAAGTACGCGTTCGACGCCGTAGAGAGACTCATGAGGGAGGGAATAAAATCCATTTGTGTCAAGGAAGAGGCCGTAGCCGACTTCCAAGAGCACAAGGACAACATTGTCCACGACTTCGTCTGGACGTCAACCTGCCGATCTTGGTGAGCTCTCCAATGCATATGGTTTGCGAAGGAATCTTCGTACTAATAAATTTGTATTAATAGGTACAAGAACGGAACGGTGGATGGCAAGGTCTGGGGCCCTTGGCCGGGCTCTGGCCCCCATTTCCTCGAATCTCTGGCTCACCCACGTTGGGAAGATTACGACTTCAAGTACCGCACGGGCAACCGATTCCAGTACTTGGGCAACGGGAGGACGATACGCGAACTTGAGGGTGGGGATTTGTCTTGGTTCATTAAGAAGGGCCCTAAGCACACGAGAGAGGAACTTACCCCCTCCACGGTTAGCATTAACGGCTTGTAATACTGCATGGAGTGTATATAAATTTTGGGAGACGAAGAGACTTTTTGTTTTCTACATCCATAGTGTGATGTTGGAGCGTCATGGACCAAAGCCGAACAAGGTGAGGATTTTCTTCATCGGAATAGTAATAGCCAAAATAATCTGTTCTGAGGGAGAGAGATAGCGGTGGTGAGAAACAGTTGCTTCAATCACTTCACGTTAGTTCGAGACGGCAATTTTGAAAACTTGGTCTCGCATACGGTATCGTTGTGCGCATCGTCTAGACCTTGTTCATGCGTAACTTGCATTCCCGATATGAAGACTATGACCTCCATTCGTTGGTGTTGGATTCACCGCCACTCATCTATGTGTACTTATTTAGGTACTAGAGCGAGAAAGGACGTAAAGGACCGTGGATTCTTGACACGGGGTGCTACTAGGTCGGTATCTTGACCGTGATGCAATCGATACATGTAAACAAGATGTCAAGGTTGAGGATTTGAACTGTTAACTGTCAACTGTTTAGAGCATAGCTATACGACACTGAATTTCGATTCTGCATCCTACTACAAGCTCTTAAAAACACGTGTAACTCCCGGGCCACATGGCCACAACCAGCATCTTTACCATGCTGTCCAGCCCCCATCAACGACCTTGGGTCTGGTTAGCAACACCGTGGCTCATATTACTATAGAGATACTTACTATATTGGCCCCTGTCAGGTAACTGCTTGCCTTACTGGCCAACCATACCTAGCACATCCGGTGTAAGTAAGTCTATGAAATGAACGGTCAACGCTTTGAGCTCGACGTACCATTGTCCCACGGTGTTCATGAGGGTCAGCAAAGCGCCCTAGCATTATGTCAGTACAATCAAGTCAGGAATTCTTAGTGAGATCCACGAAAACTTACCCATAGGGATCTGCTTGATCCATTCCTTCTGCAAGTCCGTAAGCGGCTCGTCATTATCCTTCTTCCCAGTCTGCCTCGTCATCAGCGGCGTAGACATGAAGCCCGGACTCAGCGAGTTGACACGGATTCCCCGATCCGCCCACTCCGTAGCCAGAGACAGCGCCAACGCGTTAACGCCAGACTTGGAAGCATTGTACGAGGCCTGCACCTGGGGCCGCGGGGTGCAACGCCGCAGCGCTAGAGACAAAGATCATGGCACCCGCCACTTTATTCTCCAGCATGTGCTTGCCGACGCTGCGCGCGAAGAGATAGGTGCCGTCGAGGTTAACGGCAATGACTTTGCGCCAAGTCGCGAGGTCGACGGCCTCAGCCTCACGACTGATGCAGATCCCTGCGCAGGTGATGAGAACGTCGATCTGACCAAAGTCCTGCACGACGCGGCTGACCGTGGCCTCGACTTGCTCCTCGCTGGTAGTGTCGCATGCGTATGCACCTAGTTTTCCGGACCCGGACCCTGTGTCTTGGAGGACTTGGGCCGCTGTATCGGCGATGGCTGTCTGGCAGGCCTCGAGATCAAGGTCAACACAGGCGCTTCGTATGATAGTGGGTGGTTAGCTTGGGCCTACCATCGTGATGTAGAGTGGTTTCCCTGATTTATCTTACCAGTTCGCGCCGGACAGTGAGAACGCGATGAGACATTCTCTACCAAGGCCACCCGCACCTCTGATAACGGGTTTGTGAGCTCTCGTACTTCTTTATGATTATCGGCCCAAGACTGTAACATACCCCGTAACTACATATATCAATTGATGCACGGTTAGCCAACGAAACACCGGATAGGACCGGTGAGAGTTTAGGGGCTCACTCAAGCAGTTCTTTCCTTCCAGAGAAAAGACGGAAAGTACTTTCGAAGCGCCCATTGTTATTTCGGTTACAGTGACAGACTGCTGAGTAGAAGAGTTGGAAACACCCGGTATCACTGATGGTTGCCGCCGCTAGGTGCCCCACGAAAACTACCCTTCTAGCTGATATCAACTTTATACAAAGCTTTAATCTCGGAGTCAGGGACGAATGCACACGAGTCGCGCAACCCCGGATTCCCGCATGTGGAGAAGGTTTGGCACGAAATCCTCCACGTCCCGACGAGGCAGAGATCGAGATCATGTCTAGCCACCCGACGATGCCGTGAGCGTTGATGGATCGGAAAGGTCCCGAAACCCCGACAATAGTGTCGCCTCCCCGCACGAGTAACCCCTGACCTTTCTTTTTACGGCGTATGTTCATGGATCCATCAATGTGTGTGGAGTCGAGAGTTAGCGTTGGAGAAACCAGCTCGGCGGGTTGGAGCTATAGCCCGGATGGGGTCTAGTCCTGGCCGGCTAGTAAATGGGTGTGCATGGCCCCTAACCCCGCCGGCTCCAGCCTCACCAGCCGAAGTCCCGTCGGCCGTACCCCCGTCCCCGCCAACCATCCCGCCGACCGCCGTAACCCCAACTATACTCCCTCGTGCTGCACTTGCACCTCTGCTTTCGAGAAATGTCTGAGGAAAAAGAAAATCTTGTCTCCGCATCCATGGACTCGGTACCCGGGGTAGCAACGAATGCAAGATCGCAACTGCATCTCGGAAATATATATTAATCGACGAATCCGGCCAGTCTTATCAGTTTCCGGGTCGATCATCACTTCACTGACTTGACGACAACGACTCTTTATCGCCTCTGGGAGCTTTCAGTAAACCAAGTCTTTTTTCGTGTTACATTGACAATGGGCGGTCCCGTAGGCGCCTCTCGCTCGGAGGATGAGTCGAGATTTAAGACGATCCCGAACAACACTCACCGGAACTGGTGGAGTGACCCAGGTATGGCATGGCGATCTTCCTTATGGTGATGATAAACGCAAAGGGGGACGAGAAGTGAGAAAACTAACCAAACGGCTCGACAACTAGGTCTGCGATGGAACATGCTGCATTGTATTGGTCTCTGCGGAACCCTCTTTTTAACGGCTGTAAGTTGCTCGACGGTTGCTCACCTTGCAACCCCTGAACCATTATTGACACCCAGAACCAGATGATGGAAGCCTGTTTAATGGTCTGCAGAGCATCGACGCCTGGCAGGAGCACTTTGGCCATCCAACCAGTAACATCTTGGGCTTGATGAATTCCGCGGGATTCCTACCCGGCCTTATAGTCTGTTGGCTTTCAGACTGGCTAGGTTCGCACTATGGTCGGCGCATAACTGTTTGGCTCGGCTCTGCCATCTCCGTAAGTCTACATCTCCCCTCACCTAGTCCTCGAGAGGAAATAGTAAACTCTTACCACGACCGAGCGAGGCTAACAATTGCAATAGATTGTTGGCGGCCTCATCATTGCTCTCGCCAACGGCCGCGGCATGTTCATTGCTGGTCGAGCTGTCCTGGGTATTGGCGTCCAGGGGACTCTAGTCACGGCACCCTCCCTTCTTCAAGAGATTGCTCACCCGCGCTACCGAGCTAAGATCTCTGGATTCTGTAAGTTGAACAGAGATATTTCTGTAATTAACGTATCTGTTTTGGTGCAAGGCCCTTGACTAATCATCGGCCCTGTTTCTCTTAGATATGAGCATCTACTATCTGGCGGCCATCATCTCTGCCTGCGTCTGCAGGGGAACACTCAACCTGGCTGGCAACCAGGCTTGGAGGATCCCTTGCTACCTTCAAGTGGTTGGCCCTGCATTCGTCATCCTGACCACCCTGAACTGTCCCGAGTCTCCTAGGGTAAGACTTGAACAGTGCAATGACAAGATTGTTTCTTGATGCGACATGAACTAGCTAACGCTCAATTCTTTAACCTAGTGGCTCGTCAAGAAAGGTAAGGAGAAGGAAGCCCGTGACATCTTGGTCAAGTACCACGCCAATGGCAAGGAAGATGATGAATTGGTCGAGTACGAGTTCCAGGAAATCGTCGTTGCCCTGAGCGAAGAAGAAGCCAACTCGCAGACAAAGTATACCGACTATCTAAAGAGCCCTGGTAACCGACGCCGTCTCCTGATTATTATTGTCGTCTCTCTCGGCACAAACTGGGTTGGAAACGGGATTATCGGTTACTACCTTGCCCCGATTCTGAGGACTCTTGGTATCGACTCTACGGATCAGCAGCTGCAGATCCTCATCGGACTTCAAGTCTGGAATTGTGGGTTTACCAGTCTCGCGTTCGTTCTCGTAATAAGAACCCCCGGCTAATATACTCTGCTAGTCCTTCTGCCTCCGGCGCTGCTTTGGGTATCGATAAATTTGGTCGCCGTCCGTTATGGCTCACTTCTACTACTGGCATGTGCCTCTCGCTTTGCGTTGTCATGGGGCTGTCGGCAGGATACGATAAGACTGGGACAAAGGCTTTAGGCACCGCTGTCATCCCGTTCCTCTTCCTCTTCTACGGTTTCTATGATATCGCATGGACGCCTCTATCCTACTCGTAAGTTGGGATACCTTGCCTTTAGGAAAGGTCAAATGAACCGTACTAACGAGCTGTCCTCGCAGATACCCCATTGAGATCTTGACCTTCTCTCTCAGGACAAAGGGCCAGGCCATTTTCGTTTTTATGCAGACCTTGGGTATGGCGACGAACCTTTGGGTTAATCCAATCGCGCTGGAAGCTATCTCGTGGAAGTAGTAAGTGATGACAACTTCAGTAGCACATGCATACGCACGATGTCAGACTAATAAGGTGCCTTCCTTCTTCACTAGTTACGCTGTTTACATCGCGGTAGATTTCGCCTTGATTTTCTTAATCTACTTCACGTTCCCCGAGACCAAGAACCGCACCATTGAGGAGATTGCCATTATTTTCGACTCTCATCAAGCCACGGAACTTACTGGTATCATGAAAGGCAAGGATATGGGCCCGCAAGAGGAGCAAATTGAGGGTAGCGGAGCTGCCATTGACAGTTCTTCGGCAAAGGCGAGCCATTAAGGCTTGCACGGATTTGAGAGCGCCAAATTTGCTCTAGCTATTACTCCAGGGTTGGGATCTTGGTTACATGTAGGGATGCGCAGCAGAAAGGGATCGCCTAGCTTTGGTGGAGGGCTCAGTTCGTTTTCGTCGGATCTGCGTCGGCCTGGCTTGTTTATGTCCTCAGGATCCTATTATTACCAATCTCATAATTTAAATTTCTTTTCTGACTTTTCTGGCATTTCAAAAGGCGCCCATTTTGAAATGGACCAGATGCAACAGCAAATTGTAGCAGTTTCTTGTTGCCGAGAGAGGGCTCGGAGAATTGTGTCCTGGCCTTGGCAGTTGACGTTGACGGGGAATATGGCATCCACATTTCGGCTATACATCTATTGATGTACCTTTACAGGGTTCCAACTCTTCAATGACTGTTGTTCTTGAAGATTCTTTAGCGCCTGGGCCGGGCTTCTGGAGTTGGTTGCCAGCACATGCTTAGCGGTAGACTATTGATTCAGAGTGGCGGGCTAGTCCAGAGCGAGCGGAGTATACGTATGGACAGCCATACCCATGCCCTCAACCCCCTCTCTTCGGTGAACGGGAAGCACCTTCTTCCTATCTCCGCCGAACAGTGACAATGCAATTGGTCCCATCTGGATCCATTTCTTTATCCCTGTTCCATTAGTCCTTTCGCAGCAAGCGACCTCTCGGCAGTTCAAATGGAACTGAAGTTTTTGCCCACCATTGTCAAGGCGGTCTCCCTCACGGAACGTTTCCCATGGTCACGCCTAAGGCTCTCCGTGGGTCGCGTGAGATGACACGTCTAACTAAGAGGATATCAACGTCCATGCTCATGCTAGCTCGTACAATTCGTTGTAGGGTCCGGTTACCACTTAAAAACTACGAAACTCAGTCTGCGCTGAGGCAAATTAGTTGCCTCCTGTTCATAAGAAAACCATATCCTGTCCTGGACTGATTTTCAGTCATCGGCTAGGATCCAAGGGCCGCTGTCCCGGCGCCGCTGAATGGGCTACCAGAAGCCCTTTGGGCTAAGTGGATTAGTTGAAGGCTGGTTCTTTGGCATATACAGCTAACACCGCTTCTGGTCACGCCGGCATCGGTCGGTACATGGTCACTGGCTTGTATTGGGGTACAGGCCAGGTCCAATTCATTTTGATTAGAGGGACCTAATCACCTTTAGGCCAACAGATGAAGAAGCGTTGGTACTTTGCACTTATGGTGTCAATATGACGCAGTGATGTTTTAGTAGCAGGCAGCTCAGTATCGTGAAAACGCTCACCAACGAAGAACAGCTACCAGTCATGGGAGGAATGACAGAGATGGCGAAGATATTGGCATGGGTCCGTAGAATGGGCTCCCCCTCAGTATTGCGTGGCGCAGAACCTGGCGTCTAGTTCGGGACTGATTTCACGGGGATCCTCGTTAGCGCGACGACATCTCCACACCACCGCCAAGTCCCCACCTCAGCCTCCCCGAAGTACACTCCAGCGAAGATAAAGGTCACAGCGGGGAAACCGGGGAGACTTATAAATGTTTCCCGTCCCCAACGCGCCCGGGGATAGGCTCGGAGGCCATAGGGGTGTGTTCCAAACCCGTTCCCTTGGTCGATGCATACGTGCGTGCATGCGATATCAAACGATGCCCGTCCACGAGCGCAACATGTCGTCGGAGCAGGAAGCCGACGCGCGCCTCAGTTTAAGCCCAGCCCCGGAGTACCGAGGAAATGGCCAAAATGGCGATTCTCACCCCCAAGTAAGAGGCGGAGGGTGGCTTTGGCTTGCAGCAACTGCAGGCATAGGAAATCTCGGGTACGTGAAGCGTGTTCGCATCGAATTATCTTAGGGCCCCGGAATTCAAAACACGACATTTGAATCAGCCTCGTACTAACCACTATTCTGCTTACCCCCGGTATCAGTGTGATGGAGGACGTCCACGATGCTCGCTGTGCGTCTCGTTAGGGTGCCCATGCGTGTACGAACAGGCTGGCGTTACTACGAACTTGACTGTTGGACGGAGGTATGCTCGTTACGCGTTGTCGGAACTCTTGTCTATTTAGCGACTCTGACCCGAAGCTTCAGTTACCTGGAACGCCTTGAGAAGAGGCTAGAAGATATCGAGACCAACCTTGAAAAGGTTCAGCAGGCGCAGGCCATTACGGAGCTTGAGATATCCTCCCGACCACGGGATACCCATCCAGCCCGCGTTGGTGAGCCTCTACCGGAAAGTGGGGCCACCTCGAAGAGGTCAACGACTGGACCCGAGTACCCCACAGTTGCCGGCGTGCGAGAGGGAGAGGGAGAACCCGACGCGGCAGAGGATCTCATCGATGGAATGGGTGCCATCAAGTTCTCTGATGAAGAAGACTCCGCCTACTTTGGTAAGTCTTTGCATTACCATGGGCACTTGACCTTACGGAGCCAACACCACGCAAATCTAACGCAAGCTAGGCCCTTCATCCAACATAGCATTCATAAACCATATATCCCTCGCTGTGGCCAGGACGGACGGGAACCAGTCTCTACCATCTTCCCCACTAAACCAGTCCCGCAGCATGGCAGGCGCCGTCAGCGTATCCCGCCCTCACAACGACGCGTACGCCGATCACAACCGGCCCCACCACGGACGGGTCAACATCTATGCGCTGCCTCCCGAGGCGCGCACCTGGAGCCTGATCAAGGAATACTTTCAAAAGACGGGACAGCTCCTGCCGTTCGTGCACGAGGAAACGTTTTGCGCGACGGTGCTCGAGATGAAGTCCAACAACTTTACCAAGGTGCGCCGGACGTGGCTCGGGCTGCTCAACATCATCTTAGCCATCGCGACTACGCTGCACGTTGACTTTTCGATTTCGTCGGAGCAGAGGATAGAGGAGTCTGATGTTTATTACCAGAGGGCGGTCGGCCTCTGCGATAAAGAGCCGCGGCGAAATGCAAGTGTGGAGTTAGGTAAGTTGACTATTTATATTCGTTGTTCCTCCTACCCAAACTACCTGCCTTTGACTAAACTTTGGAATCTGCAGCGCAATACCTGCTCATCTTAGGGCAATATCTACAGGGAACCCAAAAGTCGGTACAAGCGTGGACTGTGCGCGGACTCGCCATCACCACCGCCTTGCAACTCGGGCTTCACTCGCCCAAAACCAATAACAGATTCCCGTCGTTGGAGAGCGAGATACGGAAACGCGTGTGGTTTGGTTGCGTACTGTTGGACCGGTGAGCCTGCCTCGCCATGCCATACAGTACCGCTAATACATCCATGGATGTGTGGAGCGTCAAGCTAATATGGCGGTGGCTGTAGGACGTTGAGCATGACATTCGGGCGACCGTCAATGATACACGAGAGCTACGTCAGGCTCGAACTGCCAAGCAGCGACCTCCAGATTCTCGGGTCAACTATTAGCGACATTCCAGGCTCTCAGACCGACGGCATGTTCTTCATCGCAACCATGTAGGTTCAAACCCCACCATCAACACATGAGTCAACTACAAGCACTAACAAGATCTTGTCAAGAAAACTATACAATGTGATGCACCGCATCGTCAGCTCATGCTACGGCCATAATCTAGGCCTTGAAGAATACCGAACCGACTCCGAGCTCATCTCCGTCGTCTGGCAAATCGAGGATGAACTCGAGGAGTGGAAATCCCAACTTGCGTCCCTCAAGATGCAAATCGTCGAAGCGCAGCTGAGCCCCGAGGACCTCGGAGCGTTGGAAGAGGACGACAAGATAAACCAGCGGTTCTTCGTCGTTCTCTCCGTGCGCTACCATAACCTGCAAATCTTGCTGCATCGACCCATCCTGGAAAGATTCCTGCAGGGGTGCGGCCGGTCCCCGCCGACGGGAAGCGCGAATCGGGAACGTCGAAAGTTTCTGGGCATGGGAATCAGCAGCATCGAAACGTGCGTCAACTCGGCTGTCACAATCATCTCCATCGTCCACACCATCGTGACGAGCGAGGGCTGGCGTCGCGACTTGCTGGGGGCGTGGAACTACTCGCTATTCTACAGTAAGTTACTTCTCTTCGAGAACGCGCGCCACCATTGGGCAGAGTCGGCAAATGAGGATGGACAACTAACAGCGGGATCTGGCTAGCTTTTAATGCGGCGCTTGTTGTCTTCGCCGCGGCCCATATCGCCCGGAATCAAGTTCGAGAGGAGGCGGGCCAACTAGATCGCTGGCGGTTCGTCGAGAACGCAGCGCCTTCGTTCTACGCTGCCATCGAAGCCTTGCAGAATCTCGATCGGGGAATCCGGTGGTGGAACGGTGTGTCCAGTACTTGTACCAACTTCGGCTCGTACCCCTTACGACTTGTAAGTTTTGCCACCCCAGAGGTTACGTCGTGGACAGGCGCGCGACGAATGCTAACTTCTTGGGACCACGATAGCGCTGCTAAACGATCCCCTCAACCCACAAGGAGAGCAGCCGAGCTATGTTCCAGAAAATCACATGGGCCAAGCCATGACATCGAGGCAGACGGCTGCTGGCATCGACCTGAACGAATTCATATTAGATACCGATCCTGATATCTTGGATATGTTTATCAATTGAAGGGCTGGCTCTTTGAAATGGGAGCCAACGGGAGTCATAATGAAGCACGAAATGCTGCCGAGAAACCATTACTTGGTCTAAGAAGGATACTGCGAATAGAAGCAAAGGCAGCGATTCGGCAACATCCTACTGGCATTGATCTGCTACTGTCACAAGCCACCGCTCTTCCAAATCCTAACGAGGCTTGACTATATCGCTCACCTGGATACGTCTCGGTAGTAGAGTTGAGCAGGAAGACCACTGGCTGGCAGGGTTTGATTTTGGTAGCGGCTTCAGTCTAGCAGAAAACGAGGGAATTCTTTTCCGTCCCCAATCCTTGGCAAACCTTGCATCCTGTTTTCTTCCTTCTTCTAGCTTCTTCTCTCTGTATATACCCCAGCTAGTGAACCCTTCAACACCACTGCAATTGGGTCTTTGCCTACATGTAGTGTCTGAGCCTACACCTATGTTATTATTCCCATTATCGCAGCCGGATGCCCATCTCCATCTCATATTCAAGAAAAGTGGCAGGAAAGCTCGGAGGCTTCGAGTAAGCCGGATCAACAACTGCAATACCAAGTCCAACCTAGGATTGATTTCTCCGCAGCGGCTCAAAAGGTGGGACGGAAAATAGAAACCCCACTCGCGCTTCGTGCTACACAAAACGAAAGCTCCCAATGAATGCGATGGATCCAATTGATCAATTGATGTGTTGAGGCCGATTCTTCGCCGCCCCGCTTATTTATTGAGGGGCCCGGCCGATCACTCCCACGCGATGCAGCCATTGCCTACTTTTCATCCTTGAACGACCGCTTCTTGCTAGTGTAGCTCTCGTGATCTCAGTGCTATCGGTAATTCCAACTTGCCCTCGGTCCTACTCAAAATCTCTTCCCTAGACTCAGCCCGCACAAAGCAATAAAACAATGGCACCACACACATTCACCGAGGAGCTCCTCGCGACGGACCCCGACGCTTTCCGCCGTGCGACGCAGTGCGAGTTCCTCCGCGCCGCCGCCCTCGGCAAGATGTCCAAGCAAGTCCTGGGATCCTGGCTAGCCAACGACCGTCTATACATTCACAGCTACATCAAGGCGATCGGCCGTCTTCTCACCATTCTCGAGGTTCCTCAGACCGTGCCCGAGACCGCCGCGCAGGCCGCTGCCGAGCGCGATCCGGCGTCTATCCGGCTGCTAGACTGGATCGTCGCCGCCATGGTCAACATTCGGCGCGAGGAGAAGTTCTTCGTCGACGTCGCCCAGCGCTTCGGCATTCAGGTCAATCTGCCCACACGCGCCGACGGCACGGTCGACGACGCCGAGAAGTTGGACGGTCTTTGCCAATACGAAGCTCTCTTCGGCTCTCTCGAAGCTGGGCCGGGCGACCGGCTCCCGTGGCTGGAGGGTGCCGTCCTGTTCTATGCGACGGAGAAGTGCTACCTCGAGGCGTGGAGCTGGTCCAAGGCCCAGCTGGTAGAACAGGCCCCCGAGCAGGACGCGGACGGCGGCGCGCTGCGGACGGAATTCATCGACAACTGGACGTGCGCCGAGTTTGTCCAGTTTGTCAAGGATCTAGGCAGCATCGTGGACCAGGGCATCGAGGAACAGGTGGCGGCGCACGGCGAGGGAGTGAGGAGTGAGCTCTTGGAGCGGGGAGCCAAGGCGTGGGCTACGGTGCTTGCGGCGGAGGAGAAGTTCTGGCCGGAGATGCCGGAAAGCTCTTGATCTAATTGATGTGTTATTGAGTGGCCCTTGTATTCTACGTATTTGGGACTCCAATTTCTTAGAAAGATTTGGATTCGCTCAAAGAATCGAAGCCCTCGGTGGCATTAGACAGACTTTCGTACATGTATGGTTGATGAACGACTGTGCCTGAGCTAGTCGCAACATTTTGTAGTACCCAGGAAGTCTCTCGACCATGTATCGCCCGAATGATATTTATAGTGTCGGTTGATCCTTGATCAAGTTTTATCCATTTCCGAATATCGGGGCAATTTTCTCTTAATGTTGACCGCTATGGTACAATTGATGTGCTGCCATCTTCAACCGACCTCGAGCTTCGGCGTTGAGCACAGGTTTCGACAATACCTCCCGGTATTCAGTAAAACAAGTTCATATGTAACGATCTCCGCTCAATTCTTCAAAGAGGCACATCTCCCGTCGCGTTTTCGGAAGGTTACCCCACAAACGGGGGCGGGAAGGTCGCCCCCAAGCGTGCAGTGATCGACCTGAAGAACTTTGGCAATTTATCTGCCGCACTCTGTTTTATCCGGCAGCACTCTGGGACATGGAGCACCGCGCTGCACGATCGAGCTCCGAAACTTGGGAGCAACCGATCTGCGAGAAAGACATCTGTCTTTTTAAAATACCAATTGTAAACTGTTCATCGCAAGGTCCATGAGGAGATAGCTAGCCCTTCGAAAAACAACAATCAGAAGGGTAAAAAGAGGGCAAGTGAAGCGTTTAAGAAGGCCTTACCTGCGATGCATTCATGTTCGACGTCCCTCGGCGGTTCATGGCACACACTAATAATACTCGTCGCGGGTTTCGTGTCGCTTCCCAGCGTCGCCGCCAATGACTACGAAGCCCCAACTCAACCAACGGAAAACGGCACCTGTCCTTGGGCGCGAGAAGGCCCCCTCGCGCCTCTAGAATCTTCCCTGAGATGCCTGCCCCTAGTCGACGACCAGATAGCCAAGGAGACCGGCCACTGGGCCCCGTGGAGCTATCCACCAGTGTGCGCCTATCCCTTAGACGAGGGGACCGAAAATACTGCACCTTCACATACCACGGGTTCCGGGGCGACCTATCCATCTCCATCATCACGTCGCCCGAAACCGCAGCCGAGGCAACCACGCTCCTCGAAGAGCACAATCCGCAGTGGACCGGCCACAAGGGAGCCGGTGACGTCACGGTAGGAGGTGAGCAGAGGTCGTACTTTATCGACGACGTGCCTGGGCGCGGCAAGGGCGCTTTCGCTGCCCGCGACATCCGTAGGGGAGCTGATTATGGACGAGTGGGCGGTGCTCGTGGGGATGCTGAACGCACCACCGGGCATCGACCGGTCCCATCTCAAGATTTTGGACGCGTTTGCGTTTGAGAGGCTAGGTGACCAGCAGAGGAAGAGGGTTTCGGAGATGGCGACGGCGCCGGATAGGGATATGATTAATGGCATATTTCATACGAATTCGTTTGGTATTACGTTGGCCGATGAAGCAAACCATCGTGCTCTATTCCCAGAGATCGCGGTATGTCCTGTCCTTTGTTTACCTCAACTTGAAGCATGACGCAGGGGCTTGCTGTCATTTGCACGACGAAATCACTGACCGAGTTTTACTTATTGAAATATACAGAGAATCAACCACGACTGCAGACCGAGGTATGTTGGAGCTTCTTAGACACAGATGATACGGTGCACACTGACCCCCGTGACTCTAGTTGCCACGTTCGGTACTCCCGTCATGAGTTACGGATGGAGGTCTTTGCGTACCGCGATATCAAGGCTGGAGAAGAGCTCAGCGTTGCCTGTAAGTCAAACCTCTCCGAGCGAGGCCGTGCCCTCCCCAACTTCTAGCCCATTCCCAACCACAACCGTTCTCACTACAGAAAGCCCATACACTAATGACCTTGCCTCATCACGCAGACACTCCTTTGAATCTCCCCACGAAGGCCCGTCAAGAAGCTATCCAGGGATGGGGATTCAACTGCACCTGCAGCCTGTGCACCGAGCCCGAGCTAAGCGAGACCTCAGACCGTAACAGGCAGCGGATCCAGGACCTCGTACGCGACATGGCCAAGGTGGAGAACCGGAACCGGGACGCCATGCGAGTCATCACCGACCAGCTGGTGGCTCTGATGGAGACGGAGGAGCTAACAGCCATGATGGGGACCTGTACGGCATGCTCGCCGTGGCGTATTCCAAGCTGAACCACCTAGAGGAGGCATTGGAGTACTCGACTTTGGCTGTCAAGAATCAGGTTAGGTTTCGGGGCAAGCATCACGCTAAAGCTGATGAGATGCGGACGTTGTTGAGCATGGTCCGTGGCGCGATGAGGAAAGCTGAGAGTGAACCGTGAGGTCTAGCGGCCCGCACATAACAAATTTCCACGAGGAAAAGATTCATGACTCTTCGATTTCGTATAACATATATAGCTTGCATTTGGTCTGTAATACCTTGATAGCTCTATCAGGACAGCTATCTTCCTGAAGAACTTGGTCTCTTACCCCAGATATATTTCTCAAGCGGCTCTTTTGTTAATCTAAGTGCCGAGCATCATTCTTTTGCGTACATGACTCAATGGCTAGTTATAATGAGAATCAATGTGTACATTGTAACCCAGGGCTAGTGGCACCACTTAGGCTTGCGGATTGGTCGACTGTTTCTGCAGCATAGTTGCCCAGGTGGGTAGATAAGAGCATGTACATGTACTACGCAGCTAGATATAAGATACGCTGCCTAACTATCAACTCATAAATCAACATAGTTTAGCCTACGTCACCCTCTATGGCTCTTCGTCAGCTGGCTCCTCCTCTTCAACAGGCTCCTCCTCGACAGGTTCCTCCTCGACAGGCTCTTCCTCGACAGGCTCTTCCTCGACGGGCTCTTCTTCAACTGGCTCCTCACAAACATCATCCTCTTCCTCTACGGGCTCTTCCTCAGCAGGTTCTTCCTCGGCAGGCTCCTCCTCGACAGGCTCCTCCTCGACAGGCTCCTCCTCGACAGGCTCACCCTCAGCAGGGACTTCCTCAACAGGCTCCTCTTCAGCAGGAACCTCCTCGATGGGCTCTTCTTCTCCAGATTCCTGCTCAGTGGGCACAACCGGGGTCTCTTCAACGGGCTCCTCGCCCTCGGCCGGCAGGACGAAGCATGCGTCCTGGGGTGGCATCTTCTCGCCTTGGTCCCACTATAAGCAAGTAAAAACAAGTTAATAACATTGATAAAACAATTGTCACATCACAGCTGCCTGCTTCCTTCCCGGCAGAGGCCAGTCGAGCAAAAGGGTGAAAAAGGGAAAAAGAGGAAAAGAAGACGTACGTGTTCGTGGACACAGCCGTCCACCCATCGCCACCTGTCAATGGTAGCGTACCGCGCGTACGACATGTTGGTGGCAGCATCGAAGCACCAGCCGGTGTTTGCCTCGGTGCCAACAATCCTTCCGCCACAGAAGAGAGGCCAGATGGCGTTGGGTCCGCTAGCGTATCCGGGCGTGTTTTGCTGCGTTGATCACGTTAGTTTCCACCATGATCCAAGCGATTCGCACACTCTTCCTCATTTCTCTTCTCGATCTTGCACAAGTCACAGTGGTGAGGAGACGACATACCTTGTATACGGTGTCGATAAGCGAGAACATCTTGCGCGGGTCTCCATCGACGATGAAGGCGCGGTAGAACTCGTACGCTCTGCGTGCCGTCTCTTCCACCGACACATTCGGGTCGGGTTGACAGTTCTCGGGCGGTTCACTCAAGCTACACAAGTTCTCTCGCTTGAAGATGTTGCCATTGAGACTAGTCGGCGCGGCGAGGGCGGCGAGCGGTGCCAAAGCGCCGAGCGATAGGAGCGACACGGAGCGCATCTTGGGTTATGTTGGTCTTGATCTCGTTGACCTATGTTTGCCAATTTTTCTCTGGCTGTCTTCTTGCTGTCGTTAGAAGCTTTAGCGGGGCTGCATGAAAGGTGCCGACATCGAGATAAGTGGGCGACCGGGTACTCCTTCTTATGTACGGACGGGATGCTCGGTGGGCAGCTACGAGATAGCGGAGAAGGGACTCGATATGAAGATAAATTGCCGATTGGCTTTGTCTCTGGTCGGTCCTGGCCTATGGGGCGGGGAGATCTGGGACCGGACCGGCTGATATGGCGGACGGGCATATATTGGCTCGCTGGGGCCCTTGGCACCTTGGATGCACTCTCCGGGTGATCAAAATTAAGTTGATATTGCACTGGGGACATATATGAGGATAGAGGGGCAGCGAAATTAGGTCTTGTTTCTGGATCTATGTAGTGGAAGTTTTTGCATCAATGAGATTGAACGGAGGGGGTCGACCCATCATGGACACACGAATATCTTTTTGCGGGCTGTGAGAACGCGCGCCAATGTTTGGGTCGCTTCGATATCGCTGACCGGCGATTGTCACAATGACTGCGGGTTATATAAAACGGGCGGGATCTGCACTACACCACGCTTCGGTTGGCTGGGGAGCTCGGGACTGCGATTAAAGATGGGATGTTTCAGTACCGGGAAGAAACGACGTGGTGATGCAACGTGTGGAGCATTCATCCGTGTTCGGGGTCTTCATTTATCAACGTCGAACATTTCGTCTTTTGTTCTATATCACTGTCGTCTCAGGTTTGATGCTGCATGTACGATGTTGATGTTGACCTAAAACGAGGTGTTTATCACACGCAAGGCATCGGGGCAGAAGAGGTATGAGCGATAGATTAGATTATTGAAGACGAAACCGAAAAAGAAGCAAAGCTCCTCTACTCAATTTATTCATTACCAGCATCAGTCAATAACTTGGACCCTCTCTCAAAGCCTATCCAAAAAGACGACTCTGCTCTGGTAATCACCGTAAAAGATGTACTGCAATCCCACGTTCATCAAAGTCGCGCCCGAGTAGACGGCCTCTTCGCCATTGCACGTCACCCTGTACCTCGCCCGCGGATCCAAGCCCTGCAATTTTACAAAAGGAAACGCGTGGTAGAGATGAGCCCGAAGCTGGAAGCAGAACAGCACCGCTTGATGCCCAGCCCTTGAAATAAAGAGCGCGGCGGGCCAGTTGGACTCCTCCGGGTTGCTGAGCCGCCAAAGATCACCACCAATGACGACAGGGTTGACCCGTTCCGAGAGCGCAATGAGCTGCGGCACCTTGACCTTTTCCTCGGCGGGCATCTCGGCGGGCGTCAGCTCCAGGCCGAACGAGCCGCCCATCATGGCGACGTGGGCGCGGAATTCGATCGAGGTCGAGCGCCCCGTGGACCAATTGGGCACGGCGGAGATGTGGGCGCCCATGACGGAGGCTGGGTACACGAGGGACGTGTTGAACTGGATGCGCACGCGCTCGAGGGCGTCAGTGTTGTCCGAGGTCCACACCTGGTCAAAGTAGTGCAGGATACCCGGGTCGAAGCGGCCGCCGCCAGACGCGCACCCTTCCCAGAGCACGTGGGGAAAACGCTTGGTGAGGACGTCAAAGACGCGGTAGGCACCTAGGATGTAGCGATGGGCGACGCTGGGGTGGGCCATCTCGTGCATGCCGCGGTTGTTGTCCCACTTGACGTAGGAGATGGCCGAAGCGCCGAGGATCTTGGAGATGGAGGCGATGAGGAAGTCCTGCACCTCGGGTAGTGATAGGTTGAGCACGAGCTGGTTCCTCCCCTCGGTGCGCGGATAATCTGCCGCGTGTAGCACCCACTCCGGATGCGCCTCGTAGAGCGAGGAGCGAACGTTGACCATCTCGGGTTCGAACCAGAGGCCAAACTTGAGCTTCTCCCCGTGTCGCTGCCCGCCACATTGAGCTCCGTGACCTTCTTCACCAGGTGGTCGATGCCCTGCGGGAACCGAGTCGGATTCGCCTCCCAATCCCCAGCGCCGCCGTCTCGGCGAGGCGAGGATGCTTGACGCCGAACCAGCCGTCGTCGAGCACAAAGAGCTTCACGCCGAGATCCGCCGCATCCGTAGCGAGGGCGTAGATATTGTCCTCGTTCACATCGAAGCTGAGGCCCTCCCAGCTATTAAGTAGTGCGGGGCGCGGCCGGTCCGCCCACTCGCGGCGCACGAGGTGGTCGCGGAACAAGCGGTGAAAGCGGCGCGACATGCCGCCCAGCCCCGTGGTGGAGTAGACGGCGACGCATTCGGGCGTGACGAGGCTCTCGCCGGGCGCGAGGGGCCAGGAGAGGTGGTTGGGGTGGAAGCCGAGGACGGCGCGGGTGAAGCCCTGCGATCCCTTTTCGACGTTGGCGGCGAAGGAGCCCGTGTACACGAGGGAGAAGCCCCAGGCTTCGCCTTGGGATTCGGTCGTGGTGGGGGTGACGATGGCGAGGAAGGGGTTGTGGAGGTGGGATGAGTAGCCGACTGCGCTGCCAAATCTGTGACGTAGCGGGATTGTCAGTTAGGTCGTGTATGGTATTGAAAACACTTAACGGTTCGTCTCCTACGTGTGCCTTTCTTGAAACGGCCATGTGAAAGATGACGTGGGAGCTTACCCTTGTGTGCCGTAGTGAATCTTTCGTCGCTCGGCAAAGGCTTCGCGAGACCAGTCTCCCCTGAGATTAATCATTTCTAGTTCTTGAGAGGGCAGATCAACGCTGAAGCTCGCCAGATTCTCAATCGTAATCTCCCCATTGCCGTTATTCGTCACCTTGGCGCTCCTCACCACGGCATCATGTGCCGGGAATATGGAATAGGACAGCTCCACGACCACGCGCGCTCTCTCGTCCTCCATCCTGACGACGAGCGTAGACACGTCCTCCTCGCTCCCAAAAGTAGCCGGCAGACCAGGCAGGGACGGCTTGCCCGGGATGACCTGGTGAGACGTGTAGCGCAACTCGCTCACGGTATGGCCTGCGGACTGGCGAATGCGTACGGCGGGGATACGGAAGTCGCCGCGGCCCTGGTCGGGGAATTCGCGCCAGATCCGGCACGGCATCTCGACCCAGCCATGGGCGGCAATGTTGCTCAGCGCGACGTTTTCTGTGGCTGGGCCGCCGAAATGGTCCGAGATGAGGTCGCCGGAGGAGGCGTCGACGTGGAAGCGGTAAGACGAGTTGTTGCCGTGAAGGGCGAAGGAAGTTTCATCAACGACTTTGGGAGGAGCCAGGAAAAACGAGTTCACATTTTTGAATTAGACTTTGATATACCAATAGCAAAAGTGAGCGCGGGTTTCGTAAAACTCACCCACCCCTGTCGTTTCGTTACCAAGGTCGAACTGAGTTGTCGCCATCTTGAACGTTGACCAAAGCACCCACAAAGAGGAGTCTCGTAGGTTCTTCTTCGCCTTTCTTTTCTTTTCGAAGATGAAATAAAGAAGAATTTTACTCTGGTTTGCCCATCCTTATATAGCACAACGCAAGATCCTCGCGCATCACCGCATCCTAACTACTGTCTCGGAGAACGCTCCTCCGTGATCCTGTGGAGTGGTACTAGCCCAGAACGAGTCTAACGGGGTTTCTGACAAGCACAACTGGGAAGAGGAGTTGAAGGTGGTGTCACCTCGCATGTGGGGGCTGCGGGGATCTCAGCCCAAGCTCAAAGAAGAATTGGTGAGGGGAAGGGTCCAATATGCACGCCACAGTTTGAGCGTGAAGTCTCCCGGTCCGTCCGATCAACTCATCCGAACCCTTGCTCCACGAGCCCGAGCGTCTGAACAACTGGTTGACCATGAAAAGAATTTGATATGTTGTTCTGGTAAGAAAGAAGCAAAAAAAAAAAAAAAAGCGAATTGATAGCCTATACGTGATCCTCTTGATGCACCACGTTACGGATGCAATGCAGGCGACGTATACAGAAAAGCCAAGTCACAGGGTAACTACCTACCCACTCTGTAACTGTTATCAACCACGTGAGGTTATGCACCAAAGACAAAAAGAAAAGAACTCGGATGAATGTGTGACTCCCGAGTCAGGACTGCGCGTTCTCACCACAGGTTGTTCTTGTGAAAAATACAAGAAATTCAGACAAAAATCCACTCATGGCCAAGTTCGCATGGACGTCGCATTCCAGACGTTTTTCTTTCACCCGGAGTAGTAGTTCAATCACTAGTTGACATCAGCTCAACGCCCGGAGCGCAAGATAACGCACAAAAATTCGACGAGGGCGAAGGCGGGGACTCAGGGAACACATGCACATGCCGAGACAATGGACATCGCCGCATTCCCCGACGACATCCTCTCCGATGTGTGCCTCTTCCTCGACGAGCCGACCCTCGGGTCCCTCCGCCTCACATCCGGCCGTTTCCACCGCCTAGCCAGCCGCCCCTTCCACCGCAACCTGCAGACCCTCCGCCTCCACCTCATGCGCTCCGACCTCGCCCACCTCTCCGCCGTCGCCGCCTTCCCGGCCCTAGCCGCCGCCATCCGCCGTCTCGACCTCGTCGTACCCCACTACAACATCACCTCCCGCCTCTCCGCCGCCCCGCACGGCAACGAGACCGGGCTGGGCCGCGACAACGACGACAACGACCCTACCAGCGGCGGCGGCGGCGGCGGCGGCGGGGACCACCCCCGACATGGAGCGGCGCGCCTGGCTCATCGAGAACGCGAGCCAGCAAGTCGTCTTCGCCAGCCGCGACATGGGCGCCATGCTCACCCGCGCCCTCACCCACCTCCCCCACCTCGACGAAGTCCGCCTCGACGCCGTCGCTATCGCCTCTCTCACCCACGTCCGCCAGCCCGCCGACTCCCCGGCCTGTCGTGGAAGACGCTGTGGAACCAGGCCCGCCACACCTGGTGCGTCGTCTGCCGCTCCATCGCCCACGCCCGCGTCCGGCCCCGCGCCCTCTCCTGGTTCCAAGACACCCTGGGTTGCAGCCTGACCACTAACGGCATCTGCGACCACCTCCACAACCTCGGCCCCGGCGAGCTCGCTTCCTTGCACGACGTCCTGCGCGGCCTGCGCGCCTTCTCCGTCAGCTTCGCCCCGCCCGTCGACCTGTGGAACATCCGCAACGAGCTCGGCGGCGAAATGGCCGACCCGGACCACCCCAAGGGCGTCGAGATGATGCGCCACGTCCTCGGCCTCATGCCTGACCTGCGCCGCCTCCACCTGCACGTCTACAACGCGAGCTTCCGCGGCGACCATACCCCGCCCGAGTACTGCACCCTCGCGACCGTGATGCGGGCCGCTGATCTGCTCGCGCTCGAGGAGCTGACCCTGCGCGGCTTCTGCGTGAGCGAAAAGTACATGGTCGACCTGCTGCGCGCTCACACTTCCCTGCGCTACCTCTGCCTCGAGCGGCTCCGCTTGACGGCGGGCTCGTGGGACAACGTTTTGTTCGCCGCGTGCCAAGCTGGTAATATCAAGCGCGTCCGGCTGTCGGGCCTCTGGACGCTGCAGGGGGTGACAAAAACGCCACAATCATGTACAACGTCAAGCCCAGAGGCCTACATCTCGCGACGGAAGATGAGAATCGGCCGTACGATTTCGTGTACTACCCTTCCGACGCCAGGTACACGTGGGCAACGCGCGACATAGAAGAGGACGAGCTCAGGGCCGGCTTGGATCTCGATCCTAGTAGGGGAATAACGAGGAAACATGGGAGATGCGGACTTTTGCTTTCAAGTATAGAGCAGAGTATGGGCCGCCTTGGAGGCCGTGGTGAAGCTAGACTCACGACGGAGCGTGGAGACTGTTTGGCCCCCTGCCCCGACACATTCACGACTTTATCCTCACAATATGAAAATTCGACATGTAACGAAGAGCGGAGTTACATCCATGAACTATCTCGCGCATAAGCGAAAACAAATCGGCCTCCCACCTTCCTCCCTCCGAAAACGCCTAAAATCCAGCTTCCTCCGAGCTACGAGCCTCCTCGTTCCAACCGTTTCATTAACCAACCATACCCCAAGAACCTACTACGCTCAGGAAAGTATATTTTCTTTGATTGCCACATGGCAACCAAAAAGCCCACCTAGCTAGCATCCACCATCAGCTTCTTCCCCAGCTCTTCCGAGATCTTGTACATCTTGCCCGTATCATCCTGAATCCAGTGCTGCTCCGGCAACACAGTCGGCTCCGGATCGATAATGGGCTGGTACACGGTCTTGACCTCGTGGAAGTGGATGGAACGCGTGCGACGAGGCTCGTAAATCGTGTGCACCTCGGGTTTGATGACCTCGTGCGTGACGGGATCGCGCGTCTCCGTCGTGTACTCCACGTGGTGCTGAACGCTATCGCCCCCGCTCACGCCTCCGGCGACGGCGCCAGGCTGCGAACGGACCGTGTAGAAACTATCGTCGAGATCACCACCCTCATGGTCTTCTTCATCGCCATACGCGTCGTGAGTATGTATAGCGGGGACTTCGTCTGTCCGCACGTCTTGATTGGGTTGCTGGATGGGGTCTGCATCCTTTTGGATTTGTGGCAGGTAGTGCTGGTGGTGCTGGTGGTGTTGGTGGAGACCCCGGATGGCCCCTCCGTTGCTTCAAAGGAGTATACACTCGAGGACTCGGATCGAAGACCCCCGTCGCCGCGAGTGCAGCTCCAGCACCCTGGTTATGAACAACTGGTTCACTGACAGGCAAACGCGTCGTATCGGCAAAGGTATACGGCGTGCTGTTATCGAGGGGATCGGGAGTTTGATCATCATACACTCGCGGCGGCAAGATATCCTCGTACGAATCCTGCGCAGGACGCTCGTCGACGCGGTGCTTAGAGTCCTCATCCGCCGCTTCCCACACATGCTCGTCAAACGGTCCGCGGGACGCCTTGCTCTCCGCACCCTCGTCGACGCGCTTCTCTCCGCCCTCCCCGACGATCACGGCGTGGTTCTTGCCCCCGAGAGCGGGAACTCCCTATGGCGCTCGCTCGCCTCGTGGTCTAGAATCCTCTGCTCGTCTCGCGTCGCGTGCGTCTCCTGCAGCGCCGTAGCTTGCATATCCGCCGGCGAAACGTACCGTAGGTCCGACACGGGCGCGGGGCTAGATCCGGTACCGAGATCGGCGGGTTGAAGTGGTTTCGGTCCGGATTCCACCGACACGCGTTCCCCTTCGGCATCCGTGACCACAACGGCAGGCGTGTTCAGATCCTGCTGCTGCTGCTGCTGAGCAGCAGACTCGGCTGATTGATGGAGGTTCTGGGGAGCCGGCCGGTAGGGCATTTCCTCGAGGGTCGGCACCCGCGCAACTTCTGGTTCCTGCGGCTCGCCTAGGACGGCCGATTGCATCGGCCGTTCTGTGTCCATTGCGCGTCCGGTGCTGGCTTGGTGCGTGCCTTGGGCTTGCGCGGTGGTGAGGGGCTGGTCGTGGCCGGCGACGAGGTCTTGGGCGTCCGAAGGGACTTGGCTCGTCGGCCTCCTTTGTCCCTGAGAGGGGCCGAGGGCAGTCTGCTCGACGAAGGGTTGATCTGCTACGTGATCATTCCTGAGGGCTGCGCGCCGCCGGCAGCGACAGAGGGGTTCTAAACAATTTGATCTTTGTTAGCGCAGATCCCGCGTTCGCGCCCCATGGCAGGACCAATAGCCGCATGGAGGGGGACGAAGGGGGAAAAGAAGGAAGGCATTATCCCAACGCACATTGATGACGCCCCTCGGATTCTTGGCTTCTGTGAGCGAACCAGGTGCCCCGTCGAGGTCGGTGATGACGCCTGGCGCACCGTGAGTCGAGTTGCGCAGGCCGCCCTCATTCCACGGGGTCCGCCGGTCGTATGGCCCGTGGCCACCATCTTTGAAGACTTTCTTCAACTTTCTTTTGACGTTGTCCAACATGGTAAATGGTCAAGGTGCGGTGTGGAATAAGGCAGGGAAGGAAGATAGAAAAGTGTCGAGAAGAGTTGACTTCTCTCCGTGCTGTAGGGGCCCAAATCACGTTGGGCTGGGACAGTGTTTGTGATGGCCAGACAAGTTTTGAGCGGCTGAATTTCCAAATATTGACTTGCGTCGCTGTATCCGTCACTGAGGATTTGATAGAGAGGCAGTGTGTTCGTTCTGGGAACCTGAGCTTGTGATGCCCCTTGAATCGTCCTTTGTGGGGAAAAACTACCTCTGGCATGAAGCTATGACGGCGTCGCTGATGGGAAATGCAAACTTGGTCAAATGAAGAAAAGGCCTTGAAGAGATCCCAGCCCAAGGACAGGCGCACTGTTCGCCGCCCGATGATGATTGTTGGTTTTACTTTTTTCGGTGCCCCAGATCTAAAATGCGTGATCTCGATCTGATGGGCAGGCGGGGTCTTGTCACTTCCACACTGCAAGCTTAGCCAGCTGACTTATAAGGTTTTTTGGCGTGGGATTTCGTAGCTTCGTGTCTCACTTTCCCGGCTGAGCCAGGCAAAACGTTTCCAAAACAGGCCACCGAGCAACAAGAACAAAGTCTAGACTCTTATGACGGCCAAGATATGGGTTGCAACCAGGCAAGGTACCCGCCCAAAACACGGGTCGGGCCCCGTCAAGTTCAACATGAACTCCTCATCAGTCTTGGTGTCCCCCCGTCCCCCAAATCCCCACTGGAGCAGACAACTCCCACACACACTTACACACACAGTCCATCCTTCGTCGCAGAGAAAGTTCAAGCCGCGTGAAAACTAATTACAATGTATGTTTGTATCCAAGGCAGGCGTCTCACACCTCGACCTCTCGACGCAGCTGGCGTCAGGAACATTGTGCAGCAGGAATGACGTTGCACCAACGACATGGCTGCTATTTAGCGTGCGCTTAATCCAGAGTCACGACCGCACTCAACGTCAGTGGCACCGTTGCCGGGAAGGGCTTTCTTGGCCTCTCTTTTCCCTTTTCTTCTCGCCATTCATTCAAGGGAAAGCGGCTTCGATCTCATCTGGGATAGCCGACAGACCGGGGTGCGTCTTGTCTCAGAAATACTCCGGTGGATCCGCCGAAAGCTCTCGTAGCTCTACATGTAGCTTCAGGCAAGCCAAGTGTTGACCGTTGCGTTTAGCATTGCCGACCCTTTCACCACGCAGCTTGCTCTTCAGCGCCTTTCTTTACCAGCCCCCTGTTCTCTTTGCTCCTCAACGTCCTAGCTTAAGCCTGATGGGAAGCTGCCTTTCAACATAGTATTGAGGCTCGGTCTTTACTGAGTAGTGCCCCGCTTACTGTTCCGGCATGGGCGCGAGGTGGAGAACGGGCTGTCCTGCTCTTTTTCATTTCGCCCTCTTCCTTTCATGCCTTAGTCTCATATGAGCTGGAACTGGTCGTAGCCGATGAGCTAGTCCATTGGATTCCAAACAAATCACCCTAAATGACGTTCAGCCGTGTATGGTTTTGCAGCTTAGGTGAGCCGTGATTGACTAGTCGGTGACGATCAATGCCAGACCCAACGGTAACCCACTGGTAACCCAATGGTAACCCTTCACAGCGTCTGCCCCATGTTCTGCCTTTGCTTTCAACCCTTTCGCTCTTCGCGCTTGTACCCTTAGCTCTATGCCCCTTGGCACCGGGGCCACAGGTGGGGATGGGGACACTTATCGGACACTATACTGCTGGCTCATGCCGCACCAGAGGTCGATGATGATATGCATGTGCTAGCGGAAGCTTGTCCAGGGTCATGACGTGGTTACTATGATATCCAAAGGAAGGCTCGTCAAGAGCTCGTCAAGAGCTCGTCGCCGGTTTTCGTGGATATATAGACTCCCGAGCCCGCCGCTCTCGTCACTTTGATATTCGAAACAAACACTCGAGCATACCGAGCTGTAGTAATATCATCGCATCACCAGTCACAGCCTTCTTCATCCTACTCTTCAACTTTTCAACCTCTTTTTCTTTTTTCCCCCGGACTTCCACTCCCACCCTCAACATGGAGAAAGCGAAGCGCGCCGTAGCCGAGTTCATCTCCAGGGACGGGAAGCACACCACCATCGTCGACCAGGATGTTAGGAAGGCTGTGACCGAGGAGCATATCCGCCCTCACCAGCACGAGGAGATCACCACCGCCATCGACAAGGAGGTGCACCAACACCATCACCACACCACCGTCCAGCCCCTCGAGGCCAAGGCTAGGCTGTACGTTTTTTTTCAAGATTTATAAAGACATTGAAACAACAACTAACAATCCATAGCGCCGAGGAGCACACGTATAATACCATGCCCGTCGAGCACCGAACCTTTGAGCACGGCAACGAGGGCGAGCTCCGCGCCGCCCTCGACCGCGACGCCGCCCGCTTCAAGGACCACGTCGTGACCCACGAGGCCACCCACTCCACCTCCACCGCCCCCACCGTCACGGGCGAGCGGGTCCACCACCACGTCCACGAGCACATCCAGCCCGTCGTGCAAAAGGAGACCATCGCGCCCCAGGTCATCCACACCACCGTGCCCATCCACGAGACTCACCACGCCGCGCCCGTCTTCCACGAGACCACCACCCTCCCGGCCAAGACCCTCGAGGAGTTCACCAGCCAGACCGGCGCGACTTTGACCGCCAGGAGCGCCGCCAAGATCAAGGAGTTTGAGGGCTGCCCCAAGTACGAGACCACCGGCCTGCACTCCGGCGTGGACGGCATCGGCGCCAGCACCAGCGCCACCGGCACCAGCAAGGAGATTGGAAGCCAGCGCAAGGCCGAGAGGGCTAACGAGAGGCTCGCCGAGAAGCGTCTGAGCCGATAAATGGGCTAGCAAGACAATGATGCATACGACACCTGATCTTTGACTCTTTTTTTCTTTTGTGTGTAGGCAGCTCTGCGATACTTGAGTACTATTCAGAATAGTTAATAATCAACCCTTCACCACTACTTTGCTTTTGTTCGAATGCATTCATGTTGTAAGAGGCCATTGACTCGTTAGGGTTAGGGGTCGTGATTAGCACGCAGACAACATGAGGTTCACAAATAAGCCAGCAGAGAGAAGGCCTCAACTCAGACCTCCAAGTGATCAGGGCGTTCAATGTTGTCTTTGAAGTGCTCCTTTCACCCCACTTCAGCCTGTTGGAGCGACTGATCCTTGTCTTGTGCCCCCACTTGAGCCTGAGTGGTTTGGCCTCGACCCCACCTTCCTCAGTTGAGTCGGTTGGGAAACGCAGCAAAAATTCCTCCAAAATTCCATCTTGAGAGAAGGGGATTTTGAAGCTGGGAGGAATTTCCAAAGCAAGATTAACCTTGTATAGCTCATTCATTTCTCTAGCCATCTCTCTAATAAAAATTGAACAATGATCAATGTTTGACCAGCTCCGGGCCGCTCAACTGCCCGGGATCCAAAAGCGTGAAAGGTGGCGCCACCGTGAGAAATTAAGCACGCTTCCAAATCCTCCAATTCGCGCTGAGCGAACTTTGCAATTGCGTGCTTTCACGTGCCCTTTCCCGAGCAGCGCTGAACCGTCCCGCCCGCGCTGCAGCCCTGGACAATGACACCCCCGAGTTCCGGTGCGGCGGATACGCGCGCGCGCTGTACGGTTTTTTTTTCTGTTTAGGCGGGAGCTTTCGTTTTTGTCTCATTCTTTATCTCGTTTCTTGATTAGAAGAGATCCACTGTCCATGTATGTTTGGTAAGCTAGGTTCGACAACGACCCATTGAAGACCTCGTCGCGAATCTGTTTCCAGATCTGCAAGGGTCACGCCAGCATTGCCTCTTCGTGAAGTGGTAGCCACGGTTCGGTCGAGAGGAGTTTTTCTTTGGTTTTCTAACGCTCTTGAATTTGGAAGAAGAAGACGACGACCAGTGCTCCTTTCATTCCTTGCATACTTTTTCCGTATTCTGGTGTCCTTCGAGATCAGTTAGTTTTGGCGTTCCGCACGAGACACAATGGCCGCCGTCACTCTTTCTACTAGGGCCGCGCTGGTCAGGACCACCGGCCACGGCTTCAACTCCGTCCGGACCTTTGCCACCATCCAGGCCAAGCCTCACCACAAGATTGTTGTCATCGGCGCCGGCACCGCCGGCGTCACCGTTGCCGCGCAGCTCGCGAGGAACGCTCAGCTCGGTAAGCCCGACATCGCCATCATTGACCCGGCCACCACCCACCACTATCAAGTGAGTATTTCTTTTTTATATAGTCACACACACACACACACTCGAGCCGGCCCTTCTTTATTCCGGGAGTCGCTAACTTTCCGGGGAAACCCCCAAAACAGCCTGGATGGACTCTTGTAGGCACTGGGCTCAAGCCTCTGAGCGACATGAGCAAGCCACTCTCGGCCGTCGTGCCGCCCCAAGTCAAGCACTATCCCCTCAACGTAGCCACCTTTGACCCCGAGAACAACGTGGTCAAGACGGCCGAGGGCGTCGAGGTGTCGTACGACTATCTCGTCGTCGCTCCCGGCCTCGAGACCAACTTTGCCGCCGTCTCGGGTCTCCCCGAGGCGCTCAAGGACCCCCACAGCGCCGTGTCCTCCATTTACTCTGCCGACACCGTGGAGAAAGTGTGGAAGAACATCCAGGCTCTCAAGGGCGGCAAGGCCATCTTTACCCAGCCTGCTGGCATCATCAAGTGCGCTGGTGCGCCGCAAAGGTCCTGTGGATGGCCCTTTCTCAGTGGAAGCGCGACGGCGTTAGGGACAGCGTAGACGCTGCCTTTGCTACCGGTGCTGGAGGTACGTAGTCACCTCACCCTGCCCTCCCTCTGTTCTCTACGCTTGACCATTCTTATCGCCTCACTCATCTACTCTTGCGTTCAAACGGCCTCCCCGCCTAAATCGAGGGCCTGCAGTTTGCTCCCTGTATATGCTAATCACCGTCGTCGCAGCCATGTTCGCCGTGCCCAAGTATGCTGCCGCCCTCGAGGAACTCCGCCAGGAGCGCAACGTCGAAGGCCTCTTCCAGCACAACCTCGTAGCGGTTGATCCCAAGCTCAAGGTCGCCACTTTCAAGAACTTTGCCGACGGTGGCAAGGAGGTGCAGAGGGGATACGACTTCCTCCACGTCGTGCCTCCCAGAAGCCCTGGGACTTTGTCGCCAAGTCCGCTCTCGGTACGTCATTTACTCTCTCTCCCTCTTTCCCTCTCTCCCGCTCTATCAGCAACCCTCCCCAAAAGAAGAAAAAAGAAACAAAAAGAAAGAAGAAGCAAGAATGAGGAAGACGTAAAAGGAGAAACGCAGCACTGAGTCGCTGCCATGTTGTACTCTGCATTCGGAAGGAGAAAGAACCGTAATATATTAATCAACCCATCTCTGTTCAGCCGACGAAGGTGGTTGGGTCAACGTCGACAAGGCCTCCACGCAGCACGTCAAGTACCCCAACGTATTCTCCATCGGCGATGCGTCCAGCCTGCCCAACAGCAAGACCGCTGCCGCCATCACCTCCCAGGCCCCCGTGCTCGTCCACAACCTCGTCTCCGCCATCGGCGGCAAGCAGGGCAAGGCCGAGTACGACGGCTACGCCAGCTGCCCCCTCATCACGGGCCACAACGAGCTCATGCTCTGCGAGTTCAAGTACGGCGGCGTGCCCCAGGAGACGTTTGCCGGCATCCTCGGCGGCCAGGAGAAGCCCAGGAGGGCGTTTTATCACCTCAAGAAGGATTTCTTCGTAAGTACTGACCTACCTTTCCCCCGTCCCCGCGTACCGCTGTCACACTGTCCTACCAAGGACACCCTCGGCTTCTCTTAGCACGTCGGGAAATATAGCTAACGATGATGTGTACACACAAATTAGCCCTTTGTGTACTGGCAGAGGTTCGTGAAAGGAACTTGGTACGGGCCCAAGGGCATCAGCGCTCCCAAGTTCGAGTAAAGAACTCCCTCCAGAAAGGATAAAAGGAAATAAGAAAAAGAAATGAAAAAATAAAAAATAAAAGCACAATGCGAGATGGTCCTCACAAAGACGAGACCGGGCTACAAAATAAAGGGCACAGCAGTTGTGTATGAAAACGTTTTGGTTGTTTTTGAAGGAGCCATTATACCTCGAGAGAAAGATAGACTTTTTTTTTTTTCGGATCCATCCTGTACTCCCATCTATTTCCATAGCGCCAATTAATCTGCATCTTTGGTTAAACATGGCGTCGGCTCAACTTGACACGCAGATGGAGGTGACCGACCGCCCCCTCCTCCCGGTAAAATGAGTAGCGAGGATAGCATGATGTCGGTCCTCTATACTGACATGATTGTTTATCTTTTTCATCTTTTTCCCCAATATTTGTAAAGCTTACTGTAACCGCCCCTCCCGGTCCTGTCATTTTACTTTTGTCTGTGATATCGATATTTTCGCACGACAACTTCGGCTGGCTTGACTGAAGGGTTGTTGGGGAGGAGCTGACTGGCCAGCTTTTGTATGGGTGGTTTTCCAGGTTTGGCTCGTCGGTTATAGTGTCATCTAGTCAACACTCACAACAACCAATCATAGTAGGTAACTTGGCCGAGCGGTCTAAGGCGCTAGACTCAAGACTTTGTCTTGCCTGTCCAAAGCAGGTGAATTCTAGTCTCGCAAGAGGCGTGCGTTCGAATCGCACAGTTATCAATGATTTCTTTTTTGTTTTTTTGCCCAACTCCCTCCCCCATCCACTTGCAACAGTCGAAAACAAAATAATTTTTAGCGAATCTAATTCTTTAGTCGTCGGTCCTTTTTCTTCGCCTTACCTATCCACTTTTACCTTTGCATCATAGATGCCTCTCTGCGATAGATTCCTTGCTCTTACAACAAGATTGAGAGGACGAATGGCGCAAGTTGGATATAAAGCTCGTTGACGTCTTTTGCCCCTGTCACAAATTATCCACAGGAGCTGAAGGGAAATCGTGCCGCCCCCTTGGTCTTTGACGGCCAAGCCAAACAGGAAATGAAAGAGACAGACCATCGCACGGCCTTTCTTCTTCTTTCCCCAGAAATCAATTTTCCGCTGTCTGGTAAACGGCTGCCAAACCCACGGAACCCGGCAGAGATGGGAAGAGAGAGGTGGGTCCCCTGCCGGTATTAGCAGGAGTCGTGGGAACCAGCTTGGTAGAGAGCGTATATCATTTATCAGCCCAAGGTCCATACGCCAGAGACACTCTCTCCCGATGGCCCGAACATCCCCTCTACCCCCAGGGCACCAGGGCACAAGGACACCAGGGCATCGCCATGTCTCCGCCACCCTAAAGCAACGTTCAATTTAAAGTTTCGAGGTGGCATCTTCGCTACCACGGTTAAGCGAAACGCGGTGGGGTCATCCGCCGTGAAGGCCTGGACGATCCGACTGGGGGAGGAGGCCTTTGGATGATGCAAGGATTCGATTTCCTCGAGCAGGGTTGGCAGTCCAGGTACCCAAGATCAAGATGATGCACCCCTTGGTGGGGAATAGGGCCGTCTGGCGCCGGCAAGCACCCGGTCCGCCATATGAATAAGAAGCGTGAGAGCGTGGGTCCTCATCTGCGCAGAGGGATCTAGGGCTTGGCTTGTTTGCCCTGTGCTTTTTGCCCGGCACGCTCGAGCCGTCCCCAGATGCTGCGAGGCCTGTTAAAAAGGCGCTTGTAAAGTGGCCATCATCAATAAACTTTGTAGTACAACCGGCAGTTTTATAGCGAGAGATATATTGCGGGGGTTTGTGGTGTATGAGCGTCATATCCCCGGACGGGTGCTTGCCGGATGATGCTTGGGGAATCTTGCATTTCCATTTGACTCTTATCTTCAAAGTACGCGGGAATAGCGAAATAATAGACAATAAAAATGTCCGAACGACTGTTTGGTGAACAGGGTGAGGTAATTCGCTCGCCAGCCGGGGATATAGGATATTTTCCTGACTCGCTTTCGACTCTCAGGGCGAGCGCCAGCGGCGATGCAGATCCAATGAAGTCAAGATGCCTCGCGTGCAGCTCGTCTGTCCGGCACAAATGCCCACCCCGCGAGCACGGGGCCAAGGAGAGCCTGACAGCTGCGGCCAATATCTTCCGATATGAAAGATGCGCGCATCCAAAGCGCCATGATTGGCTCGTGGCGTATAGTATCAACCACCCTCTCGTCCCTCTCAAAGTCTTGTTTGGGCATCTTTGCCCAGTATCGAGCTCGCGCGACGTCAAAACTAATTACTTCGACATGGCCGTCCCCTCCCACATCGGTTTCAAGGGAGAGTTTAATGTGCCCTTATAACATGGGCCCTACTATTATAAGACTACGCGTCCATGACACTTTGATTCGCGCAGCGAAAGGGGCCAAGAGTTGGCCTCGAGATTAATTACAAAGGATCCTTTTTCTTTTTTTCCCTCCTTCTGCCCTTTATTTTTGCCTGCGAACTGCTGGTCGCTAAGTCGGGCGAATGAGATATCCAAAGGATAACTCTGGTAAAATCAAAGGGGGAGGGAAAGAAGGAAAAAAACACATGGGCACCGGGTATTTTGGCTTGCCGCTGTCAACCGGCATATATGACAACCCGGTCGGTATAGTCTCCATGGGGAAACTATTTTATACTCCGACTCGGCCGGCCACCCAGGTGATTTCTCGTCCCTCTCCCCTTGTCAGTCGAAGGAACCATCCGACCACCGTTTGAAGGCAGATCATCCTCCTCTAGTTGACAGTCTTTTGTCTCGTTTTCCTCTCCTTTGCCCGAGAGAACGCAACCCTCACTAGACTTATACGTTTCAACTCGTGCCTACCTCCCTTCGTAGCATTATCCTTTTTTGCCATCATGAAGTGGGCCGCTCTCTCCCTCGCCCTCGCCGGGTCCACCGAGGCGTTCCTCCGCTTCGGCTGCGGAACCCTCAGCGTCCAGCGCCTCGACCCCATCGTCGAGCCCGGCGTGCTCCCCTCCGCCCATCTTCACCAGATCGTCGGCGGCAACGGCTTCAACGCCTCCATGGATCCCCTCGACGATCCCGCCGAGAGGGCCACCTGCACCACCTGCAGCTTCTCCGAGGACTTTTCCAACTACTGGACCGCCGTCCTGTACTTCAAGGCCCGCAACGGCACCTACAAGCGCGTGCCCCAGTACCCCAACGCTCTTTTGGGCGATGTCGAGGGTGGCATGACCGTCTACTACCTCCAAAACGACTTCAGCTCCAACGGCAACCAAAAGATCACCGCCTTCCCCAAGGGCTTCCGCATGACCGTCGGCAACCCCGGTAGCACCGACGGCACCAACCCCGGTCTCCGCTACACGTGCCTCCAGAACGTCATGACCCGCTTCCCGGAGACGGCCGAGTTCCCCACCGCCGCCTGCCCCGCCGGCATCATGGCCATCCACCACTTCCCCGCCTGCTGGGACGGCAAGAACCTGGACAGCCCCAACCACCAGGACCACATGTACAACACCGTCAAGGGTGCCTTCACGCCCGCTGGTGCCTGCCCGGCCTCCCACCCCGTCCGCACTCCCCAGGTCGCCTACGAGACCATGTGGGATACCCGCCCCTTCAACAACAAGGAGGACTGGCCCGAGGATGGCAGCCAGCCCTTCGTCTGGAGCTACGAGGACTCCAAGGGCTTCGGAACACACGGTGACTACCTCTTCGGCTGGAAGGGAGATTCTCTCCAGCGCGCCATGGACTCCACCCCTCTTCTTAGCAACGGTATCACCACCCAGACCGTCGCTCAGCAGAATGCTTGCAAGATTCAGGCTTCCGTTGAGGAGGATATTGATGGCTGTAAGTACCTTTCCTCCCCTCGTCGTACCCTGGCGCACACATGATGAGGTGGGTGTTGTCAATGAAGAACGGATTTGCTAACCGCTGGAAATTTTCCTTTTCCTCGAAAATTAGGGCTCACCGCCATGCCCGGCCGCGCCATGAGCCACTAAATTTCTTTTGTAGAGAAGAACGGTTGTTTTCAGTCCCGGAAGAATAGTCCTAGCCTGTGTGTCTGAACACCCTAGTTTGAATCTGGAAGTGAATGATTAGTGTGACGATGTGACGCACGGAGAGTGCATGTGGGAGAGAGAAAGAGAGAGAGAGAGAGGAAGCAAGACGGACCATACTACTTATTACATGTTCTTTCAGTCGTTTCCGGTGCTAAATACTACTTTACTATACTTTTTTCTCCCCCTTTAACGCCTCTCGCGTGTCCGTGCCGTGATTGCTCCAGGGGCAGCTGCCTTGCTCCCTCGACGAGCTCTGTGGCTAACCCCGATTCAAAGAATATTTCTATTGCCCCACCGTGCTCCGGCCATGCCGTACGTAAATGCGTAGCTTTGCTTGGGGAGTTTGTGAATACGACTACATGTACCCCATGCATCGAAGAAGAAGCATTCTTAAGCACTCCAGCCGCGTCAACCAAATTGGGTTTAGCCCATCCCCGGAGTGTCTTCGAGACCCGAAGTTCTGGACGAATCTTGCCCCAACTTTGGGGATAGCCTGGGGAAGAGGATCCGGGGTGGAAGCTTGGCCTCCTCGTGGCCCGGACCTAGTTTTGCGGGGTCCGCAGATTCGAGTACTCCCTCTCACCGAGAAAACGTGGAAGCTTTGTGCTTGCCCGGTGTAAGGATTCGAAAGGGGAAAGGGATAGGGAGAGAGCCAATGTTGTGAAAGAACTATTGCCGTGGTGTCCATGACCAATCCCCGCAAAAATCCGTCCGAATTCCCTCCAGGGTCGGCGTCGCCCTAGACTAAAAGCGGACGGGGACCAATCCCCACGCGCGCTGGCTCATCCCAAGCCCGGGGTGGCGGGGCGGGCGCGCACGGTTGCACGGCACCGGAGCCTCTTCGCCATTTCTCTTTAGTCCCCTTTTCACGAAAAAGGCGGCCGGACAAACTCGCCGCCTGTTGCCATCCCCCCTCTTTTCGTCTCCTCCTAGGGCTTGCAGGAGAAGGTACCGACAAGCGCGACATATGGCAGCGCAGATCGAGGCTTGTCTTCCCCAGATTCAGGAAGCTCATGCATCTGGGGCCAGTTTGATGATAAAAAGCCGTCACCCCATCCATCCATTCTGGCGGGTCTTCTCCATATCGCAGATCACATCTCTATTCGGACTTTGCTCTACTTTTTCCCTCTTTGTCCATCTCTCACGCGGAATTACACCTTGAAGGGAAACTTGTCTTGTTGAGATGTCGTCCAAGGAAAAGACGAGCGAGCCCGAGGGCGCCGCCATCGAAACCATTGAGACGGCCGCACCTATCAAGCTTCACACAACACCGCAGAACATTCTTGTAAGTCATCTACCTACAATTGGAGTGAAGCCTTTTCTCTCGGTGCTTTCACCGAGGAACCATCAAAAGCCTCAAGAAGGAAGATGAGCAGAGAGAAGAAGTGCTAACGGTGCTACAAACAGATCAGCGTTCTCCTGTCATCTGCCTCTTTTCTCTACGGCTATGCTTCCAACGTCATCTCTGGCGCTTTGGCGCTCCCCTCATTCAACTCCATGTTCCTGGCCGTCGACACCGAGCCCCGTGTTGGAGGCATGCTCGGAATGTAAGTTTCCGCCATTCGTTTCTCTTTCATCTAAGCCTCTACCTTTTGAGGCAAGTTTTCTGACAGTCGGATCCTTTTGGGGACATATAGTTTCTTTGCCGGCGGTGTATTCGGTGCCCTCATCCAGCAGCCCCTAGCCGATAAATACGGTCGTCGAATGGCCATCGCCGTAGCCGGTGGATTCCTCCTTGTTGGATCCGCCCTCGCCGCAGGCTCCGTCCACTACGCCATGTTCATCGTCGCCCGCTTCGTCACCGGAATCGGCAGCTCCATGGCCCTGACCGTGACCCCGTCTTCATCAGCGAGCTAGCGCCTCCTCACTCCCGCGGAAAGCTCGTCTCCCTGCACATTGTCGGCTTCAACACGGGCTATCTCATCTCGTCGCTCGGCTCTCTCGGTTTCAGCTACATGACGCACCCCGTGCAGTGGCGGCTCAACTTTGTCATCAACGGTGTCATCGCCGCGCTCTTGGTCGCCGGTAGCTTCTACATCCCCGAATCGCCGCGATGGCTTGTCTCCAATGACCGCATCGACGAGGCGGCCAGGGTCCTCAACTATCTGCACAACAGCAAATACGACCCCCACGGCTACATTGCCCGCGCGGAACTCATTCAGATTACCGAGCAGATCGACGCGACGAAGCACCTGAAGAAGGGTTACATGCACATCTTTAAGACTCCGAGCTTGAGGCGCCGCGCGTGGGCTACCATCCTCGTCTGGTTCACCGCCATGTCCACGGGTGTCCTCGTCATCGCGAACTTGACGCCCCTGCTCTTCGCCGGTCTCGGATACGGCGACACTGCGCAGTTTGGTCTTTCTACGGCCTGGCTCTGCTGCTGCATCATCACGGCTGGCCTTGGTGGTCTCATGGTAGATAAGATGGGCCGTGTTCTTTTCATGGGTAAGTTGGAATCCGTCCCCCAAACTAAATCAACTCTTTCTCCCGGGTGCCGAATAGCAGTCACTAACGTTCAGACACAGCTATCGGTCTTGGTGGTTGCGCTCTTGTCCTTGCGGTGGAAACTGCGATGCAAGCCGAATTCCTCGGAACCTCGAACAAGCATGGCCTTGCCTCTGGTGTGGCCTTCTACTTCCTCTTCGCCTGCGTATATAACGCCTTCCTCGATGCCGGCTCCTTCGTATACACTGCCGAGATTTGGCCAAACCATCTCCGCAGCGAGGGTATGACCATCGGCATGGTAACCTTTTATCTGACCAACATTGTTTGGAATTCCCCGCCACCGTCGCCATGAGGAACATAGGCTGGAGGTTCTACCTCATCTTCATCATCATCTCAGCTGTAGGTGCTGTGGCGATCTGGTACTTCCTGCCCGAGACCAAGGGTCTCACTCTTGAGGAGATTGGCGAGAAGTTTGGTGAGGAGCCCCAGACGAGGCACATCCAGGATATTGCACGGTCCAAAGAGGTGGCAGATTCTCGTGGAGAAGAGGTCTGAGCCAAACCATGGAGAAGGACTGGGGGCTGCAGGACAGAGTTCAAGTTTGATAGGCTAGCGATACATGCGAAGTTTGATTAAGACTGTTTGCGATTTTCAATGAAGCATAGGCACGCGTCTATGCGTTAATAATACTACCTGTGAATATTCACACCTTGATCTTTTAAGGGCAACATCAACTACATAGAGCTACCTGCTTCGTAATCCTACTTGATGATACATCAATCAGGCGCTCCCTTATCCGTCGTTGAGCATGACTGTTTTCTCCACTTGATGAGACCTTGGTCACAACGTGGATAACCAACCTAGCCGCTCGGAACCTACGGAGCGTTGTAGCAGTATAATAGTTCCTTTGCGGTCATGTAGGGCATGTGTTACAATCTTTGTGAGTGCCCATTTCGTCTCGTTTGGTTACGCAGCCTCTGTTTCTGCGCACTCAAGGTGCCAAGTGCTACGACCTAGGATTGAGTATCAGAGTAAACTAGGATCAGTCAGTACGAGCCTAATAAGTAAGATTTATTGCTGGGCGTAACTCACTCCATCCATCTCAATCATTCGCTGACCATCCGCATCCTGCGCTAAACCCTCTGTGCTCGTGTTCACAGCGATGGCGGTAATTGGCTCCATAGCGCAGAGTCAGAGCCGAGTACGGCCGCAAGAGATCGCATACACTCCTGGTACAATTTACTTCCAAGAGACCAGAAAACCATTAGCAGACATAAAGAACACTTGCCGTGATCTGCTAGCTGCAACGCGTTCCCTTTGGAGGGTGTCGGGAATATTGGATGCCAAAGAGGGGGCCCATGACACGCTAAGCCCGGACAATCTTCACGGCGAGGAATTGAACTCGGGCGGACTAGCTTCGGCGTGCAAGCTCGCGCCAACCGCAAGCTCAGGGGCACGAATTCCCCTCTCGCGCTTCGAGGATAATCGTTAGCCCAAACCAATATCCTCTCGGACTGGAAGAGCCAAGCATTTCTCATTCGTATATAGGTTCGCGGAGAGAATGCCAATTGGCTTGAGCTTTCCCAATTTCCAAAACCAATATTACGACTGACCATCTCAACAGAATCGAGCCATTCCCCTGCAATCCCTCGTTTGGCCGCCCCCAGAACCAGTCCTCCGGCCCCTTCTCACCTCTCCCCACCATGGCAACCTCTTCCGACGCCCCCGTCGCCCTCGTGACCGGCTGCGCAACCGGCATCGGCCTCTCCGCCGTGAAGCTGCTGGTATCGCGCGGCTACCGCGTGCTCATGGCCGACTGGAACTACGAAAAGATTGCCGAAGAGTCTGTAGCCCTAGGATCCAACACGTTTGCCGTACGGTGCGATGTGTCGGACTGGGAGAGCCAGGTCGCTGCCTTTGACAAGGCGATCGAGCTATGGGGCAGGGTTGACGTTGTCGGTGCCAATGCCGGCCTCCCCGAGCAGGTGCCCCTGCTGTTTGATACTGGAGACGTGCCGAAGAAGCCCACTACGATCGTGGTAGATGTGGATCTGGTGGGCGTGATTTACAGCGTGAACTTGGCGCTGCACCATTTCCGAAAGCATGGCAGTGGCAGGGGAGGCAGGATTGTCATCACATCGAGCCAGGTCGGCATCCACGCATTCCCGACAGGGCCGATTTATGGTGCGGCGAAGGCCGGGGTAAGTGATTGTTATCTCTCTAGTTTTCTTCACAGGGAAAAGGTCCCTGATAATGCGATGCTCATGCTCATACCCATACGTGACTAGTGCATACACCTTGTGCGTTCCATGGCCGACCGCCTGGCCGAGGAAAAGATTTACATCAACACATTCTGCCCAGGCCTCACCATCTCGGCCATTACCGAGGTCGGTAAGAGCGTGTTCCCCCACACATCATCACGCCGATGGAGAACCACATGAAGGCGTGGACCGAGTTCATCGAGACGGATATCTACGGCTACGTCTACGAAGTCGATGCGGGTGGTTTGTACAACCGCACGGCGCCCGAGTACTGGAGTCCCGAGCATCAGTCGTGGCTTGGCGCGCCGGAAACGCAAGAGATGTGGAGGAAAGTGGGGACGCTCGGAGCGGCGGATGTTGAGAAATAAGAAATCACCTCGGCCCGGTGGGGCCACCGGCGGTTCATGCACGTAGTTCTTATGGTATTGGGTGTATATAGCAAATGTATAATTTCAATGGGAGATCACGAATGTGACGCGTAAACTTTTGTCATGCTTTGTTCCCCTTCCCTCACATCCTTGGCGGGCATAGTATAGACTTTTGATTGGTACCACCCAGGCTCTCGCGCGCTGTTTTCACTCACTGGCAAGTGACCAACACGTATAGTGATGTAGCTCTTGGTAAGCGTGTCTCGAGCTGTACCATTACGTCCAAAGGGTCCCTATTTGATGTTCTGTCGTACATACAGTTCTGGCATTATGTTATACTGGCCTGAGCTGCAGGGCTCAACGTCTTGAGGCTGACAACCATCCTTATGAATTCCGTTCAAATAGCTGATTTTTCAAAGGAGACAGTGGAATTCTTGAGAATAGCAACCTCGTAGGCAATATTGAGTCTTATGGATAGGGACGGGATTTTGAGGCATCTGAGAACCGAGAAACACAGGGAGTACTGACGGAGGTATTAAGATCCGTATTAGTCACACTTGTATCACTGTTTACGAAAGACGCTCTCCAAGCCCTTGTTCTTGACCTAAAGGAGGGGTCCAAGATTTGTGGCATTGTGAGCGGGGCGACGTGGCCGGTTCCGGCACCGAATACGAAGCCGCTATTTCGTCTGTCTTCCTCGTTCTAGTGTCCAAAGTGATCTCAACGAGTTAACTAGGAGAGAGCATGTGGGGAGATGTGGCCGAGTCATTCCGATGGCTACCGAGAAAGGTAAGCGCACCTGGAACGGTTTGCCGAACAACACTTAGCGATTCTTATATGATGGCCCTGCACTAGTTGCCGCCATACAAAAGATTCAGGGGCTCGTTTGGCACCCTATTTGATCATCCACGGGCACTAGGCACAAAGTTTGACCTGTGCAAAGGTCATATGGTTCGCCTAGGATGCACTACGTCCAGCGTTGAACGAAATCAAGCAGACAGAGGACTGTTGGTGGAGGACTTCATTCAACCCGAGGGCAAAGCATATGAGGGCCAAGGCGACATCTGCGAGAAGAACGGGGAACAGATTTTCCAAAGAACGAGATTTTCACTTGATCCCGAAGCGAGTCACTAGTGTCTATAGTTGTGTGTGTGATGCGGTGTGGTGATGCGATGCGATGGGGCGGATAGGCCTAGTGCGAAGCACAGGTGTTGGCCTGATCTTATCAATCTACGGCCGTTGCCTGTGTATATCCGATTTTTCTTTTATCTGATTGATATGTGTCGGGAGAAGTGAGGGGCAGCGCCAAGCACAAGCTCGAGTCGGACGGATGCGGTAAGATCAATGTGGGTTGGGTTGGCAAATGGAAACGGGACAAGCCAAACGTGCAGCCGTTTTACCCGAGCTGGACAGAGTAACGAGAAAAAGGGACCAGACGTGCATGCGGATTTGGCAGGGGCCGATGTAACTGCATTTCGAACGGAGTGGAGAATTTCCAGGCAAAATGTTGAACAGGGAAGGTGAGCCGAGGTGGAGGCGGGCTTGAAAAGAAAAACTTGGGAAGGGCTTTTGTTCGACTGGGGGAAATTTAACCTGCGATGTCGTTGGCTTTGGGAATGGGGATCCTCGAAGCAGCCATACGTCGTTTTGCCATCGAACAAAGGCCAGAGCTGGCAAACGTTGGCTCTTCGCAATGACTAGAGGCCTGATTTACTACCCTCCACCATTGATACCAGCAGTCAGCTTACTCCCATTCCAAGTTCATGACTGCTCGAGTCCACGGTGCGCTGATCAGTAGGATACCAACAGTTCACGCATGGCTTACCATCGCGTGATGGTATTGCCAGCGGGTCTTCCTAGCGTTCTTTAAGCTAGTTCCCTTTTTATTGCACACATTTTAGACATTCGTCATGCCAATCCACTCTGCTCCAATGTCGAATCTAGTCTCCTCTCCCTTGTAGTAGCTTGTCACAACACCGTCGCTCGTTCACCTTTGTCAGGACCCAAGTTCGCTAGCGATGGCCAAGGGGAGAAAAAAAAAAGAAAGAGGGCCAGAAAAGTTTGCGCCTCGGAACAAGGCAAAACGGAACACCCACTCTACCGAGTCACCCATCGCATAACCACCAAAGAACCCCGCTCAAACCACCCCCGCCCTCTGGCGATCACTCAAAGTCTTGATGGCTCCTTCCTCCTACATCCTGAATCCTGCCTGCATGACCTGGCCCCAACTTCTGATTTGGACATGAGCAAACACTTTCGCTTTCTTCAAGCAACACGCGTCCAAAGACCTCCGCTTTCTCATTCTTGAACCGACGCTAAAGAGGGCGCCAAGGGTCGAGGTTGTTCAATAGGCATCAATCATCGCCTATTCCTTCCCCGGATTGCGGGCTTTTGTTGCGCAGGGATTAAAGCTCGCACCCTGACACCTCGCTGGATTTCGCAAACAAAACCCCTCAAGCAACAAAGAAAAACGCAAGGAAAAAGGGGGAAAAACAAAAAGAAAGAATAAGGAAAAGAGGGCACGATACACAGAGGCCAAGTGATGGATACAACTCAAGAACGGCTCCTTGGCTTCTCTTCGTCCCTCGTCTCCAACCCGCCGCCTCACCTCCCCACAGGGTCATCCGATGTTGCCAACAATCCCATGACACACGCCGCCTGATTTTTCCTCCTACTGGTACAGTGTGCGACTGCTAGCCACGTCTTCCCCACGCAGCTCACCACCATCCCACCCCAAAAGCAAAAAGAAAACACGACTCTCCCCAATCAGCACCAGAATCAGGGGCTTACCTAATTTAGGCACGCTCCGCAGCGCACTGCCGATGTCGGGTTTCGGGCACGTGAACCCGCTTCAGATCTGATTGATAAGATACACTGGCCGCTGCTGGCCATTTTCCAGCTTGGTCCCCTAAAAGTCGTTGCCCAACGCACACCCCCAGCGAACGACCTCGCCGAACCGAATAACCGCGCCCCTCCTCCTTCTCCGGCCTCTGCACATTCGCCGTGCTTTGGTTTGGCGACACCTTTAGCGGTGTGCACTTTGCTGCACCCATATTTCTCCTTCGTCACACTCCCATCGCCCAGTCCGCGTAAATAAACCGCCATGATATTACGGACCGATGCCTCGAACGCCCTCGTTCCCCTGGCCCTAGGCCTCCTCCAGATCCACGGTGCCCTGGCCGCCGCTCCACGGTCCCCCAGCAATCAGTGCATCGCCGCCTGTCAACTATGGCTGAACCAGATCCCCTTCGACGACATACCAGCCGACACGCCCTACGTCGCTCGGGGTTGTGCTGGCACTCTCGGCCCGACGTCGCTTTTCCTCTGCTCGACCCGATACTGTCCCGAAGTCGACCTTGTCGAGGGTTTTAGGGCACTAAACGAGACATGCCAGCGCTTCGGATCCCACCTCCCATCAGTTGACCTGATCGCGGGATATACGGACGAGGAACTAGCCAAGATTCTTAGGCTGCAGCCAGCGGACCATCCGCCGAAAGGGCCTGTCAAAGAAGTGCTCTTGCCTGCGGGCCCGCTCTTCAGAAATGCCGTTTACACGCTCAACGCTGTTTCGTACATACATATACGGCACATAGGCTTCGGGTAGGTTTCCCAAACAGTGAAGGCAGTGACGAGGAGCGGGAACAAAACGGAGAAGTGGAGGCGATTAGGCCATCCTTTCATGGCACAACACCGGAAACTAACATGGTATCTAGGCTTTGCGTCTTTTTCTTTTGGATAATAGCCATCCTTGTTGGCGTGGGCTTCCGCATTTCCCACATGTTTCAGGGATCCGTCTCTGAGAAGGCGGCCTTGGCGAGGAGGAAGCGGACGAAGCTCGAGAATCGTTGACGGCGAGGTCGCGCCCTCGCCGGCGCGACTACCCTCGGCTATGGCTCAAGCGTTTCGTCACCATGCCTGCGACTTTTGGCTACAAATGCTTGCAAAACGTCGGATGGTGCACCATTCCTCCTCGCGTCGAATCTTTGATCATTGTGGTCTTCATCATCCTAAACACCCTGCTTTGTGTCATCGGCTACCCCTTCTTCGATGGCAATCTTTAGTATGGCAGCCCTCCTCCCCCGGGCCCTAGCCTATTACCCATGCTAACTACTAGTAGCTTCCCCACTATGCGAAGTCAGTTTTTGCGTTATGTTGCCGATAGGACCGGCTACCTTTCCGTGGCCAACTTCCCCTCATCTGGCTATTCGGAATGAGGAATAACCTGTTGATGGGAATGACGGGCTGGCACTTTGGCACGTTTAACAACTTTCATCGCTGGGTTGCCAGAGTGTCTACACTTCAGGCCGTTATTCACTCCATTGGCTACACCCAACTGGTCCTTGATGGTTCGTCCGCCCTTGCTAAACAAGCACAAGTAACCGAACGTAGCTGACCTAACGGCAGATGGCGGGATGCCGCTCTACAAGTGGTATTGGACCGAGTACTTTTGGTGGACGGGAGAAATTGTAAGTGCGGACCCTTTGAAAGTGATGGCTGTTTTGTAAAATTGGGGAGCGCGGTTACTGACTCCCATCATCCAGGCTACCATCTCCATGTGCGCCATACTAGGCTTCTCAGTATTTTGGATGCGTCGGCAATTATACGAAACTTTCCTCGTCCTCCACATCGTTCTTTCCATCATTGTCCTCATCACCATGCTTGGGTATGTGTCTCTATCTTTTCTCCCTCCCCGCTTACCACGGCAAATCTAACCAACGGCAATAAAACAATCTAGGCACGTTTCCATATTCTTGGGTCGATTCGACTTCCCCATGTTGATCTGCACCGTCATCTGGCTCTGCGACCGACTCCTGCGCGTTTCCCGCGTCTTCGCCTTCAACCCCGCTTCTGGGATAGCTTTGGAAAAATGACGTACCACCCCGAGTCCAACACTGTTCGACTCGTCGTCCCTTGCTCTACCAGCATCTACAAGCCCGCCCCGGGCACCTTTTACTACATATACGCCATCAACGACAAGCGGCCCTGGGAGAGCCACCCCTTCACCATGGCATACACCACGCCAGAACGCCAGCCGTCGCAGTTGGAGCGCGTCGGACTCCTACAGCAGGATCTACGGCCGCAGTACGACGCATTAGACGAAGAAGTCGAGCCGTCCATGACTTTCCTCATCCGCCCCTACGACAGCTTCACCTCGAGGATCCGCGACCGGGCCGCGGCGGGCAAGTCGAAAGCCCGCGTGCTCGTCGAAGGCCCCTACGGCACCACGCACGCCTTTGAAAAGTTCGAGCACGTCCTCTTCATCGTGGGCGGAAGCGGTATCGTGGTGCCACTCTCGTACTTGGAGGTACTGAACCGCAGTCAGACCGTCAAGTCCGTCACCATCGTGTGGTCCGTCCGCGAGCCGGCCTTTGCCGAGGAAGTCCTCAAGCACGATGTCCCCGCCACCATCCATAACGGAAAGGTCGACATACAGGTCTACCTGACGCGTGGCTTCTCCAGCGATCCGGATGCCACCCCGCCCGAGTGGTCGAAACTGGTCAATGTCGTGTCCGGCAGGCCGGACGTGCACTCGACGGTCGAGTACGCAGCGTATCGCTCCGACGGCGAGAGCCTTGCCGTCGTCTCGTGCGGGCCAGCCATTATGGCGGATGATTCGAGGCAGGCGTCGGTCAGCATGCTTGCGAGAGGGTTCCACAGGATAGAGTATTTCCAAGAGGCGTTCAACTGGTAGTTTGGGTTTTCCCCGATTATATTACCGGCTCTTCTTTTCTTCTACTTTTTCGTCTTTTCTTCTCTATCACGACCAAGAGAAGGAGGAACATTTCATGGCTTGCATATAAGCATTTATTATCACATAAATATTTTAGGAGATTGGCTCCCAGTTATAGTATTGCATGGGCATGTAGCCTGTTATGTTGCATATGATTCAGCAGCGATTTTTATTTTAGTATATACACCACGATATTTTCTGCCTCATGATAGCTACGAGTGATTCAGGAATTTTTTCACAAGTTCTTTCCGGTGTAGATTTGTCTCAAATGTCGTCTGGGTTGGTGCTTGCCGACTCACGTACAAACAGTAAGAGACCATGAGATTTATTGAATGAGGGAAGTCACCGCAAACATCAAATCGCGTGCATAGTGACATCACGAACATGCCCTCCCGTGAATGTCATGACGTCACCGTCATGGATGCGACAACCATCGAGCTCAGCTCTCACGCCTCGAATTGACTTTGAATTGAAATCCTTCATAGCTTCACGAAATTCCCTTTTGAAATTACCCGTTCTCACTAATATCCCGCCCAAACTAGCCTACGAGACCGTCAAAAAATATTAGCCAACATGGTCACCACACGATCTATGGATCATGGTCAGGCCGAGCAGCCGAACGCAGAGAAATCGGCCTCGGCCGGGTCAAAACGCGAGGCGCGACAGGAGGCGCCAGAGGAGCCACCTACAAAGCAGCGCAAGAGATCGAAAGATGAGAGTGAGAACAAGCACAATGCGAATAAGAGCGATGATGAGGAGGTTAAGCGAGACCCTCCCGAGAAAGTGAAGCAGTAAGTACCATCACTACCACTCGTTTCAAGGTCCTCAGCCGACGTATGTGCTTGTAAAGAGCAGTATGGCTGATATCATGTTCTCGTTGTTCTAGGGAGGATGCTCCAGCAGAAAACGAAGAAGCGCCTCAAAAGGAACCAGAAGGAGAAGACACGTCCAAGAGGGAAAGCAACAACGGCGATGCCAGCCACGACCCTGCCAAGCACAAGATCCCCCAACTGCCTCGAACTCGGCATGGTGTACTTTTACGCGCGGCCCCGCGTCGAGGAAGACGACCCGCAGGGCGTCGAAGACATGGCGCGGTCCTTTATCCTCCTGCGGCCCATCGAAGACTTTGACAAGCCGCTGAGCGACGACGGCAAGGCGCGGCTGTGCATCGTGCCCAAGAAGACGTTTCCCGCTACGGGGAAGGAGCGGTGGATCTCCTTTGTCAGCAAGGGCAACGAGGCGTACGCAAAGATCACCGGGGACGAGCTGGGGGCGCGCGAGTACGAGACCAAGACGCGCGGGACGAGACACGTGCCCGCGGCGATGCTCGTTGGAGCGGGCGCGTACGCGCTGTCCAAGGCGAATAAGGGGAGTAACCTCGCGTATGTGCTGTCGCAGCCCAAGGAGCTGGGTGAGCTGCAGATTGATCTTGGGCTCAAGTCGCGCGGGTATTTCTCCATCAGTACGCGGAACCCTGTGTATCCGGCGCCGAAGAATGCTGGCTTGCCCGAAGGACCAAAGTATCCCCAAGAGTGAGCAAGACCCCTCCACCTATTATTTTTCCAGCGCGTAAGTTCTCTCTAATGCCTTGTTCTTCGACACCTAGGGTCATGGATGATTTCCAGTCTCTGCGGTGGATCCCGACGCAGCCGCGCCACCTCGACTACGATAACACCCAGTTCCTCATGATAGGGCACTCGTCGGGCCTCGAGGCCGCATTTGTAGACAAGAATACTAAGGGAAAGAAGGAGGTTGAGTTTAGAGAGGAGCTTTTCGAGGGTGAGGAGGAACTACCTGACGATGCTGGGGAGGATGAGATTGCCGAGTCTTTGGCACAGGTCGAGCAGTATGTGGGGAAACTTCCCAAGGTTGAGACAAGCTTTTAGGACGTGCGTGTGTTTTTGTATAGCCACGAATGCAAATTATGACCCAAAGTTGAGTGAACGAGTATTAACAACACATGGGCAAAAGAGTACTAAAATCCTGGTGAAAAATGGGGTATCCTATAAACAAATAACGTCGCGCCCTTCCTATAAACCTCCCGATTTCCAAACTTGGGCGGACATCAAACAACGTTTCCATCAAACGACATAGACCGGCATCCGGCTCTCGTACACATCGCTCTTGGACATCTGCACATCCATCCGGTGGAAATCATGAAGCTGCAACCAGCAAAGCATGCGAAACATCAACGTGCACCAAATCTCATTGACAGTCCCCTCCCGCAGGTCCGTCTCCGCCTCTTGGCTTGGCGGCACCGAGTCGGCCGTATTTCGGCCACCCACGGAGAGCCGCCTGCGCCGCGCATTCTCTTGGGGCACGAGCTCCTTAAAGACGACCTCGACGACCGTCTCGCGGATTCCCGTCACGTACGCCTCCATCAGCCGGCGGTGGCGCTCGCTAAAGGAGGCCGAGTCGATGTCCTCTATGGTCGTGGTGGTGCGGCGGTCGCGCGGCACGCTGAGCCGGACGTGCTCGCCGGGATCGCCGTCGGGCCCTGGTTGGCGGCTCCTCGAGCGCTGTCGCGCGTGGTGCGCGGCGTGCCGGACTTGCAAGGAGCCGAAGATCGCTTCGTCGTCGTCCATGTCAAAGTGCTGGGGTGGGTTAAGGAGGCCGAGGACGGCTTGCATGTGGACGCAGACAACTTTCTTGACGAACCCGAGGTTCTCGCCCCCGTTTTCCTTCAGATATTTATCGCAATCCTCAATCTTTTGGTGAAGGGAACGCAGCGCTGCCATGAGATCTTTTCCTTCGAGGGTACCAACATTGTCAGGCTCGGGTTTTGCTATAGTTTGTACAAGTTGGTTTGCGTTAGCCTCGATGATTACATGTACACGGTGCACCTGGTTGGGTCAAGGATATCGAACTCACCCTCTAGAATGGTCTTCATCTGGGGACTGTCTGGTAGGGTTTTGTCCAGCTTGTATCTCTGCAGGATCTCGGTAAAGTCTAGGACCAGCGTAGAGATAGAGAAGGCGGTCGTGTCCCACTGAAATATTGTTGGGTTTGGAAGCATACGGAATACGGTTTCTTTGACATGGAGTATGGTTCCAACCATTCCCATTAGTTCAAAGGCCACTAGAATCATGGTTAGCTAGACTATCCTTGGTTGTCACACGCACAGATAAATCATATAGGTCGGTGGAGATGAACACCCTTTCGACCAACATACCCGGGAATAGGTGGCTGTGCCGGTTGCCCTCGTGGGCATTGCGAAAGTATTTAACTGTCCGAGTATCACAGCCAAATTCCCCAGAGTCTGGGCAATCTCGGAAAAGCTCCCCAGCTGTAGGGTGCCGAGCCCTTTGGGCTCGTCGGCATACACCTTTTTCTCCGGTTCGAAAATGGTCGGCACAAGGCCGAAGCAAAGCTTCTTGGTGTCGTAACTCGGGACGATGCGGTTCTTCTCGAACCAGGTCGGGGCAGTCTTTAAAAAGTAAAGGTAATGCCGAGACTGGAGTTATTCGAGCCGTGAATGACGAAGCCGTTGCCTTGGGCGCGGTACTTGTCGTTATTGAGGTCGAATTCCTTCCAGTGGATGCCCAGCATGCCCACAATCTCGACCAGGTGAGAAATGGTGGTGGTTGCGTAGGGCTTTCCCATGGCCCTGTGAATGCCATCCCACGTTCGCTTCTTTCTCTGAAAACACACAACAAGCTCGTGGGGCGGGGCTTCCCGGTAGGCGGTATATAGCCGAGCTGCTTTTTGCCAGTCCCGCGACTCCTTCTCCATGCGGTACACGGCCATGAGCAACGCGCACCAAGTCACCTTTTCGTTGTCGGCCGTGTGAATGAGCTGGCAGTTCTGCTCCGCGGCAGCCTCCGCGTTCGTGTCCGGGGCCGACGTGAACTCGAGATTTTTATCGGACCCGTCCAACTGATAGATGGTCTTTTCCGGGTGTTTCCCGAGCGGACCCTTGTCGTTGCTGGGTCGCGCCGCAAAGATGACGGGAACCTCGAAGCTGACTTGCACTCGGAACGCCGGCCACGTCAGACTCTTCTTCGTAAACGCGGCCCACTTGCCAATCACTGGCTCGCTGCACGAGTAGATGCCGGATGCGGCCGCTGAGTAAAACTGATGAATGGCCTGTATGGTAGTGGTCCCAAGGGCCATGAATGACACGACAAGAGCCGCAGCGGCCACGATGAGCTCGGTCTTGTCGCTATCGGAGGAGCCCATGTTCAATGATGTACGCCTTCAAGCGCTAGGCATGGGGATGAGAGAGTTGCGCAAAGGGGAGGGATAAACTCCGGGCGGGGATGGTTGCGGGATTCAACTTGCAAGATAAAGCCCCATGAAAGAAAAGGCAGACAACCGGATCAACATTTGGCACGCCAGCTCGCCCAAGGGACCCTCTTGGTATTTGTTGGGCAGAAATATCGGAGAAATGAGGCGGTAGGAGGGTTGAGAGGGGGAAAGGAGACCAGGCTGTGAGCACACATTGATGCTCGTTTCTTTCTTTGGCCCCCAAAGACTGCATGCATGTCGCTTGTAGCGTTGGCCATCCAAAGACGTTGGTTCTCGCTGTGGCTGTCGGCTTCTCCAATCAAACCCAGCAATTCGATCAGCTGGCGATGATGTGCAGGGTCACAACCCGAGACCAGGCGCTTGCAAGAGCTTTGTCTGCTGTGGCTGGTGAGGAGGCGAACGAAACGCGTCACTTGGGGCTTGACACCTGTCAACCTTAAGGGCTGTGCATGCGCTGAAGTGCGGGAAGCGGAAATATTCCAGGGTCATTGAACACCCAAATATTTTAGACTCTCTAAAGAAGATTCTCCATCACATTCTCGGCATCTTAGTTGCTACATGCACATGGTAAAAAATGTGTCGGGGAGGATATTCAGCCTGGGATCTTAAGCGTTTTGCCATTAGTAATTAATGTAGGAGAAGGTCTTTTGGAATGATTGCTTTTCCTTGTATAGTCACTTTATCAGGAAAGCACACCCGGCTGCTACACCCGACAGTCTCTAAACACCATTACATGTACAACTGCACACCTCTCATCCGCATACCCATCAACAGCATATAAACGCGCCATCGAGGGTTACATCAATGGATGTAGGGTCGAGACGATTCTTGACCGTCTTCAGGAAACCCCACTATACCCAACACGAATACTCATAAGTCGCAAGATATCATATAGAATTGTTTCCTGTTTTATCAATACCACTCGTATCCTTCTCTTCGCATGCTCACTAAGTTGGGGCGTCGAAAATATCGGGCATTGTGGAGGAAAGAAGCAAGCTGGCCTGCAGGCGACGCCAACTATTTTCCAAATCGAGGTATAGACGACTTGCCCTTATTTTTGTAAAAGCCGAGTGTACATGGATCCATCAAAGATGTAGCTGCTCCAGTACGCAGTATTCCCTCTTAATATTTTCTCTTTCATTCGCTCCTTCCCCTATCTATACCTTCAAGTGGTGAATTGCTTTCTATCAATGTAGGAATGAACTATATCATATAGGGAAGGCACGAGTCGACGATAGGCTTCCCTTCTTGCCCTTAGCCCTATGACCTAAGTGATTTTCTCGTTTGGAAAGTCTATAAATATTGAGAGAGCTCCCTTCCTCTATTCTTGTTTTAACTTCTTCCACCGATCACATCCACCACATCTGCAACCTTCAAAGAACTCCAAAAAGGAAAGAAAACAGGTGTGTAGCTTTCACTTAACTTATATTGACTTAAGTCTTTTAGCTTATACTTGTTGCCATGCTAACTTCTATTTATCTATAGTTACCTTTACAATCCCCAAAAGAACAAGTAAACACTTAACACCAATCAAAATGTATCGAGGATTTCTCGGCACTCTTGGTGCAATCTTCTCACTGGTCTTCTGCCTTTGGTGCCTTGATGCTGGCGATGGCACCTACTACTAATGGCCAAGCGCCTTGTCTCGAGTAAGCCTCTCTTCCCCGTCGTAGCATGTGTTCAAGGACGTGGAGCTAATCGGAGACATCTATGGATGTAGCCTCGCCATGGGACATAAGCACACCGTGCTGTGTTCCGACTGCCAAGATCTAAGAGGATTCGAGCCAATGGAAAGCTAGCGATGGATTGATAAAAGAGACATGTCTCGGTAGAAGAAGATCCTTTAGGTTGATTAGGACTTTTATAAATTCATTTTTTAATGAAAGCCCACCAAGGTGCTGCACCTGACAGTCTCTAAACTCTAAACACGACGTGTCCAACTGCATGCCACCTCTCATCTGCCTGACTGTCGACAGCATATAAGCGCCTCGTAGAGGGTCTCGGCGGTTCTTGGCGCTCTTTAAGAAACCTCTACATGATCCATATGAATACGTATAAGCCGCAAGATTGCATATCAAATTGTTTCAATGGATGTTTTAATCAATAACTCGTGTCTGCTTCTCTTCTCATATGTATGAAGCCACGGCGTCTGGCGCATTGGACCTTGCATGTAAGAAAGGAAGTTGACTAAGAAGAGAGGCCAACTATTGTCCAAATAGGGGATAGATCCCTTGCCTTCGTCTTGGAATATCCGAGCTTACAGCCCTTGTAGAAAACAAGCAGAATGAAAATAGATAGAAGCATCTATAACATATGATAGGATGAAATGACTCCTAGAAGCGAACCTGTTCTAAACTAACTAGGTGTGACAAGGTCGAACTGATTGGGGGCACCGGTAGCAGTGGTGCTCCAGTCATAGTATGCCCTCTTAATAATTTCTGTTCTATCTATTCTTTCTACTATCTAGACCTTTGAATGATGAATCATTTTCCTAATAGGGATAGACTATATTATGGAGAGAAGGAACGAGTGGATGATCAGCTTCCCTTTTGCCTTAAGCCCTATGATCTAAGTGAAATTCTCTCTCTCTCTTTTGGTTTCTTTTTAATGTGTATATCAATCGAGTTCTTTTCCTCCCATCGTTTCATCCTCCTCCACTCCCCAAACACATTTCCATCACCGATCACATCCACCACATCCACCACATCTACCATATTCAAAGACTTTAAAATAAAAGAGAATAGGTATGTGATTTCATAGAGGTTCTCTCTAACCCTCTTAGCCTCTTCTTACTACCCTACTAACTTCCAACTATTGGTAGTTGCCCTCAGCAACCCTGAAAGAACAGACACATTAACATTAAATCAACCTCAATCAAAATGCTCGGGTCTCTACTTAGTGCTATTGGCGGGATGTTTGCATTCATCTTTTGTTGCTTTTGCACGTTCGAGATCGATACATACTAATGGCTAAGCGCCTTGTCTCGGGTAAGCCTCTCTTGCCTCTTGCAGCGTGTTTTGAAGGACGACAAGCTAATCGCAGACATGCAGCTTCGCCCTCGGACGTAAGCACACCGTGCTGGATTCCCCTTGCCAGATACAGGAGGAGTCGAGTCAATAGAAAGGCCAGATGTGGATTGATAGAAAAGAGATGACTCGGATGACAGGGGCTCGTCAAGAACCATAGAAAAAGGAAGAGAAAATAAAGGCGTAAGCCACATTAATCTTCATGAGGAAGGCACTAGACACCGATGGGTGATCGTCAGTTGTCCATACGCTACATTCATCTCGTATCCTAAGATATGTCCTCTCTCTTGGCCAATGCGTAGATTGGAGTGTTATTTGCAGATGCCGAAGGATATCAATCGTGATGCTTGAGGTTCCGTGGACTCGCGTGGGAGCCACCTGGGAATTTGAACGCTTTAGCGGCCACAGCCACACGTGATGCGCAGGGTCCACTCAGGCGTGCACCGTGCTGCGCTGCGTGGTTTCCCCGATGGAAGCTGTGGCGCCATGTGGCGTCCCGTCCGAGCAAAAGACGCCAACAACAAAACTTTTTCCGGCATCGGCTTATCTCTCACCTCACCCCTGTTGATCCAGACTGACTTTCATCTTGATCTGTTCATTCTTCACACAAATGTGATCCGTTCAATTAGCATTTCATTCACTCGTTTCTTTTTCCTTATCTAATTTTCATGGTCCTCACTGATCTCGAGGTACCTACCCGGTCCGTCGAGGCTTGAGCCTGCTCGCGTGCCCTATGCCGCAAGGATCGTTACCGGGCTGCCGACCACACCCTCTGTAGCCGTCGCAGACACCACGCGCCCTGAAGCAATGGCGCACCGCTTCTCCGTAGGGATGGGCGCTGGCCACCATATCCTCGATCCGTGGTCGCAAGGCGTAGGCATCATGCGAGACGTCTGCTCGCGCTGGTCGGAGCTAGACATCACGCAGATCGGCTCCCTCATCGCCATCGCCGGCACGCTGCCCACAGCGTGGACGTTTCTCAAGCGCGCGTGGCACCACGCATCAGGCTACGTGCAGCGCTTCTTCCTCGCGTCCGTCATCATCCCCGGCAGCGACCCGCTCAACAGGAGCGTCGTAAAGTGGGTCCTCACCAACCGACCCCGACACCACCGGGCCTTCACCGGCCTCACCGACGTGCGCCGCTCCCACGGCGACCGGGCCGCGGCGCTGAAGAAGACGCGCCACCCCGTAGACTACCTACCCCACTGGCGCTCCCGCTGGATCCTGTACCAGGGCCGGCTCTTCGTCGTCTCCCGCAAGGTCTTTGACTTCACCTCGCTGCTCTCGGACCCCAGCTACGACGGCATCGGCGGCGAGGACCTCACGGTGAGCACGTTTGGCTGGTCGGCCGCCCCCATCATGCGCTTCGTCGAAACGTGTCGGGAGTTCATGGACCGGCAGACGCAGTTCTTCGTCATCATCTACGCGCGGGACCGCTACGGGCTGGCGTGGAAGCCCAAGGCGCGCCAGCCCATCCGCCACCTCGACACCGTGCACCTGGAGCCCGGCCTCAAGGGCGAGCTGCTCACCGACATACGCAACTATCTCGATTCCAAGACGCAGAAGCGGTACCAGAGCCGAAGCATGCCGTATCGTCGAGGCTACTTGTTCTACGGACCGCCGGGCACGGGTAAATCCTCCTCTCCCTTGCCATCGCCGGCGAGTTCGGCCTCGACCTCTACGAGGTCAAAGTCCCCAGCGTCGCCACGGACGCTGACCTTGAGCAAATGTTCCACGAGATCCCCGCGCTGCATCGTGCTCCTCGAGGATGTTGATGCCGTCTGGACCGACCGCGCCGCGCCCGAGCGCAGGACGCCCTCGCGTGACGGCACCTCCACCCCGACCTCCAACTGCACCCTCTCCGGCCTACTCAACGTTCTCGACGGCGTTAGCTCCCAGGAGGGCCGCATCGTCATCATGACGACTAACCGGCCCGAAGCTCTCGATAGCGCCCTCGTGCGGCCCGGCCGCGTCGATATGAAGGTTAGGCTCGGTAATATTGGCCGCCCTGCCGCGACCGAGATGTTTCTGCGCATGTTCTCCCCCGATCTGGGCTGCGCGCCGCTCGCAGGGCCTGACGAGATGAATGCGCTGGCGGCGCGTTTCGCGGAGGAGATTCCCGATGATGCCGTCACGCCGTCGCAGCTTCAAGGCTTTTTCCAGATGCACTTGGATAGCCCGCAAGATGCGGCCGCGAGTATAGCGTCGTGGGTGAGGAGGGAGATTGGGGTAGATTCGGATAAGGAGTTTGAGGTGGTTGTAAATGGGGACGGGCATTATAAGGCGAAATTAAACGGAACGGCGCATGTGAATGGCCTTGTGTAAACTGTTACTGTACTTTATTTTCTCTTGTACCATCACGTCTGGGTCTAGACTATATTTTTCTTCTTCCTCTTGTATTCGGTATCAATAGATTTGAGATCAATCTTGGGCGTCTGCAGAGCCAAGATGACCTCGGTGTATATATATCATCGTTGATTACATGTTTCAACCTGAGAATCACCAAGTAGTACTAGATCCCCATCTTGCGTATGTACAAACCCGGCCAGAATACCCCCTTCGCTCTTCCCACCCGAGTCGCCTTAAAGCAGCTCCACCAAGCCACTATTGCCTGGTAGCGGCGGGCATCCTTTCACCCTGGTCCCACTAGATTTCGTCGTCCGTTAGTTGGTCATTCTACGGTTTCCGGTCTCGCTGAACGCATAGACCACAAAAGGTTGGGCGGGGGTGGATTGTATTCTTACATGCTCGGCGATGCAGCCTCCCTCCCACCTGAACCTATCAACGATGGTGCCCAATCCGCTGGCCTGGTAGTTGACCCAGCTCATGTCGGCATCGTACGCGGTGCCGATCAGAGTCTTCGAAATGCCTCCCCAGATTCCGCTAAGGATGTTCCAGGCGCTCATGAAGCCATTCTGGGCGAGAGGGTTGTGGTTCTACGAGTATGCCAGTTAGGTCAGTCCCCTCCATCTAATGCAAGCCCTAGGACTAATCGCTTTACGATGGGAGAGCAGGTAAACGCACAATGTAGTCTTCGGCGATATAAGTAAAAGCCTCGGTAATGTTGTTGTCGGTGATGAACGCCTTGGCGAACGCGTTGAAAAGTTCCTCGGTCTCCTCCTCGGTCGGGGCGGGATCTTCCTGTCGGACACAGAAGGGGGCGGCTGCGAACCCTGGCGGGCGGCGAGGACTTTGCTGGCAAGGTCGGAGCCGAAAGTCCGGGCTGGGTTCGGAGCTGCGACGACGGCCAAGGGGGCGACGAGAAGAGCGCACGTGGTTGAGAAATGCATCGTGACGTGCGTGGGTTGGTGCTGATTTAGACTTTTGAGGGTTTCCGAAAAGAAGAAGAAGAAAAAAAGTTCTAGAAGGAGTTTAAGGCAGCAGAACAGGCATTCGTTAGGATCGGGATTCAAGCGGCTCGTTCAAGAACGCGAGCGACAGGGCAATCGGAAACAATTATATAGGCCATATTTCCTTGCGGGGAGAAGACATGGAGGAAGGGAAGCGGGGAAACACAGAGAGCTCCAAGGCATGCGTGGACGGCATTTTATCCCTATGGCAATGGGACAAGGGGGATTGAATAAATTGCACCCGGACAGTGAGGCTATATCGAATCGCGGGAGTAATATAGGGAGGGTGTACCAGCGTGGATTCCGGGGAGGGGAGGAACAAGAAGGCGGCTCCCTGGCCGATATTAATATCGAACTTTGAGCACTTAAATGGAGCCAAGAATCCGGGATATTGCATCAGAGATTATCTATAAACAGAAGCCCTGCCGACGAACGAAAACCAGTTCGCCCAGCCGGTAAACGTGAAGGAAAATATCGTCGTGGGTGGTCACAGGTGGACGTTTGCGCATTCTACGAGGTTTAATGCCTTGGCTTTTGTTCGTGGGGTCTATCTCCGGGCAGATGGACCAAAACTTGGGCTTTTCAAAGGGACTTGGCGTTTGTTTTCAAGTACTTGCCATCTTGTGCCTCATTTCGGAGCGGCTTAGAGTGCCCAACTCGCCACATTTTCCCGGCGCAACCGGGCGCGCGCAAAGACGACCCTTACCGATCCCCATCGAATGCGACATTCCTCGCACCCCGCCCCGTGACCTTGGGAGGCAGGGAGGCTCGAGTAATACATACCGAGGCACTGCACCTCAACGAAATTTACAGATCCACAACACACGACAAGCACAATATCATGTCAATGTCCATTGACTCGGTATACGGTAGCGGTTGTACAATGTTTTGTACAATGTATTATCAAAACTCTCGAGACTCGCTATATGACAACGCATCATGACATGGACGATGAGAAAAGCAAAGAAAAAGGGAGGCATCTGTAAGGGGTCCCCCTCACACCTCAATTTAACGTGCAGAAAACAGTAGCCCTGGGATCAACAGGAAATTATTCCCTCTTCAACCTGGTCTCGAGCATAATGGTCCTGCCAAGGCCGGACTCGTACACCTTGACGAGCTCAAGACCGGCCTGGGCAAAGATGCTTTCGAACTCGGTCATGGTGCGCTCCTTGCCGCTGATGGTAAGGAGGAGAAGTCAAGCCAGTAGAGATCGAGGGCGCCGCCGACCTCGACGCGGTCGGGGACGAGCATGTCACTGACGATGAGGCGGGAGTCGGGGCCCATGGCGGAGGCGGTGTTCTTGAGGATATCGACGCAAACGGGGTTATAGAAATCGTGGAGCAGGCGGCGCATAAAGTAGACGTGGGCATCTAGGAAACAAGCACACGTTAGGTTAGTCTACGCCTAAAAAGAGAAAGGATAGGCAATACGTACTCTTGACGGGCTGAGGAGTAAAGATATCGTAGGCCATCTTTCGATACCCTCGGTATCCTCGGGCTTCAGGCTATCAAGAACGATGGGCAGGTCCTGGAGAATGAGCTTGGAGCCGTACGAGCCACCGCAGTGGTCCCTGATGGCGCGGAGGGCCTGACCACGACCACCACCGACGTCGACGATGAAGGGTCGCTCGGTATCGGCCTCGACTTGCTCCTTCAGGCTGGGGAAGGGGAACATGTCAAGGATAGGGAAGTTGCTCTCCATGTTCTGGAGGGTGTGGTTCCACCAGTTCCTCTGCTCGGGATCGAGGTCGAGCACCTCGTAGTAGGTCTTGCCCTCGTGGCCAGCAGCAAAAGCAAAGGGGCTCTTCTTGATGTCGAACAAGTCCTCAGGCTGGTGAGTCTTGGCGTACTCGGGGAAAGCACCCCACGTCTTGAGGAAGTCGACGCACACGCAGACAAAAGCGCCGAGGGCGAGGGGCTGGAAGACCTGGGCGAGGGGGTTGCTGGCGTAGACGTCGGAGGCGGTCTCGACGCCGATGCCGTTGGCGACGAGGATGCGCATGGCGCGGGTGATGACGGACTCGTCGACGTTGGCCTGGCGGGCCAGCTCGGCGGCGGAGATGCTCTCGCCCTCGCCGGTGGGGAGCTTCTCGAGGGCGCCGAGGCGGATGAGCACGTAGAGGGCGCCGGCGGTGCTCATGTTCTCGAACCAGCGGAGGCCGGTGTCGTAGGGCTGCTCGATGGCGCTGCGGACCTTGTCGACCTGCTTGAGGAGCTTGAAGTGCTCGGCTGTGTTGCTGGCGTCGTGGGACTCGAGGGCGGCCACGAGGGCCTTGGCCTCGGCGAGGGCAGCTTCGATCGACATAGCTTCTGAACCTTTCTTTTTCTGTGAATTCTTCTTTTTCCCTTTTTTTGCGTCGTAACTGCGCGGTTCTGTCGTTTCTTTCTTTTGAGCTCGTGAGTAACTTAGTCGCAGCGTGTTTGATGTCCTGTGTGTAAACAGAGGTGAGTGTCTTGTCCGCGTGGAGTGTTAAAAATGGGGAAGGAACCGTGCAGCGCACGGGATGGGGTGAAGCTGTGGCGGTAAAACGGGTGGCCCGGATTCCTGGGACGAGGAAGGAGGAGGAAGGGAGAGGGGCAGCAGGTTCTGGGAGAACGGGGCTCAGGGGAAACAAAAAAAAAAAAGTGGAATGGGGTGGAAGCTAGCTGTACCTATGTTTGGAATGAAAACCCCGAGAGCTGCAAGATGATGCACGCTTTCTTTTCTTTTTCTCGTCAAGATGTCTTCTTCTTCCTTTGATTTCCGGTTCTTCGGGAGAGGGGAAGGGCAAGATGATAAACAAAGCAAGGTGTCTCCGAGGGGAAAAGAAAAGGAGAGGAGAGAGGGACGGTCGAGAAGGAGGTGGAGAAGCAAGAAGCAATAAGTGGGTAGGGTCCTCCCTCCCTCCGCGGTCCGCTTCTGCACTAGAAGCGATAGGGTGAAGAGGGGAAAGCCCGGACGCTAAAAACCAAGTGGAGCTATGTCGAGGCTGGAGCAGGGAAGGCCATTAGCTTTCCTTTTTCGTTGTTTTTCTCCTTCAAACCAGGGAGCAAAGATGGACGAGTCCCCTCTTGTGAGGGGAGCAAGGCCATCCGGGAAGGGCGCGATACTGGAGCAAGGTGGCATCGCGGCACGGGGGTTTCTCTTCTGGTGACCCTGGACCCGGCGCTGAGGTCCAATTCATGTGGATCATCCACTGACTGCTATCAGGAGACGGAGCCCAGGTGGCATGGTGGGGAAAGCCACGGGTTGTGCTGGGTGGGCGAGGGCAGAACAGGATCCCAGCACGACGGCGACCAATGACAAACGTGGTGTGTTGCGCGGGACAGGAAAAAAGATGGGGTGGCAATGGAGGGGAATGGGATGGGCTGGCCAGCAGGGTTCCGGGAAATGGTCCCCGGTTCCGGTTCCCCTCCCTTGGTTTGCCATGGCGAGTCGGGTGGGGGTCGACGGTCACGGCCAGCGCCGACGGAGAGCGAGTCAGTCACATTGTAGGGCCTATCACGACCCATTTGGCTGGCGCATTGTGGTGATTTACGAATGAGTTGGTGGCGGCTGTGGGAGACGAGCCAAGCACGGGCGCCCGTGAAGGATTGGAATATTCATGGATTACTTGGGATGAGGGGGGACACAGCCGGGGGCCCAGTGCCATGTGCTCGGAATGGCAGCATTGTTTGGAAATGGGCGCGAGGGGGAAACAAAAAAAAAGGGGTGGTGGTGGCTGGGAAAGGGAGGGGGCAGGAGGGCAGCGCCGTCCCCTGGCCTGCCGAATCGATCATTATTGTGTCCCATCGCAAACGGAACATTGAACCTCTTGAGCAAAGGCTGACATCCCGAAACTTAACCTCACGTCTACCGGGTATGAGAGTGTGTGTGTGACTATTATGGTTCGGGCCTATTTTTCTTCAACTTTCAACGGCTCGCACGGCTCAAGCGGCACCAGGTCGAACTGGGATGGGATGGACAGCGCCATCCCAAGCCATCAACCACCCTTCGCCTAGTCAGTGATCCAACAGTGACGACCACCACAACGGAGTCCTTTAATGAGCGGACCCAAAGATGTGGCTGTCTGCTCGGTCTGGGCTGAGCTGACAATCAAGCGAGGAGCTTGGGCTGGACCCCTCTTTCCCTCTTTCCCCGCTTCGAATTTGGTGAGCTTGGGCAAAGGGGGCAGCACACGACTTCCGTCTCGAAGTGAGAGGATTAATCAGGACGCAAATCAAATAAAAGAGGCTGGAATCCCCTCCCTACAATATATGTATCCTCTTATCTCCACATGGGTAGAGGATGTCTGTGGGCCCTTGAGGAGGTCTGTGGCTCTGATTTTACGAGACCAACAACCGGGGTTTAAGCCTCAAGTGCTCCGATGCTCTCCCCCAAGTTCAAGGTCGCTGAGGTTTTTGAAGCTCCCCGCGCTAGGTTTTGAATGGGGACACCACCTCGCTGCTGTGGCTTCCCGTGAGCTTGTCTCGCACGCCAGCAGTGGCAGCCGTTGTGCATCTCCACTGCTTCACGTTGAGGACACTTTGTCTCACTGGCGAAAGGCCGCTTCCACCAACAAGTGGGGAAGGTGGTACTCCTCAGTGCTCGGGAAGTGGCGGCCCACCTCAACCCTGAGCGAGGGGAGGAAGGAAGAGGGAGGACAGCCCTTCCTTCCCCTTGTGCTTCCCCCACCCACATCGCCTTTTGTTTTTCCTGCTCTTTCCGCAGCCACGGGTGAGCTGACAAAGGTTCTTTCAAAAGTGAGGGGAAATGCGAAGTGACCGCGAACGTGACGATTTTGTTCGCGAAGATCAAATTGACAGTATGCACTGGGTGCCAGGATCACCGCCCTTCAATTACGTCGCCTTGCCTAGGACGGACATTCGCTTCGAGCATGTTGTGTCCGAAACGAGGCAGACACGCGCAGCCAATTCTTAAACTTGGCTCACCTCAGGTGAGGTTTTTCGAGTAGCTCCGTGCTCTCAGCTCGACTCCTGTCAATAAAGGCCTAAACGAGTCCTAGTGGGAACGGGGAATGTCGTCCGAGAGGTCACCCAAACCATGCCCTTAAAGCTATCCGCATCATCTAACCCGAATAGTGATCTTTCACTTCTCACCTACTCTATGCTCTGGCAAGGTTAAACGCACTTGAAATCATCTGGTCTGACGAGATGTGGGCGAGAGGTACGAGGAAGTGAGGGGTAGGAGGGGCTGGGGTCATGGCATGGTGGGGGACCGGCGGTTTTGTTGGTTGGCTTCTTGCTCGTCAACGGTCGCTAGTAAAGGGTGGGCTCGCAGGCCTTTTTGTTGCGTGGCCCTGGCCAGCCAGTCCGTCTCGTTTGGGCGGTGGCTTGTGGACTGAATCACACTCCAATTCTACGGAATTTTGGACTGGGAGATATCGGAATGCCTGATGCGATTTGCTGCTCAGCCGGTGGATGCAAGGACCGGACAGGCAAAGCCTTGCCGAAAGCCCCAAACTGGCGCTTGGAACGATCGCTCAAGTGGACTGGCAACCCTTTGTTGCTGGGGGCAGCAACATCCGTCAATTCAACCAGGGTGGGGTATGGAGGGGGACGGAGGGGCCAAGCCTTGAAAGCTTCAAAATTCCCTGCAGTTGGTTATTTCCCACGTGCATTTTGCACTTTTGATGGGTGACAGATATGCATTGGCCATGCCACTTGTCATACTTGAAAACCATCGTGATCTCTTCCCTTTGAACCATTCATCATTGCTGAATACCCGTCCACGGCTGAGACTAGCGGTTGGGGAAATGCTGTGCGACCCACGACAAAGCCTGCCAAGGCCTGAGCCGTTGTTACAATGTGAGATGGGGATGCTTCCTCTCTCGAAACACCGGTAGGCTTGCCCTTTTCGATGGGAAGCGGAGCGTTCATTCCAGAGACGATGCGATGCAGCGATTCGTCCATGTCCATCTATATCTTCTTCTGCAGAAAGAGGCGTCGTGAATGACACGACAACAATACGCGCCCCGTCCAAGTCTAAGAATCTAGGAAGGGGAAGATAAAAACGTTGAATGAATAGGAACAGAAAAACCAAGGAGCATATTCTTCTTGGTCGGGCTGGATTGATTGGCTAAATTTGTCAGGAGCCTTTCTAGAGTGGCGCATTCGATCCGTGGTTTCCGGCGGTCACTATTCAGGATCTTCAACCACACATTGATCGGCGTGGCGCCGCCGCCGTCGAGCTCTTTGCTGGCAGACCTCCTGCTCAACGGCCCGTCTGTCTCCTTGTACGTCAACGCAACTGGGCCGACTCGCTGCTGGCGACGGGGATAATGCATACGAGGCGGCTTTAACGGAGGGGCTACTATCCAATTCGACTGATAGGGGACATCTTGCACACGTCTGCTGCCCCCGCCCATCTCATCTCAGCGAGCCACGATGGAGACTAGATGGGGGTTACTTGGAAGGAAGAGGGAAACGAACAAAAAAGGGGAAGCGAGGAAGGCAGACCGAGGAAGCACAGGAAGTGGCCCACGGCTCCCTGACCGCTTCGTCCCGCTCGTTCCACCTTTTTTTTCCTTTGCTTCCTATTTTTGCTGGCTCGACCGCGAACCACCTGAGAAACAGTCTAGCGTGCGTCGTTGTGTTCCATTTCATTCCCTGAGACTTAAGGCCCTGTGCTTCCCGGATCTAGTGAGTTGACAACCGTCCCTCTCCGAACACCTCGATCGACCAAGTATATCTGGGGACCCTTACCCTCTCGAGCTAGCGAGCCTCCGTTAGCCCACTGCTTGTTCTTTGGACTTTTCCGCCCCTCTTCGCCTCCGCCGCCCATTCCCTTATCTCCTGTGCCCTTCTTTTCTTGACCCCTTCCCCGCCCACCCTTCCCGCGGCATTTTGGTTTCCTCCATTCTCCTTCCTACTCGGGTGAGCCTAAAATTTTGGCAGACCATCGCGCATGACATCGCTCCTAACCGTCTAGAAAAAGAAACACTTGTGGAACGAAGAACGAAGCTCTCGAGCAGGGGCTCCTGAGAGGAAAAGTCAGGAACGAGATCGGGAATTATTACGCCCTACGCTTGTGAGGGGCCAAGAGCGAAACGCAAGCGACAAAAGACTAGGGGTTTCGCATCACCTTTTTCTTCCGTTTCTTTTTTCTTCTTTCAACCAACACCGGCGCGTCCGCACGTCCCCGCCCTTTTTTTTTTGACGGCGTCAATTCAACTCTAAACCGGGAGATCAGCGATTGCCTATTTTTCGCTTTCTACTTTAACCCTTCATACCCGAACTCGAACGTACGATTGCGATATCATGGCCGAACCAAGCGCAAACATCATTCAAGTCGATGAGGTACGTGGAATTTGAGGGGCGTTGTCACGGTTCCTTTCCTCCTTGCTTGCATAGCCTTCCATCCCCCTTCCGTCCGGGCTCGCAAAAACAATCAATCCCCCTGTTTTTGTTCCTGGTTGGTGCAATATTCTTCAATCCCTTGCGTCCAATACCATGGCCAGCGCTTGGTTACTCAACAGCTACCCACCTCGGCGTGGTGACGCGCATCACCTCAAATCCCACCTCACCTGGTTGGAATGTGCTTTGCCACATGCCGACATTTGCTGGGGGCGGCGTGCTGTTGACCAGGTTGGAGCACAGAGCTTGGCCCGTCCTCGTCGATCGATCCCCTCCACCCGCCCCCTTGCCAACCAAACCTGGCGATGATCAGGGTGTCACGTGATGCCTTGTGTTTCCCATCAGCCCACTACAGCAGCTGCCGCTTGTGTATCGCAAATAATACAAGCAGCGTACGGAGCTCACGGGGAAGCCTTTGAGAATTTCGAGAAGCTAACCACATTCGGATGCTGTAGGAAATCCCCGCTAGTGATTTCGAGGATGAGGTGTGTACAATAGCCCAGAGCGACATGGCATGGGTAACCCGGATGACGGCGTGCCTCGATCGCAGAATGCAGGGCTTTCAACGGGAAATCTAACACTCGTATAGGGTGCCGAGGTTGGAAGCATAAACACTTCCCTGACTTCGGTCAGCGAGACCATTATTAAGGGCGTTATCGGCGAGGGTCAGCGCACCTATGCGGCCTACGGAAAAGAAGGTAGGAACGGCCCGATCTAGCCCGTGACCGACCGATGATGGCCGGCCTGCTTATTGCTTGCTGACGAATGAGCACACCGTTGTAGAGTATGGCTTCCCCATGGACGACAAGGAACTCGACCGGATCGATCTCTGCCACATCAAATACTCTGCTCTTCTGGACAAGCGCCTGTTCCTGGCCCCCGTCAGCGAGGAACCCCAGAGGATATTAGATCTCGGCTGCGGCACCGGCATTTGGTGCATAGATGTGGCCGAGGAGTACCCCAATTCCGAAGTCGTTGGTGTAGATATTGCGCCCACCCAGCCAGAGTGGTAGGCTAAATCCCCCTTCTGTTCCAGCGATCCTCTATCAAAATGAGCGCGGCGCCATCCCTAGGCGAAACATGAAGAAAACGAGACAAAGTACTAACATGCGCCGTTTGCACCGGATGCTAGGGTACCTCCCAACTGCCGTTTCGAGCTCGACGATATTGAGCAAGAGTGGACCTGGAAGGATAGCTCGACCGACCTCATCTTTTGCCGTGACCCCATCTGCTCCATCCGAAACTTTCCCCGCCTCATGGACCAGATCTACAAGTAAGCAGTTCCTATCTCTTCCTCTTATTTGACGATCTAACCTCGCCCCTTTGGACAGAAACCTCAAGCCTGGTGGCTGGGCCGAGTTCCATTGCGTGACGGGCGTGCTACAGTGCGATGATGGATCCGTGCCCAAGGATTCCCACTTACAGGCCATGTCGGACAACCTGGGCATCTCTTGCGCCAAGTTTGGTACCCCCGTCGATGACCCCATGCGGTGGAAGGGCTGGTTCCAGGATGCCGGCTTCCAGAACGTGACGGAGAACGTCTTCAAGTTGCCCTGCGGACCCTGGCCTCGCGACAAGCGCCTCAAGCTCATTGGAGCCTGGGAGCAGCACAACCTTCTCCACAACCTTGAGGGCATGACCATGCGCCTGTTCCAGAAGGGACTGGGCTGGACTGAGGACGAGATCCTCGTCTTTTCCGCGTTGCTGAGGAAGGATATCAAGAACTTGAACCTTCATGCTTACTGGCCCTTGTACGTCGCCTGCTTTCCTTCCTCCCATTTTATCGTCCTGTTCGGTCGCAATCATTGCTTTCGCAGTCAGATGAGCTAACTCTTGCCCTTTTTCCTTTTTCCTTCTTCTAGCTACGTCGTATATGCTCAGAAGCCTTACGGCCCCGGAGGTGACCCAGCTGCCGAGTCCGCGCCGGAACCCGCAGCAGCGCCACCTGCCGCGGATGCGAACTAAAAGCGTCCAAGGTTTCAGGTTGAAGCTCATAAGGCGTATTTCCTGTTGTTTGATTTAACGAATGTTAGAAAAAAAAGTAAACGATGTAATGTGCAAGGGCATTTTATTTGCATGGATTTGGAAGGGATGGAATCGAGATTATGAAATGAGGAAGGGCTTCTTTGCAGGAGAGAGGCAGATTCGAGGGTGGGTGGTGTGGGGGCATTAGTCTTGAGGCATCTATGGATGTCGGTACGTTAGTCCTATTGGTGCGCTTCGCATATTAGTTTTGTATCCTCTTCGCCCACTCTAGGCGCAATATATGCATACGCTGGAGATTTTGGAACGTGAAGTTCGCATCTCCTCATTATAATTGTACATGTAGGCATGACAAGGGCTGTTGATCGAGGTTGCTTGGCGATATGGCTTGCCATGCCTCTCGCATTCTCTCTGAGTCTGGTTGATCCATGTCGAGTTCTGAGGATAGTGGATATCGAAGTTTACATGTAGTCATGATATTGATTTAGTTTGAGGCACTTGCTGTTCGCAGGTAGGCAAATAACTACCTAGCTCGAGAACTATCTCCAGTTGAACTCACGACGGCGATATCACGAGGGAGGAACTTGACAGTGTACAATGATTGCAATTTTATAAATACTGGAGCTCTGCTAAAAGGCAGAAGACATCCCGAAATATATACGTCCGAAGGTAACACCTACTGCCTGGTCTGTGAAGAAATGAAGCTGTGTCGCCTGTCCTGCGGCACGACGATGGTAAAAGAATCTAACCTTGCTTAGACTGAAGGCCAGCCACCTGACCAGCTCAGGACGTTCCAGCCAAACTGATATTGGGAATCAGCCAGACCGATGTTGGTGTTGGCTACGACAAATGGGGCAATTGTGTTAGTTCTGCGTTTCCATACAGCAAGCATACGAGTTGGGGAGGGAGATGGGGTGAGAGGCATACCGTAGTGGTAGTACAAGATGGTACCGCGTTTCGGGTCAGCAAAGACGCCTTGGCCTCCCGGTCCATAAACGTGATCGTGGCTCTCGAGGACAACGGTTCCACCACCGTTGCGGCAACTCCTGCCCTGCCTATCGACAAAGGGCCCGGTGGCGCTGGCGCTCGCGCAGACGAGGATGCGGTACTCGGCGCCGGGGGCGGGCTTGTTGTCGTTGTAGCCGCAGCAGGTGCCAGCGCTGAAGAAGAGGTAGTACATGCCGGCGCGGTAGTGCATGAAGGCGCCCTCGACGGCGTGGGCGCCGGCGGGGTCGTAGGCGATCTGGTAGGGGGTGCCGGCGATAGCGGTGGCGGCGGCGTTCATGGGCACCTGGTAGATGTCGCCCCAGAAGGAGCCAAAGTTCATGAGGTAGGAGGAGCCGACCTGGACGAGGGCGGCGTCGATGGCGTTGTAGGCCATGCCCGTGCTGGACTCGACGCCCGTGGTGCCGCCGTCGGCCCAGGAGCCGGCTTCCATGGTGGCGGAGGTGGCGTAGCCGATGGCGGAGTTTTGGGAGCCGAAGGTGGAGACGGTGTAGTAGAGGACGTAGCGGCCGTTGATTTCGCGTACGTCGGGAGCCTACGGAGATTATGTTAGTTTTTCTTTTGAGGTGGTTTTTCCCTTCTGTCTGCTTGCTTACCCAAAGATCATCGCGGCCGGGCTTGTTGATCCTGCTCCCGTTGGGGAGGACGGCGCCCTGGTACACCCAGGGGCCGGTCAGGTCCGGGGCCTTCCAAATGCCGATGCGGCTGCCGGTCTCGAAGCGGAAATAGGTGCCGTCGGAGGTGCGCCTGATGACGGAGGGTCGTGGGACCAGCACTGGCCGCTGCAGGCGCCGGGGTTGGCGTAGCCCAGGACGCTGGACGCGGCGACGAGGACCGTGGCCACGGCCGAGAAGAAGCCTTTGAGCTGCATCGCGTCGAGGATTCGGAAGGGGGAATGGAGGAAAACGAAACCAAAAAGAGGAAAGGGGAGGTCTTGGGTGGGTTTTTTCTTCTTCTTCTGGGCTGATTTCAATTTGGGGATCGGGTGTCTTCATATAAATCCCAGTTCAACGCATTCAGCCACGGGGGTTGATTTCCCCTCGTCGCGCCCCACGCTGGTCATCGTCGACTCGGGCTATCCCGCCCATAATTCAATTGCAGGAAGCCGTCGACCCCACCACTTCGAGGCAACAAAAAATAAAAAGAATCCATTCCGACTCGGCGACTCTTGGGGCTAGGTTCCCAAGGCGAAAGGAGTGCGACGCTGCGAAAAGGCGCGCGCTGTGGCAGGTGTGATTGGGGGAAACTGGCGGGCCCGCTGGTTTCAAGTCCGGAGACATTCCCCAAATCGAGATCCTGCCAAATCTCGGCGGGTGGAGAAGGAAGCAAATGTAGCGATTGGGCTGAAAACCGGGTCAGCTGGGGGAAATAACATGCTGGGCGACGAGACTTGCCTGTTGTCGTTCCCTAATATGACAGTCTATGCGACCCAATGAAGAGTGGGCTGTGCCGAGGACACGGGGGTTTTGCTTCCTTGTCTGTTTTGCTGCTGCTAGATCCCGGCTTCGGGGTTGCTAGCATCGGCGCCGGCCTGGATTAGGAAACGATTTTGGTGATGCGCGTGCTCCGTGCAGCTGAATGCCGATGCTAGCGGAGGGGAGTGGCGGCCCACAACAGCACGACAGCGCCCAGGGTTACATTTATGGAAGTTTTGTTCAGTTTGAAGAGGTAGAGGACTACATGCCGATTTGTACTTCGTATATGGCGCTTGGTAAATCTTCTTGGTCATCAGCATCTAGTTTGCCACGATTGTGAATGCCTGCCGAGAGAGATTCGTACATGTATGAACGGGGCTTGTTACACGACGTCCTCCACCCGAGCCCCTGTTATACTCTTCTATTAATCGCATTTGCCCGTGTCGTAGAGCGAAAAGCCTGTTCTCCCAACGTCGCTCGCAATGCGATATGTTGAGCTTCTTTGTCGATGTTCTCACCTCGGCTCGGCTAACATTCCCCGCACTCAACTAGCCGCGATGACACCCAACACGTTCACTGCAACACTTTTGTCCTGCTCGCCAATTCCAAGAGTGCTTGAATGATAGGACGGGATAATCGAGCTTCTCCTCCTAGACACTTCTCCCCCTGCGTGAGGTGAAGTCTGCTTCCCGTTCATGGTCTTTTGCCATTGGCTCTCGCTCTTTACATGTCCGCTGCGAGGGGCGTGACCCAACAGGGAGCAATGTTGCGAGGGCGTATAAAGAAGGAGTTGCACCGGTTATGACGATATTATTTGCTCAGTCGTTCTTCTACGAACAACCAACGTGCGGGGGCCATCCTAAATGCGCCAAGGAGGGCTTCGTGGTCTTGTATTAGAACCTTTAAACCATGTGGACTTTTGTCGCTTGAGAAGAGGAGCTGTAATAATTTGGCCTGGACTACGCAAGAGTGTTGCTGTGTAGGGGTTGGCCCTCGAATCTGCTTCATAAGGATTTCTGTGCGACCAAGATTTCACGTAGCTGGAGTTGAGCCTCGATGTGCTTCAAGGGGTCGAATATATATGGATACATATATACTCGATTTTCTGCAAGTCTTCTTCGGTAAATAAAGAGTGTACTGAGATGGAGGAAGGTGAGGTAGCCATCTCGCGAGATTGGCATTTGGCGGGCAATAAATTATCTCCACTTATAGGTCAATCGCCCACGTACAATACATAAATCTTGGTGTTGGCTGTCGCGAGTGAGGCTTTGGCTTTCAGGGAGCTATGAATCCTGGTCATCTTTTTCGATCAATCGATGCGTGTGCGCCAAGATTAAATTCCCCAAATCCCGTGACTCGCATTTCGTCGTGTTGGGTTCAATTTCACAAGCCCCTTGAATCAAGACAGTATTCTCTTCTGAAGACGGTCACCTCGGTCGAGCGTCAAGTCGAATATCGAACCAAAGGCGCTGGTGAAATTACCCTCTTTGATGTGGTTGAAGCACTCTTCTCGCGTCCTGACAGCGACGCGTCTCGTCCACCCATCACGATGCCGGCCAAGAGACGCTAACGTCCCAACCGTGGGTTGCCGAGCTTGGGAGGCCAAGTTCTCCACACAACAGAGCAAAGCCCGCGCCCATGATTCCAGTACTCCGACCTCTTCGTCGGACGGACCTGGCGACAGCCCCCACCAATATCCCGGTCTGGGGATGCATCTGCATTTCGCCCGACGCCGGGACGGCACGGACCCCGTGTGCGAGTATCCTCGAGGCATGGGGTGGCGCGCCAATATTCCCTCCCGCTACTCTACGTGCGGGAGGTTGCCATGATGGTTGTCATGGACCGGCTAACGGATAAGCCGGACTGGCAACGCAAGATATTTGATGACTCCATTGTGGAAAAATGGAAACGGGAAGCCATCAACTTGCCATTGCAGCCATTCTGGGAGGAGCTTGCGGAACAAGCACCCGATAATTGGCGCGCCGATTTTGCAGCCCCTAGGCCTGAGCGGATGTTTACAGAGGAGATGTTTGACTACGTGAGTATCCGGAGAGCCAGGGATGCCGCCTCTACCTTGGCCCCCTTTTCCATTTTTCCCTTTTTTTCTTTGGGAGAGAGAGAGAGAGAGATAACTTGCAGCTGACGGCATGACTTATGGTTTAGTGTGTAATGGAGCTTCGCGACAAGGCTCGATATGCCGAGAGCTCAGGCGTGGGCGTCGTTCGGACACTCGAGGGTTACGCGAGAGCGGCTAAATCGGACACCGTAGTCGGCGCGGAGCTCCGAAAGGACTTGATCGACGCCTTCGATACGCTGACAGAGCACCAGGCCGACACGCCAGATTGGCATCCCGGAAGCGACGAGATGGTGCGAAATCTGGTCCACCCTTCCATGTACCCCCTCGTTTGGGGACGTAGCCACATCATCCGGGAGCCGGTGGTGGGCGTGGAAGATGCCGTCGACCCTAAGTGGTTGGGCAAGGGGCAGCCCTACGAAGCTGACATGACGAGACGAAAGGGTAATGGGCTGTATGAGTACAAGGGCCATGACGGTTGCTGGAGCAAAACGTATCAATGGCTCCCCTCAAACGTCGCGTTTAGGGATGACGGCGGTGTCCGGTTCACAAGTTACATCAACAACCTCCACCCCACGAGGTACCCCGAGATATACCGCACACTCGAGAAGCTTGTCGAGTGCGCTCTCCCCATATGGGATCAGTGCCTGTTCAGGTACTGGACGCATGGCGTATGCCGGACCGCAGTAACCCTCGGTTTGCCCCGCCGGTTAATCCAGAGTGAGCCTAGTCACATATCTCCTTTTCAAGCGCGCGACACGGTTTGCTGGTCATGTACTAGAATTCTTTGTGCTAATTTGCGGGCGATGCTTGATTTTCTCTTGCATTTGAAAAGTGACGAATATAGACATAACTGGTTTGACACGCGACCCGACGGAATAGTCTACGATCCTAAAAGGACCCCGAATTTAACCAGTTCGACGACTATGACAAAGAGAGCGAGAATTTTGCCGACGACCGATTGTTCCAGCTCTTTCGAAAAGCAAAGCACCCGCAGCCTCTCCCCTACAAGCCCCGAGACTACAACATCGAAGAAAAGGACACCCTGCGCGGACAGTTCAGGGACTCGGGCCTCCAAATCATCGTCAAGATGGCCAGCATCGAGCTCACGCCGGAGAAGCCTACGTACCCGGGCGGCAACTGGCACCTCGAAGGCCAGCTCAACGAACACATTGTCGGCACGGCGCTGTACTACCTCGACGCCGACAACGTGACGCCCAGCCGCCTCAGCTTCCGCAAGGCGACGGACGGCGACTCCCCGGACCTCCGGGATGCCGTCGGGCAGGACTCGTTCAGCTGGGCGGAGGAGGTGTACGCCATGTTCCTGCGCGACGGGTTCCCCGTGCAGAGCCACGGCAGCGTCGTGACGGCGCCCGGGCGGCTGCTGGCGTTTCCCAACGTGCTGCAGCACCGTGTGGAGCCGTTTGGGCTTGAGGATGAGACGAGGCCGGGGCGGCGCCGGTTCGTGGCGCTGTGGCTCGTTGATCCGCATTTTGAGATTGTGAGCACGGCCAACGTTGCGCCGCAGCAGGGGGTTGGGTGGAGGGGGCTGCGGCGTTGTCGGCTGGTGGCGAGGTGGTGGGGGTTTGATGGGGGAGGAGGAGGCGTTGAGGCATCGGGAGGCGATCATGGCTGAGAGGTCGATCTCGCACGAGAAGATGGAGCGGGAGCTGATGCAGCAGGGTTATTGCTTTTGCGAGCACTAAACGCTGGGAAGAGAGGGTATGCTGAAGTACTTCGGTGTAAGTTAGCATCAGGTGTGCAGGGGTCTGTGTAAATTTCAATGTTGTACATGTAAGTTCGGCAAAGCGAACCCCTTGTGTATTTTCAGTTGGATTTAATGTCGCGGGTATCAACTTACCTTCTGTGTCGACATTCTGTGTGCTCATAAAGGGACCTTTTCATGCCTTTACCCCATCCTCGAGGCATAATTCTATTGTATGGATGGCTTGACGGGTAAGCTATTACGGGTGACCAAACTCTAAGGAGAAAACTCCAGATTCGAAGATTCAAAACCCCGCAGCTGCAGTAATATCTTGATTAAGGTCTTAAGGAGCCTGGATTGAAGTTCCTGATCGTTGCTGTATCCCAACTTGGCCACGTAGATCCTACATAACTTTTAGGGCGGGAGAAAATTCAGTACATCAATGGTGGTCTTCTTCCTAAAAGATGACCACTACGTCGTCCTCGGCGGGCGTAAATAAAAGCCTCGCCTAGTCCTAAAGAAAACTGATACATTGGTCGTTCAAGCCTATAGCCTCATCTTCCGAGTATCGAAAGGCCCCCTCCGTGTTGATATGCACTGCAAGAACATCAAGGCCGCGTCTTCTATGCGTCTTATGAACGAATATGAAGGGGCTCATAAAGCGTATAAAAGCCGCTGCCTCCATGTCCTTTTCAATAACCGGCCACCCTGAGCATGGATGTCAGTGCCCTTCTCAAGTAATAGTTGAACGATATCGTTATGACCACCAGCTGAAGCTGCCTGAAGAGCATTGCCAAACTCGCCGCCCTGAGTATGGATATCAGCACCTTTCTCAAGTAATAGTTTGACGATATCGCCGTGGCCACGAGCTGAAGCTGCCTGAAGAGGATTGCCAAACTGGCCACCCTGAGCATGGATATCAGCGCCTTCCTGAAGTAATAGTTTGACGATATTGAAATGGCCACGATATGAAGCTGCCTGAAGAGCGTTGCCAAACTGGCCACCCTGAGCATGGATATCGGCGCCTTTCTCAAGTAATAGTTTGACGATATCGTTATGACCACCAGCTGAAGCTGCCTGAAGAGCATTGCCAAACTCGCCGCCCTGAGTATGGATATCAGCACCTTTCTCAAGTAATAGTTTGACGATATCGCCATGGCCGCGATATGCAGCGGCCTGAAGAGCGTTGCCAAAGACGCCACCCTGAGCATAGATATCGGCGCCTTTCTTAAGCAATAGTTTGACGATATCGTTATGACCGCCAGTTGAAGCTGCTTGGAGAGCGTTGCCAAACTCGCCACCCTGAGCATGGATATCAACGCCATTCCCAAGTAATAGGTTGACGATATCGCCGTGGCCACGATATGAAGCTGCCTGAAGAGCATTGCCAAACTCGCCACCCTGAGCATGGGTATCAGCGCCTTTCTCAAGTAATAGTTTGACGATATCGCCGAGGCCGCGATATGAAGCTGCCTGAAGAGCGTTGCCAAACTCGCCACCCTGAGCATGAGGATCAGCGCCTTTCTCAAGTAATAATCTGACGATATCACCATGGCCGCGATATGCAGCGGCCTGAAGGGCGTTGCCAAACTCGCCACCCTGACGATTGATATCAGCGCCTTTCTCAATCAAGGCATCGGCGACCGCGCTCAAGCCCGCATATGACGCCTCATAGAGCCAGTCCATAGTTTTACAACTATAGAAGTAACCTATAGCGTTACGATATAACCTGAACCAGGGTAAACCGGCCTCTTCCTTTTGTACGAAGAACAATATGGCAGCCTTAGCTTCTTCGTCCTTATCAGCATCTCTGCCATACGTCATCCAATATTTGACTGCGTGGTTGGTGAACGCAAAGCTCTTCTCGATGGTCTTGCTGTCAATATCAGAAGGCACTGATAGAAGATAGCCTATACATATTCGTGTCAAGCAGCTCGCTGCTTTTTCTTTCATGCATAAGCCATGAGTTGGGCCTGGGACTTTCCAGTTTGTCAAGTATTCCTTGACAGAGAAGTGAGCAAGTTGAAGAATATCATTCTGCCCTTCGCTGATAGACACCAAACTTGAGCATGAGAGTAGAATCTCCTTTGGCTTCCGTAACCGATCTTTCGGATCAAAATGGAGTTTCTCTTGGTCTGTTGCTAGAGCGTCGACAGCCTCATCAATCGTCAAGGGTCGCGGCGAGAAACATAGAAACTGTAAAAGTAGTATTGTCGTCTTCCAGCGGCGCCCTCCTTTTCGAATGGCTCTTAAAACTCTCGAATAAACTTCTCCAAGAGTTTCAGGTAACTGCTCCAGGGCCTCATCCACTTCGCCGAGATCACGGCAGTCCCTAAGCGATTCGAGTTGGCATGCTGCGAGTCGGAACCTAGATGACATACATAATGGTCAGCTCCGAGCCATACAGCCCCTATTTTTCAATATCATTCTTCAGGTAAAACTCACATTCCATCAGCTTTTTCCGTGATGCAAGACTCGATCCTGTCTAGGACCTCCTCGTCACCGAACCACCTCTCATAGAAATCACCTTCTTTGGCTCGGAGAGTATCTCGGACATATAATTGGATGTCTTTAGCTACGCAACTCTTTGAGTTGGCGGCAATCAGATCCATCTGTGGCCAGGCTTTGAGATTTGACGCTATGTCTACCTCCTTCCGACTTGTAGTAAGAAACTGAATACTTGGCTGCGATTTCGAAAACCACTCTAACCAGCGAAATAGCGTCGGTCGGTTGCTACACTCGTCTAGGGCATCTATGATGATAGTGCATCTTTTCCACGTCACCAACATCTTTGAGAATATACACGACAGGATGTCAGAGGAAGGCTGGGACGTTCCGTTGTCATGCGCTTCAAAGGCGCGGTCACAAGTGGTCTGAGCCGCTGGTATTGAAGTCGAGTATAATTGATATACGAAGGACCGGAGTAAATCATTCAGCTCTTGCTTCTTCTCGTCGGTAAAACTGAAGAAGAAGATGAGAACGACCTCATCATGATGTTTATGCGATAACAAGTGTTCCGTGACTGTAGATATGAGAACGGACTTTCCACAGCCAGCCAGTCCATAAAGCCAGAGATGGCGATCCGCACCTGAGGACCATCTTTGGAAGAAGTCCGCCTCAAGAATCCAGGTGTTAGTATTAGTATGCCGGAGCTCTTTCGCCTTCTCGTAATCGATCGAGTAATCAGGTGGGTTCAGCCACTCTTTAACTTTTTCATTGTGTTTAGTAGACGCTAAGTGACGCGCCATGTCCTGGGTCTTTTCCATTTTCTCGTCCACTTATCGATGCAAGAGTTAATACAAGGTTAATAATCAGATATATAGAAACCATGATAACTAGATAGGGAGATTTAAAACTCACGTTTAAGTATCATGTCCGAGATCCTCCCCTCTGCCCTAACCTTCGCTGGTGGTATTTCATAAAGTAGTTGCTGAGCATATATAGCAGCCGCCAACGCTGCATATCCCTGCCAGTCCTTATTTTTATGTGTATCTGAATAGTCGCAGATACCGCGGATCACGAGGCAGGGAAAGTGGTTCATAAGTCCCGCAGCTTCCATCTCAAAGCATAAAACGCCCTTTTCGGTGGCAAGCTTATCTCGGGTGATAGCATCTTTCATCAACTGATTAGCTGACGCTATTAAGCCGTAGTGGATAGCAGGGTTATCATCATCTTCTGTGCGTTGAGGTCGAGATATGGGATCGCCACATTCTTCTGTGCAGGAGGTGATATCATTATGCGCATGGGTATCGGAGGTGTTGTAGAGTTGGTCAGTACTTTGAGCGGGCCGGCTATATAATTTCCGCAGCCGACGAGCCTTTTGAAGTAGATCGTTTATCATTTCGTCAATTGCGTTTCCCTATGCTCATGTTTAGCTCTCAGCCCGCTTATCGCTGCGCGTACAAAGGCAGGAGGCTTGTTAAGATGTGAGATCTGTTGAAAGGCTTGGTGTTGAATGGTCCTCCCATAATCATACTGCATCACACCACCTTCACCTTCACCTGGTACACTAACCACGACATCTCCTAAGCGGATATCATGGCGATCGCTTGGAGCCCCACCACCAAGACCAACCATTAATCCTATCTTGACATTCGGGAAGCTTCGTAGCATATCCCTTGCTACTGATGCTGCTGAAACGAGCCCGTACTCGCCTGAGGGGAGGGTGGCTATTACCACATGATGCTTTCCAATACTCCCAAGGGTATAGTTGTTGTTATCTTGATCATGGCGGAATTCAGGAGCTTCGTGTGTATTGTCAAGAACAGCCTGCGCGGAAACATACTCGGGATGAATAGCGCATATCCAACCTACAGTATACTGCTCTGCGCCAAGTGCAATCTGTTGGGGTTTATCGACACCGCCATTTATAGGCAAGCCTGAGTTATCTGTGACACCTTGAGCTCGTTTAGGTTCGTGAAGAGTATTGTGGCTCAAGTCAGCATCCTTCCATTTTCTCTCCGATGTGTTCGATTCTTCTTGGGAGGATCCTCGAGACGCCATGTCGGAATAGTTTGTTTGAAGATACTAAGAAAATATAGATTGAAGTCGGTAGAGTCTGGGTGATCGGGGTGAATAGGTGTGATGTCGGGGGAGCTTGAGGGGTCGGGGGCTTTTCAAGAAGTGAGCTACGCGGTTAACGCTAACCAGGCTGCGTCACGGAACACAACACCATATAGTCTAGATCAGATTTCTGAGTACTGCTTATACCGCCCACCAGTTTAGGGCTCCGTATCTATCACCGACAACCATATTCTGTTCTCGGGCTGAACTGAGAGGCTGAGGCCTGCTGCTGTATCACACACAGGTGTAATATGTGGCGTTTGCCACACGTTTAGGCAACCCGAAGTCGACGAATGGCATCGAGACACGATATACGAGTGAATGGATGGAAGCCAACTCCCTCCTCCCAGTCATTCCTATCATTGGCTTAACTCTGTACATCCATGAATGTATTTTTGGAAACGAGGCGGTTGGGCTCCTTCGAAAGAAGCCCGAAGGGAGCCCTTGCCATTCACCTTGTAGAGCGACCGCCTCTTCGCTTGCCGTATTTCTTCAACCGCGCTGAAAATTTTACAGACCAACCCGGCTCACGACGACCGATGGTATGTTAAGGTGCATATTTCCATGTCGCACATGCAGAACATAGGGCCAAAGGCTCACACTTCACATTTTTCTACTTTTTAAGGGCCCCGTACCAAACACTTCATGCATTCATGCCTAGATTCCAAACTAGAAATTGCCAAATTGGCCCGACGCTGTCGATTCTAGCTTTGCGCGACAACGCTGCCTAAAGGCAAAAGAAGGGGAAGTTGATGGATGAGTACCGCGGTGGTGGGGGAAACCGGATCTCGATCCGGAATCCATCGTCGCGGGCCAAATGCCCTGGGCTGGATGACCTGCATCCCCCCATACACGTATTCTAAGGCCTACGTCGAAATTTGAAGGGAACATTCGCCGAAAGATAGCTGCACCAGCCTGTAACAGCTGGACAGTCCAAAGTTCTAGCTCTAGCTGGCCTCCCACAGCATCTGTAAACTTCAGCTAAAAGTAAGGATTAATCGAGAAGTCCTGAGATATGGGCAAAAAGAAAAAAAGAAAGAAGTTAGATCCAGCCCACACTCCCACCCTATATCAAAAGTATCCAGAGATCCCTGTGAGATGGGATGGAGCCCGCTCCCCAGCTAGTGCGTTGAATATAAAAGTAATATAATGGATAATTTGACAGTTAAGGCCTCCCAGCGCACCGCACCCCTGATAAAAGATACAAGAATCTGAGCAAGCACGGCCAAGGATCACGGAATTGCTGACAGCACGGGAATCCGCCTGTGACATAGCCCCCGATAGGCAAACGAGGCCGAGCTCGAACGCAGGAAGTGACAAAAAGTGTTTTATAGCCACGCTGACCACACTATACGACACACGACACTTCCTGAAAGCAAACGCACATATTCACAAAAAGCCTGAAAGCTTCAAGACCGAGATGGCAGTCGAGAAGCAAGCGCTCATCGCCGCTATCAATCTATTGAACAAAGGGGAAAATGTTCGTATTCGCTGCTTGATTCTTCTAATAGATCCGTTTCTACAGAGGAATTCCTGCCCCTTTTATAGACGATATTTCTGGGATATTTACACGATCCGTCGACAGCCGTCATCCGGTTGGATATCGTCGACCGCATAGATGTGGCATAGGCTCGGTTTCCTACCACCCGGATAGATGCAGCACATGTTCAGATAGCCCTTATCCTTCCATCCTTCAACACAATCAACGCTTCCATGTAGACATTTATCATGCTGTAATAGCCGGAGAAGGGTGTAGCAAACGAGCATGAGGAAAGTAGGAAGTCGGTGAACTACATTTATATAGAGCAATAGCAGTAGCCAGAAGAAAGAATATAAGGAATGAAGCCAAGTGAGGCTTGGAATAAAAGTAGAAGTATAACCGTAGCTCAGCAATAAGAAAACGAAGTAGCCGATATGTGAACCAAGGAGCCGACATAGAAGCAACGGCAATGGGTGCATATTGGCTTAGAAAAAGGATGAACTTTCAGACCTTTATCCTGGTATAATGGTAGGTACTACGATAATCTATTTCTAAAGCAAGAGTTATAGATACAAGTTGCGCGCGAGCGAACCAGAGACCGTTCGTCAACCACTGTAGGTGTCTTTACAAGCAAAATTAGATCAATGGATCCATTCCATAGATGCTTATTTTGGTGACAATATCTCTGGCAGTCATCTATTAGATTATAGATCAAGGATCTATATCCCACATGCACAGATCTAGCTAGTAGATGTTCTTAGAGATAATCTTGATAGAGGCTGTTTGAATGACTAACGCTACAAATCTGTCGCACAGATCATAAAATGCCAACTGCGAATATGTATCGTTCATCATCCTAGAGAAATATGTCCATATGGAAAGCAGGCAGCGAAAAGCCCAACATTCATTTCTGTATTCGACATTACTCGACAACTTTATCCCCGCATCCCTTCCCTCTCTTTTCCTACCTTCTTCTGCAGGTGTGGCGGCCCACAAGTGCCGATCCCCAACCCGTTTGGCCGGGGGTGATATGCCGGGGACCTTTGTCAAATAACCCGACCTAGACTTGCCAGACTCGGATGTGGTCCCATATTCAAGCCAGTCACCGTGCCCCGTTTTTTTCCTATTCTTTTTGAGCATCTGGCATGCTCCCAGGCACGCAGGGTATAGAGAGGGTCTTGGGGAGTGGGTGGTTGAAAAGGTCATAATGCAATGGACTTAAGGATTACGACAGCAAGCAGGAGCCAACTAGGTCTGCGGGGAGATTAGGATTGACACACGACTAAAGTCACAAACGTCGTGTCGTGTGAGCAATTGGTACATCTAACTCAAGGTTTAATCGGGGATCTCTACTGCGTCTCAGTGTCGAGTCTGCCTGCCACGTGAGGAAGACCCTTACTGGGCCGTTGTGCATTCTGTCTTTTCTTTCTTCTTTTTCCCGAGTAGTTTCTAGTCACCGCGTGGGCGCCGGCTAACATCTTCACCTACCGCGCCTTAGTTGAGCAAGTTGTGAAACCTCCAGTGAAAACCTCAATATCTCCGCCCATCATGAGTATCAAGGACGACATTGAAAAAAGGACGAGGTACGTCTTTTCCCCTTCCCGCGTTCCGCATTCCCTTCCCGGCGATTAATCCCCACACTCACGGATATCGATCCTTGGCATCAAGCCCTCGGCGGCCAGCGAGATCAGCTCCTTCTCCAAGGCCGAGCGCGCCCTCATCTGGAAGCAGGACCTGCGCATCCTGCCACTCTCCGCGTCCATCTACTTCCTATGCTTCCTCGACCGCGCCAACATCGGCAACGCCAAGATCCTCAACTACACCTCCCACAACGACATGCTCACCGAGGTCGGCATGAGCAGCGACCAGTTCGTGTACACCCTGCTCGTCTTCCTCGTCGCGTACGGCGTCTTCGAGATCCCCTCAATATCCTGCTCAAGAAGCTGCGGCCCTCGCGCTGGATCGCCATCCTCATGTTTAGCTGGGGCGCCTGCACCATGTGCCTCGCCGCGTGCCAGACCTTTTCCCAAATCATGGCCGTTCGCTGGTTCCTCGGCGTGGCTGAGGCCGGCCTCTTCCCGGGCCTCGTCTACTATCTCACTTTTGGTATAGGCATAATGAGCGCAGTTTGCGCGTCGCCCTTATCCTCGCCAGCGCCACCCTCGCTGGTGCCTTTGGCGGCGCCATCGCCTACGGCATTGGTCACATGAATCAGGCGAGGGGTATGTCGGCCTGGCGTTGGCTCTTCATCCTCGAGGGCATCCCTTCCGTTGTCTCCGCCTTGCTCGTTCTACTCTTCCTGCCTGATTTCCCCGAGCGCGCGCTGGCTGTCGCAGGCCGAGAAGGATCTTGCCATCGCCCGCCTCGAGACCGAGGAAGCAGTAGCGCCGACAAGTCCATGACGTGGGCCGACGCAAAAGCCACGCTAACGGACTGGAGGCTGTATGGGCACTACGCGGTGTATTTCGCTGTCTCCATTCCGTTTGCTTCCATGTCCTACTTTACGCCATCCATCACTACGGGTTTGGGCTATGTTGATTTACAGGCACAGTTGATGACTGTCCCGCCTTGGGTTGTCGGTTATGGTAAGAATTTTCAGCCCATTCTCTAGTACATCGCGCGTCGGGATCACACATACTCGGCGGCCCCTTTCCAATTGTCATCACTGATTACTAGACTAATTGTGCTTTCGGGGAGAATTAGTTGTCCAAATTCTCGTTGCGTGGTCCGCAGACCACTTCAACGCTCGTGGCATGCACGCCGCCGCCCTCGGTCTCGTCGGCGCCATTGGCTACATTGTGTCTGCTGTTCTGCCCCCGGACGCATATTTGAGTCGCTACGGATGCTTGATCCTCGCTCTTACTGGTGCATTCTCGACAATTCCTCCCCTGCTCGGATGGCTGACGTCCAACGTCGTCAGTACAGCCTCCGTAGGTCTCGCCATCGCCATCAACGTGAGCCTCGGTGCCGGCTTCGGGCAGATTGGAGGCATCTGGATCTACAAGGACTCGGAAAAGCTAAAGGGGTATCCGTCGGGCCATTGGACGAATGCGGCCATGATGCTGGTCGTGGCCATTGGGTCGCTTGGGTTGAGGATATATTACGGCGCCGTGAACAGGCGTTTGCTCAGGGAGGCTGCTGTCACAGGCCAGGAGGTGAGGCTGTATAAGCTTTAGGATGGGTTTGGGGGTTTGGGGGTTTTCGGGGTATCTCGAGTTTCACCTGGAAACACCCATGGGATAAGGTGCGGCCGTGGTCATGATTAATGAGGCAGACGTAAGATGTAATAAAACAGAGATACGTTCATAGTTTATCTTTCGGAGGAACATTGATTGCGAGGATTGGGTGGTAGTGGCTGCGCAATCAGTCAATAGGCACAAGTGTAGGCGAACGCTGTGCAAATATGGGGAGCTCAAGCGAGATCAATGCGAGGGGAAGTCGAAGCGTGCGGGGGAGCTCTCTCATCAACCATCTATTCTTGGGGTCGGCCGCTGGCTATAAGATACGCTGCTATCTCGGCTAAGTCGTCCGTGTAGTGCAGCAATGTACGCATAGAAAGTGCTGATTCGATCCAGTTTATGGGCCCCCGCCTCCGGAGGCCGGTAATAGTAGCCGGTCGGGGGTGGGAGAGAGGGGAAAAGAGAGGCGACTGTGCCAAGATATATTAATCCATCAAATCCCGACGTTTCCATAGGACCCTGGGCAACCCTTTATTTCCCGTGGGCCCCAATCTCATGCCCATTCGCTCTGTTCAAAAACAGCATACATGTATGCAATGGAGCTTTTGCAATTCGCCCTCCTCTCTTCGTTGATTGTCCAGGCGGTGAGCGGTGTCGAGGTGCGCCAAAGCTGTAATCGCTCCACGTTTGAGCCACTCCTTGAGGAAGGCCAATCAATCGAGAACATCGATGTCGTGAATAAGGGCGGGAGCTATGGCGAGGGCGACGAGAACTTGGGGTTCCCTAAAGCGCCGCCGGCTTACCGGAGCTGTGCGCTGTGACGGTGCGCGTGATCTCGTCGCCCAAGTCGGCCTACCGCTTCGGTATCTTCTTACCGACGGAGTGGAATTCGCGGTTTCTGACGGTGGGTAATGGTGGTTTTGCTGGCGGCATTAACTGGCTGGACATGGGCCCAGGTAAGAACAGCGAATAGTCGTCGCGTTCTTTTCTCTCCTGGCCGCATCCATCGATGCGTGCTGTGCTATGCACGACCGCTCACACAAAAGTATAGGTTCCAACTATGGCTTCGCAACCATATCCACCGACACGGGCCACAACTCCAACTCATCCGACCTAGCCTGGGCGCTAGGAAACGAGCAGATGCGCATCGACTGGGGCTGGCGCGCCATCCACGGCAGCGTCACGCTCGGCAAGGAATTTGTCCGGGCCTACTACGGAGAAGGGTCCAGCTACTCGTACTACAGCGGATGCTCGACCGGGGGCCGCCAGGGCCTGCGCGAGATACAGGAATTCCCCGACAGCTTCGACGGGGCGATGATCGGGGCGCCGGCGTGGGACCCGACGCTCATGAACTCGTACGTGACGCAGGTGGGCATGTACAACCTGCCCGCCGACGACCCCAAACACATCAAGAAGGAGATGCTCGAGGTCATCGCCGCCGAGGCCGTCAAGCAGTGCGACCCGCTCGATGGGGTGCAGGACGGCATCATTAGCGCGCCGGAGCTGTGTGACGTCGACTACACGGCGCTCTCGTGCGACCGCAAGGATATCGCGCCCGACAGGTGTCTGACGGGGCACCAGATCCACACGATTAACAAGATGTACGGGGATTTCTACTCTCCCGTGGCGCGTTCGTGTGGACGGGCTATGACCACGGGTCCGAGGTGCAGTGGGCGACCGTCATCGGGGCCGATAAGCCGTCGGCGTTTGGCTACGAGTTCCAGCGCTACTTTGTCTACGACGATCCGGATTGGCCGTGGGAAGGGTTCAACTTTTCGGTGCTGGAGGAGACGGTGCGCCGGAATCCCGGGCAGGCGCGCGCCGCGAGGTACGACTTGTCCGATTTCAAGGCGCGCGGCGGCAAGGTGGCGCTCTACCACGGCATGGCGGACGGTCTGATCCCCACGCGCTCCTCCAAGCTGTACTACGACCGTGTGTCCGAGGCTATGGGGGTCCGCCTACCGACTTCTTCCGCTACTTCCCCGTTCCCGGCATGCAGCACTGTTGGACTACCGTCGTGGACGCGCCGTGGCACTTTGCCGGTGCTTTCCAGGCCGGGGCCGTCGGCAACGAGACGTGGTCCGTTCCGGGGTTCAGCGATCCGCAGCACGATATGCTCCTCGCCTTGATGGATTGGGTGGAGAAGGATACCCCCATCGATTCGGTCATCGCCACCACGTGGGAGACGGCCAACGACACTTCCTCGGGCGTGCTACGGCAGCGGCCTATTTGCGCGTTTCCCGAAAAGGCGGTGCATGACGGCAAGGGAAACATTAATGATGCATCGAGCTGGAGGTGTGGAGAAGAGGATGATAGTGCGGCTCTGGGTCAGTCAGCGACGCTATCTAAGTGGGCGAGCGTGGGTGTTGCGGCGGTCCTTGGGGCTTGGGTGCTGTGGGCATGACTCGCTGCTGGGGGCGGGAGGAGATAGGAAACTTGGTAATAGTGCTCGATGATTCAGTTCTAATGGAAATCCCAACCCGTTGTGGTCTTCGTGCTGTTTAATGGAAGAAGCGCTTTTTATGCACTCCTACCTACGCATCTTACGCATAATCTATGCGTCGTAGGACTGATGTGAACCTCGCCTGGATATGGAAATAATCATTCTTTTCTACAGAGAAACTCGTGCTTTGATTAGTCCTGCCCTGCGTAGTGAAAGTCTAGATGAGACTACTGTAGGTTTCTTTGGGACTGCCGTCCTGGACAAGATCCGAAACCGCCAGATGGAAACCGTCTCGACATAGTGGACCCTTGCTAGGTGGCGTAGGTTCCAACATCTATAAGTGCCAGCAGAGATATACGGTACATTTAATTTCTGCTTGAGAACCCATCGGTGTTTTAGTGCGGTCCTATAGCCCGGTACCTGGTCGTGAGACACGAGAGCTAGACACCAATTACGTGTAAGAGAAAACGCCACGCGCGATACCCCAACTCGCCCATACAACCTGGGAGACGAAAGCGTCGGTCTGCCATGCTAACGTCAACCAGGATTTGACGGTAGTGTGGGCTAGCATGTTATTTAGGGAGAAGAAGGTTACGTTTGACGTGGAGGAAGCATGTAAAGAGGTATCCTTCGTGTTATACGCTTGCACTTGGCGTTGGTGTTCTAGGATCTCGCCTGCATCTCGTTCAGAGCGGATTCTAGATGCTTGAGGTCTCCCTGCTTGTATCTATGGGTCTATCGATGTTGGTGAGCGTAGCATGAAGTGAACGGCATCCCAATCAGCGCCAAGGCTCACAATCTCGAAATGAGTGTATTTCGGGTCACGGCATGCGAGCTGACTGCCTACTTCGTGAGGTAAAAGCTCAAGACCTACAGAGGAGGAGCAATTCGATGTTTCGGATATGGCAAAAGAAATTGAAGCAAAGGCGGTCTCTCCTCGCCGAGTCCTCGAGGCCAAAAGAAGATGTAGGCAGTGTGAGCATGCAAGCAGACGGATAACGCACTCTTCATGAAACCTCGAGGATCTCTGATGGCGTTGACCTCTGTGCGCATTTAGTGTTCTGTAGAGACTTCTAGAAGACGTAGAACGAGCTCTATATTGCGTGCAAAGAACAAAACGCCTGCTTCCATCTTTTCCTCTTCCCTTTGCCTGTGCAGAATTACCCGTGGCGAACCACTTCCGCATGTGGGGGTCGTCTGGATCTGGCTAAGTTGGGTCGTAGTATTAACCGAATATCCATACTTGTCAAATTGAAGGGACGCGTGTTCATAAAGTCCACCAAAGAGCAGAATGTTGCTAATGGGCGACGCATTCAAGAGTAGATAATTACTAGATATTCCATAGAAAAAGAACGGGGATTAAGATGGACGGGCATTAGTTCCTTTGTCTATCTGACTCTCCTGCCCTTGGACGATGGTCAAAATTGCACTCGAAAATTGACGGCAGAAAGATTCTTTGGGGGATTTCCTCTCATCGAAAAGAATCCTGGCGTAAGACGGCTCTTTCAAGACAGTTGGGGATCTAGATTTTCGATATTCTATATGCTGTATGGTATTGATTAAGAGATCGCCCTGGCTAAAATACCCGGGCTAAAAGCCTACACAATCCTCCCCGCTTGGCGGAATCCAGATTTCCTTTGTGTATCTGAGCAGCCGCTTAACGGCCTCTTTGTCTCTCGCAATCTGACCCGAGCTTGCAGCAGGACAATTGAACTGACAGCAGATCGTCTCCAACTTACCGGGATCGCCCAACCCACGCCCGCATCCGTCATCAATCAAGGCCTTCTCTGGTCTAGGACTTGGCATCTGCCCTTTTATGCCCTCGTTTCCGCGCCCTTCGCTTTCCTTTTTGGCTTTTGTCCTTCCTGGAAGCCCCGTTCAGCCTGCAAAGCGCCCTGTAAGCCAGACGGCTAATGCCCATGCAAAAGGAAGGAAAACGGGTAGGTAGGGTAAGAGGCCGCGAAATATAAGCTCACCCCGATGACGCGTGTTGGGTTCTTATTCTTTGGATCCGCCTCCAGATGCGGGCAGCCCTCCCCCTCTACCGGAAACAGCTTGCGTACCTCCGCATCCGCCGCACTCAAAAGAAAACTGGGTGCCGAGAACAACCAAGGCTCTTACGCCCATCCCGCGCGGGTGGGGCCCCATCAACCTCGATCGGGGTATGAGCTACAGGGCACCGTTCGATTTTGGGGTAAGATGGTGGGGGGGGGGGGAGAGGTTAAACTCGAAAAAGTTGGAGACGGAGGGCTCAAGGGTAGTACTGTTATCTTCTTCTTTTCCTCTCTCCCGTCCAAATCCCAGCGTCCCCCGCTCTCTTTCGTGATCGAACGGCTCGACTGTGGGGCGAGCATCTCCGGCTCTGGCAGTGTGTAAGAGGCAGGCAGATCGACGTGAAAAAGCCTGCGTCACTCCCGGGTCCCACATGGTGAAGACAACTACCGGCAAAGAAATCTAGAAAAGTTGCATGCGTGCGTTGCTTACGACGCATGGAAACAAGCTGCAAACAAAGGCCCCATTGATGCACATCGTGGTCCCACGAGAAATCCGTCAATCTATATGTCCTAACATCAAAGACGTGCTCGACCTGCCGCGTTCCTTCTTCCATCGACCCCAGTTAGTTTTGTTCTCTTTCGTTTCCTTTTTGCCCACGCCTTGGTATCACACAACTCACGGCTAAAAGGGGAAGCGAAGGAGGAGCACCATTCACCGGCCGCGGGGAGGAAGCAAAGAGAAAGAGACAAATGCTCGGGGGCCCGTCCTGAAAATAGCTGCGGATCTGCAGAGCCTCCAATACATACCCGGCCGCTCCCGCCGCTGCTTTTTCCATTCCATTGCGCTCGCGCTGACGCCAATCCTTTCCCCGGCTCATGCTCTACCCCGTCCCTTCCATCTTGGCAACCACGCGCAGGGCGGATATTGGATTGCATTTTTCGTGCGATATTAGGCCTTTCTCTCCACCTTGGCCGGGCTGCAGCTAGAACTGGTCAAGGCGGACGCTGCATGCTCTTCTCTTTCTATTTCGCGAATGAGAGCGCGCGCGCCATGCACATTTGGCTTATTTGAAGACTTTCATTCCTTCCTTCTAGCCGTGCAGAGTATAGGACGCTCCACAGTCATCGTTGGAGATCACGAAATCTAGCCCAGGCGATCATCGGCATGTGGAGAGGGTTCATGACGGGTCTAAAATGAGAACGCGCCCACCTTGATCATCATACGCCAAACCGCGCAGTCGCATTCCACTCCTACACTGCAGCTACGAGTCCTCCATCTCCAAGACCTAGATCTATTCCCGAGAGGTCCCTTATTCACAACATCGTTCACCATGGTATCCATACTCCTACCTCTCTACATCTATCCCACAGCAGGGTCATGGGAGCCCCTGCTGTCCGTGGCGCAAAGCCACCCCGGCATCTCCTTCACCGTCGTCGTCAACCCCAACAACGGACCCGGTACCACGCCTCTACCGGACGACAACTACGTCGAGGCCCTCGCGAGCTTCAAGTCCCTTCCCAACGTACACCTGATAGGCTACGTCTGCTGCTACTACGGCGACCGCGACACCGACCTCATCGAGGACGACATCTACATCTACAGCCAATGGGAGTCCGAGCTCGCCACCCTCGGCCAGACCGGCGTGTCCGTCGACGGCATCTTCTTCGACGAGGTGCCCGCCGAGGTCGAGTACGTCGAGTTCATGGGCAACATATCCACCTACGCCCGCCGCGCCTGGGCCCCCAGGGCGGCTCCACCGTCATCTTCAACCCGGGCGTCATCGTCGACGAGGCCTTTTACAGCCAAGCCGACCTCGTCGTCGCCTTTGAGGACACAGAGCTCAACCTCGACGATTTTCTCGAGGCCTCGGATGATCTGTCGGCCCAGAACCGCGCCAAGTCCGCGGCTATTGTCCACACGTACCAGGGCACGGCGGAGGGTTTGGCCGACCTGGTCGACGAGATACGGGAGGCTGGGCTGGGCGGCGTGTTCGTCACGGACCAGACGGGCGGGGTGTATAATGAGTGGCCGGACTGGTGGGATTCGCTGATTGAGATTGTGCGCGTGTTTCCCGATACAGTGGCGACGAAGCTGAAGACGCTCAAGTAAAAGGAAAAAGAGAAAAGCAAAAACAGCAAAAGTGTTTGATCTGGTTCTTTGGCACGTGTACTTTTTCCCTCCGGCCTTTTTATGCGGTTCTCTTTCCCGTTTGATGTTCCTGGCCAGGTTTGCTTGAATAGTTCCCGTTCAGGTTTGTTGTTCTATAGACCGATTGTCGAGTGATTGACCTTTGTTAGCTTCAATTGTATATAATATCAGCACTAATGAAATACATATGCCATAACAATAAAGGGCACGAGACATCCCATCTTCCCATTGTTAGGTGAAGCCCATGGAGTTGTTTTGGTCGAGGTCTTGGACTAGATATTGTTGACCAGGCTTGGCAGGCGGGTGATGGGATAGGATCAAAGGGCGCATGGTTAAGATTGGGCTTGCCGTAGAGGCTATAGATGAGAATGACGCGAGGAATCTGCAAAAGCGGTCGGGCCACGATGGGTCACAGAGACGGAAAATGGAGGCATGCTTTCTGGACTGAACGAATGTATAGGCGGCCGTCACCACCTAGCATTCGAATAACCTGACCAAGGCCCGAGCTGAGGCTGCAAAGGCGGGCGGTGCTACGACGAGAGGAATGATAAAAGAGCAACAATATAGCAGCACGTATAGGCGCAGACATCCAATACATATACCATCTGTGCTGCTGGTCGGCCGTCTGAGAATCCTTGACGTGGAAGTTACCAATGGCGGCGCTCGATAGCCGAGAACCGAGTCGCGGACCGCTTCATAAACACTCCGATGTGCGAGGGTGTCACGCATCTCTGTTATGATATGGAGAGGGGGCCGCCACAAGGCTCGCAGGATGGTATCAGAAAGTCAAAGGTGCATCTCGGGAATTCGATAGGTCTACAGGAAGCAGAGGAGGGCAGATGCGTCATCGGCCTCTGCTAGGACGGGGTGGCTGTGGCGGGCCGTGGCTACACAAGGCTAGCTTCTGACCACCATCCAGCTACGCATACATATACGACGCGGAATCTCAAGAGGAAGACATTTTAAACGATCAATCTATGCAATAATCCTTGCATATAGAGAAGGCGGGGAAGAGGCCAGCACTGCAACGTTGTCTTTGATCTTGCGGGTGGTTCGCCCTGGCACTGGTTTACGATTCGTCTTTGTTCTTGCCTTCTCTTCCTCTATCGACGCGATGGAGTGGATTGGAATGGCCGATTTGAAGGGGTCCGAAATTCCTTTGGGGAGGGATGGGTGGCTGGTGCCGGAGAGCCGTTCACCTCCGTCCGGGGCCGCGTACTGGTCGGGGCCGTGAGGAAAGGATCGGCGGTCATGATCTAGTCTAACCAAATCTGGAGTGTGGTCTCTCGACCATTCGCTCTTTTTGTTACACCGTCTTGCAGGCTTGCCTTTATGGGGAGAATGTTCAAAGAGCAAGGAAAAAGGGAAAAAGAAATGCAGGAGAGGAACACCCTCGATGGATTGGTAGAGATGGCCTGCGAAAAGCCAGCAAATTGGTAACATTCACAATGTACATGTGCGATCTACAAGACGAGTCAATCCCATTTATTACGAATGGATTTAAATGGATCCGCTGGATTAGTTTTTGCCCTTGCGACCCGTGTGCATAGCTGAATGAGAGAATGAGAGAGAGAAGAGAGAGCGAGCCGAGTCCCGACACTGGCATGGCTCGATTGTGAAGACATGTACTCTCCAGATTGACGCCTCCATGGAATAATCTCGCCGAGTAGATTAAACCGCAAAGCCTGCTTCCTCGCCCCAGTTCGACCGTGGTCTCTGCTACACGTACAAAGGCACACGCGCACACAAAAGAACGGGCCAAGCGTCCCCAGCGGCCAGTTCGGGTCCGGATGTAATCTATCTGCTGGCCCAGCCCAATTAAACACTCATTCTCCCGGGAGGATCGCTGGGTTCACGGCCCAATGGGCGAGCGCGGGACTCGGGGAACCGTTCCTTTAGGCGAGACCTGCAGCCCGTCGTATTCCCGCTTCGTGGAATTTTCGATGTTGGCGCTGTATGCTATGCCTCGTCGACCTGTGCACTTTCGAGAGACTTGCGCTTATGCTTCCCATGTCTTTTTCTTTTTCTTTTCTTTTTCGGGTTGTCTTTCCGGGCGGGCGCGGAGCCATCCTCCACTGTATGTGCCTTGCTGGCTTCTTTTCTTTTTCTTTTTTTTTTGTCGCTCCCAGGCGCAACTGAGGCTTTGCGGAGAATTTCCCCTGTCGCGAGCACGTACATCAAGCATCCTCCCCACGCTCGATCTCGCTGTCTCAGATCGAAGGAAAGCGTGCGGCCGTCAAGAAGCATCGCAACGACAAAGGTGCGACGCCTCGTCTCGTGCCATCGACGCAACGCTTGTAGTCGTAAATCACTTGGTGGCTTCCCTTTTCTTTTTATTTCTTTTTTCGTCGTTCCTTCTCGGCCTCTTTTCCCCTTCATTCGCTTCGCCTTTCCCAGGTCTCCCCTCTGGGTCGTGGACACATCTTAGCCGTAGCGACATCAGCAAAACCGAACACGCATTTCTCGGTTCGGCTCATCCTTTTATCGTGGTATGCCTTTGCCCCCGGATGAGCCCATGCGCCAAGAATCCAGCGACCGAGACAATATCAATTCGTAGGGTTCCATACCCGCGCGCGAGGGGGCCACATTGAAGCTCATTTTCTGCGTTCTTTTTTGTATTACTCCGAAAGCTCCCTTGTCCTTTAAACCGCACGTTGGGTTCCCCCTTTTACTTTTTCTGCAGTTTTATCTCACGCTAGCTATTCCCTCTTTTTTTACGTTCTTACCCTTACCGTCCCCTCCCTTTCCTTAGTGCGGTCAATTACTCCAGGATCCTCCTTCTGTGTGTGTGGGTGTCCTGTGGACTCGGTGCCTTGCACGCCCGTCGTCATCTGCTTTTTGTGTTCCTTGCACCTTTTCCTGCCTCCGACCTTGCATTTGCATTGCATGCTACCTGCGCGGAACCAGCCTGCCGATTAGATTCGTTCAGCTGCCGTATACGCCGAGCGCCGCCACATCTCATCCCGTATCCGCCTAGACTCGTCCCTTTTCTCTTTGGTATATCTTTCGTCATTGCCTGCTCGAAAAGGATGTAATCGCGGACCAGGAAATCTCTTCAAACTTCCGCGCGTGAGCTTTTGCATCTCTAGCCTCCGCGCCATCTTTCCTCTTCTACCCTCTCCCCTCCTCTCCCTTGTCAGCATCCTCGGCTGAACGTCCACTATTCTTTCCCTACATCCTCACTCCTCCTCACCTTCGATACCCCTCAGCCTCACACTTTTCTTTTCTTCTTTCCCCATAGAGCTGTGTCTATCCCCTTTTGATACCCAATGCGCCTCAGGCAGCTCTTCCCCGGAGCGGCGCTCCTCGCCCTCCAGGCCGCCCTAGCCAGCGCCCTCAGCACCTCCAGCACCGTCCTCATCTTTGCCAGGGACGAAGACTCCGGCAAGTCGGGCTCCTACGGCCTCCGCGGGTACGGCATCCCCTACGAGATCGTCATCGTCCCCGTCGAGGGCGTCGAGCTCCCGAGCTGCGAACCTCGGACACCGAGGGCATATATGGCGGCTTCATCGTCCTAAGCGAGGTCGGCTACGACTACGAGAACCAGTGGCGGAGCGCCCTCACCGACGAGCAGTGGCAGGTGCTCTATGATTACCAAGGACAGTTTGGCGTGAGAATGGTGCGGTTGGATGTATTCCCGAGCGCCGCTTTTGGTACGTTGCAGCCAGAGAGTTTCTTCGTGCCACCTTGAACCACCATTGCCCTTGCGCAGGGTGTATGGGGGTTTTGGTGGTGGGTGGAACTGGGATCCGAAAAGGCCGCTCGCTGACTCCGGGTAAACGTGAACAGGTACCAAGACACAACACCCGGTGGGAGGTGGCTGCTGCGAAGAAGGCCAGGACCAACTCGTTAGCATCACCAACAGTACCGCCTTCCCCACAGCTAACCTTAAGACGTAAGTAACTTTTTTTTTTTTTTTTTTGGTGGTTTGCGTCCTCCCGCTCTGGACGGGAAGGTCCTTCTCATCCCTTGACCCTCGTCCTATGCAGATATCAGTTTCGTGAGCATGACTGACAAAATCCCCTAGCGACCAAGCTGTGAGCCTCCAAGGCATCTGGCACTACCCCGCCATCATCACCGACGACTCCATCGCCTGGGAGGTCGCAGGCTTTGGCCCCGCCGGCGAGTTCTTCGAGGAGCCCAGCACCGCCGCCATCATCAACCGCATCGACAACCATGAGCAAATGGTCTTTTTCATGGGCTGGGCCACCGATTGGGCCCTGGTCTCCAACTACCTGCAGCATGCCTACATCCACTGGATGACGCGCGGTCTCTGTAAGTCGGGAATATTTCCTTCCTCTCCCAGCCGCTTAACCTAGTGACCAGCGATCACTAATACCCTCTTCTTCCTCCTTCGCGCAGTCTCGGGAAATCGTAAGACGTACCTCAGCACCCAAGTCGACGACGTGCACCTCGACACCCCGCTCTTCCAAGTCGACGGCGAGGGCCCCGAGTTCCGCATCATCACCGACGACCTCGACGCCCACAAGACGTGGCAGGCCGGCCTCAACACGCGCCTGCCCGCGGGCTCCGACTACTTCATGGAAATGTGCCACAACGGCAACGGCGACATCATCGTGGCCACCGACGACGACTTCGGCTGGGAGATTTGCGACCCCAACGAGGCCATCGACTACGAGTCCCCGCCCGATACCGATCTCGAGTTCATGAAGCCCCTTGGTACCGGCACTAGCCTGTGGCCCCCGACGCTCTTCGAATACCCGTGGTCGCTCGAGTGCTGCCAGGTCGACCCCCTCGCCTCGTGGTTCATGGTCCCCGAGAACCGTGACGCGTATGCCCACGTCTCCCATACTTTTACCCATCTCGAGCTCAACAACGCGACGTACGATGATGCGTGGCGCGAGATTGCTTTCAATAGAGAGTGGCTCAACCAGGTCGGAATCGCTAATGGCTTGCGCTTCTCTCCTTCCGGCATCGTACCTCCGGCTATTACCGGCTTGCATAACGGCGACGTTATCCGCGCTTGGTTGGACAATGATATCCGACATGTGGTGGGGGACAACACGCGCCCCGCTCTTCGTAACAAGGTAAGTAGCTAGTTGCGAGAGGAAAAGGCTGGGGATAGTTGGTACTACCGTTGAACTCTGCCACTTACACCACTTTCTTCTTAGGACAGCACTTTTTGGCCCAAAATCTCAAACGAGGAGGATAACGGCTTCCCCGGCCTCGTCATCATTCCACGGTGGGGTAAGTGTCCACAGACATTGGCAAATCCTTGACCAGGGAAAGAAAACCAGCTAATATTGTATCGCAGCTACCAACATCTACTATAACTGCGCCTCTCCCGAGTGCACCGTAAACCAATGGAAGCACACCACCACCATTGGCGACGACGTCACCTTCGAGGACCTTATCCACAACGAGGTCCGCACGAACGTCCGCTACCTTCTGGGCTTGCAGCACGATCCGTAAGTTGGCCCCTGGTCTAGCACTGTCCGAACGCAGGGCTTTTCTTCTTCTACGGTGTGGAACGCAAGTCTAACATCCTTATAGTTACATGTTCCACCAGGCCAACATGCACCAAAGTGGCGTGGAGGAGGTGACCATCGGCGACCAGAGCGGTACCTTTTCCCTCCTTCAGATCTGGGTAGAGCACGTCACGCAGGAATTCACGCGTTTGTAAGTTGGCTCACAGCGCCAGAGTTGTCTTCCAATTCAATATTTCGGCGAACAATTAACTGACCTGGACATTTCAGGACCAACTGGCCTGTCCTCACCTTGAAGCATGACGATATCGCGCAGCTATTCGTTGACCGTATGGCGAGAGAGTAAGCCTTGACCCCATCCTCGTTGCTGTTTTCATTACCGTGTGAGCTAACCAAGTACCATCAAACAGTCAATGTACCCCCAACCTGTCCTATAACTACTCCGAAGATGGTCTCTTCATCACCAGCGTGACAGTTACCACTACCGATAACACCTGCGACGTTCCGGTCCCTGTCACCTTCCCCGGAAGCGTCGAATCCACCGACGGTGTCGGGTCGGAGGACAAGGTAGGGGATGAGCCACTAATTGTGTGGGTCACGATGGAGGGATCACCCGTCACCTTCACTCTCGCCGAGCCCGTGTCCCTGTGGTAAGGCTTTAGAAAGGGCGAAGAGTACGTCCGGGCTTGTTACATTTAATGTCTATGAGATCTTTTTGTTTCGCTTCATCCACGCATTTGGCAGCCTAGAGGCTATAATGATGGCATTTTTCATCTTTCTTTCTCTTTTTCCTTGAGATCATGGGGCATCCCCGCCAAGTAACATGTTAAATATAAACTTGAGTTGTTATGTATATACGGATAAGTTGTACCGCTGGTCCAATGGAGCATGAGGCAATTTTGAGGTTATGGCCACGGAAGAGTTCGTGATATTCTCATCAAGGGTCAGTCACGACAACAGCACGTTTGGATTCAGCCAGATAGATCCATGTATTCGATTTGTCAATTGGACAAACCGTCTTATTACTATCATGGCTAAGCATCTAGGACGCTTTTTGTATTTTCATCAATACACTCAGATTGTCAATTGGACAAGCTGTTTCCTAATGGAAGGGGAATCTATGCTATCATGATTATAGAGCCAACGTTCATGCGCTTCGAGACGAAAAAGAAAAGAAAAATAGCCCACAAATTCACAAACCATGAAGAAGGGGAAGGGAAAGCATCGTAAATAAGAAGAGTAAAGTAGACACTGCAAGGTCTCTTTTATGCGCATACCTCGGAAACAGAAGGCACCTCCTCGCATCCGACCGTATCGCAGAGCACATCACACGTCACTCCCTCGGCGACCCAGACAAAGTTTTGGATGCCCCGAATCGGGATCCTCCAGTTCTTGGTCGAGTCGGTTCCGTAGGCGCTCTTATAGCCGGGACGGCAGGCGCAGTAGGAGCGGGGAGCGGAACTGAGGAGAGGAGCGGGATACACGCAAGTTTGGGAAGTGCTGATGTGGCATTGGTTGTTGTGAGGGTTGCATGTAGCCGGGCAGCCGGTGGTATCGACGGGCTTGTCACCAGGCTTGTCACCAGGCTTGTCACCAGGTTTATCACCAGGCTTGTCACCAGGCTTGTCCCCGGGCTTGTCACCAGGCTTATCACCAGGCTTGTCTCCGGGCTTGTCACCAGGCTTATCACCAGGCTTCTCGCCGGGCTTGTCGCCGGGCTTGTCGCCGGGGCAGGTAGGCGGCGCAGGGCACGAGCAAGTGCCTGTTCCAGGAGCATCTACGTCGGGGACACGGATAGCCGGCGGCGCACGCTCAAGACAATCCGTGGAGCCGGCAGAGGGAGGCTCGAAGGGGTCAATGGGGGCAGAGGGTTACGTTGATCGATGGGGAGTACGGGGTACTCGGGGTACATGGGATCGGGCGAGTCGTCAAGGCTGATGTCGACAATGTTTTCGTTGTTGCGCTCGCACTCGACGTTATCCTCGAGAAGCAGCTCGAGCAAATCACCGGGCAGGGGTGCTCAATGGTGGCACGGCTCTGGATGGGGTTGACGATGCAGTCGGCCTGGTTCTTGATACCGCGGCGGACGCCGAGGAAGCGGGCGTAGATTCTAGCCTTTTGGCCGGTGGTGAAGCCGAAGCCATCTTCACCCTTGATGCTGGAGTACTGAAGAATATGGCAAAAGGCCAGAGGTCAGCACAAATTGGCTTGGACGGCTGCATTGGGGAGGGAAGGGAAGCAAGCCGGCTGGTTGAACGGGAAGAATGACTCACACTCATAAAGTTATACTGCAGGACCGCGCCCCTCTCGCCGCAGGGTGCTTGCAAGTTATCAAAGATATCGGGACGGTAGGCCGGGAACATCTTGGTGTCCTGGATAAGATCGGTATCGGGATTCTGGGTGCACGAAGTATCATCGGCCTTGGACTCGTCAAAGACGTGGCGTAGGCCCAGCCAGTGGCCGATTTCGTGGGCAAGGTTGGACCCTTCGTGGCGCAGGTCGACGCCGGCGCCGGGGAGGGTATCCCTAACCATGACGACGCCGTCGAAGCTGCGCTCGTAGGCGTTGAGGGTGGCGTCGGGGAACATGGCATACTAGTAGGCAGCAGTTAGTTCGGTCACGTACTACATATAGGGCTTCCTCTAGATTATGCGCTCGGCATCTCATCTTCTAAGCAGGGCTGATGCTTGGTGAAACTTACGCCGATGGTGGACTCCCCAGGGGTGTCACCGGGAACATCTTCCGTGATCCAGACATTCAGGTCGGCGTAGGTGCCGGACCTGGAGAAGCGGCGGTGGGCATGCTTCTGGTTAAACTTGGATGTGGCGAAATTCGCGTTGACGCGGTAGTTGACGTCCCTTTGGACAAAGCTGATATCGAGCTTTCCGTAAACCTTGTTGAGGTATGCCGTCTGTTCACTAGGGTTAGCCTCTCCTTCTACATTGGCTGGACTTGAGACCCCTCTGGGGACTCTCTTTGTCTCTTCCTCCTAGGCCGCGCGGTGAGTAAGGGTTTCCATACCTGGTTCCTAATCTGCTGGTGGGTGACCTTGCTGAAATCGCTCTCCTTGGAGACAATGACATGGTAATAGATGTTGATGCTCAGCTTCGTCGCCGCGCAGTAGTTTTTGTACACGGGCGGCTTAGGAGGCTTCCCGAGGACCGCGTCAATGGCGTTGTTCAGGTAATTCCTCAGCTTGCGGAAAGGATTCCCGAATCTCCGCACGATCCTGGTGGTGCCGGCCGGGAGGCGCGGTGTCGTCGGTAGGGGTAAGGCAGCTGGAAACGACGACGGGATCGTCCTTGACGGGGGCCAACTGCTTGAAGAACTCGAAATACTCGATCTCGAGGGCGTTGACGTGCTCAGAAAAGTTGGTGAGGTAGGGCGGCGCGACGAACTGGGTGCCCTCGTAGTAATCGTGGATGTTGAGGGAGTAGTCGGAGCCCACGGCGGCTTCGCCGACGGCGAAGAAGAGCGGACCCAGCGACAGCGCGGGAGCGCCGCCGCGAGGGTCTGGCGGAGAATTCCTCGCATGGTTTCTCTGTGTGAGGGACAGAAATTTGTCTGGTTCGTTGCCCTTGCGTGGTCGTACGGCAGACGTGGCTAGCAAAGGCGCTCGTCAACACATGAAAGGCGAGAGGCAAGAGAGGAAAGAGGGAAACAAGATGCAAACGGCGAAAAAGAGCGTGCGTATTGCAAGGTATTATGACTTCTTTACCTCTCTCCCGTAGATGGAAAGGAACCACACGCTACGACGATTTGCTTTGCTAATGGAAATGCAGTAGCGGGCTCATTGGGTTGAACCGAACCCTGAGTCCCCTTTTGTTTTTGGGGTCCGGGCTGGCCTCCATCAAGGGAGGAACCACTCCGGAACCAAGCCCGCGCCACGCCCACTGCCATTCGGGAGGGCGCTTTTCAGGCTAGCACCGCATCAATATTTTCCTTCTTCTTCGCCCTGAGAGCCCAAAGACCTGAGTCCAAGGTTTCAAAGAGCGGGGATCACCAAATCATGCATCCCGGCAGACATTAAGACGACGGGGGAGCTAAACAGATTCGGGCGTGTACAGCCTCATCAGATCAATAATGAGACTCTATTCGGACTAGCGCGGCAGTTTAAGCATACGAGGGGCTTCAGCTCCCAACCAATGGTCTGGCTCGAGAGTGTCCGGGGGTCGATGTTTAATGGTCTGGGCAATGCCCTCGCCCTCTCTGCCACTAATGTTACCTCTTCAGCCGCATTCAGCCCAAAAGGTGAAGATCGAACAGAGAATCGCCGCCCGCCAAGGGAGCATTCTGTTTAGGGCGAACGCTGAGACCCAAGCTAATGGGAGGCGCAGGAGGAAGGGAGACTCGAGCTTTCTTTTTCTTTTGCATGTCGTCTCTTTTTTTTTTGAGGGGTTTTATTTCCTTCTTTGATTCCGAAAAGGGTGGAATTCCTCCGCACGCCGCCTTGGCATTGATATCTCAACCTCTGATTCCCCCATTTCCAGACCCCCTTCGCTTTCGCCCAACTTTTGTGATCTGGGTTCTCTCTCTTCCCTTTTCCTTTTTTTCCTTTGGCAAACATTCCGACCCGACCAGCGCATCTATTTTACTAGTTCGATTCCTCTGCAAGCGCCAAGACCGCCTTTGCAGATCGATTTTTCTTTTTCTCTCGTCATCCATCCTTGCAAGTTCTTCGCTTTGCCTGCCTGCTGCTGCGACCTACCTCGACCGAAACCAAGAACGAGAGTCCAAGAAGCCACGATGAAAGCCCCGCCGGCCTTGAGCCTACTGTCGACGACAGCGAGCTTGGTCTCGCTGGCACTACTCCTCGTGATCCCCTCGTCTCCATCACAGCGAGCCCCAACCATGTCCCCTCTCTCGAGTTTTGCACGATAGACGCGTCCGCTACTAAAGTCACCATCGGGGACGACGAGCTCGTCGGCCTGCCGGACGCCAACGACTACTCGCGGCAGAAACAAGTGTACAAGGTGTTCCTGCTCAACTACTGCAGCGGGACGCGGGAGGCAGGATCCCAGGACACCGACATGGACTACTGCTCCGAGACGGGCGAGGAGATTTGGGATCTGCTGGACCCCTGGATCGTGTGGGGAGTCAAGCTCAAGTCGGACGGGAGCGCCAGCTTCGGGTGGCTGGATCGGGGCCCGGATTGGCTGTGGATAGCCTACATTGCCGGCGGCATCTTCGGATCCCTGTCTGTGATATCCGCCTTGGTCCCGGTGCATAGGCTTAGCTTTGCCAAATGGCCCGTCGTAATTGTTGCGTCGGTGAGTGATCTTTTACCAATCTCGGGCTCAATATTTCCCTTTCCTCGCCTGCCCCTCCTCCATTGGTTTCCTTGTTTTGCCTACCCTCGTCCATGTTCCCCATGATCATCCCCCAATCCTTGATGAGTGATCATCATCCTCCGAGCTACCTTGCCGCATGGGGGTTCGCTTATACCAGCCCAATCATCTCGTTCGTTGTGCTAACGCATAGGCTTCCCCTTTCCAGCTGACCGCCATTGTCCAACTGAGCATTGCCATCGCCGCCCAGATCACGTTTGGCACCCTCGTCGCGTCCGCCGACGACGAGGGCGTCTCCATCACTGCCAAGCTCGGTGTCACCGCCTTCATGATCAACTGGATCGCCGCCCTCTCCGCCGTCGTTGCCGCCGCCACCCGCGTCGTGCGCGTGCGGGAGATCAAGAAGGACAACATCCGCACGAAGCACGACGTGGGCCTCCGCGAGTTCCTTGCTGGGACGGGCTCGCACAAGTATACCGAGGTGGAAGGCATGTCGTTGCAGAACCAGCACGTCGATGTGGACAACCCCAGGACGACGCTAGGTAACTTCCAACACGACGTGACCCACCAGGAGTCCAAGTATGAACCGTATAGGCCGGCGCAAACATAAAGGGAGGAAGTAAGCATGCCTCGTGAACCGTGGGAGTTTCTTCATTTTGGATCTGTTTTTACACTCGGATTGAGCGATCTGTTTGTCCCCATTTTCTTTCTCATGTTCTGTACATGTAATGCATTATGCCTTCAAGGGTCGAGCGTCACCAATTGGCGCCCATTGAAAGATTTACGTTAATATCCTGTCCCTTCATTTTTCACAATGTGTGTATTCAATGTTCTTTATGTGGCGTTTTACTCGACACTATCGGTATCTGGTTTGAGCAGAGAGGAACGAGCCAGGTCGAGCTTCGCAAAACAAGACAGTTCTACCGCGTAAACGGTTCTTGACCATTCTCGGGCTTCGGTTTGAACATCCGAAAAAGCGGGTAAGATGGCCGAGCGGTCTAAGGCGCCAGGTTAAGGTTAGCTTAACGAATAATTCCTGGTCCAGGTAACTGGGCGTGAGTTCGAATCTCACTCTTATCACGATTTTTTTGTCTCTCCTCACTCCTTCTACTCTTGTTGGTTTTTATTTTTGCAAATGAGATACGCAAGGGTAGCAAAAGTTCAAGCCTCGCAAAGTTTGCGGGACGCTAGAAGGCAGGGAGGTAGCTTGTCGACGTTGCGGAAAATCGGACAACGGAAGTAGCAAAGTGCATTCAATGTCCACAAGGGCAATTGAAGGCAGCTAGCTGGGCCCGGCTTGAAGGCGATGAGCTGAAAAGTTGCAAGAGCTAGCAAGAGGTGAAATATTCGTCCAGCTACCTTCAAAGAGCTCTCGACACACCATCCCTTCTCTGAGCTATGCCTTTCTTCGCCACCCCATTCACTTGGCCAACCAGATCGCCTCCCTTGAGCAAAAAGCTTGAGAGATGCCAGGTACCATTTGCCACTGACGCAGGGTTCGAGGCAAGCTCTCAAGCTCGAGCTATATGTCCCAAGGGTTGATTGAGCTTCGTACATGCACACGTTGACACATCCCGCTCCGTGTTCGTAGACATCTATGGATCCCATCTCCTTTTTCGTCAACGCCGTCAAGCAGCTGGTTCTGACACGCCACCTCCCAGTCTGTCCCGACGAAAGTGGCCAAAATATTGCTTCCCGTCCGTTACTCCTTTCTAGAGGGTCTCCCCGAGATGTCAAGCCAAGTCGCGGGCCCGCGGAGTGACGAAATCGTATGTCGGCCGAAGTAGATCAGTCTACTATGCGCGAGCGACGGGAAAGAAATGAGATGGCGAGACTCAATCCCGGTCACAGGTTGCAGGATAGACATCAAAGGACCACGAGTGCAGCCTTCGATCTTCACATCGCCAGAAACGCGGATAGTGCTGGCCGAGTCACGGGTATTATGCATTTGCCATGGGAGGAATAAGATCTGCATATCGGTGACCTTGCCCTCGCGAGCCCATCTTTCTTCAAGTTGATCTAGAACAATGACGTCGAGTCTCCGCCCGATTAATGTATCCCGGGGCGGCATCGAGCTCCTCGTCGTAATGCCTGGAACGGACTGGGAATTGGGATCCGCCACTATCGCATAAAGTCGGCTAATTAAGCTGATACTATGCGCCCTCAGCCCTTTTTTTTTTGCAGGTTCTCGCCCTTCATCAATGGCCAGCTCCACCCTGTTACCCAGTTGCGTAGCTGGACGGTTTTCAATTTGACGAAGCCTGCGCCGCCCGGTAAATTAACTTCAAACCGGACCCAGCACCGCGTTTGCCACGTTGGGACCGTCGATCGCTGAGGTTCGTCCGTCGCCCTGTCTGCACGTTGCAAACCCTGCGCCTGTCAATTGACATGTAGGGAGGATCAGCTCCGAAAACCAAAGCCTCTGGGTCGACAGTCGTTTACACGGGCGGGGAAGCTAATCAATTAAGAGGAGAAAAGAAGGAGGAAAATCTATCCTCAAAACACTCCAAACGGCCAAAAGAGCGCTACTCCAATATGGAAAGCCGTATCATCTGTGGTTGCATCGGTCGCGAATACAGCATGGCCGTACCAGAAAATCCAGCTCTGTTGGCGAGGGGGGACCCGGAGACCACGAAAGCGGTACTTTGCAGCCTTCGTCACCATTCCAGTCCTTCCCCGGATTCAATTGATTTTGTGATCGTGCGAACATTGAAGCGATATTGTCCCGCCGCAGAAAGGGTATGCACCCCCGCCGATCGAATATGTCCTCGGGAAGGCGTGTTGTCTTGCAGATCGTTCCCGTACTGGATGGTGCGCTTAATATCTTTTAAACGAGGTCCAGACGATGCCGTCTCGGTAAGAGCACGGAGCGGAGTCGAATGAAGTCAACGGCGAAGCTGATAGCAGCTGGAGCTTGTTATTTTTGTGATATAGTCGACGCGTTTCGGATAATGGATCTTCATTAACTTCACGTACATGGAAGTCATTCCCGGTCGACCAACGACGACCCAATCTCTGAGAATGCTTGGGTATCACATGTTTGAGATTCAACTCGTCTTTGACCAAGATCTTGCTAGATTTTGGACGAGCGAGCAGGTTTTATCCTGTCTCAGGGACTGACAGCTATGGATTCCAGAACAAAACTAGAAGGAATATCAGATATAAAAGGGCCCTGTCCTTCGAGAAAGAATCGACTTATTTTATCTCCATCAACCATCGCTCTCACCTCCCATCGTCACAAACCACCATCCTTCATCCAACTGTCCGCCCCTCTTCCATTCACTACACCCACTTCTCCCTGCTCCAGGACTCTCTAAGACACCACTATGCGCACCATGGGTCACAAGTCTTTCCTCCTCGCCCTCCTCGCGGCCACCAGCGTCCAGGGCAGCGTCATCCGCTACCGCCAAGATGCTCCTACTTCGGCAGTTGAGGAAGTCACCAGCACCGTTGACGCGTCCGCTAGCACCACGGTTGCCATCAGCTCAACCACTTCTGGCGTAGATGTCGAGCCAACTGACGTCCCTTCGGATCCTGAACAGCCAGAGGACCCCGAGGCCCCCGAGGTCCCAGAGGTCCCGGAGGTCCCGGAGGTCCCGGAGGTCCCGGAGGTTCCTGAGCAACCGGAAGACCCTGAAGTGCCCGAAGTCCCGGAGGTCCCGGAAACACCGGAGCAGCCCGAGGTCCCCGGTATGCCTGGTATGCCTGGTATGCCTGGTATGCCTGGTATGCCAGAGATGCCCGGTATGCCAGAGATGCCCGGTATGCCTGGAATGCCGGGGATGCCCGAAATGCCCGGTATGCCTGGAATGCCCGGTATGCCCGGTATGCCTGGCATGCCTGGACAGCCCGAACAACCCCAACAGCCTGAGCAGCCCCAACAACCCGAGCAGCCTCAGCAGCCCGAACAACCCCAGCAGCCTGAACAACCCCAGCAGCCTGAGCAGCCCCAACAACCCGAGCAGCCTCAGCAACCCGAGCAGCCTCAGCAACCCGAGCAGCCTCAGCAGCCTGAACAACCTCAGCAGCCCGAGCAACCTCAACAACCCGAGCAACCCCAGCAGCCTGAGCAACCCCAGCAACCCCAGCAACCCGAACAGCCTCAGCAGCCTGAGCAGCCCCAACAACCCGAACAACCTCAGCAGCCTGAACAACCTCAGCAGCCTGAACAACCTCAACAACCTGAGCAGCCCCAGCAGCCCGAGCAGCCTCAACAACCTGAGCAGCCCCAGCAGCCCGAACAGCCTCAGCAGCCCGAACAACCCCAGCAGCCCGGCGCTGGCGGCTCTGCAGATGTCTACCAACAATGTGGCGGCTTGAACTGGACAGGAGCAACTCAATGCTCCGAGGGAACATGCACCGAGATCAACGAGTACTACCACCAATGTATTCCCAACGGAGCCCCGGGTGGTGACCAGGGTCAGAACCCTCCTCAGCAGCAGCAGTAGATCAAACGATCTGCGCTGGCAGCGAGAGACTGAATACGGGTTCCACGGCGGGAACGGTGGCCTGCGACGTCTCTAAATGTTTTTCTTTGTTCAATTTCCTTTGTTAATAACCTGGAAGGTGTTGTCTATTTCTATTGTCTCAGTTGTCGTCGCTGTAATCTCCTAACGCCTAGTTTTGTTATATCAAGATGATTTCTATGATCTGATTGGCTGTGTCCCCTGTTCACTTGTGACTATCTCCAGTAATAACTCTATCCCCTGTCTTCAACTAGTCCGTGAACAAGGGAGGATTCAAACAAAGCCTCTGTAGACATATCTCGAACTAAATATTAGACTTGTGCACCTTTAAATGGACAACTGCCTGCATATTGATCACCTCAAACCAACACCCACGTCTTATACTATCACCCTTTGTTACACGCCCACTTGATTCAGCGTCCAGACGAGAGACTCGTTCCAGTTTCGATGAGACCGCCGACGATATTCATCAGTAGCTAGCCCCGTCACAACAATCAAATCCAGCATGTGTTGGTCCTGCACAAGCGTAGGAAATTCGAAGCCACCCTTCTTATCGTAGGTGCAGATTGTCCTTTCTTGCTCGTCCTGGAGACCGAATCCGCCGGCACCGCCTAATCCTTTCCACTGTAATGCCGTCGTCGAGGGATGATGAAAGGCGTGGGAATCGTTAAAGGCGCCTTTTCGCTTGAGCTTTAGAGGCTGGCCTCCGAACACGACATCGATCGTGGAGGAAAATTTGTGAATGATGGCCGTGCCGACGACGTCTGCTACGCTGGTGCCTCGGGAAATGGAAAGGTGAGGTTTCGAGGGGTTTCTTTGCACTACGTATAGGGCTCTGCTGTCCTTTCCATCGGTGAGCTGGAAGCTGTTTGTGCCCAGATCCTCAATTACTAGAGCCTGCACAGCTGATGAGGCCATGTTAAGTGTGGTGTAGTCGGTGTATGAGCAGCGTGTAAGATTGCGAACACTATGAACGACTTAGATCTCATCTAATCAGTGCCCATGGGTCTTGGGGATGATTTATATCACTACATCGCACCAACAGCCCGTTTGTCAGGAGAGCCAAGAATTGGATCCTAGCTGCGAGATCAATCAAAGATTGAGCACCGCCACCAACAAGCGGAATATGACGAGGTCTTGCGCCGCAGCAGAGACCTTGGAGAGTTACGGTATATGACCCGCGGGGGTAATTAAATCTTCCTGTAAGTAGAAAAAAGGGAGTTGTGTTTCCACCTCTCTCACGGCCCGTTGTCCTCTGCGCAGCCACAATAACGGTGCTGCGCTACATTGCAGTTTCTTGGCAATTCTTTTGGTCTGTAGGGGCCGATGTTCAAAGGAGAGTAAGAAGATAAAAATCAATCAAGGATAAATCAACGGGCTGCTGCGCCCATTCGTAGCCTCTCCTTTTATTCATTTTGTACATGTGGTATCTACGACACGACCAGACCGGCCAAACTTCCCTCCTCGCGCCAAGCAACCAGAACATCCTCAAATGCGTTCATGCCGTGGCCGTAACCGGCGCCTCGCATAGCCTTCATCCTCCACGGGATCCGACGGAAGGCCGCCCTCGCTATTGATGTAGCTCGGCGTGCAGATGCCAATAGGCGCCATGAGGCCGGAAAAGGCCATGATCAGCCCGGACCAGCCCTCCTCCGCCTCCACAGACGGCTCGACGACGGCAGTGGGCCCGCTGCGCTCGTGAGCCTGCGCCACAATGTACGCAACGTGCTGGGAGAGGACGTTTTGGCCCCAAGCAAAGTTGGGACACGCTCCCGTCTGCGCGGGGCCGGTCAGGAATAAGTTGGGAAACCCGCTGGTGAGCACGCCGTGCAGCGTCGTGGCGCCCTGGGTGGCCCACTTGTCCGCGAGGGTGCGGCCGCCGCGACCCGTAAACACCATGTTGGAGTGGGAGCCGGGCTCGCCGTTATCGGCCATGGGTAGACGGTAGCCGGTGCTCAGGATGAGAACGTCGATGGGGTATTCCTTGTCGCCGACGACGACGCCGGTCTCGGTGGCGCCGGTGACACCCTTTCCTTCGGTATCGACGAGGTGGACGTGCGAGAGGTTGAAGGCGGGGAGGTACTCGTCGTGGAAGGCGGGTCGCTTGCACCAGACGGGATACCACGCCTTGAGACGCTCAGCCACCTCCTTGTCCTTGATGACCTCTTCCACGCGCCGGCGGTTGCCGTCGCTGTAGTTGAAGTCGAGCGCGACCATGGTGGCGATGTGCTGGGGATATCCTCCATGCCCAGGGGCTTCTCCTGGGGGTGCCGACGAGGGTGTAGTAGGCCAGCGCCTTGGTCCAGCCGTCGTCGACGACGTTGACGCCCTCGCGCTGCGCCGTGCAAAACTGGTTGAAATTCCGCGTCCTCTCGCGCTGCCAGCCCTTTTTCGCGGCGATCTTGGCCTCCCACTCCGCCGGGTCCGTCTCGCGCTGGCCGCGCTCGGCAACGGACGACGGCGTGCGCTGGAACACGTACAGCTCGCCCGCCCACTTGGCCAGCTGCGGGACAACCTGGATCGCGGTGGCGCCCGTGCCGATGATGCCGACGCGCTTGCCCTTGAGCTTGTCGAGGGACCAGTCGGAGGGGCTACCGCCCGTGACGCCGTAGTCCCAACGAGCGGCATGGAAGGCCTCGCCGCCGAAGTTTTCAAGCCGCGGGGCATCTTGGGGTGGTTGAGCACGCCGTTGGCGTTGACGAGGAACTGGGAGCGCACGGTGAGGTGGACGTCGCCGCCGCCGTCGGGCCCGCGGTCCTGCCGGAGCTTGGTGACCCAGCGGCGGGCTCCTTCGTCCCAGGTGGAGGCCTCGGCGGCGGTGCGGAAGGAGGCGCGCACGCCCCACTTGTCGGCGATGCGGTCGGCGTGCTCCCGGAGCTCGGTGCCGTACGAGTAGCGGTGCTTGGGCATGTAGCCCGTCTCCTCGAGCAAGGGCATGTAGACGTAGCTTTCGACGTCGCACATGAGGCCCGGATACCGGTTCCAGTACCACGTGCCGCCGAAGCCGCCGGCGACGTCGGCGATTCGGATATCCTTGGCGTCGAAGCCGGCCTGGATCAGCCGTACGGCGTAGAGGAGGCCGCCGTAGCCGGCGCCGAGGATGAGGGCTTTAACTTCGTCGCCGTCGTTGAGGTTGTCGGGGAGGCGTTAAGGGCGTCGTGGTCTACCCAGGGATCGCGGCTGAGGCTGCCCCAGCGGTCGGAGTCGGCGAGTTGGACGTACTGGTTCTTGCCGTCTTCCTTGACTCTCTTGTCCTTTTCCTCGCCGTATTTGGCCATGAGGGCCCCGAGCTCGAGGGCGGGGACAGTCATGATGAAAGCAATGTGTGTGGAGATACGTGTACGGGGTTCTATTCTTTGTTTCGCGGAAGATAGACGTGGCCTCGTGCGTGCCAAGGAACCCTGGCTGCTGGAGAGATTGGGGTCCGAGAAAGACTGGAGGGATTTTAAGACCGAAGAACACTATGGGCGGCGATAAAGAAGTCTACTTATAGCTCCACAGATGCAACTATATACCCGACCCTTCCCCATTGCTCGGGGATCTCTAACGGTCCGCTCCCCGGTGGGCCCCGCGTGTCGAACCCCTGGGGAGGTGGGGGACATCTCACGCACGGTGAGGCGGCACAGCATATGCTCGTTCGTGAGGTGCGCATCGCATTTTGCGCAGGAAGGCGGCCTCTCCTCTTCCGTCTTCTAAGCGCCGTGTATTCCTTCTTTTGGGCCCTCCACCGAGCGGACTGACCAAACACCAATTGTAAGAAAGGGGTTGGTAAAAAAAAAGAATGAAGAAAAAAGACCCAGAGGAAATACCGCGTCATCCTCAAACTCTGCAGTAGACTTTGTGTTTGCTTGCACTTGTTCCTTTTCTCCATGCGCCATGTGCGTCGCGTACCGTTGGTTCGCCACCCGCAGCCAAGATCTGCCCATCCCATCCCATCCCGGTCCGTATTCGTAACTCTGATGCTACAATTAAGCGAATCGAGTCAAAATGAGTCTTGAGCGCAAGAAGTGGGGAATGCTGTTAGCGAGACACATATTAAAAGGATCACATTGAAGCCCAGAAAAAAAAGAAAGGGAATAAAAACAAAACAGCCCCGTAAAGATTGCGGAGAAAGGGGAAGGAGCAGGAAATTCAATGGAGCAGGAGTACGTTGGTGGCTGGTGTCACGGTCAACCGATGGGTCGTTTCAGCGTGGCACAACGTCGCGAGTGGGGGAGGGAAACGACGCGACCCTCTGGTTCGCGGAAACTACGCAGTGAGAGAGGAGATGATCGCCGTTTCGCCGGTGCTCGTGGCTACATGGACTCGGAACCCCTCGTTGACTGACCCCGCAGCACCCTTTCTTTTTACCTCGTAACCCCCTGCCTCGAGGGGATATCTTTGCGATATCCTCAGCTATGCCCATACATGTATGCACGAACGGGCAAGGTCGGCTTGCGCATCCAAGGGAAGAGCGTAAACCAGCAATATAGATAGAGAGGTAGAAAGTCGACCACACATGAAGCTGTTGGCACTGGCAATCGCCCTCAGTAAAACTTACCCAAAAGATGGACAATGCTAATGTCGGAGACGCGATGATGTCGGATGCTCTCGAGACGTTGATCCGGGCGGCCGCGGTGGCGCCCGAGGACGATCGGTCGCGAGCTCTCCGCTTCCTCGTGTTCGTATCCACTTATTGACACTCTAGGTTCACTTCAAATGATCCTTCTCCACCCCAGCGACACTCTCCCGCCCCCGCCCTTGCCCCGTGCCCCAATCCCACGGTCATTGCTTCTGGCTACATGTAGCGCCGGTGCGGTGAAGCATTGCCCACCCTTGGATCAGAGGTTCCCCTCCCCTCGCCTCGCCCGTGCCAGAATGAAGAAAAATTAAATGGGCACGCGGGTTTCGGGGTCTTTGAGTCCTCCGACCCATTTAATGGGGCGGGTTGCCCGTTGCGCGAATCGGCCAACGACGATGCCCTCTCATAGTTGGCTACATGTATTTGAACTGGGCTTCCTCGTCGATCTACAAGGCGCTTTCCCCAAAACACATATCTAAACACCAAACAACCGTGACAGCCCCGTGTGCAATTTCAATCTTAAGCCAAAAATGGCCGAGTCCAAGACGCTTCCCGACTATGACGACCTCCCCTCGGTGAGGGGCATGCCTCGGGGCTGTGCGTGGGGCGTGTTCGACAAGGAAGGCAAGAAGGATTTACTAGGGACATTAAACTTACTTACTCCCGAAGTAGTAAAAAGCGCCGCTGCAGAAATCAAGGACGGCGTATCCATCTCCCTCAAGTAGGCTGCATAACCTTGGTCGGCATCCACGACCCAATTGTGACATACCCCGGGTGCTTGATCCAAGGCCTAACGTGAGATATAGTTTGCCCATCAACCTCCTCGACTCGGTTCCTATCCCCGGCAGGAAAAAGTCGACCCATCGCGTGGCGACCCTCCAGGAGATCGGTCTGTCCACCGGCGAGGGTTTTGACGACGAGCTCGACTTCAACACGCAATGCTGCACCCAGTGGGACTCCCTCGTCCACTGGCAGCATCAGCCTACTGGATTCGCTTACAACGGGATCAAACCCACCAAGGAGGCTCTGTCCGTCACCTCCACCGCCGAGAATGAGATGCCCACCTTGGACCACTGGCACGCGCGTGGCGGATTGGTCGGGCGCGGCGTCTTGATCGACTACAAGGAATACGCGGCGGCCAAGGGCATCAAGTACAACGCAGTCGACGGCTATAGAATTACCGTCGAGGATATCGAAAACGTCGCCAAGCACCAGGGCGTCGAGTTCAAGACGGGTGACATCTTCCTCATCAGGACCGGTTTCGCCGATGCGCTGCTCGAAGAGCACCCCGGGTTGGTCTTTTCGAAGCTCACTGTCGGACTGGTCGGCGTACACGGCTCCGAGGAGGTGGCCAAGTGGTTCTGGAATAAGCATTTTGCTGCCGTCGCTTCAGATACCCCGGCGTTTGAGGCGTTTCCGCCCTTGAAGGAAGACGGCACACCTGACGGGCAGGATGGCCTCGGTAAGTTTCTGACCGGCTCCATCCGGACGAATGTTGGACACTGATTAACTGACGGACTTTAGTTTTGCATCCGTACTTCCTGAGTCTGTTTGGCATGCCCATTGGAGAGTACTTCAACTTGAAGCAGCTGGGAGAATACTGTAAAAAGGTTGGCAGGTACACCTTTATGCTCTCGTCGAGTCCGCTCAACATGCCTGGTCTCGTTGGGTCGCCTCCCAATGCACTGGCCATTTTGTAGATAGGTAATTCTTGACCGCAAAGTTCAAACGGTATGGATAGTGAGAGGGCACCGAGATAGCATATCCGAGCAGGTTTTGATGTAAGGTCCAGGTATCCATGGGCTGGCTGTATGGTAGGGTGTATGGCTTTTCGGACAGAACGGGCGTGAAGAAGGGAAACTGTGAATTGCAAGATTGGAGCTACCAACCATAAAACGTACATGCAATGAATGTCACTGAATCCCGTATCTCATTTTGAAGCGGCTGCCTAAACGCAGGTTACCGTTGCCAGCTGTTGGTGCAACGCGAGGAAACCGACATCCATACATGGATAGATCGCTTAACCCGAAAACGCAAGGGTCGGGGGCGGATGCGGGGTCAACAACGCGATGTCGGTATTTAATCGCCGACGCACGCCTTGTCCGTCCTCTTTCCCCGACGGGACCCCTCCGAGAAAGACTAACCGACGAGAAAAAGTAACCAAGTCCCTCAATCACCATCGTCGTCCTCGCTTAACTCAACTCTCTTGAACCCCTCATTTGTTTCTTTCATAAGCAGCCGCCGCCTTTTTCATCATGGCCACCCTCCATCAGCTCCGATCCATCAACAACCGAATCTCCGGACGCTTGGCCCTTGTCACTGGGGCGAGGTATGGAACCCGGTACACCATGATAATCTGCGCGAATACTAACAGTCGGATCCGGACAGTGGCGGCATCGGCTCGGCCTGCACAAAAGCCCTAGCGGATGAAGGCTGCGATGTCGTTCTCCATTATTCTTCCAGTCCCGTACGCATAACCTCCCACCAACACTCTTACGCCCATCATTTTTCTAACTATAGAGTGGATACGGCGCACAGGAAAGCGCCGAATCGCTCGCCCGTGAACTAAGCGAAAAGTATCCCGAGCAACTCTTCCTCACCGAAAGGCAGACCTCGTCTCCCGCGACGCCACCCGCGCTCGTCCCCAGGATCCTGCAGAACCCCGAGGTCGCCGCCCGACACACGGCAATTTCCATCCTCGTGGCCAACGCCGGCCGGGCCCGCCGCGCCAGAGATATCTCGGAGATTGACGAGGACGACTGGGACGACGTCTTGGAAGTGAACGCCCGCAGCCAGTTTGTGATTACCAAGGCCTGCGTTCCGGGAATGAGGTTGGAAGGGTGGGGGCGCGTCATCCTGATCGGAAGCATTGCGAGCCGCGGGGAGGGATCAACGGTTGTCACTACGCTGCGTCCAAGGGTGCACTTTTGTATGTTTGGCATCATGTTGTCTCCCCATTTGGTGAGGAGGAGGATTCTTGGGCTAACGGCCTCGTTTACTCAGGTCTATGGGACTTAATCTATCGACCGTCCTTTCCCCAGAGGGCATCACAGTGAATACGGTAAGGAAAGCAAGAGGCACCCTTCTGAAAACATCGTGACGATACAACCCGGAAGCTGCGTTTTGATATCTAATGGCTAAAAGGTCTCACCCGCCATGATTGGGTCTACCGGATTGATCCCAGCCGCACAATCTCAGTGAGTATATACCAGGTGTCCCCTACAAACAACACTAACCTCGATACCGTCCTTCACCAGAACGTGGGCAAGCGGCACGGATATCAACACCCTTCAAGCCACGGACCCGGGATTGGCCATCGCAACACATGTACCTGTCCAGCGGCTAGGAGAACCCGAGGAGGTGGCCAATATCGTGATCATGTTCGTCTCCCCTGCTCCATTCATCAAGCTGCCTCTTCTTTTGTTCCTACTCTGGACGCTTACTTTTGTGTTCGACTCTATCTAGGCTAGCAAAGACGGGATACGTCACCGGTCAGGATATCTTGTTGGCGGGGGCTTAAGTAGATAGCATGTGAGATCCGGGAAGGAAAATGGGGATAGGTCGACTGCCTGTCATAAAGGTTTGTTGGTGCCAGAGGCCGCAGATCTACAAGAGTGATTTTTAGAAGAAATGAAAACAAAATGCATGTCTGTCTAAACCGAAGAAGTATTCTGCAAATCTACAACCACCTTCAAAACGAGTTTTGCCGCATCATCCGACTTCCTGCATGCCATGGCAAAAGCATCCTCGACAGAGTCAAGTCCGTAGAAAGTGTGCGAGATCAAGCTCGGGAAATCAGGATAGTCCTCGGCGGTGGCAGAAAGCACCTCGATGGCGGAGGGATACGCGTTGGCGTAGCGGAACACGCCGCAAAGGTCGACTTCGCGCAGCGCGGCGGCAGAAATCGGTAGGGTTTGAACTGGAGATCCCATTCCGAGTATCATGACCTTTCCTCCCGGACGAGTAGCCTAAGTCACGAAAAGCAAAAGAAGAAAGGAAACGTTAGAAAGAACGAACGGCTAGAAAGTAGGCGCATAGACCATGGCAACTCACGTATATGGCCGTTTGCAAGCAAGACTGGACACCCGTGCACTCAAACACGGCATCAAACTCCCCAATCGGCGTGCCATCCTGACTAAGAACCTCTCCATATCGTAAAGCACCCTCCCGCGCCAGGGCGAGATCCTCGGTGACGTCAGCTCCCCTCTTCGTGGGTGCCACAACGGAGTGGTGAGCGAAGCGGTGGCGTACAGCAAAGCTGCTACGTCCCTCGTCGACATCCGAAATGACGACGTCGCGCGCACCGCGAATCTTGCACATGGCAGCCACGAGCAACCCAACGGCTCCGGCGCCGAGGACAAGAACGCTAGACCCGGGCGCCAAGGCCGCACGGTTAGACGAGTGGATAGCCACACTCAAGGGCTCGACCAGGGCGCCGAGGTGGGGCGAAACGGCATCGGGTAGGCGGTGGCACCAGCGGGCGGGGTGGTTGATGCGCTCCTGCAGGGTGCCCTGGGCGTGGGGGAAGGACTTGGCGGAGCTGCGGAAGCGCATGGCGCAGCAGATGTTGTAGCGCCCGGCGGAGCAGTGGGCGCAGGCCTCGCACGGCTGGCCGACCTCGAGGGCGACGGCGTCCCCGGGGCGAGGCCTGACACGTCGGTGCCGACGGAGACGACGATGCCGGTAGATTCGTGGCCTAGGGTGAGGGGCTCACGGACGAGGATGTCGCCGTTGCGGAAGTGGGTGTAGTAGTGTAAGTCGGAGCCGCAGATTCCTGTGGATCGCACGGCGACTTGGACCTCGTCGGCGGTGGGGGCGGGCAAGGGGCGCGAGTCCTAAGGTGGCCTTTTAGTCTCCCATGCTGACCCCTAAGCGATCGCGGGCGGCGTGTATGGATTATAGGGGTTTGGCGGCGCGAGGTGGTCATGGTTCAGAGACTTACAATCCTTAGATCTTTCGCGCCATACAGCACGGAGGCTTGGATGAGCAGGGATTCACTAGTGGAAGCCATGGCTGTGGGTGTGGGCTTCTCTCAGCGGCAGAGGGAGTCTCGTTTCCCAAAGGCGCCACTTGGTATCGGGGACTTTGGATGCAGGAACGGCATGTACTTTGGCCGATAATTTTGCATGTAGCACGCGATGTGTACTGCGAATCTTTTACAGCTGGGGCTTGGGTGAGCGGAGTGAGGGGAAGCCGATCAGAGCGCCGGTCGGGGTAACAATCTTATTAACCGGGTCACAATTTCTACCTGGGCTACCATTTTTTTCGCCCACTCTCTTTCTCGTGGATATTTCGTAGTTCCCTTAATTGGGGGATAGCCCACATGTAGACATGGATTCTACATGGATAGGCCTGGTACTTTCAACCCGTCCGGAACAGTCGAGATCATCGTCATTTTGCAGAACGGGGAAGAACGGGGACGAGAGAGATTTATAGCCATGTGGCTACTGAAAACGCGTCGAGAATTCCTTATTTCGCGACCTGGGGACCATCAAGCCAACTTAAGCTAGTCGGTAGACAAGAGCCGACGGAACTATCAAGACAGCGCCCAAGAGGCGCTAGGCAGGCAAGATCGCAGACCAAAGCTCTAAGCGGGTCTCCCCACGCCACCGAGTGTTTTTTTGCTGCGAGGCAGGATTCGAGGATTCAGCTCAAACTTGACCCCTCTTCCGGCACTCAGAACATCAATCCGCATCCCGCTTCTAGCTACTCACTTTCCCCCTTTTCCCCTTTTCTTCGGACGGTATCGGTTCGTGAAAGAGACGACTCAAAAAAAAAAAACCGCTCGTCCGAGTCTGCCCGGACACATCAACCGCAGCTCAGATCCTCGAAACAGATTTCCTTCAATTAACGCCTTTGCATCGGCGTAGAGTCAAAGGGATTGCAGGTAGGATTATTCCATCATGTGGGCTCGCGAGAGCAACCGGCAGCTCGTGAAGCTCGAATTTTCCCTGCGGGCGGGGAGCTTGAGCTCGAGGCATGTACCGAACGCATTTCCGCCCTTGAGGCGGGCTTTACCCTCGATTGCTCTCCACTTCCCCGCCAAATGCGAAATCGGAGTGTGATAGCCCGAACCGCCGCATCACGTCACGCCCACCCGCACAAAAGCCTCCATCCCGGCCACCACTTCCCTACCTACCCTCCGTCCTCTCTCCTTCCTCCCTTTTGTAAGCACGCCAATTTCCTCCGCCGCCACCAGAGCACCCTCCGCGCCACGACCCGCAGCATCACCACCACCACCAGCAGCACCCGCACGACGACGACGACGAAGATGAAGCTCCTCTACCCCACATCCCTCGCCTTCGACCCCAAGCGCGTCGACGCCGGCAGCGCCCCGCTCACCCTCCACGCCTACGACGTCCGCCAACCCATCCCCGAAGAGCACACCGACGCCGACATCCTCGTCACCTGGTCCAACAGCGCCGACAACCTCGCCGACGCCGCCCGCCGCCTCAAGAACCTGCGCTGGATCAATCCTCGCCGCGGGCCCCAACGACGTCCTCAACGCCGGCTTCGACACTTCGGCCATCCAAGTCACCACCGGCTCCGGCCTACACGACTTCACCGTCGCCGAGCACACCCTCGGCATGTTACTCGTCGCCGCCCGCCGCTTCTTCGAGATGCGCGACTACCAGCTGCGCGGCGAGTGGCCCGGTCACCTCGGCGGTCCCCAGCCCGACCGCCCCACCGGCGCCTTCACCACCCTGCGCGACGCTCGCGTCCTCATCTGGGGGTTCGGCAACATTGCCAAGACCCTCACCCCGCTCCTCACGGCTCTCGGCGCCCAGGTGTCCGGCGTCGCCCGGAGCGCTGGTGTCCGCGACGGCGTCCAGGTCTACGCCGAGGATAAGCTCGCCGAGCTGCTGCCCCAGACCGACGTCCTCGTCATGATCCTTCCCGGCGCCGAGTCCACGCGCAACGCCCTCAACGCCGAGCGTCTCAAGCAGCTCCCCAAGCACGGCTGGGTCGTCAACGTCGGCCGCGGTACCTCGGTGGACGAGGAAGCGCTCGCCGACGCGCTGGAGAAGGGCGAGATTGGAGGCGCTGCGCTGGATGTCTTCGAGGCGGAGCCCTTGCCCGCGCCGAGCCGCTTGTGGAAGGCTCCGAACCTGGTCGTCTCGCCCCATGCTGCGGGCGGACGTCCTCAAGGGGCCGAGGCGTTGGTCACGGAGAACTTGAAGAAGTTTGTCGCTGGTGAGAAGCTCAAGAACATAATTTAGGATTTTGATTTTATCTAAGCGGTAATGGGAAACAATAAGAAAAATACGCAAAACTAGAATAAGGGAAAAACATTTATAATTGGCCTTCCCCATCTTCCCACCCTTTTGCGTCGTGATTCCTGGATTGTCTTTGCCCATGGTGAGACGACTCAGATATGATGGATCTGTACTAGGCTGGCTGGCTCGAAGCAGTTCACACCGCACCTTGCCTGAAAGACTTCATCCACAAAAATGTCTCTCGTTCCTCCGTCATTTAAATGCCCTTGATAGTGCAAATGGTTGACAACGGACGTCCGCCTAGTCCAGCTGACGCGGCTCAGGTCTTCCACCTCACCCCGACAGCTTGGCGACGTGACCCTCTTTTGTGATTTCTTCAATTTTCAGCTAGTCGACGCGGAGATGTCCTACCCTAGATCGGTCACTATTGGATGGACGACCGAATAGTACCCGACTATCAATACTTCCTTGCGTTTATCAACAGGGCCGCGCACAAGTTCAGCTTGTTGTTGTTGCGCACCCCTATCAATAATCATACTGCCCATCCATCTCCATTCCGAAACCGCATTCTCTTATTCCAGCGGCTGCGCAGAGAATGTGGCTGCGGGAATCTACGACCTGTTCCATTCCATCTCGAATTTCGTCATGCTGCATCACCCACCCATCTCGGACCTTGAGATCCAGGACGTGTATCAGATGCGGCCCGGGAACCAAACCAGGTGCGCGGTGGCGGCTTACTGACACCCAAGCCATGGATATGTCTACGTGTATTGATCAGTCGGCCGAGAGGCGACACGTCTCCCGCTGCCATTGTATTGCGAATCATATATCCAGCGCACCCTTTTCTCTCTCTCCGCACGTAATTATCGGCACTTGACTCCGGCCCGAACCATGCGCGATCCTTTTCCTCGTCACCGGCGGAGCGGCTCACCCCCGCCACCCCCGCCAGTCCCAGGACCCGATGCCGCTGCTAGAAATTCCCACCGAAATCTTGGCTCATCGGCGGGTCTTGGTTGGTGGGAAGCCAAGGCCCGTAGTTTTTGTCCATGAATCAATCAACAAAAACAACCACTGGAAAAGGCGGCTAAATACTAATACAACATTGAACACTTGACTTTTTTTTCTTGGCAGGCATCAATTCACCCCTCCCTCCATGTCCCCTGAAGAACCGAACCAAAGAATAAAAGGGAAAAGGGGAAGAAAGGGAGGGCAGCCCACGCGAGATTGAGACAAGAGTGTGGACGTAGTAGGCCTTGGCGGAATGCCACGGTGGGTTTTGCGTGGTGCATATGCGGCACGAGGAAACCATTTGATGTTTAAATTCACGACCCTTCATGTTGGCATCTTGTTTCTCGTCGGGTCCGACACGCGCGTGTGTCTTGGCTTCGCGAGTCCCCGTCTCTCACGGGGTGGGGTCTATAAGTGGAGAAGGGCTTGAATCCATCACGATCAATTGATCATGACGGATCTGACATGGTGTTTCCGAACACCTGTTGCATCCCGTGTCCATATGCCGATGGGCTGGTTGTACACGACGTAGTTCCACAAACGATTTTCTTGAACCTCTGTTACGTCTGAAAGGGTCTCGTCCTGGAAGAGGAGCTGGGTTCTACGCCAAGCGCCAGCTGAGATGCAGAGATGATGGACATGCGCGAGGCAGAGAAGCCGGCTGGAAGACATCTCATTCGTGTCTTAGAGGGCGAGTGACATTGACATCAGGGCACAAAGCACGGAGGAGCAAGAGCGCAGATCTTGTTTGTAGCAGGATGAAAATGTATTCAAACATGAGATTGTTCATTATCTTCATCAAAATTATGTACAAGAAGTATTAAACCCAAATACGGCGGGTATTATAATGAAGACATGCGCGGAAAATGACTCGTATCATGAGTTACGGTTTACCAGCAGATACCGTAGGCGGGGTTGCAGCCAGCGGCGCAGTGCTCGGCGGTGTCGCCTGTGAAAGATTACCATGTTAGTCAATCGAACTAGAAAAAGAAAAGGGTGTTTGCAAACGCGAAAGGGTTTCGCGTGCAAAAGGGTTTCGCGTGCAAAAGGGAGAATAAACTTACCGCACCATCCCCATTGGGAGCAGCACTTGTACTGGTTCGTGGGGCACTTGTAGCCCTTGGCAGCGCCGCAGGTGCCATCGGGGGTGGTGGTGCCGCCGCCGGGAGGGTTGGTGGGAGGAGTGGTGCCGCGAGAAGTGCGGTACCAGTTGGCGGCAGCATCGCCGAGGCATTCACCGACAGTGACGGCTGTAGGAGATTGCGGTGTTAGCGACAAGCTCATTATGCATACGGATGCCCAGAGAATTGGGACATGGATAAGAAAAATAAAAACATACCTCGGAGACCGCGGGACTGAATGTGGCTAATCATGGCGGGGACAAGGTTGTTGGCGGTGGTCTGGTGAACATCGTGGGCGAGGGAGATGGTGCCGCCGCCGTTGACGCCGTTGCGGAAGATGGTGGCGCTCTGGGCGGTGGTGGCGGCGGTGTTGTACTGCCAGTCGAGGGTGTCGATGTTGGCCTGGATGACGCGGTAGCCGAGGCCGCTGAGGGTGGAGAGGGTGGCCGAGTTGTAGCTGAAGTACGGGGGCGCATGTAGGTAGGGAACTTGCCGATGATGCTGAGCAGAGCGGTCTCGAGCTGCGTCATCTGGCTGGTGACGGCGGCGCTGTTGAGGGTAGCGAGATCGGGATGGCTCCAGCTGGATTTTGAACGAATGATTAGCACCAGAGCGTACCCCAAATGGGAAGAAGAAGCCAGAGGGTTGGTTTTAAGGAAAAGACTTACGTGTGAGAACCGATCTGGTGGCCCTCGGCAATCATCCTCTTGACGACGGCCTGGTTGTCGTAGATGTTGCCCCAGTTCTGGCCGTTGACGAAGAAGGTGGCCTTCATGCCGGCAGCCTTGAGCTTGTCGAGCACGGTGGAGGTGTAGATGTAAGGACCATCGTCAAAGGTGAGGGCAATGGTGTTGGGCTGCGTGCAGGCGTAGACGACGCCGTTCTGGCGGGGCTCGATGTTGGCTACGGGCGAAGCGACGACGCTTGCCACGAGCGTGGTGAGGAGGTACCGGAGCTGCATGGTTCTCTTGTTTCTTCTCTCTTTCAAGATGGTGTGTATAGAAGATGGGGGAAAGGAGACTTGGGACTGGATCAGGTGCTGAACGAGAGTGCTTGTCTGACTGATGAGGAGAGAGAGAACGGTCGAAAAGAAGGCGGCGACCGAGGCCGTAGATATACTTTGAAGAGCTGTTGCGCCGTTCCTCGCCAGGAGGCGCATCCGGACGTGCGTTCTAGTTCGACGAGCTAAGAGCTTACACCTTTTTTTCTTTCTTCGCTGCTGTCTCTCGTTCTGGGCAGGTCCCGCTCCGGCCGTTCAGCGACGCCTTTGCCCGGTGACCCATGCAGCTGGGCTGGGGTGTGAAAGAGGACATGGGGGCGTCGAAGAAGAAGGAGAAGGACATGATCCTAATGGATGGTCCTCGCTTGACTCCCACCCAAAAACAACAGAAGACTGCTGAGCTTTTCCCGTCTCTCCCCACAGAGACTCTTTCTTTTCTTTTTTTTTTTTTTTCTTTTTTGGAGCTGCAGAGGCACCACGAGCACAGCTCACGCTAGTGCCTTGTGGCGGGGCGGCTGCTTGTACAAGTTGGGGGAAGGGGGAGGGGAAAAGGCAGGGGTGGGCGAGGCGGTCGGCGGTCGAGATGAGATGGTCTGCTCTCTGTCCCCAGTCTCCAGGCTTCCAATGCTCATGGCATGAACAAGGCAATCCAAAAGAAAAGAAACAAAAATAAAAAAAGAAAAGATACCTCAACTTCCCGTGAGCAAGGCCCGACAAGAGGATTCTCGTGCCAAGAGCTGTCGGGTGTCGTATTCGACGTGGTGGTACGGAATGACCCCATGCAAGCCACCCCTGTGGTGAAATCCCAGGATTTGCCCACGCTATCTGTGAGTTTTTGTTTTCGTTTTTCTTTTTTCTTCGAACTAGCGGCGGCTGGTTTTTAGGGGGTAGGTTCCTCGGACTTTTTCTGCCTTTCTTTTGTGAGGAGAGGGGGCGTGCAGGGGAGAGGGAGAGGCCCGAGGGGTGCAAGTGGAGTTCTTGGGTCGGCAGACTCCAAGAGGGGCGTGGTCGGCTGGACTGGGCATGCATCGGCGAGCTCCTTTCGCATCTCGATTCTGGTGTTGTTGATGGTGCGCTGCCTGATGACTCCAAAGGAAGGCTCGTCTGCCTTGAGGAATGGAGTCAATGGAGATAGGAAGACGGTCGGGTCTCACGTACAGTGGGTGGAATCGCGGCTATTCCTCGCCTTCGCCCCCAGCATCATCCTCGACTAACACGATGGATCTAGAAAAATATTGAGCGTCATCACGGAGAGGTTCTCGCGGCCGAGTGAGTTACACAGAAAAGACATCAAATAGAATTTGCAAGGTCGAAAGCCCCCAAGTGTGCGGAAACCTTCCTTCACCTCTCCTTGACCGAGCTCGAAATCGGCCAAACCCGCCCCAAAAAGACCGCAACTCTGCATAACTCTTGCACGGGGAAGCCCCAGGCCTTGGGCAGGTGGAGGGGGGCGCTGGCATATGGCTCCCGCGAACGCTCACTGGCTGCGTCGGGCGGCCACGAGCAACTAGATGATGATTATCAACCCACTGGTCATTTCAAGCCCTCGGGGAGGGAGGGGCAAGTCAGGCCAATTTGACGTGAGAACCTTGATTTCCTGGCGGCGGCGGCGGAGAAAGTGGCGCTCCTCGAGCACAATGGCAGTGGCATCTATGGATCTAGTGTGGTCGGCCGTGAGTGCTTTCTCGGCCCAGGCAAGTCGTGAAAGAAAAAGCGATACTGCAAAACCGATCTACCTTGCCACGGTGGATTCGTATGTCACTACCTACCAAATCTGATAGATATTATACTTCTAGCTCCCTGTCAACTGAGTTCTTCAGGTCTGGAAAGCTGTATTATTAGTGGTTACCACAGCTTTTTGCCAGACTTGATAGGGTAGATTGGTTTTGCGGTGCCGTTTATTTCTTCCACGACTTGCCAGGTACGTAGGGTATTTAGGGTTCTCAGCGTTGTTGCATGGGGCGTTTTTCTCGTATTTGCTGGCGTGCAGCGCACGCGCAGGGCCCATTTTTTCTCTTGCTCTCGTTTTCTTGCCCCTGCTGCGAAAAGCATGGAGCTTCGCTCCTTTTGGGGGTTTAGAGGCCCTCAAGTGCTCAACTTTCGAGGGACGGCAGGTGGGGGAGGGCATAAGGGGGTGGGGAGGGTGGAGGGACTGGTGAAGAAAAGGGGCAAGCGGCCTGGTCCTGTGTCTTTGGTTGGTCGATACAACGGCGATGTTGGTGATTGCCACGCTCAGTGGCCGAATCAGTCAATTCGTGGTGCTTGCTGCTGCCGGCCCTTTCCAGAGACAATTGCTGAACTGGGCAGCCTGCCCGACTGTCCTTACAAGCACCTGGCGAATGATCCAGGGGGACTAATACCTAGGCCGGCCAGTCCCTATTTTTGTCTGTCTCGTCAATGCCAGCAAGCACTTGCGAACAGGGGACCAGGGCCCCAGACCTGTCCAGGCCTTCTTCCTCTCGTAATCAATGGGAAACCCCAAGCAGCATTTGATTGATCTCTGAATCGGACAAACCGCGAGCATTGATGTTTGACTCGTATCTGTGTTGTTGACATTGATGGACCATGTCAAGGAACTGCTATCAAGCAAGGTTCCGAACCCTCGCGCCACAGAGGTCATGCTGAAGATCCTCAGGCCGGATCCGTGGCTTCCCTTGAGTAGCGCCTGGATCGACTTCTTGTCTTGCCTTTCTCGCCGATTTCTTTTTTTCTTCCCTTTTCAGGCAGCTTATCTTTCTTCGATAACGTGAGGTTGGGAGGATCTCGATCTGGATGACGGATGGCTCCATCAGGGCGATGCCCACTATCAAGACGCCATATCTTTGGTTCGCGTCGGCTGTGCCGTAGTCTCCGTCTGGGCTGACGGCATCATCATCAGAAAGGGCAGGTGCACCACAAAAAACAAAATAGTATGAGGTCCTACCCAGGTTTTCCCTCTCCCAAGGCGTATTAAATTGGAGTATCGGAACTTTTTCAGATCCCGGCTCGCCAAGCCAACAGGATACAAAGATACGAAGGCGAGCTCGGGCGAGCTAGGGTGGTCTCGTCGTCATAATCAAGTTGGATTGAAGCTTTTCATGCACTGGCAGGTTCAATGTTGTTTGCTCAGCAATCCATAATGTTGGTGATACTTTCTTCAATTGGCCTTTCAGTTTTTAATATTGACGATTCCGGTGCACGTCGGCGCCCCTGCCGAGCCCTCCCTCCCCGAGGGTAATTTTACAATGTTGATCTGGCGTGCAGCGGTCACTGGCTTGATCAATGTCTCAGGCACCGGGGAACGATGGGGAAACAAGAACCGGGCCAAGAATGCCAAGCCTGTCACGGAAATAGGGAACCTCAAGGTGATCAGTGAAAAAAGGAGTCTATGTAGGGCAAGGAGCACACAACTGAGACTACATGTACTACACGCAGGCATCGACGGGGAGTCGGTGGAGTCTTACACTGATGGGGCCGTGATGGGGACGTGATTCGTTTAGCGTTCAATCCATCCATGGATGGATGTCTTCTTTCCTCATTATCTGATGATGGCAGTTGATGGCAGGGGGAAAAGGGAGAGAGGATTCCTGGCCCCCGCTCCTCCCCGCGCGGACCATAGGGATAAGCGCGGGCGAACTCCCGCGTCCGCGGGGCAAGTCATGTTCCATGATGAAGGCGGCGCATTCCCATCCATCCTCCGGCTCGATCCCATCCGTAGTTATTTCCCTTGCTTGGTTCGGTGACACCCTCCCTTGCTCGATCTCGACGCCTTGACATCAATTCGCCGAAAGAAACGACCTAGCTTGTGCCCTTTCCGTCTCCCTCTCTCTCTCTCTCTTACCAAGGATCTATCTTTAGATGTTTCTTGATGAATGACCCGGCTGCGGTCAGAGCTCCCAACTCCTCCGCGATGTCTGGCTAGGAGGGAAGAAATAACAAAGGGGGAAGAGGCACACTTGAGCGGAGATTATGGGGTAAGAGTGTTGGGCAATGAAATGAGAGAGGTGTGCCTCGATGGACATGACCTCCCCCATTCGTCCCAGGCGGGGAAATGAGACGGATGAAAATGTGCGTGGACTGGTCTGGAGATGCAATGCAGCCGAGTCAAGGCTTTTGGCTTTCTCCATTGATATTTGTCTTCCGATCTCATGAACCTCAACCTGACGGACGCCAGCTGTGGGCAGCAGCTTGGGCACGAAGCAGAATGCAACGAATTAGAAAGACGGGGAACAGAAGGGGTGGAGATGGAGCGAGTCATTGGTCCGGGACGTTGTGGACGGCGAGGAGCTGCTCTGTCGCACCGAGAAAGAACATTGAACATTGAACGACGTGCTTGCACCAGAGCTCAATCAATCAATGTTCGCACCCACCATTGTTTCTCAGCGCATGCGCCAGCACTCTCCTCTGCACAGGACGGACGCCACACCCTTCCGAAAGCGGCATGATGAATTTCAATCGCGTCCGAGTCTATTGGCCGTCCTCCCCCGCCGCACAAAACATGCGCTTCGTTATTGGCCCCGCGAGAAGCTGCGCTGGCTGGCGTTGCGGGTAGCTTCTTTTTTCAGTTCCAATATTCAATAAAATACCCAAAGAACAAAAAGCGCAACTGTTGAGGAAGGCGTCTTTTCTTTTTGCTTCTCCTTTCCCCTCTTGTTCAAGTGCGTGAGCTGCTAGCTTAATTTTTTTTTCTTTTCTCACTCCGCATAAACCAAATGCCAGGTACCACACCCTACCTTTGTCGCTCATTGGCAACACTGGAGGCGTTTGAGGCTGTTATCCACGGGGTTTGCTCTCCCCCTCATGATATCCGCCCTTTCTGAGAGGCGCCCGTCCTGGGACTTATTGGAGAAGCCACGCTCCCCCACATCTTCATTCTTGCTCGTTGAATGATGTGATCATAGGATAACGCCACCAAGGTACTCCCGACGCGCAGGGTCAAAAGATGGTCAGACAAGAGGGAAGGGAGATGTAAGTGATGGGTG